GATAATTGCTGATTTTGACTTTGACGAGAGCTATAATTATATACATCGCGTTATCTGGCTCTGTCACATGCTGATCACGCGCTTCTGCCGCATAATGATCACGTACATTTGAATCTTTAACTCCCGTGATCTAATTGTTAATTCTCCCCTCTAGCGGCTACATGTTTCCTTTCAAAGGAGATACGGAAATTTGGTGTTAGTTCAAAGAGAACGAATTCTACCAGATAAAACTTTGAGTATTTGCATTACCTGTTTGCTGGATAACGTATTGATATTACAGGGATAAGTTGCAAGTTATATCACTTCTGGGAGTTAGAGGGTTTAGAAAATTGCATCGTGTGCAGACTATTTAACCACGAGGCAAATGAGAGAAGCCAATGAAATTTATAAGTGTATGCAAGTGAAATATTTTCACGTCTGACAACAATAACCCGAAAAAATTCGACTGAAATTAAACTTAATTGTTGTCAGCTGCACGAAAATTAAGATTACGATTTTTCATTATAAATGACACGAGCTCTAGACAGCTCTAATCAGTTGCAGAATGAAAATTGGTTTGTACCTGTTAAACTGTCATCCTCTGAATCCCTCTATTCTCCAAATGACGTCATTTGTTAATTCTACATGCCTGAAAATATCAAAAATAATATTTTGCTTGACAACAATTTCGACGAAAAAATGAACAAGGTTACATATTCACGAGTTTAAAAGATCTAACCTCGTCTAATACCCAGTTTCGTGATCACAATTGCTGTTCTCCTCTAAGAAAGTTATTTTGCTTGTTTTTTTGTTTGTTTGTTTTATTCTCTCTATGATTATTACTTGTTTACATGTTTCTGCATGACGATTAATTTATCTTGTAATTTAAATTTAGCTCTTCCGTTTTGGTGCAAAACACCCTCAATCTGCAAAATCTCTTTTCTCCTCAGAGCAGGCCATGTTACACTCTGTCATAACTGAATCGACAAGGATAAATTCATACCGTGAATTATATTGTACCAATGCAATTTCTCTTCAAGTGATCAACTCGATATATTCCTCGATCAATATGATACACATTTGTTTTTGGTCATCTTCCCTTTAGCGTTACAGTTCTCTCAAATTTTCATTTTCCGCTTTCACCGTGACAACTTCATAAAGTTTCTAAAAATAATAGCGGTAACCTTTTTTCTTGTAAATAATTCCCGCCAATTCTGCACGAAATATTTTTGCAGTCAAAAGCGTAAGTGTCCAGTGAAATTCAGTGGCGCTCTAGATCTCATCCTGATACAATCAGTTTTGGAATAATAAAATCTGTTCCTTTCTAATATGAAAACGATGCTGATTCACAAAATCCAGATGGGTTTATCAGTATGTAGTCGATTTCCGAACAAGATTAAATGGGCATCCATGTCTCAGTTGTTTTCATTCACTGTCTTTCTTTTACATGTACAAAAATTTAGTGTTACATCGAGATACTTTGCTTTTACTGATAACTTTCTCTGTTCTCAAAGATCACTCCTTTTTTGCTGCATTGATATCTACGTGTACTTTGCAATAACAAGTTGCACATATTCATCACCGGAGGAGACACAAAGCTAAAGAAATCACATCAATAATATGTATTCTTTATGTTTATTTTTTTCCAATTTTCCCGTCTTTCGATTATAATCTGCTTCATATCTCTTCATTATCTTTCCTCACCTGAAGACTACTTGCAATAAGTTCAACTCCAATAAAGTTCTTTCCCAAGAAAATAATTGACTTCTCGCTTTATCTAAAGAAAAACATATTCAAATCGTTACGCTTCTTGTAAAGAATTAAAGCGAATACCATAAGTACTCTTCTTAGAGAAATATCCCAGGAAGTTATTCCAGAATTTTTTAAATCTATGTACTCCATGCATCTTTGTGTACAGAAACCCTCAGGGTATCTTACAGGAATTTTATGATTAAATTGTCACTGAACCAGTTGGAAGAGAAATCTGAGGCCCTAGCTCTCTTTCTCTTAGAGCTCCGGAATTGTCTGCTGAGTTTGGATGCAGCAAGCGAGGCCATAAATAATTGTATTATAGTTCATGCAGACAAGTGACCACATCAGCTTTTGCTGAATTTTTTATCGTGTTTAAATAAATGTTGTTGTTGTTGTTGTTGTTGTTATGATACTGAAATCAGAAATACTGCAGCTTCAAAGATCCCTCATGGGAAGATAAATACGCTACCTCAAGGTCTGGTATGTTTATCAACATGTCAGCATTGATATTTACTCTGTCGTTTAACTTGATCTGACGGATAGGGCCTTTTTTTTCGGTCGTCGGTTAGAAATGATTTTTTTCCTTTGTCACGAAGGAGCTTGAAATTTCCTTTCTTTCACTATGTGTTGTTTAGATATGACACTTTCGACATCGATGAGCTCAGCAGTACGCAGGATGATCCTTTATGTATCCGCTGTATGTCATGGCTCATTAAAGAGAAATCTAAAGCTATGTGGGTGAACTTCAGATCGTAAAATCCGATGGCCTTGAGAGGAAAGCTAATGATTTCTTTCCATCCCCCCGCGTTCGTGACGAGTGAATAAGATCGATATTTCTTTCATTCGTTTGTCTCATGGTTCAGATTATTTCATTTGTATCTTTAGGTATCTTTAGTCAATACCCGTTTATCTCATTCACTGCATTAGGTCGCTATTAACTTATTCTGTCCTCACCTTAACTCCTGTGAAAATGTGATTTGCCCCACAAGTGTGTAACGAAACGGTGCACTTGGTAACACCGGCGCTATTGAAGAAGCTGAATATGAGCTCATCGAACTCGAAACAGAAAATCATGTATCATTGTTTATTTCGTGATACATGATTCTATTTTGTAGCTACGCTGTTTCACTATTTATACGCCACTATTTATATCTCTGTACTGTTTAACAGGGAACATTAAAGAATCCTCGCAGTTTTCGCAAAAAGTAGGGAACGCTGCTCCCGGTGTTGTGGTGTGGCCTTGTTTCCAAAAATTAGAAAAACTGGAGGCACCTGCTAAATTTCTTTTAAAAAAGATGTGAACTGCTCAATGCAGTCTTGATAAAGTTCTCTCCAAAGGGTTGTAAGTCGCATCAGAGAATATTAATATCATTGTTATTATCCTTATCGTTGTTGAAAATCCAGTCCTTTCAGTGACACTGAACGATGACTCCATAAGTCAGATCTATATTTATCAAAGGAATGTATTGAGGCCAAAATCACTCGTACTTGTCCAACACACAATCTTTAATATTCTTCAACAAACGAAATAAACTTAAAAATTGAAGCGAAGTTAACAATTGGAGCGAAATGAAGATTTCAAGCGGTTGCTAAAATACGAGACTCACTTTAAACGATTCCTCTTTCTCAAGGAGAAATCTGATTATGATTTTTTTTAAAACTCTTTTGTTACTTTTATACTTAGGCAAATTAAAAAAAAAACATATTTAATTAATCAAATGAAAGTGAGAAACGATTCGATAGACACCTGTGAAAAGCACTTTGGGTTGATGGCATGGGTTGATGGCTTATTGGCGCAGTAATAACCTAGTAAATAGCTCAAACATACTGAAAAAAATTTTATCAGTTTTTGTATATCTTTATCTGAAAGTCACATGTGACTAAACAAAAACGGAGAAGTATGTATTGATGGCTTGTTTTCATGAATCTAGGATTTCGGGAATCGCTGTAAACTACACGATCACGCATTTAGTAATATTTCTTCTTCTAATGATGGATACTGGAAGAAAATAGTAACGGTGTCATGCTGTTTTATATGCCCATTATAAAAATATATTTGTATTTGCATTTAGCTCACGGGTAAAAATCCCGTGAAAATTGTTCAAAAGAAATATATCACAGTAGTTATTTTATGACAACCACAAAATACTCAAAAGAAAATCAAGAAACTGGGGCTCCTGTTCAGGACGATCTTGTACATCTCTTGAACTTTTCGTGGGAACAAGTGCTGAAGCTTACATAACCTATTTTAAATTTAATTGCTGTACTATAAACTTGTGTGTTCGACCCTCGACGAATGCCTTCGATATAGCGTCACCCGAGCTCGTCGGTAGTAACCGATGATTTCCAGCGTCCGTGGTTCGGCCAGATATGTTTTCTTGCCTGTTTGACCGTAAGAACTCTGGGTACAGAATAGTTTCAACGCAGGGGGTCAAACATCGTGAGCAGCCATGGAGGACTTTCCTGGTAAGTAGCATAGTTACTCACCAGGAAAGTCCTCCATAGCTGCCCACGATGTTTTTGACAGTTTCAGGTCAAATAAGCAAGAAAACATGTCCTGCCGAATCATGGAAGCTGAAAACCATCGGCTACTACTAACAAGCTCTCCATCATAAAATAGCTTTCTCGAGACCACCGAAAATTATACTCTACAAATTCAGCGCAAATGGCAGGTGTTTTTTGTTTATCACGTCCCGAGTCCCCGCGCGTCCCCGAGTCCTCGCGTCCCACGTCCCTGAGTCCCACTTCCCCGAGTCTCACGTCCCCGAGTCCCACGTCCCCGAGTCCCACGTCCCCGAGTCCCACGTCCCCGAGTCCCACGTCCCCGAGTCCCACGTCCCCGAGTCCCACGTCCCCGAGTCCCACGTCCCCGAGTCCCACGTCCTCGAGTCCCACGTCCCCGAGTCCCACGTGTCCGAGTCCCACGTCCCAGTCTCACTTTTAGTCACAGCCCAGACACGAGGCTGAATGGGCTACTCTGGAGCAAAGTTCATCATTCTATTGATGTATTTATCTATATACCTGATTTTTCCTTAAAATATCACCCCTAAATCACGCATGAAGGTCACAACAATAAAGAAAATGATCTCAAAACTAAAGAAGCTCTTGATTGGTACACAAATTCTCCTTGTCAACACCTTAGCAAGTCCACCTTAGGAAACGTACTGTGACTCCGCCAAAATAAATGTAGATCCAATAAACCAAGCCAGTCTCGACCTAGTCTTCTTGAACGAGCTTGCGCGGCTACAAAGTTATAGTCTATTCCATGCATGTGGCTGTTTCCTCGTAGAATAAGGTTTCGTTCTTTTGCTTCCGCGCTTTGTGAGAATTTTTCTCCTGTTATTGTTAGTCGATCGGTGATGGACAAGGCTGGACTTTTCCAAAGTATTGGTTTAAGCGAGCAGAAAGCTCAGGAAACACTGAAGAATGATGCACTTTCGAAGCGACTGGAATCCATCATAACTTTGGTGAGTAAAAGCTTGTGGTTTTCATTCGATAGATTTTAATAGCCTGTGATTTTTGTGGAGTATTAACTGATCATGGATGCACTTGCTCGAAATAATGTTGCATATTTTTAGTGATTTCGTTACATTGGCTAAGAATGTTTGTTAAAGGTGCTACTGCAATCTCTCCATCTTATATCAGCTCGATCAGTTCTTCGTAGGCTGATGCAATAACTGGTACTTACATGTAGTAGTAACATTAGTGGGTTACATAAAGTCTTAAGTTTTCCTCTTTCTTACGATTCTTGCAATTATTGAAAATCTTGCTTATTTGCGATGAAATTAAAATGCACTACTGGAATGAAGATTTGTTATGTAAACGAGCATATATTGGTTTTGAACAGTACATTGGTAATATATTGAGTACAAATTGAGTAAATGAGGGGACTGGACGAGAATGTACAAGGTTTGTATGTCATGACTCAAAGCTTAATATTCTCTGTCCAACTGGACCTAACTCAGTCACTGAGTGCTGATTATTTAAACAAAGTTAAGCTGTTATTTAACAAAACCACATTGTAAACAATCCTCAGTTTAACTGAACCCTTTATCTGAACATTTGTTTTTGGGGACAGGGTCAAGATAGCTGAAAGCTTACAATGAAAGGACATTTTTAAGTCAATCAACCTCTTATGGAGTGTGCCTGAGGCTCATTGATTGTGTCAAGCCTTGGTTTATTGTAGACCTTGTGTAAATATCTGGCTTTCTGGCAGGGCTGGGTTGTTCAAAGCCGAGTTAAGATAACCCAGGGTTAATTAGAAACCTGATTTCAGATCTGAATGTTAAAAAATAGATTTTTAATTTTGGTATAATTTTTTTTTGCCTTGTTTATCTTGGATGCTATCAAAAATTGTGAAAATTATTCCAAGAAGGCTATTGAATCAAAGGAATAAAGAAACCCTGATTAAAATTTAACTTTGGATTAGTGCTAATTGGCCTTTGAACAACTTGCCTCTGAGTGCTAATGGAGATGAAGTAATCAAGACACAAAATGAAGCAACCAAAATAAGGACAAGCAATAACCAATTTTGAGTTGTACTTTTTTAAGCCTATGGTCACTCTGTAATCTTTTGGCCTTGTAGTTGATCTCCTTTTTCCTTTTTGCCCTTTTCTTTGTATCTAATGAATTGTGAAGACATGCTTGTACCTTTGTGAAACAGTCAGTATGACACTAGGCTGGGGCAAATAGATTTTAGTGTCCATAGTACAACTGTCCTACACTGTAGAATTGATGATGGCTATTTCTTGTGTTCACTGCTTCTCTATGCTTAGATTGAGCATCACAATTTTTCTGTTTTTAACAGGTGAAAGAAAAATCCACAGATGCGATTGAAAAACCCACTGGTGTTTTGATGTACTCCTTGGCAAGCAGCAATATCAAAGATGAATCACAGATCAAGTTTGTTAGTAACTACATTGCAAACAAGAAGTTGGCATCTGCGATACAACTGACAGGTATGATGTTGCTATCTAGCGAAAGAGAGGGAGGAGAAGCTGGGATTGATCAGGTTTTTTATTATATCTCTGAATTACTATGTGCATCATGATTGGTCAGTTCATATTTAGCCTTTTTTTACTATATGGTGTGCTAAATCAAAAAGTGTGTTTTGGTCAAAATCTACCCCCTCTAATTTAACCCAGAGATGGAAAAAAAAAAATTTTTAAGTTACTAACCTTGTTTTCTTGGTTCATACTGTAAATTAAGTGTAAGTAGTGTAAATATTTTTAAGAAAAACAACTGAAAACTGTGTGATCATTTTTAATCTACTATATGGATTTTTAATCACTTTTTTAATTTATTGTTAAATATAATTGTGAACATTTTTTTAGACTATCTCTGGGGTTTCTCAATATTTATAAATTTTTTAAAGTGCATTAGATCATATACCTTTTTAATTTATGCTATATAACTATTAGTTAAATGTAATTTTGTTTTCATTTTGTAATCTAACCATCATATTCCTGCAGTTTCTTTTGATATTTTTAGTCTATTTTTTCTGGGAAGCCTGTTTAGCATTAATCAATCAAATTAATCATTCAATAATTTTATTTCCAAAATTTTGGCTCATTTATAACTATTAAATTTATTAGGTAATCATGCCCTCTATTATTATTATTATTATTATTATCATATTATTATTATTATTATTATTACAGAACATTTTTTTTATGCTGGGATTTTTCCCCTAATGGATTTTTTTTTTTTTGACCTGTGCAAAAAAAATTGTTCATAAGTTACAGTATGGACCTTGAACTTGGTGATTAAGAAGTACTTATTGTTTAGTTGGTGATTAATTATTTCGAAGGTGTTTCAGGGGATTGATAAATTTGGTGGTACTGTCTGATTGTTTGAGTAAATTGAGAAGGACTGCAGTTGGTGGAAGTGACTGACATTTTAAAAATCATTGTGGAGGTCATCATCAGAATGGAGACAAGATGAAGACTTCCTCTGGGGTTGTCAAAATATCACGAACTGATATGAACATTAGTACTTCTCCAGACTGCCTTTGTCTGATTGGACGACATAAATAAATTCTACCCCTGGGTTCAATCAGTTAATTAATATTCATATTATGTGTTACTTTTATTTTATCTTAGCTGCAGTGGATTTTATGAAGGCCAATCCAGTTTTGCCTGTTGATGTGGCTGCCTTTGAAAAAAATTGTGGTATTGGAGTAAACATCACACCTGATCAGATTGAAGACTGTGTAAGTAAGAAATTGAAAGATTTGATTTACTCTTTTAAAGTAGCTCACATCAGTTTCACTTAACTTACTTGAATTGCAAGGTACTGTATATCAGTTGAAAGGGAGAATCACTTACATGTACAACAACTTAACCCTTTAAGCCCTAAGAGTGACTAGCATCTAATTTCTCCTTATAATATCACCCCTGAATCACACAATAATGTCATGAAAATAAGGGAAATGATCATTAACAGAAGAAACTCTTGATTACTAAACAAATTCTCCTTGTCAGCACCTTGAGAAATGTATGATGAGCAGTATGGAGAATATGTCTACTGATGTTAGGGTGTAGAGGGTTAATAATACCATTACTAATACTAAGGATTAAGATAACACTCATTTCAGGGACTTTTGGTTTGATTTTATTTGTCTTTTTTTTTTCCACAAGGTTGAAGAACTTATCAAGAAACACAAGGAAGAATTGTTGAAGAAACGCTACAAATTCAATGTTGGAATAATAATGGGTGAGTTTAGAATGTGACTTTATTCTTTCACAGTGTCTAGTGAGCCCCTTTCTCCGATGAACCTTCTCAAATAAGTCCCCTCTCTCATAAGGCCTCCCTCCTGTAAATAATCCCTCCCTAATAAGCCCCTCTCAAACAAGCCCCTCTGTAATAAGGCCCTTCTAATGTTCCACTTGTCTGGAAGCCCTGAAAATTATAAATCCTCTTGTGAACTAATTTAATGGATATTGTTTGTTTTAGTAAAGATATATGACCTGTTTTTACTTTGTTTGAAATTTTAGGAAAGGCGAGAGAGAAGTTAAAGTGGGCAGATGGAAAAGCTGTGAAAGCAGAAATTGATATGCAGGTTTGTGGTACAATAGCTTGCTATAAATCAGTCCTACTGTCTACCTGTCATTCTGTATGTCCATCAGTTGTCACTCCATCTGTCAGTTTTGCCAGGAACATCAAACTCACACCAGGTCAAAGGAAGTCTTCACTGCTGACAGGAATAAGTTGCCCTTAGACTGAAGAAAATGTCCTATATTAGATAGAGGATCCATGATTACTGTCACAAGTAGAGACTACTATATTATGAACATTTTTTGAAAGAAAGTTAGAGAGAACCATGCTCCAAAATGTTAAAGAAACAGGAAAATATTGATGTTTGAATGTTATGGACTTATCTTTTGGAAGGTTTGATTTCACACAGGTGTAACTATTCTATATTTAACGATGACTCTTTTGTTGGATGGTATTTATTGTTGGTATTTTAACTCTTTTACAGATCTTAGATTTGCTTGGACCTAAAACTGAAGCAGACATGCAGACTTTCAAAACAAAGGTGACATAACTAGAGACTTGTATTTATAGCACCATATTTTAAAGTTTCCACCTTGATATAACCAAGTGCATAGAACCAGACAATAAGTGGCATAAGTGATTGATGGAGATGGTTTATAAGTCACTCTCTAGGGGCCATGGTTAACCCTTTGACTCCCATGAGTGACCAAGACAGAATTTCTCCTTACAAAATCAATACAATATCAAGCAAACAAGTGATGAGAATGAAGAAAAATATCAGTTAGGGGATTTTAAGTTGATCCAATACCAAATTCTCCAAACACACATCACAAGAACTGTATGGGAGATAGTAAGGAGGATTACTAATGAGATCTTGGGAGTTAAAGGGTTAAGGATAATTTACATATAGTAACCATTTTTCAAACAATATTGTATGATTTGAAGTTTGGTCCTTTTACCCTCTCAGAGTGATTAGCATATAATTTCTCCTCATAGTATCATCCTTTTACCCTCTCAGAGTGATTAGCATGTAATTTCTCCTCATAGTATCATCCTTTTACCCTCTCAGAGTGATAAGCATGTAATTTCTCCTCATAGTATCATCCTTTTACCCTCTCAGAGTGATTAGCATATAATTTCTCCTCATAGTATCATCCTTTTACCCTCTCAGAGTGATTAGCATATAATTTCTCCTCATAGTATCATCCTTTTACCCTCTCAGAGTGATCAGCATGTAATTTCTCCTCATAGTATCATCCTTTTACCCTCTCAGAGTGATTAGCATGTAATTTCTCCTCATAGTATCATCCTTTTACCCTCTCAGAGTGATCAGCATATAATTTCTCCTCATAGTATCATCCCAGAATCAAACACTAAGGTTATGAGAAAAGAGGAAATGATCATCAACTAAAGATCTGTGCTGAGTTGTTCAAAGCTGGGTTAAGGTAACCCAGGGTTAGTGTGAAATTTGCTTTCAGATCTGAAAGCTGTAAAAGAAAATTCAGTACTATTCCTTTTGTCTACAATTTGATGATTGGATGCCCAAATAAGAATAAAGGGAATTATCTGAAAAAGGCTTTAAAAAAGTGAATGAAGAAACTCAGATTAAAATTTTACCCTGGGTTAGCACTAATCAGACTTTGAGCAACTGGGCCCCAAAGCTTCTGACTGTTAAACAAATTATTGCTCAGGAAATGTGTTGGGAACAGAATGGAGAATATGCTTACTGATGTTAGGGTGTAAAGAGTTAATGTTATGGACTGTACATGTATTGATCATAGGAGGCCAAGCCCAGCAAAGAGGGAAAGCCAGCAAAAGAGTCTCGTCCTGCAGCTGTAGAGGTTTCATTGAATGGTGATACTGGAGATGATGAAACAAGTTCTTTGTTTGGAGAGGCAAGCAAGTTCCACAAACCAGGTGAATATAGCTCAGGATACAGGCCATATCATATAGTTTGCAATTAGTTTTAATGCAAATTCTGTTTCCAGCCATGATACTCTGGCGTGTATCTAGTAATTCATCGTCATATTTGCCTCTCTTGTCTTATTATATCTCACCAAACTAAAATTTTTTAGTATTTATAGTTTTGTGGTTAGCCAAAATTATTTTACCATTTGAACTTTTAAAATGACTGGCATTTCTTCTTACAGACAATATTACCTCCAAGTCACACACTAAGGTCAAGACAATGAAGGAAATGATCAGCTCTTGATTGTTAAACAAATTCTCCCCATCAGCACCTTAGGAAAAGAATAAGAACAGCTTATAGAATATGCACACTGATGTTCAAGTAAAGGGTTGATTCATTTGAAATCATGTACTGTCAGTAGCTCCATTAGGAACAGTTATTATCAGGCCATGATGTAATAATGTTAATTATAATGGACATGTAAGATGTCTTCAGTCTCCCCTTGGTAACACACTTAGTTATGTCTATGTACTAATCAACATTTTCTATACCTTTTTTAAACTTAGGTGAGAACTACCTTACACCTGCCTATGTTGTAACCCCTAAGACGATGACACTACTAAAGGAACATTTAGAAAGAACTGGAGGAAGAGTAAGTGTCAGATAATTTAACTGTTCAAGTAATGAAATGATTCTTACAGGATTTCACAGTTTCAGTGTTGAATGATGCATTATGCTTTGGAGACATGTTAACAATATGGACTGTTAACTGAGTACTTGGGTTACAAAACTGGTAGAGATCATTTTATTTTGTCCTGGGCTAGATTATTACAATAGCTCGTTCTCTTGCACTGACTCTTTACTCTGGGGATTACAAATGTGCAATGCTGGACTGCACAGAAATCAAAAGTACATTTTAATAAGGAATTGTTGTTGATTGTCCAACATTATACATAGAGAGAAAAGCCCCACATTGTAATCTTCAGGTGTTAGAAAATATGTACTCTACAATACATGTAAGCATGGTTCCCAGCTCACAGTTTATTAATTTTTATTGTAATTTGTAGACTTCCATATTTATTTTCAGTAATTAATTATTATTTTCTGTCATTTTTTTCTGTGTTTCCTGAGTTTACATGCAGTACCTACACAATAATTACATAGCATCTTCTGACAAGCTAAATATTACATGAAGTTTATTAAGGATTCTACTTTTCTAGGTGCAAACAAGATTTCCTCCTGAACCCAATGGCATTCTTCACATTGGTCATGCCAAAGCTATCAACTTCAACTTTGGTTATGCAAGAGTAAGGTTTATGATACTGTATCACTTCAGAATGCTCTGATAGCTTTTTCTCATTGTTTAGTCTAATTGTCCAGATAAGGGTAGTCTGGAGAAGGAATGTTTTGGTAGTGCTTACTGATGTTTCAACAACCTTAGTGGAAGTCTTCATTGGAGTCTAAAGAAGAGTTTTTTTTAGTTGAATAGTATAAGTTGTGTGGTTTGTGGGGTGAACTGATTGCTCAGTTTTTGCAGTGATGATATTGGTTGGTAGATTCAAGTAGTATAAGTCTGTGGTGATTGGTCAGTTTTGATCTATTGTGATGTGAGGTTGTGTTTTTTGGTTTGTTGGTTATGTAAAGTCAGGAATAATATGGTGCCAAAAATTGTTCATTATTTAATGTGGGAAGTGCTGCAAGATTAGCTCAAGACATGGTGATTTGGAGGGACATTGTTAAGGTGTTACCTGTGTCACTGGGAACAGTGAAATTGAGTGTATGCTGCCAGTTATTGTTGAAATCTGTTGTATTTAACAGACTCCTAGCACTAAATCTCATCTTGTTTATGTTATCATCATAATGATTTCTGTTTTAGCATTTTTTGAATGTATAACTGCCATAATTGTGATTGCCATCACAATCCCAACCTCATCATCATCATTACCTTTATGAATCTCATCAGTGTTACTGATATGTATTTATTATTAATAAATTAATTTTTTTGTTAATTCTCCTCAGGCCCACAACGGTGTTTGCTACTTGAGATATGATGACACAAACCCAGAGAAGGAAGAGGAGAAGTTTTTTACAGGAATTTTGGATATGGTCAAGTGGCTTGGTAAGTAAAATAGTTTTGTTAAAGAAGATTTCTAGGAAAAGCTGAATATTTTTCTGTCTGTATATCTCTCTTAGTTTTTCCTTTAAATTTGTCAAGTTCAAGAAGTTTCAATTGTCTTTAAAAAATTTATGCCTATTGTCAAAAATTGATCCCCAAGTAGTACTTCATAACATCTAATTTCCAATGTCACCCCTGAATCATGCTTTAAGGTGACAAGAATAAAGAAGTTCTTGATTGTTAAATAAATTCTCCCTGTCAGCACTTTATGAAATGTATAGAGAGTAGTATAGAGAACATGCATACTGATGGCAGTATGATGATCACAAATTTTGCAAGTGGATTCATTGGCAATCCCTGTTTGATCATCTCTATCATTAGCAACATTTGATTCTTTGTGGGTCATTGATGCCTTTTACTAACCAAGTTCAAGGTCTGTGCTGTAAATTACAGATCAAGTTTTTTCTGTTTGGTTATGGGGCGTTCCATAACTTACTGTACTGACCAAGAAACGAGATTAGTAAGATATTTATTTTATTTCTGGGTTCAAATGGAGAATAAAGATTTCTATTCAAACAACCTTTTGAATTTAGCAGGTGCACAATGAGATACAGCCTGCTTAATTGACCAATCATAGTGCACATGCTAGCAAATTATTATCTCCTTATTGTTTTCCTTCCTTACTAAACCAAAATTGAATAGAGTGTAGCTTTTCCACCAGACTTTGATATCCCACTTTCAATTTTTTTTTTCAGGTTTTGAACCATGGAAGATAACCCATGCTTCAGACAATTTTGGAAAATTGTATGATTTTGCTGTAGAGCTCATCAAAAGGTAAACATTATCACATTGATGTGTATCTATAGCAACAAATCTGCTTGTCAGAGTTACGACAATTTTACCTTTTTTTTTCATCAACTTTGTGATGATTTAGGGGACAAGCATATGTCTGTCACCAACAGTATGAAGAAATCAAAGGCCACAATCCCCCACCCAGCCCCTGGCGGGACAGACCAATAGAGGAATCACTGAGGCTGTTTGAGGTTTGCTTCAATGTTGTTTTTTTTAAGTAGCTCATGTAGGGGTGGCAATGGTGAAATCCTAGACTCCTGAGGTGCAAAGACTTGTTCAGAAACCTAAGACCCACACCAAACAGTAGTCATACAAGTCCCTGTTATATACAGTTGCTTAACCCAGATTGTTGCAAGGTACTGGTAATGAGGAGAAAGTTATGATACCCTCTTCTGTGTTGGTTTTTACCATGTATTTGACAAGCACCAGGTTAACCATTCAACTCCCAGAAGTGATCAACATGAAACTTCTCCCAATAATTATATCCTTACATTATCCTACAAGCAGCTGATGAGAATATTCAAACTTATCAGGTAGAAGTTGTTGTCTTGATCTAACACCAAATTCTTATAACTAATTTAGAAGGAAATGTCTAGCAGCTTGAGGGGAGAATTACCAATCAGATCTTGGGAGTTTAAGGGTTTGACCAACAAGCAACCCTTCAGTTAATTCTCTTGATGACATAAATTCAGGTTGATTCATTCTTCTACTCCAAATAATCACCAATAATCAATTTTTCCTTACAATATTGATATGTTGTCCAGCAGGGCCCAGTTATTTAAAGGGTGGATATGTATATAACAGAAAAATCCCTATTCAAAATTTATTGAAGTGTTAACAAAACCTACTGCACTATCCGCCACATGGAGATTTATCCAGTGGATAGTGTTATCCACCCTTCAAACCTTCAGGTCCAGTTGTAGTTGTAGAGAAGATGGAAAAATGACAATCAGAGGGTATCCTTTGATTCAACACCAAATTCTCTGAGTGAAATTACAAGGAATATATAACAGACTGTGAGGAGAATTGATATATACATCCTGGGAGTATAGGTGAAATACGTCAGCCTGTCCACAGTTAGATGTGCTTCTTAGCAAATTGAAATAATTTTCTGTTCAAGTCATTCATGGTTTGCACTCTTTCAGGATATGAGAAAAGGGAAAATAGAGGAAGGAGTGGTAAGGGTTTTTATTTTACAACTTTCTTTCTTCCACTTGAGCTTTTTCCCTTTTTTTGTCCAAGAAGCTATCTACCACTTGACCTGGAAATAACTTCCTCCAAGTATGGTCTTGTCATGTATAAACTGTCACTTTGTCTTCCTGCAAATAATATTCTGCTCATGTTCATTTGTTTTCTTGCTCTTTTGTGAAAAATGGAGATAGCTTCCGTGAGCTTTTAAGAGAGAGAATTATGTAGTTATGAGAAACAAACTTGCTGATTAAATGATAAAAATAATTTTCAAACCCAGATTAGGCAAAATAATTATCTTGATCTGTCAGTGTCTGACAGATCAATTAACTTGTCCCAGTCATGAACTTGGACAAATAATTTGACTGCTGATCACTGGAAAATCATGCTATCTGTTCAACTTCATCCAATGATTCTTGTTGATTATTACCTTTCATGTTGCATTCCCAAGGCAACACTGAGAATGAGGACCACGCTTGAGGATGGAAAAATGGACCCTGTGGCCTATCGTATAAAGTTTACCCCACATCATAGATCTGGAACTGAATGGTACTTGCATTGATAAATTTTTGTTGTCATAATATATTTATCTTGTTATAGAAAAATCAATGTCATTGTTGGATCACAGAGTTTATTTCCTCATCATTGTAGTCTGTGACAGCTGACTGAATTAATGATAGATTCTCACCATGCTTTTTAATGGTAATTTTATAAAACTGATATTTATTTGAATTAATATTGATGGATTATTTTATATTTATCAGGTGTATATATCCAACGTATGACTTCACTCATTGTCTGTGTGATTCTGTGGAGGATATCTCACATTCACTCTGCACAAAAGAATTTCAGTCAAGGTAGGTACAGTGTAGATAGGCATTGAATTTAGTAATAGAACCCACTTTGGACTGGTTAATTTATGTAATAACCCACTCGGGTTACTGAGAGAACACAAAAATATATTGTAAATCCCATGCCTATAGAGGTGAGTGATTTACAAACTTTCTTGTCTTTTTTCCATATCCAACATTGGTTATTGTGCTGTTAAACCAGCAGAAGCAGGGTCTATTGATTTTATTAAATAAACTTAAAATGTTTCAGTTTTCTATGGTGCTATATATACACAATAGGTTTTTTTGAACAATTAGGGCATGTGAAGTTTCTCAATTTTTTTAAAATTAGTACTAGACTAATTCTTTCTTGCTCGTGTCCAAAAATAACAAATGTTGGTTTCACCTTACATGTAAAGTGTTGCAAAAGTTGAAGCTGATCTTTTCTCTGCAGATGCCATTGAGTTTGCACCCACATTAGCTGTGTCACATCAGGCACAGCTTCTAAATGTTTCTTTCTTTCTGTTTGACAGGCGTTCATCATATTACTGGTTATGCAATGCTCTTGATATCTACTGCCCAGTTCAGTGGGAGTATGGTCGATTAAACTTGAGTTACACTGTTGTCTCCAAGAGAAAAATTGGAAAATTGATCTCCTCTGGTATTGTGAGGTGGGTGAGAGAAACAGAGGAGTTGTGTGCTGGTGTGTTATGGTTTAAACCCTTTAACTCCCATGAGTGACCAAGACAGAATTTCTCCTTACAATATCAATACAATGTTAAGCAGGCAATTGATGAGAATATAGAAAAATATCAGCTAGGGGATGGTAAGTTAATCCAATACTAAATTCTCCAAATTAACATCACAAGAACTGTATAGTAGACAGTAAGGAGAATTACCAATGAGATCTTGGGAGTTAAATGGTTTAAACATAATTTATTATACTGAGAGGGCTATATTCTATCCACATCCTGGGAGTTTTGAGAATTGTCCTCCAGATCTTTGGGTTGATCCTTTTGGTTCCAAGATCTGAATATAAATTCTTATCTCTGATTGTCAGACATTCTTTCCGTCATTCCTTACCAAAAAAAGTAATAATTATAATGATTTTTTTTTTTGCAGAGATTCCTTTGTTCTCTCTCAGGTGTTATCCACCATCTCTTTCATTCCCAAAATCAAAATATCCACTCTCTTTACTGTTCACCATACATTCTCTCGTAATTGTAGATGAGAGAATTTTGTTGTTAATCAAACAACAGTTTGTAGTTGATATTCTTCTGTTACAAAAATTCCTTTTACATGTAGGTCTCTCCTGGTAGTGACAGGGTTAATTTTTGTCTTTTTCAGGGATTGGGATGATCCAAGATTGTTCACTCTCACAGCCCTGAGAAGGAGAGGATTTCCTCCAGAGGCTATAAATAAATTCTGCAGCAAGGTAACTTATTCCCTAATGTATAAAACATAGTTTGTCATAGTTTCTGTGACACAAATTGTCAAGAAGTATTCAAGAAATTTAATACTTCTGGTGCACTCCAAACTGTGACCGTTTTGGTTTGTAATGGTAGTTGCCAATGTAGGAACCTGTGCTTAACCATTATGTAATAATTTGTATTGTTTTATAACATAGTTTTAATGGTTAGAAGTGAAAGTGAGATTAACATTCATAAAATATTACTCATGCACCATCTAAGTAATAAATAATAAATAAATAATTAATTATTAATTCATTATTAATTAAGTAATATCTAAGTAATAAGTCATGAAAGGTAGCATGACTCTCCTGTTTTTGTAAAACTGAATTTCAGCCTCACTACCTTCTCTAAATATTTGCAGTGCTGTCATTGGTGTAATAGATCATGTAATAATATTACACAAGTTGACAACGTTGAAAGAAGTTGAGTTTGGAGCCCAGTGTTAGGGACAGAGTTATGATCCCAAGAAAGATCAGGACTGACCCCTTCACTTAGAACTGGAATCAATTTTCTGCACCTTCTGACATTCATTTCTATACTTTAAAGCTTTGGGAATTTGCATGGTGTCAACTTGGAAAAAAATTGCCCAGTATTTAATATTTTTCTTTCTACACATTGCTGCCCTGTTTTACAATGTGAAGAAAGAGTAGGGAGGAATTATTTTATGGTCACTCTTTGGAGTGAAAGTGCTTAACATTGTTGAATTGTTTTGTTGCAGGTGGGTGTGACAATGGCACAGACAGTCACAGATCCATTGCTCCTTGAGTCATGCGTTCGGGATGAACTGAATGTTACTGCTCCTAGGTAGTCATAGCAACTATTGCAGTGCTCCTTTAATTTAGTCAGTGCTCATGTATGTTAAATTTATGACAACCATGGAAATTCACAGGTAGTGGTGACACGTTTTGCTGTGAATGGAGATTATTGAGTTAAAATCTTCACACCCAACCATCATAATAAAATTATGCTCTGTACTGTTCTCTAATTCTGAAAGGTTCCAACAATGAGAATTTGTTCAATGATCAAGAGCTTCTCCAGTTGGCTATCATTTCCTTTATTCTTGTCAGAGTAATGCGTGATCAGTTTAGGGGTGAAATTGTCAAAAGAAATTTGACGCTCGTCCCTCTCAGGAGTCAAAGGTTGCTCATTGATGACACCAGACCAAGTTCCATGACATATCCATAAACTTTCTTTTGTTGTGTGAACCAACCAATCTGGCCTATGTTATTGCTTCTATTATCAGAGCATTCATTTGCAGAAGTTTATGGCCATTGACTTTTGATTTCTAAGAACATATTAATGTTAATTATTATATAAAAATTGTTTTTGTGAAAGTGATGGAAATACCAATAAAAGCTTTTTCAAACTTTCAGGGTCATGGCTGTTCTTGAACCTCTCAAGGTGACAATTCAGAACTTTGACAAGGTAACGTAGGATTTGAATTATCTAATGAATTTATCTAGTGAAACCATGATGGCCGAAAATTTTTCATGGATATTCACTGTGACACCATGATTATAACATTCTAGAAAATGAAAAGATACTGTATTTACAGTTTCACAGTTTTACAATAATTTTTTTTTTATTGCAAGCATTTGGCCTAGCTTCAACTTTTTCATGGCACAAGAACTATTTTGACTATGTGTGGAAAACAATGAGCAAAATAAAAGCAATGTCTTATTTTGGTTGTTTAATTTTTTCTTTTAGCAAGTCAAGCTCAGTGTTCCCAATTTCCCCCAAGACACAAATAAAGGAAGTCATGAAACATCATTTGGAAAAACAATTTTTATTGAACAGACAGACTTTAAAGAGGTAGGTTACTAGATATTTCCAAATTGACAATCATAGGGTTGTGTCAACAATTTACACCGAAATGTCAGTATGCATATTCTCCATACTGTTCTTTATACATTTTCTGGAGCAGTCACAAGGATAATTTGTTTTACAATCAAGGGCTTAAGTGTGTGATCCTTTCCTTTATTCTCATTACCCGAATGTGTGATTCAGGGGCGATATTGTAAGGAGAAATAAGATGTTCACTCTTAGGGTTGAAGGGTCAAGTGATAATGTCGAGTGGCAATCTCATTTTAAATTGGCTCAACAACATGCATTTAGTGGTCCACAAGATGATGTCTACTTTCATAAGTGTTTGCTTTCATCTTTTAACCCTTTAATTCCCATGAGTGACCAAGATAGAATTTCTCCTTACAATATCAATACAATATCAAGTAGACAAGTGATGAGAATAAAGATAATATCAATTAGGGGATTATAAGTTGATCCAATACTACAAATTCTTCAAACTAACATCATAAGAACTGTATAGCAGACTGTAAGGAGAATTACTGATAAGATCTTGGGATTTAAAGGGTTTAGATGTGTTATTTGTTTTAGCTTGTTGATTTGTGACATGTTCCCTTACTTTCCTGTCTTTTTAACTGGTTCCATAAGATGTTTTGTTGGTCCCTGCAACAATGGCTGCTTGCAGGGTTGCTATGGATACCTTTATTCTCCTCCTTGACTATTCAACTGTAAAAACTTCTGCTTTAGGTGTCTGAGAAGGGTTTTCGCCGTCTCACTCCTGATCAGTCTGTCGGCCTCAAGTACGCTGGTATGGTGATAACACTTCATAAAGTTGTTAAGGTATGGCTGGTTCACCTTCATACCTACAGTGTCACTATTTCTTCATAGAGTGAGGTTCACTGGGTTTTATTCCATAGTACCTCAATGCAAATCTGTTTTCTAGTTTGTAAGCTGTTTTATACATTCTTTAATCAATGTCTACAATGCAGCAATGCCAAGCTGTAGCAGTTTTGTGGATATCATGCTCTACGATCATGTTTACCCTTTCAATCCAAAATGTTAAAAGTCAATTCTTGCCACTGTCTGGTACACGTTTTGTGTTGTTTTAGCATGGAGAAATTAGTGTTTAATCAGACACTCTTCCTAAGCTGTGATTTTCTTCCTAGTCATTAACTTTCTTATTGAAACAGTGTTTGATATTATAATTGTAATGAGTAAACTTCTCTTTGTTCACTCTTGTTCTCCTTTTCTGTGTTAGGATTCCAGTGGGAAAGTGACAGAGTTGTTAGTGAATTGTGAGTCAACAGAAACTGCACCAAAACCAAAGGCTTTCATTCACTGGGTATCTTCACCTCTGAAATGTGAAGTCAGACTTTATGAAAGACTGTAAGTATTTTGAATTTTTATTATCTGGAGAGACCAGTGCTTTCACACAAAGGACCACTTTTCATATGCGACTTTTCAAACCATGCAGGCAATTTTCAAATTAAACAGTGATGCGAAGGATTCTATTTAACTCTGTCTTTTTTTTTTCAATGTAATCAATTGAAATCAACAAAAAATTAGTAGCAACAGATTGCAAGACTTAATTTCAGCACTCCAAGCTGCAACCATTATTATCATGGGGAGTAGAAAAAGATTTTGGAAACAAATTTGTTGCCAGTTTGGTGACTTGCTGCTGTGTTCAGTAGTTATGTGGCAGGCTACAACATTTGTTTTAAATGATGTGTATGATCTAAATTTTAAGTGACACAAACTCTGCGTAAAATATTGTCTTAGTGTAATATGTGACAAAATTTCTCTGTTTTTTTTGCTCTCCTGGCAAATTAAGTTTTTCATTCTTGTGGACTACTTCATGTCTTCAGATGGCCAAACGGTGTCTGAAAAGTCTGATCTTGGAACTCAGAATTTATTCAAGTCATACTTGACTGAATGAAATTGTTTGATTGTAAATTAACAATTTTATGATAATTGCATTGAAACAGATTTAAACACAAGAATCCAGAAGACCCAGCAGAAGTACCAGGTGGTTTCATAACAGATTGCAACAAGGTATGATTTCTTACTTTTTAACCCTTTACAACCAAACATCAGTGTGCATATTCTTCATACTGTTCTCTGTACATTTCCTTAGGCATTGACAAGGTGAATTTCTTCAATAACTAAGAACTTCTTTAGTTGTGATCATTTCTTTTATTCTCATGACCTTAATGTGAGATGCAAGATTGATATTGTAAGGAGAAATTAGATGCCAGTCACTCTTCATATGTGATCAATTGGCTGATGGGAAAAACCCTATGTGAGTGTCGATAGACTTCTATTTTCCTTTAAAAACACATTGCATCAAAAACACTTATGGCTCCCTTTCACCCACCCCGTCCTGCTTGATTTGGCAAGGCACTGAGACATTCATTGGACTTTTTCACATCCCTCCCCCCCCACAAACACCTCCCCCTTCTTAGTAATACACTAACATGCTTTGTATTTTTTCCTTAAAGGATTCTCTTACCATAATCCCTGATGCTCTTGTGGAACAAACTGTCAAACAGGCAACTGTCTATGACAAATTCCAGTTTGAAAGGATTGGTTTCTTTAGTGTTGATCCTGACAGCAGTAAAGACAAGGTGAGCACCCCCCTTTCATTGTGCACAGTTGTTGAAGCCCTATGCTATTTTGTTAACAATGGAGCAAATGTATCTTATTAGCTCTTTAGTGTGTAGTATCACTGAGTACTTTTACAAGTTGTGCCATATTTTGATGAGCCTGTAAGGCTAGTCAAAAGACAATCAATGACTGGTTAGCGAGCAGGACAGTGAAACCCCAAACAAAGTCACTATGGCAGAATATTGTGCACTCCTCTACTCATCAGAGCCCAAGAATTGATTTACTTATTAAACAGCTTACTTCAAATGATAATTTTGCTAGATGATGCAATTTTTTTTGTCTTATGTTTCAGCTGGTGTTCAACAGAACAATCTCTTTGAAAGAAGATCCTGGCAAACTGTAGTTGGAAAACAGAATATACTTCTATCAATGAATACTATTCAAATAATATAGTGCCAAGACTTTCTAGTGACCAGTACCCAGCCATAGTGGTTCAAATTCCCTCAGAGTGCCTCTTTACAACCACATTCATTTATCATTATTCTCAACCCTTTAGTCCCTAAGAGTGACTAGCATCTAATTTCTCCTTACAATATCACCCCTGAATCAAACATGAAAGTTATGAGAATAGAAGAGATGATCACCAACTAAAGCAGCTCTTGATTGTTAAACAAATTCTCCTTGTCGGCCTCTTTGGAAATCTATAGAGAACAGTATGGAGAATATGCATACTGATATTAGGATGTAAATGGTTAATTTAGTGCATGTCTCAGGCAGATTACTTGGTTTTGAACTTTTGGAACTAGGATAAAATCTAAAACAAAATAAATTGTTGGAGACTTAATAATCCAAATTCTACTATGTCAGAGATTTGAAATTCTGAATGTGTACCTTGGGTATGGCTGGAATATTTCCTTCATTCCCAGAGGGACCTTCTTTTAACATAGCTTGTTTAAGCAATAGACTGCCCTTTTTATTGGTTTACCAGAGTACTAACCTATGCAAGATGTTGGGAGAACATAAAAAAAAGGTTGGAAAACATGTCTTGAGTGTCCAGCTCATGATTTATAAACTTTTACCAACTTCCCAAGTAAGTCATCATGCTGGTGAAATGGTACAAAATTGTGGTCTATTATTACCGGTGATTGCTTTATTCATAAAATAAACTTGAAGGGTCGCTTAGTTGCTTAAGGTCTAACCCAAACCATGGTTTTACTCAACCAGTGGGCCTTAGGTTTTCTCTATAATATTAAATAAATGCCCTTCCATTGTTAGCTTTTGGCTCTTTTGACAATGTTCACAAAAGTAATTGTTCAGATGAAAGTTTCAGCTTGATTGAGGATTGTTTAGGATGCAGTTTTGTTGAACAACCATTTGACTTTGTTTAAATAATGAGACGAAATGTCTCAATTCTCTATTATGGGCTTATCGCTGCAATAATTGATAGATCTTTGACCAATTAAGGCTCTTGTAGTATGTCAGCTATTGTTTAAAAAATCTTGACATAAAAAAGGCATAACATGTCTTTGAGTACTAGTAAATGTTGCAGTAACGTATAACTATATAGTTTACTTTATATCATGGTCTCCTAGTGGACTTCTCAACTGAGTTACACAATGTGACTTTCTCAAACCTTTGACACTAAGTATCAGTTTTTCTGTTTTATGTAGTCTCACAAAATGCCTTTCTTCTGAGTTTCCTTTAGTTAGTAACATTAATGATATTAATATTTACTATTCCTTTTAGTACCTATTTTGATGAGTTTTGTGCTTTCTGAAGCAAACAATAAAGGTCACTCACAATATTTTATACTTTGGATACTTAGAAAAACAACATTCATGTTTTTATAAAAGCAACCTAGTAACTATTTTGTTAGATTTCCCAGTAACAATTAAAATGGAAATTCTGTTAAAATCTCCTGAACATCATACCTGTGTGGAATACCTGGCAGGTTGTTTTGCTAGATTTGCCAAGTTCTTGATGCAAGCGGCAATTGTGCTGTTTTGAATTGAAGTGGAGTACATTAATTATGTGGGCCACTGTTTAACACTGCCAGACTGTAGTTTGTCACCCTCTCAACTTGGCACAAGGTTTCAAAATGTATTTTTATTCACAAGGATTAGAACAGACTGCTTAATGTCTGATCACACAAGCTTCCTGCGTTTATTAGTGTTCTTCTTTACAAGCGGTAACAAGTAAAATTTACTTTCAGAGGTATCCCAGGGTACCACTTAAATTCCCTTTGAATTCTTGAATATTCAACTGGTAAAAGGATTGCAAAACCAATTTGAAAATATCTTTTACCTGTTAAGCTTAACAAATGGGAAAATGCTACGTATGTGTCCGAGAGTTCCCAAGGACATTCCCACCTTTATCTTTCCTCAGGAAATTTCCAAATTGAAAGGAATAAAAGTTGTTAAAGCCCAGTTATTCTCATATACATACAGTTGCACCTAAAAATTGGTTGTAACCCCATAAAACAGAAAAAAAAAATTATTGTCAACAAATTATCATGTGTAAAAAATGGGCAGAACTTTGATTTATTAAACAGCAAATATTACTAAAATCCACACATTTCTTGGTGCTGTACGTGACTAAGTTGCTCCTAAAAAAAAAACCTTCATCAACATGACAAAAGTTGTGAAGGATCGAAATCGCTCAAAGAAAGTTCGCCACGAAAAAAAATTATACAAACTCTCAAAATATCCCGCGCTTTTAAAAAGAATTTCCTGGTTGACAATAATTAAGTCAATTACAGCATGGTTGCTAATAACTAAATTAGCGCTAGCGTTTCAGTGTGACAAAGACCAAAGAGAATTTTGTTATTGACATCATCACTCATCACACTGAGCATTTTACAAAAGTATTTTCATTATCCAAGGTAAAGATCAAAGTATTAGCTCTGTCACAAATGTTATTTGATAATCAAGACCTCCGAGCAAACATGTGTTAATCAAAAACTTAATTTCTTTTCAGTCATTGTACAGAATTCCATTTTGACGGTAAAACGTGTCCTTGATGACTCGAGTACGACCGCACGATGGGTTTGTGGTCTTCATACAGTCGTTTAATCTCCAACCGATCTCCCAAGAGCTCGTGATGGGGAATTCGTATTTATGCTCGGGAGCCTTTAGTTTTCTCTTCTGTAAATATGCATAGCGACCGCCTCCAAGTGCGCTGAAACCGTCGTACAACAATTCCCGTGTCTTGCCTGAAACCGGACGCATTTCAACAAGAAGGGACTTTGGATCAGCCTTAGCCTTCTCCTCAAGCTGTTTTTTAGTAGTACTCTCCTTCTTCTCCTTTTCCTTCTCTTCCATTTCTTGCTTCAACCCCTGCAAAGCGTTGATTTTAAGTCCTTCTTTTCGAGGTTTCGCAGCCATGGCGGCTACGTCGCGCGCAAATTCTTTGGAATATCTTGAATGCCAGTTTAAGCGGACATATGCTTCCTTGTCAATGGATTCCTTCCAAAAGTTTTGACGCTGTGTATCCATATTTAATTCCCGCACCATCTTGACAGATTTCTTGAGCTTTAGAGTTTGCAAAAGTCGCCAGCAGTGTGTTAAGTTTGTTTGAAGTCTTAATAGCAATGTTTGTCCTACGCTCCTGCGGAATGCTACAATCAGTTGCCATGGACAACTGTCTTAAGACGTCTGGTTTATTTAAGGACACTCTGTGTAAAATGTCATAACAGGTTAGCTAAGAATAGTGTAAACCGCAGCTTCTCGGGGGAAGTCGTAATTTATTAATTATTTCTCTGATTCTAAATGAAAAAAAAATGAAAAGTCGTTTTCCGCCCTGGAACAGAAATCGTTTATTAAGGAATTGTTCATGGAAAAAATCTTGATTGTCAATCAGCCGAAAAATATTATTCTTGTTTGTTCGCTTGCTTTTTTTTAACACCAGTAAGCCTTTTAAAAAAGAGAAAATAAAACAAAGGGAACTAGAATTGCATCGAGTTTATCTAACTCTTCCTTCAGGTAAGAAATGTTACTGAAATCGGAGTTTGTGCTGTATCTATCAACCCGTATTGTCCCGCACCTGCGGGTGTGATCCCGTGTGTGAAGTTCCCTGTGTGACCTCTGACGTCATAAGGTAAATACTATGGCAGCCATAGCTACATGTATATGCCGCATTCTTCATTCGCCGGAGAGTTTTGTTTCGTTGTAAAGATATTTGTCATCAAATATGCCGGAGAGGAAGAAAATAATTTCAACGATGATTAACTATTATGGCTAGAGTTGTTTAAAGTTCAGTGTTCGAACAGAGAACACCTCAGAAATTGGCTTCGTAGTCTTTGAGTTAGCTTATAGTTAAGTCTGCAATCAGCTAACCTGTGATTACTCCATATTATCGACCAAAAATGGGACTTATTGATATGGAATTGATGTTTGATTTACTGGATACGGACATGAGGGGTTATCTGACCTCAAATCAGCTCCAAGATTTTCACGAATCGCTGTACTTCTCTCCGATCGATCCTCGACAAATCGAAGCTGCCATAAGAACAGTTTGTGGCAGTTCTTCTCGCGGACTTTGTCCACGAGAAAAATTTATGGATGTGTTAGACGACCTTGACCGGAGGAAAAGCCTCGAAGAAAAAATTTCTTGGGATTTTAAATCACTTGATGTCGAAGGAAAAGGAAGAATTTCTCTAAAAACAGCGCTGTTGCTTTTCAAAGCTGTCCACAATGAATTGTTTTCAATGAAGACCTGGCGATCATTTGTTTCTCAGCGGGAATATCCCGATGCAGATGTATGTTTTGATGAAATCAAGATGTTCCTGTGTAACTTGGTTGATGGTGGTCCTTGTGAGAAAGAAGAGTTTAACGAAGAGGAGAGAGATGTTGGTTTGCGGTGTGTTGAAAATGAGTACAAGAATCTGAAGGAACTGGAAAAGTTTCAGGTAAGTTCTGAAGGCATTAAAAGCTGTCTGGCAACAATTATTAAAACTTGATTTCAGTATGATGGCCTGATTCGTCGTGAGCATCCCAATTTTAGCATTTGGAATGATTCAGGGGATCATATAGAAAAGTGTGGTTAGCCTGATTTTCTGAGTTCTTCGAGATGATTTGGAATGGTTTCGTGTTACAGTTATCATCCAGACCCCCCTGAGCATTATTTGGGATAATTAGGCTGATTTCGAGAGCAGGCTTAGCTTCATTCTTAACGCTTAAATATCAGTATGCACATTCTCAACACTGACCTCTTATCATTGTCTGTGGTACTGAATCTAAAGGTTGCTTTTAATGGTCTTTGTGGCTCAGTTAGCTTGTCTATATCTCGCACTAAAAAAATTTTCTTTGTGATTACTTGGCAAGTGAGCTTACCCTTTAGCTGGGATCTAATTATTTTGTAGTTAGGATCTCAGCCTAAGAGGATTTAAGTTCTCCTATAAACATTGTTTGGGCTGGCCTGGTAGTGTGTTACTGTTACTATTACTGCGTTAGAGTTCAAAGGCTTTTAAATTACTCTAAGTGGGACTTCTTCAACGTTTACCTATCAGCAACACGATGAAATGATAAATCAGTGTTACTGACGCAGTGGTCAAATGTCTGTGCATTTGCAAATGTTACAGCGAATAGTTGGCATGCTTCCAGGTTTTTAGAACCAAGCTTTCTTACACAAATTACAAATAACCATGCAAGCCAGTAAGTCATGGTATTTGAAAAGAGTATAACTTTTTTTAGAGCTCAAAACAGAGTTGTAAAATACCAGGATACCCAAACTTGACTTAGTTTTCCTTTTCCTTGAGTTTGTTTTTCTTCATCAGATTGATACAAAGGTTTCAATTTTCTCTGAATTTACTTATTTTGCAAGACAGCAACTGTTTCTTAGGTTTCCCTTTCAAATTCACAATGGGAATTAAGGCAAGCCTGCCAAAATTGATCCTTTTGGGCATGATAAATGTTTGACAGCTGTATTGGGTGTAGTACATGTATTTTTGACCATGAGTTGATATGAGGAATCAGACCTCAGACAGTAGGGGATAAGGTAACAGATCCAATCCTACCAATGCATCAGCCAAAGTGTTGACCGACATGTTGGACAACGCACTACTGATGCCAAGCACTGAGAAGCACTGTGGCTTGATCCTCCTTCAATAGTTTTAACTGGATGTAAAAAAAGTCAGAGATGCACTGCTGACACATCACCAACACACGATTGAGGCTTGTCATTTATTGAAAGGGAGACTAGTTGGCAACAGTTGGCTGACAGTGAACAGACTATGGTCTGATGCGTTGACCAGTGTATCAGCTGACATATTTTTTGGGTCGGATTTGTTACCGTAGCCAATCATATGATTCTGTACTCCAGTGCTCCACCATGGAGCCACTGACACTGACTCTACAGTAAGGTAGGCTATTACTAGGTGTGTATGTGATATATGTCGTGCTAAATTTGTTTTAAGGAGGATGAGGCATCCCTAGCTGCTGAAGAGAGGGAGAGAATGCACCAGGCCAACAAACTGAAACAAGGAGCTGAACGACGAACCAAGCGACTGGATCATGAGGGTGTTGTGGCCCTGCTGCATGAGGATGAAGAGTGGGATGAGAAAGCTGCGAAGAAAGCAAGACAGAAAGTCACAGCTACAGATTTGATACAAGCTCTACGAACAAAGTAAGATTCTTGAGACCTAACAAGAAGTTAAACTATTCTTTAAGGCTGTCAATAAGGCAAGAAAAGTTGAAAGTGGAAAGCAAATACATGTAAGATATAGAATAAGAGAGATGGTGAGTTTTGAGCCAGGGAAAGAAATAGAGAAAGTTTTTTTTTTGTCTTGTGAGACAAAGAAAAACTTTTGAGTCTCCATGAGGAATTGAACCTCAGACCTTTGGATTCCACTCTCCGATGCTCTACCGCTAAGCCAAAGAGACTCTGTGATGAGCAAGGCCTACCATGAAGTTCATATGCGATAAGCATCCTGCATACTGCTAGGATCAGTGATGTCAATAGTGTTGCTCACCATTGAGTCTCTGTAGCTCAGTGGTAGAGCGTCAAAGCATGGAATCCGAGTGTCTGAGGTTCAATCCCTCATACAGACTCGGAATATTTTCTTTTTCCTATGCTCATAACAAGACAAAAACATCTTTCTGTACTTGTAAGAAATAATAGGCGACCAGATTGTTAAGGAGGCCATGTTGTTTGGTCAGATTACAAGCAAGACTTAACCTTTTCAGTTAAAATGTCCAAGGCATTCCTCGAAAGTTGCTCAAATTGTAAAGTCAATTTTGAATGTAAGTTGATTTACACATCTATACCTATTACAGGTAAATTACAAAATGGCTGGGGGTTTATGTAGCTTGTATTTGTTATACCTGTGTTTCTTGCATGATTTTTTTGAACAATAATCTATTTATCCATTATGTTGTGTTCCATTCTCTTCTAATAAAATAACCATTGACCCCTGATTTTTTCCTCCCTTGATGATGTAGAGGATCTACAAAATCTCCAAAACTATATTTAATTTTCAAAGTAGCCTAAGGCTTCACTGAAAACCTCTAAATCATTGACATGTGCCTTTTGTGTATGGAAATCACCTTATTACCAAGAGTAACAACATGTACCTTCTGTTACCCAGTCTCTTCCTGAAAATAAAAAAAGGCAAGCAGTCCATACGACAACAAAAACTTTCATAGGAACCCTGATAGCAAGTAATCCCAGAATTCTATAGCAGGAGCTGTATATAGTGTATCTGTAGTAACAATACGCGCTTCTGATTGGCGGAATACGAGTGCATTGTCATGTAACACGAGTGCAAAGTTGGAACACGAGTGCAAAATTGTAACACGGGTGCAGATTGAAAATTTTTCAAAGACTACAAATTTCACTTGCCCTACGGGCTCGTGAAATTTCGTTGTCTTTGAAAATTAACTCGTGTTTATTAACACAAAATTGTAAGAGAAATTATGTTAATTACCAATACAAACATATTTGAGATCCTAAACGTTTCATGATGTCGATTGTTATTCTGCAGGTATGAGATCTTGCGTGACAAACTCCTTTTGGAGATGCTGAGACATCACATTGGTGAAGGAATGTGGACAGTGTTATCTGAAGATGAGCAGCACGAACGCCTCATGCAGTTGAAAATGCGTGTTCAGCGTCTACGTAAAGACAGCAAATTAGACGGCGCCAATTCCCTGCCTGGTGCTGGTCTCACATTCTTCTTCAATTTGTCGGCATTGATGGGTTTCAGTAGAATAGGAGATGAAATTCAGCAGCAAAAAGAAGCTGAGAAAATCAAAGAACTGGAGAAGGAAGGTGAAGATTTTCGATAAGCTTGTTTACCTCCGTGCTGCAGTAGATGTTTTATATACAATCAAATTTTGTACGTGCAATTTTTAGGCCGTGAAATTCCCAGAAGTCATTTCAGTCGGTAGCGAAACGACTTGTGATTTGTAGCAAAACGACCATAAATTTGCAGCGAAATGATTTCGATTTGTAGTGAAACAACTGGTCACCCAGAAGTCACGTATTTCTTTTAGCACTGTAGATACATTTTTCAAGCAATCTGGTGATTAAAATAGGTAAACCGGCCTTTCAGCCAAGTGTTACCTAAATACATAACCAAATTCTCGGAACTAATTTGCAGAGAAAAATATAGTGTCTCGAAGGGAGAATTTATAATTTCATCGTGTTGCTGATAGGTAAACGCTGAAGAAGTCCCACTTAGAGTATTTTAAAAGCCTTTGAACTCTAACATCAGTGTGTGTTTTCTCCACACTGTTCTTTATAAGTTTCTTTAGGTAATGACAAGGAGAATATGTGTAACAATCAAGAAAGTATTGAGCTGGCGACTGATATTGATCCGTCGCGGATCAATATCAGTATATTGATCCGTCGCACCAAGGGGTTGAAGTATTTAAAAATTGTTTTAATGTTGCAACTGTCACAGGGAAAAGCAACAAGGAGATAGAGGAAGAAATGCTCAGGTCTCGTGAAAAAGCTCTACAAGGACACGCCAAGAGTGAGCAACTTCTGATAGATCTGGAGAAGCGTTATCGCCAGGATAAAGACGCGATAACTGCCAAATTGAAAGGCGCTGGTACAAACACCATGACAGCGGAGCAGAAGCTGACTGAGTATGGACTCATTCTAAGAGAGCAGTTACGCGCCCGAGAAGAAGGGAAGTTTGAGAGTGCTGGTTTAGCTGTGGGAATTGCTGAACGCGTGAAAGAGCAGGTGCAAAGGTACATGATTTTCATTTTGTATTTTGTATTGTCGTGTATGTGTACTTTGCGAGGGACAGAGAATTGGACAGACAGAAAAACGAACGATTGGGGAGGTTAACTGACAGAAAATGAAAGGAATGGAGGAGAGAAGGGATTTGTGAAGAGATAGAAGGATGGATTAATGATGAGAACTCATAGTTTAAAACAAGCAAACTGCTGAAAGCGCGGGAAAACGTGGATAATCAAGACGCGATTGGTATTTTCGCATCTGATTGGTTGAGACGGGGCGTAAGTTTTCCAGACCAATCACAACGAAGGAAAGCAAAACCATTGAAATCTTCCATTACTTTTGACTCTCGATTGAAAATTTCTCTTTTTTTTTTTTTACTTTTACCTAATAAACCAGACCAAAAGATGACCGCAAACGACAGGAACAGCTTGGCAAAGAGCGCCTTACACAGCGGAAGGGCAGGAAGCTGCCAAGAAACTGGAAGGGAGGGGAACTGGACTTCAGTACACCAGGAGAGGCGGGTCTGGTTGATGTGTTGGAGGACACTGTCAGAGCATTGGAAAGGAAACACGCTATGGAAAGAGAGCTGCTTATTTACTTGTTACAAGGCCGGGAAAGTGTACAGGCCCGCAGTGCAGCTAAGAAACTATCTCCAGGTTAGTGGTGGAGGACAAAGTTAAGGGAGACAGATTTGTAAATGCGTTCAGTTTATGTTGGGAGAATATGGATTTAAAAGGTTAGATAATAAAGCGGATTTACAATATTAAATACCGCGATATTTATTAGACTCTAAGCTTTACCGCTGATTGAGTTTCGACAATGCTAAGGCAGTACATGTAGTTCACTGAAAAAATAGTCTAACAGAAGTGAAGAGAATTTCCTAAATTTCTCGCGGCCGTCCTGCCTTATAGTAAAGGCATTCATTTGCAGAGCGTTTACACCCTTTTCAATATTTTTCGAGGCGGTGGATCCAGAGAGAGGGTCTGGGAGGTCCGAACCACCCCAATGCAAGTAATGGGGGGGGGAATGTGGGGGCAGGGTGGGTGTGGGTTAGTCGAGGAGTAGTTTTGTAAAAATAATAACTTGTTGTATGGTGATATTCAGACGAGCGATCCAACCAGCTGCTGGTTTTGAGAACTCAACAACAAGGCTGGCGGAAGCAAAGCTCCACAGAACGCTTGGTTAGCAAAGAACGCCATTATGCGATCCTGCAAGAAGCTGCAGGGCTGGTGATAGAAGACAGACGAGCTGACCTCAGGGTATGTCGTGGTACCTCCCCTGACGATCAGGAGGTAGCGGCAGACATCATGGCTGATCTTCAGCATTACCAGGAAGTGGAGAGTCAGATGTTGTTGACACTGCATAGCAAGGTGAGGAGCAATTCATGTATGTTGTCACTATCTATCCCTTTGCGCCCTCAGTCACAAGAGCTTGCTCGCGGGCTAAAAGGACCGCGGTAAAAGGTCATACAGGCGGTGGAGGCCTGTCGGTAAATAGCTTTTATTCAAACCCCTGTTCTAAGTAAGCTCTAGGGTAGCATTTGCCTCAAAAGACATAGAGCAGGGATAGAAAGTTTTAATGTCTCTCGTGAATTAGTGGTAGTCCTAATCAGCTTTGTTAATTTCCGCAGGACATGCAAGAATTGATTCGTCTTCGACAACTGGAGCACCAATCATGGCAAGAGGAGTTGCTCAATGGGATATCATCTGTTCTTCTTGGCACAGAAGAAAATGTCTCTCAAGAGGATGAACTTCTCCAGGCTTTGGAAGAAAAATACGACACACTTAGAGACAAGCTGCTTCTTGAAGCCTTAGAGAAACAAATGGGCGCAGCCGAATGGGCGCATCTCTCTGAACGAGAAAGACAGGCTCGGCTTGCTAAGCTAAAGCTACAGGAGAGACGTCTGAGACAACAAGGGAGGTTTGATGATGCAGCGGCTCTGTTAGGTGAAGGACTTAAGAATGCTGAGACTCTGCAGGTATCGTAACTGACCCTTTAACTTCCAAGATCTGTTGTTAATTCTCCCCTCTAGCTGCTACAGATTTTCTTGAAAATTAGTTATGAGAATTGATCAACAAAACAACTTCGCGGATAACCAAGTCGTGAGTAGTTTTAGTGTTGCATCTGATTGGTTGAGAGGGTAGGTCGAGTTTTTTTATTAGACCAATCACACTGCACAATGATGCAAAACCGATGCAATCTGCAATAACTTTCAACACTCCGTTGAAAATTGCTCTCTTGGTGGTTTCCTCTGCGTTAATTTAAAGGCCTTTTTTTTCTTCAAAATTTTTTTAAAGGCTCTTTTGGGAGAAAACCGACAGCGTTATTTAGAACGACTTAAGGAACGCCTAGAGAGGCGCCAGAAACGACTTGAAGAAGGGTTGGATCCTGACGAAGAAGATGAGGAAACCATGCGACTTTTAAATGAAGAAGAAGCCGTCAGTACTGGCAACATCTTAAAAGACCTGCAAAACCGTTTTGATGAGGAGAAGGATGCACTATTACGAGGACTACAGGTACAGCGCTTTTATGTACCATAATCCTTGATTTGTCGCATAAATTACGCGCAGAACGCTTGCAAGGGTCGGGAATGAGCAAGCGAGCGAGAAAGCCCCTTTGAGCGCGCACTGACATCTCGCACGTGCCTACCAAAGCGTCATACGCTGCTCCAAGTTTACACCCGTGGACGCGTCCTATGTTTGAAGTATCAAGGTTTAAGTTACAGTGGTTCTCTGATTCAAGTCTACTCCTGGAGACCCGGCCTAAATTTGAGATCTCCAGGTTAAAACTACAGTGATTCACTGACACATGTCTACATCCGGGGACCCGGCTAAAATTTAAGATCTCAAAGGGTAAAACTGTAGCGATGCACTGACACAAATTCACACCCGGGGAACAAAGTTTAGGATTACGGATGTAAAGGATACCTAAGGTTTGATTGAATGGTATTCTACTCTTTCTCTTTGTGTTATCAGGAGGAACAAGACCGGAAAGCTGCAGAAAAACGTCGTCAGGCTGAACTTGTGAGGCTCAAACGCGAGAAAAGACAAGCTGAACAAGAATCACGGTTTGATGAAGCTGCGCTGGTACTGGGGCTGGCGGAAAGAAACAGACAGAACCTTGAAGAAAAGTGAGGCAGAAACGTGACCAGTTCTTAGCTTCTTGAGAACTGATGGATCCATTTTCAAAAACTTAAAGTTTTATTGTAGTTCGTTAAATCTCTTTAACTCATTTTTTTTTTCTGGTCATCAGGTTACGCCGTGATCGGGAGCGTCAAGAACAGCTAGCAAGGGAACGACTGGCGAGAAGAAAGAGACGAGGAAAACCTGAGGAGCAGGAAGATGACGATGAACCAGATCCCGATAAAGGTTATGTAGACGACAAGTAATCCCTCCTTTTCGGCCTTGTCCGTCGCGCGCCTCAATAAAAATCAGTACATGAAAAAAATTAATGAAAGAGGGACGTGCGCATGTCTTGGAGTGAACCTACTTTTGGTGTGCCTCACTCGCTCGCCCCGAGTTCCTCCTCGGCTGCGCTGCGCTGCGATTCTTAAGCACTTTATGTTTATTTACGTCATTGTAAAGCGCTATTGGACAGCGATAGAAAGAGCTCTAATTACATATAATATTATAATTATTACTCCCATAGTTCAGTGCACCAACATCAACACCAATTTTTTCACTAATTTTGGTTTTAACTCGTGCGACGGACTTCGCCGAAAAGCAAGGGACGCTTCGTAGTCTAAAGTTCATTATACTGTTTGTTTTGTCTGTGAGTCGCAGCTGTACTCTATTTTATTTCCACTTAAATTCACTTAACGAATTCAGCGCGACTGTGTAGCTTTTTTTATCCACCTCATTCATGCAAAAAGTTGAAGAAGTAGCGTCGCTTTAAGTTAAGTCAAGTGTTTCGACCATTTTAGAAGAAGACTGTCTGTCGCTACGATTTTTGCTGTAGTTTAAAAGTAGAACACCTCACTCCACCCCACCGTAACATTAACCTGCGCGCAGGCCCTCGTAATTGAATTTCGGGACGAGCGTTTCTCGCCCGCGGGAAAGTATGAAGCCTTAAGAAACGCGAGCCGTCGAGAGGTCAGCCCAGATATTAGTGCCACGCTTCCTGCAGCGCTAATGATAACGAAGGCCTACTCTCATGCTACTGCAAAACTAGGGTTCAAATCATTTTTGTGTGTGTGTTTCGTTACCCACGTTGCCTACAACAAAACAAAGATCGTTCTTCACGATCGGCAACTTCTCCTTGATCCATAGATGATTTACAAGGCTGGCAGGACGCTGTGTTGAAGTCACTGGAGAGAAAAAACCGCGCAGAACAGGAATTCTTGATGGGATTGCTTCAAGATGAGAGCAGCGAAAGCATGCGGGAAGAAGCCAGAACTGTTAGTGAAGACGACAGACTTAAAAGACTCAGTGAGCTTAAAGGAAAGAGAGAGGAACTTGACTTGGGTGTTAAAGGTTAGTTTAAGATGCTATTCAAACTTAAGTTCAAGGGTTAAAGTGGATTTTGTTAAAATTTTGTTTTTGTTTTTCCTTAGCTGACCAACTTCTCCATGTCGACATCCTGGACATGGCCGCTGCTTACAAATTTGAAGTTCAGCGATACAGACTGGGTAGTGAAAAGGAAGGTGAAGTGAACGATGAAGAAGTTACAGTCGCTATGATGGCTGACTTACAAGAAGAACAAGACAAGGAGAGTGCAGGAGTCCTAGGAAATCTTCAGGAAAAGGTTGGAGGGACAAGATAAAAAACCGTCAATTGTTACTTTACATCCTACTGTTTACTTCCCAACACTGAAAAAGCCTTGAAAAAGGCCAAGTCTCTGATTGAAAACCGCCAAGATACAAGAGCGCAAATTCCCTTCCCCACCTCCCTCCTCATGGTATATGCTGGAGATTTCATCAAAGCTGGGGGGGGGGGGGGGGGGGAGGGTGAGGGGATTTCTGACAGCAGCGAATAAATAGGACTTATAGAATATAGGGGCTTTTTCAGGATGATTAAGATTAATTAATTCTTACTCTTTGATAACAGAAATACAGTCTTTCTTACGTCCTCTCTGTCTCCAGTCCTTCATCCAAAACCTATTCCTCAGACACTGAAGTGTTGTTTTTGGGGAGGAGAAAGCGTAGAAACAAGAGAAAAGCCAATCAAAAATGATGGGGTGAGGCCAGGATAGAAGAACCCAGGTTTCTGGGAAATGAGCCATTCTCGGCCCTGCGCCTCCCCTCCCTTCCTCCTCCCTCCCCCCCCCCCCTCCCCCCCCCCTCCCCCCCCCCCCCCCAACAAAAAAGAAAAAATATCGAATCATTTTCACCGGAAACATATTTAACGAATGATTTTTTTTTTTATCAGACTCAAGAAGAGCTATCCGCCATGAAGGAAAAATATGAACAAGAGCGGAAAGATGAAGTTGTGGAGAATGTGGCCACAGTTTTGTTAGAGTATGATGGGACTGGATCAGACAATGATTTGATCTCAGCTCTGGATCAGAAATATGACGCGCTTAAAGACAAACTCTTACTGGAAGCTATCAAGAAGCAGTTAGGTAGGGGTGTTGTGGTTTAAATCTTCATCCTTTTTAGTCCTTAAATGTTTTTTTTTAAGTGACCGAGAGAATTAGGGAGGAAAAAATTTTAGAACGCTTCTGCGAGGTTGATAACTCTGTTATTAACCTTGAACCCTGGAGTTACAGTCGATCGTGTGCCTTCTTTGTTAAGTTAGCTGATTTAGACATACTATTGAAGAATATGCCTGTGGTGCGTGTGTACTGTGCCAGTTGAAATAATGTGATACCAGAAACCCTTTCTCTATTATTGTGAAAATGTAAGGGACAGATCCCCAACAAACGAGCCTCCATTCTAATAGACCGTTATAACCCTTCTCCTACGACAGATGTCGCCTCTCTCTCCGACTGGGCAGAGAGGTGCGATATACCGAATTACGTCTGGGATCGCAGACTCGTCTCCCAGATGCGAAAAGACTACCCTGCGATGTCTTCATTTTATTGTAATACTTTTGCGACAATAAAGCCTCAACCTATGAGAGTAATATCAACGGTCAGTCAGAATGAAGACAAAAATGTCAATGAACCGATGATAACTCAAAAAAGTTTTAGCAGACGACAGGTCCTTGAGCGCGGGAAAACGTGACCAATCAGGTTTCGATTGGCCTCAACTTTACGTCTGATTGGTTGTCGGAGAAGGTGACGCGAGTTTCTTTCGGCCAATCCTAGTCCGAATTTTCGGAACTGAATGTAAAAAAGTCTCATTACTTTTTCGTATCGTTTCATGTAGGAGACGCCGAATGGGCGCAGCTGTCAGAGCAGGAGCGGCAGAAGAGACTTGTGAAGCTCAAATTAGAGGAACGACGACTGCGGAAGGAAGGACAACTGGATGAACTGCACCGTCTGCTGGGAGAAGGATTTGAAATGGACGCCAATCTTAGAAAATTGATGGGTGAAAACAAAGCAAGGTGTGTTTAATGTTACTGTCAGTGACTGCAAGCCGTGAAACTATGAGTATCGAACTTCAACTTTCTGGAGGGTAGGGAGAGTAGGGGGCTGAATGATCATTTTTTGAATCACCAGACACGATATGAAAAATTACCCTCAACGTTAAAAGGAAACAAGAAACAATTAGTTTGGTGATGATATTTGCTGGCTACATCGCAAATGAACAGATAGTGGTAATCATGATGAAAATTGGCCAAACAAGATCTTCAGGATCCCTCAGTGATCGAGATTAGCGGTCATCCGGTCGTCGGAGACGACCAGAAAGTTTATCGCTGAACTAACTACTGGTAAAATTAAGAGGCTTTTTTCATTCCCCTTCCAACTTTTTGAAATTCTAATTGTGACAGGTACGAAGAAAAACTGAAGGAGAGACTAGCAAAACGTAGGGAGCGATTAGCTCAGGGATTGACGCCTGATGACGATGATGAGGCAGAGTTAGAGGATGGTGAGGCGGAAGGAGAAGGAGTAACAGATTTGAAAGCTATATTGGAAGATATGGACAAAAGGTACTTGGTAGAACTTTATTCATAGCTTGATTTACCAGGCTGAAAGTTTTTTTAGAGGTTCCTCCGTTCATCCGCCCGCGGGAAGATTTGACACGAGTCGGGAAGAGGTTTGCTGGGGGTTTGGCACTAATAATGATTAGTGCCAGACCCCTGGCAGACCTCTCGTCGGCTCGCTTTTCTCAAGGATTCAGACTTTCTCGCGGGCGAAGAAACGCTCGTGTTGCAGCGCAAATAATGACAGCCTGTCCCTAGGATAGAGGTAATGGAAACAAAAAATTATACTCAAATTGTCTGGTTTACCTCATGTTTCTTTAGAAAATATATCTATATCGCGAAGAAAGATGCTGGCTTGATGTAGCTCGTGGAATTTAACACTCGCATACGGCTTTTGGAAACTTCGAAGTTTCTTGTTGTTTCATTGCGTAGTTAAAATATTTTTATAGCAGGCACATTTTTCAAATGTCAACAGTTCACTTTTTGATGTTAAACGATGTTTGTGGAGTGAAATGCGACCATTTATCCCGGTTGTATTGCTTATGGATTATTTTACTTTACGGAATTTGCAATGACTTTCAGAAGAGAATACCCCACATGTGTCGTTTCTTATCCTTTCTTTAGGGAACAGTGATGTAGAATTTCTTGTTGTTCGAAGCCGAGTGATGCCCTAAGAATTAACCCCAAGTGCTTGTTCCTGTGTCATGCTTTGAATGTCGAGAGCTCGGTTTTAGAATGGCTTTTCCTACTCGGAATGTTCAGATATTGTCTTCCTGAAGTGATTTATGGAATTGGTAGCCTGTTTTAGTTGTGCAATTAGTGAAACGCAGCGGAATACTAAAAGGTGCAATAGCACCGGCGGAACGAAGACGGAAAAGAGGTCGGGTTGTGAAAATCATAACGCGACCCAAACCTCTCTCCGCTATCATGGCGCCGTTCGCTTTTTTTTGCTTCGTTTTACAAACTAAACGCTTGGAAAAAGCTCTGGAATTTAATATAGGGAGGTGAGAGAACTTGTCCAACTAAGAATGATCAAGTCCTGTCTTCTCCAAAGTTTATCCATTGAATTTGATATAGAGAGGGAAAGAGAATTTACCATCTCGTTACTGCTTTCTTCAGATACGAGGAAGAGAAGGAAGCGCTGATGCGTAGTTTACAAGGAAAAGACGAACACTTCATGAGCGAAAGACAGAGACAGGCTGAACTGGCTCGTCTGAAACGAGAGAAACTGAAAGCGAAACAAGAAGACAAGTTTATCACGGCTGCGTTGGTACTGGGACTGGCTGAGAAACAGAAAGCTGCAGTGGAAGAAAGGTTGGGGACCAGTCATTTTTTATCGCGGGAGGGGGGGGCGGGGAGGGGTGGTGGAGGATGTTGAGGGGGAGATTATATGGTTTTCCGGGGTAACAGAGATAAGTCGTCGCTAACAGAGTGTGAAAAGGGAACTGTAGAAAATTGACCGCCAGTGAAGGGGATGTAACCGATGTTGGAATCTAAAGGTGATAAACTTTTCTCTTTTTGTGTTTCTAGGCTTCGTCAAGACCGTTTGCGACAGGAACAATTGGCACGAGAACGACTGGAACAATTGCGTAACCGCAAAAGAGCCAAAGAACAAGAGGCCGAGGAGAAACTGGTGACTGACGGGGAAGTCAGCGTCTTACAAGAAGCTGTAATGAAGGCGCTGGAACGGAAACATCAGGATGAACGGCAGGTGAGTATCAGATAAGTAAATCGAACCAGGGAAATCTTAAAAAGAGACGTAGGATTTTCTCTAGATGGACCATATTTCAATTTTTATACTGCTTTTCCGCGTCTCCCCTTAAAAAAACTAAACAAAAATTTTAAAAACAATTAATCAGAACAAAAGAACAGGGCAGAAGGAGTTGATGGGAACCAAACCAAACCACGCACGTGTAAATTGTCTTAAAGGCGGTAAAACTTGAATGACTTAGTTCGCCATCTGATTGGTGGAGAGGGCGGCGTAAGTTTGGTTTGGACCAATCAAATAGCGTATTGAAACGAAACAAATGCATCCCTCGTCCCTAACCAAGTGCACCGCCTGGGTTTGACTTTTCATCGCAATTTCGTGGGCTCGACGCCTCGTAGGGTCTCCGATATTTCAATCTTGCTTTTGTTGTTTTGGATTCTTTATGCACTTGACACATTCTGGAGAAAGGTATGGATTTTCAAGCGCAATTCTCGCTTGAGGACGCAGGCGAAATTTAAGGAAAAAAACAAAGGAGAATTTCTGATTTGATCATGGGTCTTTATTAGGCTTTACTTGACGTGTTGCAACAAGAAATGCCGGAATTAGCTGAGGCCGCCGCGACGATGACTCAACAACAGCGAGAGAATTGGCTCCAGCAGATCAGCATGAAAATGAAAGGTCTTGATCCAGGTATGGAAATACTCTTAAGATCTAAGATCGCTCTCTCCTTTTTAACCTAAGTTGAACACTTTTACAAAAGCGAGTTTTCAAAGTCAAGTTTTCCTTATTCATCTTGTTCCTCTCACAGCCGACAAAGAGGCCCGTCATAATTTACTCGTGGAAGCTGCTGTTTTTAAAGTTGTAAACCGACAGAAGTATCTGGAACTGTCGCAAGAGGAAACTGTGAAGAAAGATGATGTTATTGTGTCGCTGTTGGCAGACTTGCAGCAGGAACAGGACCAAGAAAGCGAAAAACTTGTGAATGAAATGCAGGACAAGGTATGTTACGTCTCTTTGGTGGTCTGTGTAATTCAGTAAAGAGCTTTTCTATTGAATGTCCTAAAACCACAACGTAATAATCACATGGCCAATCAGAATTAACGTGAATATCACAACCGACAAGAAGCCAACTGAAAGTGGAATCAGGCGCGGGAAAACGCGGGTGACCAAATTGCGATTGCTCAAGGTGCTTATTTTGATCATAATTAATCCAATGTGACTTGTACCCTTGAAATAAGGAACTGATTCTAAACAATGCCAACAAGTTTTAGTCATATTTACATTAGACTCCGTAATATATTTCTGTTGTGAGCCAAGATGGTGCTTCTTGTCTTCCCAAGTTGTCTCGTTCAAAATATTTGGTTGTTTCTTCTTGGACGTAAACGTTGAGCCAGTTTGATTTGTATTGTCTTTTCGGTTTAGGATAAAACAGAGTTAGTGCAACTTCAAGAAAACCTCTTCCAAGCGCGAAAAGACGCCTCCCAACCGAACGTCGTTGCAGTTGTCACGCAAGCTGAAATCTGGGGCACGGCTAACGAGCGTGACCTGTCACAAGCCCTGAATTACAAGTATGACGTGTTGAAAGACAGGCTACTGCGTGACGCTCTTATGCAACAAGTTGGCTTGACTGAGTGGGAGGCACTTTCTGAGAATGATCGTTTATCCAGACTGGCGCAGATGAAACTGAAAGTACAGGCTTTACAAAGTGAAGGTAAACCTTTCATACATCTTCCTTGAGTTCAAAACGTTTTTACAGGATGTCTTTAGGCGGTGGTTAAATGACAAAAAAAACTTAAAAATAAATTTGAACATTCCACGCGAGCGTGATACAGAATGAAAATCTGAGTCTGCCACGAGATTTTAAACTCCTTTCAGTTCCGACTTTGCATACAAGTGCTTTAACTAGAGTACATTTATATAGCGTGTTGTAAAACTAAAAGGAACAGCTAATTAAACAATGGAAAATATCGCAACGACCCATTGGAAATTCGTAGTAGAAATAAACTGCTCATAACGCAGATTGACCAAGTCACCACGAGTTTCCGGACCAATCACTCTGTGAAACAAAGCGAAACTAAAGCAATCTCGGATTACTTTCGACATTCAGTCGAAAATTGCTCCAACTTAGCCTAAAGAAGGCTTGTTAGAGAGCTAAGAAATGTTCCGGGCTCCTGTTGATACTGAGTTATTTTGTAATCAGCTTTCGATGAAATAACTTTACTTTTAGACTTAGTTGGAAATAACTCTTTTAAAATTATCAAAAGAACTTGAAGTTTCAGTTGCTTGTTGCCTCTTCCTGAGACCATGTGTTTGTGACCTGATTCAATGTAGGAAATCAAGACGAACTGAAACGGCTTTTAGGTGAAGCAGCAGCCATTAATCTCATGTCACTGATGGGTGCGAATGGCACGCAGCAGAAGCAACGGCAGAATGAACGACAACAAAAGAGGGAGGAAAGAAAATCTCAAGGAATGTCAGACGAGGAAATTCTCAAACTCGAGGCTGAAGAAGATGTCCAAGCTGAGGAAGAGGCGCTTAAAAAATCCACTGGGAGTACAGTTCAGGATCTTGAGGTAAATATCTCTGTTTATCGGAAGTTTTTGGACCAAATTTGTACCTGACAACAACGCCGTGAGAAAATACTCGAAGTAAAACAACATAGATTATTTAGTTTTATGAAATGAGTCGGTACTGTAAACTGGCCACCGTAAAGAGTTTCTTAAGCTGACGTTTCCAGCGTCAGCCTTTAATTACAGCGAATGGCAAGGGACTAACGCTCGAAACGTCAGCTTTAGAAAGTCGTTACTTTGCCAAGTTAAATTATCAACTCAGTTGATAAAACCAGTTTATCTTGTATTGCCCCCAGCGAGGCAACACACAATTTTTTAGAAACTTACCCCTTAATTCATTTGTCGTAATATAACGTACATCATTTAAACCTACTCAATCTATGAATTATCAGTTGTGGTGGGTAGGCGGACGTTTCTCAGAAGATTTTATCTTCTCAGAATGATGTTATCTCTTATGTTTTGCTTTAGAATCGTCTCAGTATTGAAACAGACAGCCTGTTAGCTGACGTTCGCGGGGCCGACACTAAATTTGAAAGCGAGCAACACCGACATGCGCAGTTGGCGCGAATCCGTCATGAGGAGAGGCAGGCCTTGCAGGAGAGCTCGTTCCAACCTTCCGCTCTGGTGCTTGGACTTGCGCAAGCTCGTCAAGTTAACATGGATAGCAGGTAAAGAGTGACCACCATCTGATTTCTCCCTATAGTATCACTGGCGAATCAAACGCTTAAGTCATGAGAATAACGGAAATGATCAAGAACTACAGAATGTACAGCTGGACTATTTTTGAAGTGTTTTCAATTCGCGCCGTTTTAGAGCAAATTTTTGGCCCACGAGCGTTTGTACCATTAGAAAATTGCATAGTTTTTTTTTATGGCTGTTATCTCGATAAGTGTGACTGTCAAAAAGGCAAACGTTTCACGGTGGGTGTACCGTCCATAAGGATCAGTGATGCTCCTTCCTTGCGTTGTGTAGCATCTCAAGATTTCTTTAAAATAACTGTAGTGCGAGGCTTGATCATAACTGAGACATATGCCAGTATTTTGTATAAAGTCGACCATTTTGAAACTCCAAAAATCTCCCAAGGTTTGGTATTCTTGTTTTACGTGGCACAAATCGTGAGGTAACCAAGGGAGCGCTCATCACTTATCGCCTTGGGGGAAGGGGGGGGAGCTTGTGGTGGAGGATTGTGGTTAAGAAGAGGGGGGGGCTGGGGGCTGGAGAAATTGGTTGTGTAACAATAAAATTTACCCGATCCCCCCTAAGGCTCTGCCGTATTCTAATGATCCTCCTCATTAGCAGTCAATTGTGTATAGTCCCCCGTTTATGTTCTGTTAGCGACGACTGATCATTCCTCCGTACCCCCTGAAAACCATTTGTTCCCCCAAGCTCCACGACCCACCCCCTCCTCCCCTAAACTGGCCATCGATAATGACTAGTCCCAGAGTTTGATTTTTTTTTCTATCATAGCTCCAAACAGGATCAGGACCGTCAAAAACAATTAGCCCAAAAGAGATTAATCGCGTGGCAACAGAAAGACCAATCAGAGATGAATAAAGTTAAGGAACAGCTGAAGGCATTGGAGACTGGAAGCGAACCCGAACCAGTCTCCAGTACGAGCATTGGAGCTCTGCAGGTTTGTGTGGTTACAAAGCTACAAGGGATTTAAGGTGCTTCAGCTTAGCTAGTAGGATTTTCATAAATCCTTTTCGCGCGCGTATTCGTCAGTGTCAGTGTAAATCCGAGAGAAGCCCGACCCTTATTTACATGAAAGACAAGAAATATTGGGAAAGTCCTAAACACATTTTTACCAATCAATTTTCAAGCTGAAAGATGTGGAGAAGAAATGGAGTTCGGTTTATAAATCCCGCATTCTCTAAGTTATATGAGCCACAGGTCGGAATAACATTCACTGGCGTTGGGAGAACAAGAAGACGAAGAAAACGAACTAAACCTGCTTTTGAAACGTCGAATTTCCTCCCGCCGATTTACGTCTGATTTCAGTCCGCTTCGATCTGCCACGATGTCTTATTGATCGAGGAGGCGATCCTGCGTTCGGAAAGTTTCTTAAGTTTTCTAATTTAGTTGCCGAAATACTGAAACAGTTTGAGTTAATTCACGGGTGTAGTGAATGTTTTCAAAGCCTTTCTTCCGTGAGGGTAAGCCTGAGGGCTTGTTTCACATTTTGCTTTGTTTGTTTGTTTATTTTTTTTTTGTTAAGATATTATGGTCAGAAGTCGTGTTTGATTTCGTTGTACTTTGCGCTTCATTTCGCAGGAGGCGGTGTTGAAAGAAATGGAACGCAAGCATCTGTGTGAGCTCCTAGTTCTAGAACGTTTGATCAGCGAAGAAAAAGAAAGTGACCTCAGGAAAGCAACTCAACAACTTAATAAAGAACAACAACAAGAGAGGCTATTCGAACTGAAGGTTTGTACGATCAGTTCTAATTCTTTTTTTCAGTTGTAGAGCTTTCTAAAGACTTGTCGGAGATCGTAGCAGGAAAGTGGTAAATTCTTTAGTTGGTTGTAGAGTAAGGAAGGTATTAACCATTTGGCAAAAGGAGACGAAGTGAAATATACAAGTCTGTTCCGATTTTGCGGTCAGCGCACTTCCAGAAACTGAGAACTTTGTGGTGAGCAAGGGTCATTAGTAGGTTCATATGTGACAAACGGCTACGTGGAGGTTGTGGGGGGGTGGGGGTGAAAAATGGTAAATTGTAAGCTTTTTTTCGTCGAATAAAGGCTTGCTCACTGTTGTTGTACCATTTATTTGATTATCGCCTCTATTTCCAGGAACTGCGAAAACAGTGGCGGGAGTCTGGACCCGAAGAAATGACAGAGACCGCTGACGAGCAAGAAGCGATACTGCGAGAAGGTGTAGGCTTGAAGCTTGAACTGAGCCGTGAGGAACTGAGGCAGAAGGCTGCAGGGGAAGGAAAGGAACTGGGGCCGGATGACGATGCTGTGTCTCTTCTCGCTGCCCTTCAGCAACATCAGGAACAAGAAGCTGAATATTTGCTGCGAGATCTTGCTGTGAAGGTAAGGAACAGAGTCTTTGGGGAAAGTAGTTTGTATTCCTTACTTTTAATGCAAACGTTGGTCAAGACGGCTCCAACTATTCAGTCTGTGGATGAAAGCAAAATGAAAGCTTTTGAGAAGTTCACGTGGTTATGGTTTTTTTTATTGCTGTAGAGGGTGGTTCTATCTCTTAACCCTTTACACCTTAACATCGGTATGCACACTCTCCATACTACTCTCTATAACTTTCCAAGGTGCTGATAAGGAGAATTTGTTTAACAATCAAGAGCTTCCTTAGTTGGTGATCATTTCCTTACTTCTCCTGACCTTAATGTTTGACTCAGAGGTGATACTGTAAGGAGAAATTAGATGCTGATCACTCTTAGGAACCAAAGGGTTAAGTCGGTAGATGATTGGATGAAATCGTAGGTTATAGCCATTCAAATGAAAGGAACTGAGCAGTGCTTTGATATGGTCTTGTTTATTATGTCGTGGTTGAAACTTTTACGTTTGTGGATGAAACCTCAGTGTATGACCACAAATGAAACCTACTGTGAAGCGCTTTCATTTGGTATTATGCTGTCCAGGGCGGTTCTCTGTTGAACTTTTTCGAAGAAACCCAAGTTTGTGACAGGCAGTCAAATGCTCTCATGTGAAACTATATTTTTGTACTGTACAAGGTGCAATTTAATGTCGTGTTTCAGTCAATGATGTAACGATTCAAGAAAGTCTCGCGTCTACTAATTTATTTCATCGTTCTTGTTTAGAACCCCATGGTGCTTCAGCAGCTTCAAAGCGTGCACTCGATGGCTTGCAAAGAACGTTGGTACGACAATCTGGCTGCCTGTGTGTTGGGTCTGAAGAGAAAACAAGCTCGCCTCACAACGGAGGAATCTGCAGAAGAGGAACTGGTAGAGGCACTGGAGCAGAAGTATGACGCCTTGAAGGACAAACTGCTGACAGAAGTCCTCATGAAACAGATGGGAGACGCGGAATGGGCGGCTCTGTCCGAGAGGGAGAGGCAGGCCAAGCTGCTGAAGCTGAAGCTGCAGGAGAGGAGGCTAAGGCAGGAGGGAAAGTTAGACGAGGCCTCCAGGTAAGTAGAACAGGAATGAGGCAGTGGTGAGGGCGCTGGATTCCCAACGCAGGGGCTTTGATAGGCGTCCCGATCCTAAAATCAGATGATGATTGAGTTCATTGTAGTGCTTGTCTCGAGAGATTTTCACCAGCTGGTCATATTTCATCCCTCCAGAAACCCAATAGTTTAGGGATGTGTGGACAAAGAGAAACTAGGTGGAGGTGATGCTGCTAAATTTATTTATTGATTTATTTTGTTTAAATATTTTCAAGAAACCAGACCGAGAGTTTTCATTCAAGATTTTAATGCCTCCTGCACTACCTTTGTTCTACTCACATTTCTTGGTGAAGTATTTTCTCACGGGAGACTTGACCTTGAAAGAAAATTCAGTTTTTATTTTCCAGTTGGGTACATTTTGTTTTTCTTTCCCTGTTTTTTTTTTTTCATTTTCCTCTTTGAAACCTCTATGTCGAATGAATATGAATTTCTTGACTGTGTTAACAATTGCATGCTTTTTATTTTTTCTTTTCCAATACCAGGTTACTTGGCGAAGGAATGAAACACGACGCAGCTTTGCGCGCCCTGATGGGCGAATCTAGGTCGCAACAAAAACAACGTCTGCAGGAAAGACTTGAAAAGCTACGTAAGATGAGACAACAGGGAGAAGAAGTGAATCAAGAAGAAATGGCCGCACTTGAACAAGTAGAAGCAGAAGGAGTTGATGCAGTGGATGCTGACGTATTGAATCACCTGATCGAGGAAACAGTAACTGATGCTGAACAAGTCACAACGAATACCCTGCTGAATGATCTAACGGTACGGTTCCCCCCCCACCACCTCTTTCTTATAAATTACCCCTGGGATTCTTTTCTACCCTTCTCATTTGACTTCCTCATCATTGTTTTTCCATGCATCTCCCTCCTTTCCTTCTGTATTCCGCTTTCGAATTCCATGCTCTATACTCCCTCCCCCCGCTTCCCTTCTCGTAAATATCTTTTTTCCTCTTCCTCTCACCTTGTCCTTTCCTCTAGTTTCATAATTTCTAACTCTCCACTTCTCTTCCTTTACACACTTTCCCATATGTCTTAGCTAACCCTTCCCTTTCCTATATTTTTTCTTTTCATTTCCCTCCTATTTTCCCCTTCCCTTTTTTAAACAGTTTCCTCTTCCCCTCCACCCTTTATTCCTCCCCCTTACCCTTACTCTTTCTATGTCATAACTCTGAGCCTTCGAGGTACTTTTTTTCCTGCGTCATTTTCTTTCCATCCTCTCTTTCCTCTCATAAAATTTCTCATCTTTTTCTTCTTTCGAACAAAATGCCACACCAACTCTTGTCAGTCTCTCTTAAGTCTCCTCCATTGGATTGCAAAAGACCCTGTTTAAATCTCTCATGCTTTATTTTATAGTCTCAATTTGAGGAAGAAAAAGAAGCCCTGCTGCGAGGTCTCCGCGAGAAAGACGCGAGATTTGGTAGCGAGAGGAAGCGACAACTAGAACTGGCAAAACTGAAGCGAGAACAGCGAAGACTCAAACAGGAAGACAACTTCGATACAGCTGCTGTTCTATTTGGGTTGGCCAAACAGGAACAGGCCGCCAGAGAGGCAAAGTAAGTTGCTTGCGTTAAGTTAGAGAAGTTTTGAATAAAGTCGTAAAACCAAAAGCAAAGTGATCACATCGGCCAATCAGAGCAAAGGAGAACGTCATCATTAACCAACGAGAACCCAATGTAAGACCGGCAATCTGCTTGAAGCGCGGGAAAACGCGAGTGACCAAATGGGGATTGGTTTTAGTTTTTGTATTTGATTGGTTGAGATGATGGCGCCAGGTTTCTGGACCAATCACAGAGCGAAGTGAAGAAAAAGTTAGAGAAGTTTTTAATAAGGCGTCATAAAACCAAAAGCGAAGTGATCACATCGGCCAATCAGAGCAAAGGAGGACGTCATCATTAACCAATGGGAACGCAAAGTAAGACCGGCGATCTGCTTGAAGCGTGGGAAAACGCGAGTGACCAAATGGGGATTGGTTTTAGTTTTTTTATTTGATTGGTTGAGATGATGGCGCCAGGTTTCTGGACCAATCACAGAGCGAAGTGAAGAAAAACCAAAGCAATCCCTACTCTACGTTACCATGTATTACCGATGGCGTAGCTCCATTTTTTTTTTCTCCCCCTCTTCCTCTTCCCCCCCTCCCCATCCCCACGGACTTGATTGAGAAGGGGATGCGATGTTTTTTAGACCAATCGCGGAGCAAATAAAGTAACATCGAAGTCGTTCCAGATAATTTTTGACGCTTGATCGAAAATTTCTAGTTTTGACAAAGTAACCCTGTTTCTGTTGCAGCTTTGAGAAGGATCGCGCAAGACAGGAGCAACTTGCTCGTGAGCGCATCGCAGCCATCAAGGCTCGCCGGGCGGCAAATAGGGAAAAATCTGAGGAAGAGGCACAAAAGGAACTGGAGGAGAAACTTCTGAAGGAGCAGGCAGAGGACAGTGAGATTGACAAGAGGAACGCACTGGATGTGGAGCAAGGAGGACTGGCACAACTACAGGAGGCCATTTTGAGTGAGGTGGAGAGAAAACACTCTTCAGAACAAGAGGTATTTTTCGTGAACGGTTACATGAAGTATAAAAGATCCTTGTTTCCTGCTGTTAGGAGGCGTGCACAAACAGACTCATCTCGGAATTGTTTCAAAAAAGCCACCTACATATTGCTCCTGGGTTTGAGAGCAAAAGAGCGAACCTCGATTGAGTGATGTAAAACCAAAACCGAAGTAATCACAACCAGCCAATGAGAACAACGGAAAATATCACAAGGAGCCAATGAGAACTCGAATAAACAATCTCGGGTAACAATCGTCAAATGTTCGTGAAACGGATAGTTCCGATAGACCGCCAAATGGATTTTGATTGGCTCCGATGTTATTCCAATGTCACATACTTACGCTCGTGAACCCACATGATAGCGAAATTACTAGTGCATCTGCGCAATAGTCACAAAAACGAGACAACATAAGTTTTAGAAGCGTGGGAACACGCAAGAAGAGAAAACGCTTTTCGGTTAGGTGCGTGGCGCGAGTGTTCTGGACCAGTCTTAGGGAGAAGTAAAGAAAAACAATACAAATCTCTAATCTTCTTTGACAGTCCGTTAGAAATTGCCCTTCGAGAAATGTGTAGAAATGACGGTTAAGAATCTCTTTTCACTCATCTAGGCACTCACAGACCTCTTGGCCAAAGCTGATGCAGATCAAGATGGTTTAGCCGCAGCCAGGTATTTAACTGAGACAGAACGACAACAACGAGTGGATGAACTAGGCAATCAGAGGAGAGCTTGGAGATTGGATGCAGTTCGGAATGCAATGCAGGCTGTTCCTGATGAATTACAAACAGAGGTATGGATTTTTCTTCCTTTTTTTCTCATCTCTTTGTATTTCCACTTTCGTTTCCGTTCGTTTTCCTTTCAAGCATACCGATTTCTCTCGTTTGATATTGGTATCATCCCAAGGTTTCCTAACCCCCTTACTAGCATTTTAGTTTGTCCATAAGTTTTTCTTTCATTTTGGTTTAATTAAAAATTATCCAAAAAAATGGATACTGTAAATTATGAAACGGTTATTTTCCGCTCGATTTTTCGCGCGGGCCGTAAATCCGAGCGGAAAAACTAGGTGTCGTAAATTACAGTACGGACCGAGAAAACAAGGTTAGTAAGATCTTTATTATATTTCTCGGTTCAAATAGAGGGGAAAGCTCTTGATTCATGCAGACGCGTTTAATATCAGCAAGCCGCGCTGTGAAGTCGCAGGCGCGTTCAAGTGCGCAGGCGCCGGCACGTATTACCGAGAGCTATAATAATGTAGCTTACATTTGTCTTACTGTTGTCAAATTCACAGGATGAGAAGAAGGCTAACGCAACTCGTATTGCTGAAAGCCGAGCTAAGCACATGAACCTCTTAAAAGAGGCATTGGTTCTCCATATAGAGACTAAACGAGCACAGCTCTTAACACAAGGAGTTGACGAAGAGAAACTTCAAGAAGAAATATCCGTTCTTATTATGGCTGATTTACAAGAAAAGCAAATGACCGAGAACAATGCTGTTGCCAACATTTTGGGCGCCGACAAGGTTAGTCAATTTCAAACAGGTAAAACAGGATCCGAGCAAAAAGGTCGCTAAGGCTTACATATTTGGAAGTGGAATTTCAGGGATTCTGTAGGTTTTTTATCTGGGAAGTGTCCTCAGGGCGCTTTTCGACTGAGTGTTGTGACACCAGAGTAGTCACTAGAGCCAATTAGGACTGTCAGCGGAGAGGAAAATACCAATAAGAGCCAATGAGAATTTACAGTAAAACCGACTAAACTGCTGGAAAATGCGGGCGATCAAGTCGCGATTAATTTTAATTTTGTATCTGATTCTAAGCCTAGTTTTTTTTTTGGTAGACAACTGAAATTTAGATGTTAATCCTATTTCTGGATTGTGTTGTGTGGATATTTGTTTCTTCATGACGATGTTTTACAGTTTTGGATGACGTGCCTTTCATTCAACAATTTGCGAAATTTACTTTTCACAGGACGAGTCCGTCTTGGCGCGAATCAGAACTGATCAGCGCATGGCACGCCGAGAAGGATGGATGGACAACTTGGCTGCAACTTTAATGGGTTCTCGTCCAGTGAGAAAAAGAAGCACAACTCTGGTAATAAGATATCCGTTGATCAAAGTTGACATTCTCTTAGTTGTTTCCATAAATTTCCCTTAATTGACCTTTTGAGAAGTGTTATCTTTATTCAAATTAATTTTTGGATCTATTGGTTTTTAATTAAGCTTCAAAACGACACGATAAAACAAACTCATTTCAGGACATTTGGAATAGAAATAAAACGAACATCACGAACGAAACCGGGACATAACAAAACGGAAGTTAGGATTTTCCCCTTGAAGTTTACCTTTGATAATTAAAAAGACGTAATTAACTTATTGTTCTTCAACAATTTTTCATAATCTCTGTTTGTAGTAATCCAGAATTCCTATATCTCAAAAGAGGAAAAGATTAGGGGGGGGGGGCTTATATCGGGTGCAATTTTTTTCGCAGTAGGGGAAAGGAGGGCTCATGAGTGGGGGGAGGGGAGGGGAGGGGGGGGGTTAGTAAGTGGGTGGGGGAGGGGAGGGCTTATAAGCGGCAGTTTAGGGTAGTCGAGGTTTACTTAACTTCTAAAGATAGCAAACACTTAGAGTTAGAGTGTTACTTGTCAGAGTTATCGTACGTTATCTAGCAATCATGCTTCGAGAATAACAAAGCGTATAAGTTAGGCGGTGTTAATTTGATCTTAACTAATATACAAGGAAGTGTGCAACAGCTGGAAAGGAGTATTAATAATGAATCTCTAGTGTTTACTGACTTAATACTCCTCTCACGACAGGCGCCGTCAACTTTGATGGCGAATCTGGCCGAAGCAGACGAGGAAGAAGTTCGTTTGGAGGAAGAACAGGAAGCTAAACTGGCAGAGCTGGAGGCTGAGATGGAGAACGAAAAAGAAGCTCGAAAGTTGGCTGGAGCCACAGAAGAGGAGATACAGAGAGCAATGGAGTTATTACAGAAACAGCATGACGCCAAGAGAAAGGTAAACTTCTTGTTTTAAAAGATTTATCATTTATCCAGACTGAATTGGTTTTTAAAGAGGCCACGCTACTTTTTCTGCTTCTTGGAATGCATGGCTAAAAATTTCAAATTTCGGCAATGATGATTTATGTTAATCGTTTCACGTGAATTTATTCACGTCATCAAAGCTACCAGCCCCTAAGAGTTGGTTTTTTCCAATGTCTTTTTCGACCTAAACACATTCCTTCCTCTATCAACAAAATTTAGCTCCAGTTCTTATTAAAAACTGAAAGGCGTTTTGGCATCGTGTCGTTAAAGGAAAACTGATCAAAAAATAGAGAATTACCACTAAAAACCCAATGAGGGCGCAAACAGACTTGACAAGGTCACGATTGGGTTAAGCCTTTAATTGGCTGAGAGGGAGGTGCAGGTTTTCTCGACCAATCACGGAGAGAATTTGATAAACAAAACCATTGCCATCCCTGGTAACGTTTAACGTTCATTTGCAGAATCGTTTTGATATTTTCTCTGTGTTCCTCAGGCTATGGCGGCTGATGTAGAGAGACAGCGTAATATGGTGCGGCAAAGGCTGGAGGCCAAACGGAGGAAACGAGAAGAACAACAATACGAAGAAGACATGGCGGCTTCTATTGTGACAATGGCCGAGAAACAGTTCGCTCTTATCCGAGAGAAGACAATGTTGAGAAGAGAAGGACAGAAAGACACGGTGCGTCATTGCGCATTTTAGAAAATGTAGCTTAGGTAGTTATTTTCAATCCATCTCAATCTTCTCCATTATTTGCCGTCCTTATTCCTCCCTCGTTAAGTACTAACACTTCTATGTATTTCTATTCTATAGAAATACATAGAAGTGCACTCCGCTCCAATCTTCTCCATTCTTAACCTTTCCCGTAGCTTCTTAGTTTATTAATTCCCCTTGTATGTTGAACTATCTTACCAAACTAATATTTTATTGCTAATATTATTGTTATTATTATTTTTTTCATATATCCATCATCAGCCATTCCTGTTTCTTCTTGGTTTATTGTTGTTTCTGTTGTGTTTTCTATTTTACTGCGCTCAGATATTTGGTATTTTTCAGTTCGCGTTTATCATTAACGTGAATTGTAAGACAGTCTTATCCATCCTTAGCTCTCGCTGCTTCTTTCTCTGTTGATTATTATTTTATTGTTATCTTCACCAAACAAAAATATTTTATTCTCCTTCAAATGAGTGGGAGATAAGATATAAGATATTCTTAAGTTGCCCTTTAGTGGATAAACACCAGCGCCAATTTCTCACTGAAACGAAACAAATTGTTAGCACTGATCCATGCTAAAATTCATCGGCTTGCCTCGTTTCTTGTCACACTCAAGTTTTCCACCAGGGTAAGCGATGGTTTTTAGACGGAAGAAAGGACAATTTCAATCGAATTTGTTGGCAAGTCTCATTTGTCCGCCAGTGAAGGGGTCAAATGAAAGCACAGCCTTTAGAATTCATTGTGTTTCATAGAATAAAATGTTGCCGCTCTAAATCATTTTAATTAAATCACGTCAATTCTTATAAGCGTAAAATTTACCGTCGGAAATCACTTGTTTTATTATTAAAAAAAACATTGAAATACAGCTAAATTTACGCTTCTTTCCGCAACACGTATGTTACCTGAAATATCTAATTCTGACCTGGACGCTATTAATCTGTTCTTATGACAGCTAAATGAACGCTTGGCGCGTAGAAGAGCAGAGCGTGAAAAGAAAAAAGCCGAGGAGGAAGAGGCCAGAAAAAAAGAAGAAGAAGAAGCGACCAGAAAGAAGGCTGAGGAAGAAGCAAAGAAGGCGGAAGAACCGAAACAGGCTCCAGCGGACTATCCATTACCGGTAAGAAGAGAACTATGAGTGACCTTAATGGAAATTCTCCGCACAATACCAATGCGTTTTTTAAGCAGAAAGGTGATGAGGAGAAAGAAAAAAAAATCAAATAGGGTGTACTATTTGAATTTACAATTAATTCCCAGAGCAAAGAGTACAAGACATGTATGGTAGATAGTGCGGACAATTGATGTTTAGGTTAAGTCGAGGGGCTAACGTTTGTCGCAATCGTTGCGCATAGAGAAATCAGAGCCCATGGGTATATTACAGCGGTCAAACGAGGGTATGCACAAATGGATCAATTCTGGGCAGCCGCGTATCAAAATTTTCCGCGCAAAATTATCAAGGAAAACAGAAGAAAACGGGTTTAGCGTAAAATTTTACGGACGACAAAGAAAAATAAAGATTTCATCACACTGAGATGTTACTGCTTCTTTTTTACGGGTGTTTTTGATTAGTTATTCACTATGTTTTGTTCCAATTAGGGCGGCTTTGCTATGAAGCGAGAAAAGACGGTGATAGACGTAGAAGTTTCCAAAGAGAAGCAACAAGAAATCCTATCATCTCTGTTACGTGAACACACTAATGTTGGAATGAAGTTTGAACGAGAGAGAACTCGTCAAGAGGAAATGGTATGTTTTAGTTCTAATCACCCGGACAATACAAAGGATTCTTAACGCGCTTTAAAAGCTATAACGCTATAAACGTCAGTAGAAAGAGCAAGAAACGCATTTGCTGTTGTGATGAAAACTTAATTTGGAGACGAGATGACGGAAGTTCTGGCATTTTCGAGGCCTTAAAAATCGTCAAATTTGGTTGTGAGTTGAGGAAAGTCATCAAGGCGGAGGAAAAGGATCTCTCTGCAAAACAAATGAAAGAAAGATGAGCCGTGATTGAAATACCTTTTTCAAATCATTTTGAAATCAGGCTTTTGGTCACAAGTCAAGGTTGATGTCAAAAAGTGCACAAAGAATTATTAATAGTCGTAGTTCGTAAAAGTTCAAAGTGATCTCTTTGATCGAAAGGTTTAAGACTCGTGTTTGTGGTCGGCAAATTTTACGTTTGACTTCACCAAGTTTCTTTTGTTTTCGTTCAGCTGAAAGCCCGGAAAGAAAGGAAAAAGTCTCGAATTGAACGAAAACAGGAAGAGGTGGCGACCATTATGGGTCTGGGAGAGAGACAGAAGACATTTGTGGAGCAACAGAAGAAAGTAAGTTTTCTTTCATTCCTTTGTTTCTTTTTCATAAATGCCCTAATCCATCTTACCGTCGTCGCATTTTACCCGAATTTGTTGAGAGTTTTCGTTGTTATTGTTCCATTTACCCATATTTGCAACTTCTGTTTACTTACGTTTGCTATTTCCTTCCATAGGAAGAGCGCGAACGTCAAATTACCATGGTTCGCGAGCGAATCGCGCGTGTTCGCTATGAGCGCACGATGACAATGCGCGAACCCAAAGATGAGAAAGCACAAGGTTTTGAGAGTCTGTTAACAGAAGAAGAGAAAGAAGGACTGTCTGAGGAGGAGAAAATGAAACGGATCGCCGCAAAAATGGAGGAGAAATTCAAGAGTGAACAACGCCGTGTGTCAACAGTTTCAGCGGTAGGTTGCGTTAAGTTAAAGAAATTGTTTTTTCTTTTTAAAGAAAGGAGGTTTTCTGTCTTCAAGTTTGAGTAAGTTTTGTGTTCATGTTCCACGAACGTTCTGTATACCTTATCCAAAATGGTGGTATTTAACATGGAGACAAAATGGTACTGTATTCTGCGCCATTTTAGAATAATATGCGAGACTGATATGAAAACCTCATTAGACTGAGTATTGGTCAAGAAGTGAAATATTCTGCATATGGACAACTTTCTATAAACACAAACAAAATGACACGATAGCTTACTAACAGTCTACTTTGATTGACAGCTGGCTCCTCCCAGCCAATCATTCAGCGCCAGCTCAGCCGAGACTTCTGAGGAGGAGGGTCCTCATACAGAACGTGCACCACAGCTCCTGGACGAAAAGAGCCGAAATAAAAAACTGAAGGAGCGTATGGCCTCACGCAAAAGAGAGCGACGCAGATCTGTCGCGCCACCCTCCGGAGAAGACGGTGGTGCTACGGGTGGGGCTGACGAGTGATGGAGCATGATGTTAACCCACAGATCAGCTCCTGAGCTGGCAGGATTAGTGAAAACTTACTATTTATTTCTGGTGTTATTTATTGAGTTGGTCTAGTTTTTTTAGTCGCAGTAGATAGGCTTTGGTCAGTCTTCTAGTTTTTATGTAAATAGGATTAATGTAGGAAAATTGTTTCGCTCAGTTTACATGCTTATTATCGTAACTTCCACGGTTAGGTAACGAAGGAAAAAAAAAACAATCATGTATTTCCCAGTACTTATTTTTCACATTTGGAAAGACTGCCGCTTGAATAAGACTTTGCGCTGCGCGTAGTAGTATTATTGGTAGGCCGGTAGTCACAGTAGTTGTGATTTTCGCCTTAAAAAACAGTAATTAAAACGACCTATTTTTGATGTTATGTTTTTGTGGAACTTCAAAGCGCGGGTAGCTTGTATCCAGTAGTTAACGCGCTTCCAGTGTCAAGGGCGAGAAATCATGCAACCACGAACACGTTCATGAGTACATGAAGTCAGTGATAAGCGTGGGAAAATGCAATCATAGATGAAATTATTCAATCGAGCACAGGAGGAAATGTCAGCTGAGACAAGTGCGGTTGACAGTCGAAACATTTCTATATTTCAGGGAAAAAGCGATGATTAAATTAATTGGGTAAATCGTCAAAGTTAGCGACCATTCTTTCTTAAAAAAAAAAACTCAGTGCTCCAAGAACTCAGACCAAAATTTGCCAGGCTTCATCGCATCAAAGATTATCTAAGTGAAGACATAACGAATCACCACATTAACTAGGATAACTTTTATTTAGACATTATCTCACGAATCTCTCGCGTTGAAACAAGTGTTTAGAGTCATTCATTTAGAGACTTCGTAAAAAAAAAGTTCCTCTCAAGCTGTTTTTATGATCAGTCGGTCTGTAAGTCTAACCGAATTTTGACAAATAGTCAAACTTTCCCACTCCTTCCCTTTCGTCTTTGAAATGGTAAATGATAGTGTGACACTATGCACTTACTCGTCCTCAGTTTACTCCAAAGGTGTGCGACACTAAAGAAGGAGAGGAGAGGGTGACGGTTTCCTCTTGCCCATTCCGCTCGCGCTTCCATCTTACCCGCGTCGATGGCTCCAATTTTGAAGACTGAGGACGAATCAGCCACGCAACTGTTCGTTAACTTAAGTGGCGTGGTTTTGCGAAGAAAACCTACGGATGAGAACATTTTTCAGGACAGTATTTCGATGGAAACTGAAACTGAAAACGGAACGTTTGTATGAAGACTTGGTCCCCATCGATCGAAGGTTGGATGACGCTTTCTATTAGATAAATCCGTGGACAGAGCATTAGGATTTGTCAACACAAATCTACCAGATAGCAATTTATCCGTTGGATAGCGTCATCCCCTCTTTTTTTTTTCTAACTTATGGCTTTCCCATTCACAGAACGCCCTGTTTCTCTCTTCCGTAATCTACCAGATCTTCTTAAGCGTACCGCCCTCTTGACAACGCCTCTCTTAAGGGTGAAAAACATAAGACCTTGTTTCTTTTTAGTTGGTCGACCACTTAAGTCCGTTATGGCTTGTGGAATTCATGCACGTGATCTGAGTAGCTTAGGCACGTAGCTCTTAACCGCGCCCTCGTTCGTGCTTCTTAAGTTTCAAGTCTTACAATTGGAGATAAGCATTGTAGACTTTGTCTCATGATTGACAGAAATTTTCGAGTTCCTTTCTCAGCCTTCCGTATCAAAGACCAGAATTTCCTATATGTCCCTGTCGTCCACGTCTTCCCTCGGGGATCTCCCCCGGGTTTGGTGCACTCTGACACATTCTCCTATCTACAGGACCACGAAGTTTATGTCTATGATGCTGAAGCCAGGGATGTTGTAAAACCTCCTCCAACGTGGGTCTGTACGATGGGTGCTTTGTTAGGAGACATCGTAGCATATCTTGTAGATCTGCACAAGATGAAATACTTATATGAACCTCGGGGGAAGATAACAAGCCTCTTCAAGCCATTCATATACTGAAAATATACCGATAATCTCCGCTCTCTTAAAAAAGACCTTCTCTCACCCATAACCCCGGAACAAAAACATGGTGATAGTTTTGTTGTTATAAATTTGTTCAAGCCTTTTTTCGGGCCCTATTTTCACTACCGCTTAAGCAGTGATTATTCCTGCAAAGATCGCTTTCGTATTCATTTCTTATTCCGCAGTTCACATATATCATTTTTACATATTCACAGTCATTTATTCACCACTTCACAGGTTCGATACGAACCAGCATAATGACCAGCTCCCAGTTGGTTTGTTAGCTCAGTTGGTAGACCACTGCACCGGTATCACAGGGGTCATGGGTTCAAATCCCGTACGAGCCTGAAGCCATATTTTCACCACTGCTTAAGTAGTGTTCATTGCTGCGAAGATCGCTTTCATTTTCAGATTTGTTCTATTTAAACCTCTGCCCTCCCTTCAATACACCTTCCTCTATTTATACCCCCCTCTAGTGAGCTACCTTTTAGATGAGTTTCCTCTCTAATAAGCCTCACTCTGGTGATGCTCCCTCCGATAAGTCCTCTCTCCAAAAGCCCCTTTTATAATAAGCCCCCTTTAATTCATCCTCTCTGAAAGGCCCTTTTTACTAAAACCTCTAACAAATCCCCTTTATTAATCCTCTCTTCCAGTCCCCTCCTTGATATGCCCACTTTTCCTAAAGGCCCCCGTCTACCAGTCAGAAGAAAATCAATAAATTGGATTTGGTTCCGAGAAAACTTTTAACAGACTATCCACCTCTCTCATAGCCAAACGCCACCCCCACCCCACTCCCCTCTCAACCCTCGCCAATCTGTCTAGAAATCAATAAACCCCACACGGGTTTATAAGGTCCTTAAGGCATTCCTTATCTCCAAGAATCTATATCCCTTTACAATGATAAGTTTCCCACCAATAATCGACCGTCTTTAGATTATCTTTTTGTCTCATTCACTCACCTTTACTGACATCATCCGGGAAATTCAACTCGCCTCTTACAATCTCTATTTCGTTTGAAAATGGCACGTCTCCCACGATCATGTTGTGCAGCAGTATTCCCAGTGACCATACGGTGGCTGGGCGTGCGTAATAGCGATGAAAACGAAACCACTCCGGAGGACAGTAGGCTCGAGTTCCTTGAGGAAAAACACAAGATGATGACTTCACTTGAAGGTTCGCTATATGAACGTTTTATTTTGGTTAGTGTTCGTGGACTGGCTGCTTGTGGGACTATGTCATTAGAAATTAATCTCAGGGGCTCCAGAAAACGGACCATTATCAAGGTACAGAAAGAGGTTGAGCTGTAATATCTCAATAGTGTCCGTTACAAGAGATTCGTTTCTACGGAACTTTCAATTGTGACAGAAGAAAACGAGTACCAAAATTAAGTGCTCATACTTTGATCTTAACTTTCAACTGTAGAAATCTCTTGGTCTCCTATTCCTTGGACCTGCTCCATAATTTGCTTCGCTTTGTTTTTAATTTAAAGGATGAAGTTTTTGCCAAAACAGTTTTTGTAAAGTCTAATACAAAAAGTCAAGTCCGTTGGAATGCCCAAAGCAAAAAGTTTAGCAAGCAAAGGTTTGCACGTGCGTTTTGAGATTGTGTACCATTCATTCCTGTTCACTGCACAGCACAAAATGAGAGGAATAAATTTTCCCCTTTGTGGTGAATTTCATAAACACTGTCGGATAATTGAACCTTGTGGTAGGAGCAACTTTAGCAGAGTAGAGTTTCGACTCCGAGCGGAACATTAAGTCAATCTAAAAATATCTACTTATTGACTGAGTGGGTCGAGATCATGAAGTACAAACCAAGCGCAGCAAGGTCACACGTTATGACCGACATCCTACTGTTTTCGCCATCCAGCCCTACAATAAGCGTTTTCACATTTGACCGCTAAACTTCCTGGAGCCGTGCAACTTTTTCTGGCCGTGCGCGCGCGGAGCCTTACGGGTCATGCGATAAATAGTTTAGTGCAAAAAAAAGTCGTCAAGAACGCTGCTGGTCGTTGCAATCAAAGCGCTCTTATGAAAATCGTGTGAAAGCCTAATTTTCACGTTAGTGTTTAAGTTGGATCGTTCCCGCAAAATTTTGGATCGATCGCGAAAAAAGGTTGCAACTTACCGGTATCTCTTCTACATAAGTTTTTAAAGAGTTGAAAGGTGCAATATCTCGCTAGTTGAATGTTTTTTTCTTTGAGTGGTCATAGCAGTCATAGCAGTCATGGAAAGTGGTATTTTTAAGTTTTCTAAAACTGACCTTCGTAGTCCGTGTACAAAGTGTTCTCAAGCACCGTCCCTGAACCAAAATCAATCAGCTTCACTTGCCCAGTTATAGAATCAAGCAAAATATTTTCATCTTTGATATCACGATGGAAGATTCCTTTTGCTTCACAGTACATCACTGCCTCAACTACCTGGCGGAAAATGTTTCTCGCCTCGTTCTCATCCAGTCGTCGCTTTTCAGTGATGTAATCGAAAAGATCCTTGTGGTACTTGGGTCTCTCTAGCACCATCACATACGCCTGCGCATGCTCGAAGTAGTCGAGAAGTTTTATGACGTTTGGGTGATCAAGAAATCTATGAAGATGGACTTCCATTGGTACTGGAACTTCACTTTCCTTAGGAAAAAGTTGAAAATAACTTCAGCTTTATATCAGACACCGAGCCAAGCGGTTCTGATAAAATTATTCGTGGAAAGATCAAGATGCTGAATTTTTTGTTGCTGCGATTGCGATAATTTCCGCACCGAAATGCAGTGGGCGTGGAGCCCCTTCCCTCTTTCATTTTTTTTCGGGTGGACTGGAGTTCTTACTCCTCCGTTATACCCTTTCGTATGAAAACTTTTGACGTTTAGATAATAATTTACCAACCCACATACCTCAAAAATGTCTACACCGAAATGTTGAGGGGGGGCGGGAAGTTATACCCCCTGTAATTTTCGTTTGGGGGGGGGGGCGTTAGACACCCCACGGACGTTCCCCGCCTCTCCTCCGTTACTCCCTCGCAAAAGAAAAATTTGCACTCGTTAAATAAGACGTTTGAATAAGAACTTACAAACCTACATACCTCATCAAAAGAGTATACGTTGCTCTTGGGAATGACCTTGATTGCGACCTAAGAAAAAACAAACAAATTCTATAATGATGATCCCCATACCCAAACCAACGTCATACAACTGTCACAATATTCGAAATTTTAAAATCGTTATCAAAATGATAGAAATCTTGTTATTTTCTTGATTTGTGATTGAAGTTTTTAATGCAAATTCAAGCTAAGGGGCCTCCTGTTGGAAACTGTGAGATATGTTGATCAGTCTTAATTTGATTCACATTTCTGGTTATCTCGTTTATCTATTACGTAACCAAAAAAACGTGTATGCGGCACGTGTTTTTTCGCCCATATGTGGCCTTGTTCCATGTGCTTGCAACGTGACTTTTCCTGTGTTATTTTCCAATTAGCTAGGAGCTGTGAGTGGAAATTAACCGAAGCGTGGTAATAAAATTGTAAATCAAGTGAATAAACTGTGTTTCAATAAGGAAGCGTAAAGCTTTTCCCCGTTTTCGACACCTCTATAATTTGTACAAAATCTGCCTCTATTTAGTAAGAGTACACTTTTCTGTCTGATTCGCCCGACAGGAAAAATCTTCTGTGATAAATGAAACAGCTAAGGCAAAGCATCGATACTGGAAATAGACAGGCCCAGATGTAATAAAATTATATATGTGATCGATAGCTGAAATAAAAAAAAACAAACAAACAGAAACTGGTTTCTTGAATTTGTACTGTCAACAGTTAGAATCAAATGAACCCTACTGCTGTTTCTTCTCCGACGAAAATTAAAAATCTAAATTCCGAGCCTTTTGCGATGGTGTGTTCATGGCAGTTCTATGCAAAATTTAATCATCAAGAACCTTTTAACTTGAACTTCACAAAAATAATCATTCGATTTGAAATATTACTTGTTTTTTTTCCTAATGAAAGTATATCTTTCCTTAAGCAATAATTCATAGACTTAATGATTTGAAAAATATTCGAGTGATGTTTGCTAAAGGGAAAAGTTACGTAACTTTTATATTTAAGTTACTTTCTATGGGTTACCTTCGAATTTAAACAACGATTCTTTGAATCAAAATAATTATCTTACAGGCATTTTTCGTAACCTTGAGTTTGGAAAATTTCATATAGATCACTGGAGGGAATCTCAGCTCTTTGTAGATAAAATCAGTTTATTGGAGGAGAACGTTATTTATGCAAAGCTGATAGACGATATACTTTCAAACTGATGTTCTAGAGCGACAATTATTTTGCAAAAAGATCGTATAACAGTCTCGCATTTCTGGCATTTCATAGAGAGAAAAAAGTCAAACCTCAACATATCATGAAAAAAAAACTTGAAGAAAACTTCACAAACACAATAATTGGTAACCAAGACAAAGAGTATTGAGTAGAGCGACTAGAGTATTGAAAGCCCACTTTTTAAGGAAAGATTTTCAGGATTTGAAAGATGTATGTGCTTGTGGAAAGCTGATATCCGAAAACTTTCCAAGTGAGGAAAAACCGGTTTTTTAAAAATCTCAAATATTGATGTCAAGTTTTTCAAAATAAAATTCAATTTCACCATTATGTTGATTTTTGAGACCACACTTATTCCTTAAAAATGAAAAAAAAATTAAAGCTCATTACCCTTGAATGATTTAAATGATTTGAATCAATACAGAACGTGTTTATTTTCATATTTTCTTCGCGAAATTTCGGTGAAACGACTATTCCAATGTGAGCTGGGAAAGCTTTACCTTTCTAAGAAAACTTTGGTTTTTCCTTACCTTTTCCCAATCTAAAATATTCATGCAAAATTCTTGTTATGCTAATTTTAACGTCTTACCACAAAACTCAATGTTATGGTTTAGATAATGGCTTTTGACACCTAGGGTGATAAGATTCTGCTAGTTGATTGCTCACTGTGTAAGATAATCGCCATGCAGATCAGTGGTGCAGGCTGATATTTATTTTCAATTTCATCAAGTACGCCATTTTACTCCAGAAAGAAGGTCGAGCACACATGGGTGACTGATTCAACTTAAACATGAGAAAAAAGAAGCCGCTTGAAGTTAAACCCTTAACAGCTGGGGCTGAACCATCCCTCAGACATTCGCTAATTGTTGAAATATCAGGAACCTTCGCCGCCAAAGAACTCGGGTTTATTGTGAGTCGATGACAGCTTGAAGAATTTTAATACAAAAATTATGCGGTATATTGTTCATCCATACTAAGCATCTTTCCAGCTCAATCATATTTTGCATGAATATTAAAAACTGAAAAAACAATGAGGTTGGAATTGGTAGCCAAGAGTTTCTTAATTTGCGGCAAATAAACTTGTCTACATGAGATAGGTTTATGAAAAAACTGTGCAGTCTCCATATGTACGTGACCATTACAAGGTTTCGATATAGCTGGGATAAATAACTTACAGCGATCGGCAGAACGCAGCGATTAAAGATAAAACGAAAAAAAAAAAAATAACCAGTGGCAAATTCTTAACAATGCCCATGCAAACCTCCGACACGAGGGTTTACATTAACACGTTTGATCATCATCACTTGGAACAATTGATCAGAACACACGATCAGAAAATTTTGATCTGGAAATTTGATTGGGTCACTCAATAACTATCACGATCTTTTTGTTGAATAGAATCACGCTGTCTTTTGTCGAGTCATGCGAGATTCGTGTTTTTTAAGACCATTTCACCATTTCCTATCTTAGATTCGATAGCTTATCCATCGTCCCTCTCTCCAAGTCATGAATTAGTTGTGAATCAGTGACAGGAAAAGAGATCACTTACTGCCAAGCCATCTCGAACCCTTGTTCCGGAATAAACAACAGCAAATCCCCCTTGGCCGAGGAGATGGTGCAATTCATATGTCTCGTTGAACTGCTGCTCCACTGTAAATAATAAAACTCTTGTTAAAATCTCACTTTCATATTCGACTTCAACCCTACATAAAATGAAAAGCACTTGTAGAATGATTATACCCTTGTCTTCGTCGTTTGAAGTAGATTTCTGAGGTGCACGCGTCACTCGACAAGGACTCCCTACGACATCAGTTTTTGTTGGCAAGTTGCTGATTTCTTCTGCGCCTCCATTCTTTTTCTTCCGTATTTTCGCCATTTTGTTCGCAGATCTTTTTGCTGTTCGGCAAATGACGGTCAGAAGCGAAGAAAAACGCTTAGCAGTGTCGCTCATAATACCGTTCAGCTTGTCGTGTTCCCCGGACTCAGAATCATCTAAATCATCAGTGGTAAGATTTTCGCCTTCCGTGACCTGTACGTGACATTAGAAGCACATACAAATACAAAAATTAAACCTGATAATGTCAACGTCAGTTGTAAGGGCGACATGTCACTGTACTTCAGTATTTGTTCTATCCACCAAACATCGGCTAAACTAACAAAACCCACAAAGATCTTTAAGTCATTATGCGCACTTTCTCGACCAATAGAATTCCCGAATGCACACACTCTAATTCGCCGTAGCCATCAGAAGGATTCTTTATAATGTCAAAAAAGACATTTTTTACAATGAATTTGAATTGCTCACCGCAAACAGCGACCGCCCGCCTATGATCCTTTGTTCGATGCGCGCCCTGATGGTTCGTTATCGGATATTCTTCAAAAATGACAAAACAATAAGATATGTGTTTCGAATATTAAAAGCTAAAATGTAATCGCACGAGCGATGACATTTGACGCGCTTTCTGCAAAGAGGTGATATTCATTTCATTGGATATCAAAAATACCAAACCACGACTGACTTTTCCTCCTTTACGGTTGTATTTTCGCGAGAATTCTCTGAATAATTCATGTCAGTGTCATCCGGTGAAATATTTAAGCGACGTCGTAAGAGTGACAGCTGGAAACAGAGAACAAGAGTAGTGTCTCGTTATGATTGGTTGGTATTTTTGATAAAAGCGCTTTAATCGCTCGGGTCTCTTCAGCATACAATGGCGCGCCATACGTTTATATCTTATTTCCGTTTTCCCCCAAAGGAAAAATAAAATCAATAAGAGAAATGTCTTATTTGGTAAGAAACAGTTGCCATCAAAATTTCTTTCGGCTTGAAAATCTCATTTCTCATCTTTTTTTTTTTTCTTTTAGTCGATCTAAACTTACGATGAAAACAATTTCATTAAAGATATCTTGGGGCCGCATTCGAACCTCAGTCGATACATTTAAAAACAGAAAAAAAATTCACAACGTTTCCTTATCCGATTTCTAAAGACAATGTTTTATCTGTGCTATCGGTTTGAGAATCGTAATCAGAGAGCGATATGTTTTTGTGATCTACTGGGTTTACAAAACATTAAGTTCGCTCGGCATTTATCAAATAGCCTGTTGTAATATGCAGCGCAAAACAGGACTCTTTCATTACGAATGCTCTCAAAACAAGCCCTCGGGCTAAAAAAAAAAATTACAATAAAAAGCTGCACTCGGAACAGAATCTTTCTGTTATGAGAAAAATATGGAATTCGATAAGCCCACGTACATGAAAAGCTGCGTAGGATGTGCCCCCGACCAGACAAGTCTAAAAGAATGTTAAAAGAACGCCATATCACATTCGATGTTTCGTCTACGTGGCTTTCAAACTTTGACACTGATATCGTTCGCGACAAGGTCTTCGTCCCTGAGGACATCCACAAGAGGCTACATGCACGTGATCTTGTTTTTGTCCACAGTCTTTTGGACGAGCAAACACAAATCCTTTTCCTTCCTTTGCGGCCATATTTCTTCGGGTATCCGTCAATGTTTAGGTATCATAAAAGCGTTTGGAAGTTTGTGATTACGACAAATGAAGAATTTGTTTACAAAGACTACAAACACAATCAACTAAATTCGTTTGAAATGAACCAGCAAGCGCTGCGATTTTCTTCTGACCAAAGCCAAACTACGCCCTGTCCTTTCTCTGTCTCAGTTTTACACAATTTACAGCTAACCTTTTTTTTTTTTACCTCATTGCAAGACCCGTCGAGATCCCTGCCAATATTCCTCGATTTCCGACTTGATATTGAGACCTCTGGAGACATGGGAGAAGCTCGGCTGGATCTTGCCATAATAATACATAGAAATTCAACGTTGCTTCATAATACTCTTCTAAACCCGGAGAAGCGTTCGTGTTCTTTTCCGGCCTACGAACGAAGTAAGAACTGAATTCACACATGCGCGCGACCTGTGACAATTCTGATCAGAATTTTAAAAAGATTTTTGTTTTTTTTCTCACTCCGACAAAAGCCAATCACACAAGCCAGACCTTGATATCGAATCGCCACTTATAAATTAGCGATGCCTTGCCTTTTATCGCGAGTATGATTATTTCATGGCTAACTAAGATTCATTTAGTGTTAAAAAGAGTAAAAAAAATTGAAAGCGACGCGGATTTTCAATTCGTTGCAAAATGTCATGCGGCATAACAAATGCCTTTAACTGCCATAGCGCTTGTCTGTTAATAATTTTAATGGGTTTCCTTTGTTATGTTTTCGTTCTAAAAAATGGATTCATACTCTCTCCAAGATTCCTGTCGATTTGTGCAAAGAAAATCGTATTAATTAATTAATGTTCACGTTGGTAGACAATTCACATCCTTTATGTTTTGACGTCAAGGAAATTTCCAGGCCATGAAGTAAAAAAAAATTTGGATAAATGAATAAATAAGAAAAAAAAATTTCAAACATCGAAAAACACGCTGAGTTAAACATCTTTGTCGATTTCGGAAACAGATGAACGTGAAATGATTGTTGGAGATCCATTTTTCAGAAAAGGAAATTTTGCATAGAAAAGTTAATGCAAAACTCCTTTACTTAAATTGCTAAACATTGTGAAGTAATTGAGCCGTGATGAAAACAAAGATGAATTATGTCAAATCGCTTTAAAAAAGGAGATCTTTCTCTGAGAAAAAATAAAAGCCGTTAATAAATTTCTGTTAAAATATGAGCACTTTCCCTACAATTACAGCGTGAATGAAATCTTTTGACAAACCGCGGTGATTTTACACTGTTCATCTAAACAAACGCTTACATTCTAAAAGTGACATTTCTTCTCCCTGTATGCAAATATGCAAATATGATCGATTCTTGGAGACGAAAGATAAATAACACTTAACGGAATCATGAAAATCATTATCCGTCGTAAGACTAGACAAAATTTCATGCGGCCAATTTTTGGTTTTTAACATTATTTGTAAACCACAACGTAACGAAGATCATGAAACCGCTACATCTGATTCGGGAAAACCGCAAGATCCTAGTCCAATATCGATATGTAAGCCCTGGTCAACTGTAGTAGAAAAAAGACATTTTTATGACAACACTCTTCTTAATACTAGCCAGTGTTATTGATCCCAACGATTTAACGTCAAAACATCCTCAGAACCTTGCATGTAAAGAGGTTAATGTATGATTGATATTCATAAAATCTGTGTAGAGAATGTTTCATTTATATTTGTGGAAAGTGTTTTGAACGTAATAACTTGGTCTGGACGGGAACCTGGAGGGATTGGATATAGAATATCCTAGTGTGTCCCGAGCAGGATCCCCGAAAGTTAAAGTGAAACTGATCCCCGGCTTGGCCCCGGCGTTGCCCTGAATGGGATCCCGTTTAGCAAGTGCGGAAAATCCCGGCGCAGTCTCGAACGAGATCCCATTGATTCTTGTGGAATATCCCGGCATATACCCGAACGGGATGCAGCAATTTTTTTTTTCGGAAAGTGATCACTCCTTACTCTTTCGACATTTTTCAGCCTTTAACTCCCATTAGCGACCAATGCAGAATTTCTCCTAACAATACCAATATAATATCAACGGTATCCGCCGCTTTCGCCCCCTATCGAGTTCGCCCCTCCGAGTTCGCCCTTACCTTATACCGTGTTCGCCCCCACACTTTTCGAGTTCGACCCCATCAAGTCGAGTTTGCCCCTTGATTGAGTGATATCCAGATGAGTTGATTCGTAAGTTGATGAGTAAATTCTTCAGTCTTAATTTCATAAATAAAGCTAAACGGGTACAAGTCTAACAACTTAAGCAATGCTGTCGCGATGAAAGCCTGGTTTGCATCTTCTCAAGTCTGGTTGTTACGATCAACACATTTCGTGTTCGTTAGATAAACCGTGTGGTTCTCTTTATCACAAGTTCAGTGTATACAGTTATTTCTGGTAACCCCAGATCCCACGCAGAGTATTTAGTTGATTCCGTCAAGCCAGTTCCCAAGCAGGTTCCACGCAATTGCCGAAATTCAAAATGGTCGTCGCTGACGTGACATTTGGCACATTCTGCTAGTGCCTTCGTCACAAATCAACTCATCTAGATATCACTCAATCAAGGGGCGAACTCGACTTGATGGGGTCGAACTTGAAAAGCGTGGGGGCGAACACGGCATAAGGTAGGGGCGAACTCGAAGGAGCGAACTCGATAGGTGGCGAACGCGGTGCAATTCATATCAACCAGATTAGTGATGAAAACGTAAACAATCCGTAAAAAATCGACTTATCCCAACAAGTCTTATATGCGTTTAGTCCTTACCCTTAGCCACCAGTCCCTAGAATGTAAATCGGTAAACCCCACCCTCCCCTCCCAGAGTGAAGTTTTACGGTTGGATTGAGGGTTTCATGGAAGTACAAATAACTTAGACTAAAGTTCAAAGAGTGTAAACTGTTAGGGGAACACAGGCAACCCAACCAGAAGTCTCATCGTCCGAAAGCACTGTTCAGGGTGATCTGCTTCATCGCCTTCTACTCTGAGAAATCGTTAGCGCCGATGCTCCGTTAGGTTAAACTCAAAGAACCACGAGGCTAGAAATATCTTACAAAATGTATCAACAAACAGAGACGATAAAGCGTTTTCACTCGAAACTTCAGTGGCAGCAAGTTCTCGCAATGAGCACTTTTATAGGTGAGTAAAAATTAGACATTTTGAACAAAAATTTTCTTTATTGGTATGTGTGTAACATGCTTTATAATCGAGAAGAAATTCCTCGCCGCTTATTTATGATTTCTGATTTGCTTTCAAATGGCTATTGGAAAAATAATGAATTTTTAACAACCTGCAGGGAATTTTTTTGTTTGAATACTTGAATGGCAGCAGGTATATTTGTATGTTCTGGTTGTTCGCGTCCATGTTTTTTCTGTCAGATATAGATTCACGTATAGGAAAACGCAGACGCTCGGGTCACGATTGGTTTTAATTTTTTTCCTGATTAGTTAGGGAAGGGATGTGAACTCTTTGGGCCAATCACATAGTCAATGTAATGATCAAGGCATTCACTTTAAAACTATTTTACAGATTACAATCTCGGATCAATGTCGCTTGTACAGGATCGCTTAAGATTCTTTTTCTTAATATAATTTTATTATTTTGTACTAACCTTTCGCTACCTTTTTACTCGCCCAGGGTTGAAGGGAGGAGGAGGGGGGTGGACAATGTTTTGAATCTTATGACTTTCAGGTGTCCTGATCAGCGGTTGATCGTGCACAGTGACTCAATCCAGTCCACTTGCTGATCACGTTAAGTTGCCATGGTTACAATTGCAACTTTCCGTAAAATTTATTCGGTCCATTATTTCTATATTCCAGGCTTCACTCTAGCAGTGTGGTACAATTTATGGAATACGGGATCACGGGTACCATTAGTGGGAACAGTGTCTTCATCCCTGGTCCATGAACAAAGAGGAGAAGGTGAGCGTTTGATAAATCTTTAAGTTGCTTAAATGCTTTCTTGGTAAATGTTAACTTAATCCGCCTCGCAGGCATACTGATTCATTGTCTGGTTCATTCGCTCCTTCTCTTCTTTGTAAGTACATAGCACCACCCCCATTCCCGCCCCCAAACTCCACGATAAGTGGAGCCATTCATTCCATTGGCTTAAAATTTCCTTCCTCGGCCTCCTCACACTTTTAGTACTTTTTTGTAGGAGTGTATATGACCTTGAAACTGAAATGCTTCTACTGCGACTCCCAAGACTTCGGTGAAGCATGGGAAACTCTTACCCAGGACACTGCATGTCAAGACAGTGTGTTTTCAACTTGTTTTCGGAATCAGACACTCCCGGGCAGGCAAACAACGGAAGTTATTGATCTCATAAGAAGCTGTGAACAGAAATGCAAGTGCTCGGACGAGGAAGGTTGGTGCGTGACTCCGGAATGCAAACCTCAGACGAAATGCTGTTGGGGTCAGGTATACTGTGAAGAAGAACAATAGTAAGACAAATGCACTCGTCGCGAATGGAGTTTATTTTTTGAAATCACCATTCAAGCTTGCTTTAGGCGACCGTTTACGCATTGCGGACCTATTATCACGCGCAATGCTAGCCTATTACTTTTCTCGGTATTTCAAGCTACTTGTAACCGTTGGACGCGGTACAATAATGCAAACTTGTGGAGTACAGCATTTGCCTATTTTCGTTAATTGTCTGAGTTTTCGAAGCTTACACTCAGTCTTCGTTGTACCAGGCTATAGGTATAAGACCGATTAACCAGACGGAGAACTGAAAGGAGACCATTTAAGGCGTCGCTAAACAGTTTTTTGACGCTTGAGAGATAACGCTCTCAAACAGAAAGGAATCCTGAATCGAAGATTACAATGATCATCTTGGGTAGGAGAAAAAAAGTAGCTGTGACGATGTCTAACACTCTTTATTTCTGTGTGAAATCATCAGTTACTGTAACAGCTCCCGAAACACATGATTATAGAAATTTTTTCTAACAGTATCTTCAATACGTGATCGCATAAATCTTCGCGTGCATATTGGTCGAGAGCCATTTTTTGTACAATTTTTAGCAATTAATAAAATAAAAACCTCGCTCTGTGAATAGTTGTTGCTTATATCCTATCATAAAACTGACGCACAGAAGCACTGTAGAAACCAGCTTGCGGTAGACTCGTTGTTTGTATGGGTTTTTCAAGCGTGGGGAGGCAAGCGTGAGAACTGCGCAAAAGGCCCAAAACAAAAGTTTGACTTAAAAAACAAGTTTAACAGGAAACCACATCCCAAGCGACTTACTATGAAAATATCATTAGACTACATAGATGGGTGATGAACTCTAGATGAAAATATAAACGACCATATTCGGTTTTTCATGAAAATTTTTCAATATGCAATACTGGTTGTGAGTTTTGTTACCAGGGAAACGCTATCTAGCTGAAAAAGCGAGTGTGGATCGCCCAAATTGCGGCAATGTTTAATAAGATCTTCACCATGTATACCCTTAAGCACTCGAGATCAGTGGTGGGTTCATTTACATTTTGAAGTCTGGAAGATATTTGTAAAATTAAAAAAAAAAAAAAGATAACACTTTACGAGAAACGAAGCCAAAGCAGCTGAGAAATATTGGGAGGTGTGGATTAAGATGGTCTTCCACCCGCATTTTAAAAATTTTTAATACTAACTGGGTCCAATTCATTATAATACCATTGGAAATATCCAAAAGTGTTGCGAATTGCACTAGTAATTGACATTTTGAAACCATGGCAACCAGTTTCCAGGCTCCCAAGGATGAAAAAAGGTACCCATCTGCTAAAAAGAATATCTAAAGAACCAGAGGTCCCATTGACTTATAAATGGTATCAAAATGAACTACAATGATTGCTCTATGCTGTAAACCTCAAAAAGTAAACTATCAAAGTATCTTTCAGAACAATAAAAATGTATTTCTGAGAAGTGCAATATTTTAGCCCTAATCATTCTAAATCAAAATTGAAATGAGATTCGTGCACTTTCACACAACTGCTTTTGTTCTTGTTCACAACACAGCACAAATACAAGAGAGAATTCACTGAAAATTTCAGTTCAATTGCTCTAAAAGAAGGAAAGATATCCTTTTTGCCGTAATGGCTACTAAAGCAAAATTACAAAAATGAGAAAACTGCGATTAAAGTGTCACCTTCCTTTTCTTGTTGTTTGTTAGTTTTTTTTTCATATTCCCTGTACTTCTTGCAGACTTTGCTTAAGGGTACGACATCCAGAATTTTTCTGGTTTCCAGGCTAATGGCAGTGACACAACCATTTAAAAAGGAAAAACCTCTTCTTTGCCAGGTGCCATCACAACATGCATTACACTTTACCAATCCATCTTGAAATGCATGTTTTAGGTTGTGGATTTCTTCTGCGGCACTGGTCATTGTTTCCACCGAAACTGCTTTAGTTGCCTTGAGCAACGCCTTGTTGTACAAGGCATTCGGTGTTTGCCTTGGAGGTTGAGGCATATTTATTAGCCGGCAAAATAGTATCGCTGCTGCGAGTCCACAGTCAAAGGATCGCATGCCATAAACAAGTCTCCTGTTGGCTTCAAAACATCACTGATTTCGAACTTTGAGAGACGATACAAAGTCCTTCACCCAGCCACACGAGACACAAAAGACGCGAAGATCGCTGGCACATCCTTTCCGTTTAAGAGTTTGCTCTTGCAAAATCAAACTGCATTCAAAGCACTCCTTACACGGCAATATTTCCATGTCGACTAAACGATAGCCTGTAATGAATGGATCTGTACTTGGTGCTTTACGATTAGACGATTCGGACAGCTTGCGGAGCGAAATTTTACGAGCAGAGGCAGAGTTTACGGTGTCTGTGTCTGCAGTCGAAGGAATTCCATCACCTTCGCTTACGCGCGTATGTATCTTCTTTGATTACTGATTTCCATGAAATCTACGCTTTTTAGAATATCCAGAGCGAACTTTCGGCATGATTTACCGATTAAATGGAAAAGATTTTTGTAAAACCTTGACAGTGAAATGTGAAAGCACACGTACGCAACAACGAAGGGATGTTTTGAAAAGTTCCCCCTTCATATGTGCCTACTTCAAATGCCTCAAACAAGTCAAATGAAGACTATTTTTTCAGGGAGGGTACCAGGGTAATTTTTGTTTGGTTCGGTGCACTGCGTATGGCTTTTTTCATTGTTTCTCCAGTTAAACAAACCGTTGCCATTGCCACTTTCGCATCGCAAATTTCTATTTAAAAAAAAAAAAAAAAAAAAAGAAAAGAAAGACCAATACCTGAGGATAGCAATTACAATGTGTCGTTGCCGGACGACAATTTGGAGTCAGCTGATTCGATTTTTTTTCAAACAACTTCATTCGCTCACGTTACTCCAAACTCCTCAACTCAATTTGTTTTAAAATATATTAAAGTTCACACGGCAGCCAGGTGGACAATCAGACATGGTTTGATGCTACTCTGGTTTGCAGATTTAATCAACTTGTTTTTATCTCACACACGAGCACGTGGCCCATGGGAACGAGCTGACCTGTCAATTCACATAGCAACACACAAAAAATAAATAAATAAATAAATAAATGTACAGGAAGCGGGAGGGACACAATGAAATTAGCAATTTCCATCGAAAAATACGAGACCTTAAGGTGAGTTGTCTGTTTATCCTAATAGATCAAAGTTCAGTTGGGTAATCTCGCTCGTTCCAGTTCTAACTCGGTTAGAGAGAAGAAGAAAACACGATCGAGCTGATTCCTCTACGGGAATGGACGAGACGAGTAGCGACATGGAAGAAACTAACGATCAAACACCTTATTTTGATAAAGAAACCGAGCAAGAAGCCTTGGTTAAACATTCAGATGTGACAATGAAACAAAGAACTCCGCCATACGTGTATTTCCTGACAGTGTTTGCGGCAATCGGGGGATTTCTGTTTGGGTATGACACCGGTGTTGTTTCGGGAGCAATGATCCTCATAAAACAAGAATTCCATTTGTCCTCTTTTTGGCAAGAACTCATTGTTAGTGCAACAATCGGCACGGCTATATTGGGTTCTCTCTTTGGAGGTTTTTTGAATCAAAGGTTCGGGAGAAAACCTATGCTCATTGTCTCTGGGCTGGTGTTTACTGTTGGGGCTGTTGTAATGGGTGTCGCTCGTTCAAGGGAAGTTCTTCTCATTGGAAGGCTCATTGTCGGCTTGGGAATAGGTAATTGATGAGAATGAAATGCTTTATCTATTTCAAGTATTGATTTAGTGATTGTGATAGAGTTTAAATTGTAGCTCGTTTTATGATGATCTCAGGGTAACTTTTCTTCTGCTTATATAATTATCTGCTTATATAATATAGAACGTGGGTGAGAGTTAATTTAATCGTTTACGTAACAATGTTTCAGCCTTGGAGCTAGTTCGGTAAAATTTCTGCACTGCCCCATACTATTGTAAAACAAATCTGTTTTCCCAATGGCAATGTATTGTTTTTGTCATTGTTTTCTCTCTCCAAGAACTGAATGCATAATGTAGTATGGGGCTGTGCGGAAATTTTACCGTTAGTTCTCGTGTTAAATCTATCTATGATCCATTTACGAGCACTAGTGTTACACCATGAGCAGTTATAACTCATGGGGTAACTCCAAATGACCATGCCAACTAATTTTTGTCATCTTACCGGTACCAGTACACATAAACAGATGATTGCTTTAACCCTTTCACTCCTAAGATCTCATTAGTAAATCTCCCTACTATCTGCCATACATTTCTTATGATTTTAGTTTGGAGAATTAGGTATTGGATCAACTAATTATCTTCTAATTTACAATTTTCTTCATTCTCATCACTTGTCTACTTGATATTGTATTGATATTGTGAAAATAAATTCTGTCTTGGTCACTCGTGCATGTATAAGGGATAAAGGGATTGTAATTTTTCCTTGTTTTTATATCATCTGCTTAAAGCTGTAGATTAACTCAAACCTGTATTAATACTTCAACTCCCAAGATCTGATTGTTAATTCTCCTCTCTAAGTGCTATACATTTCCTTGTAAATTAGTTGCAAGAATCTGGTGTTAGATTGAGGAAAAAAAATTACCTGATAAGTTTGAGTATTCTCATTACCTGTTTGGTGGAAAATGTTTGGATATTGTCAGGAGAGGTCATGTGTCAATCACTTCTGGGAGTTAAAGGGTTAAGTGGAACCATATTAAACAGTTTAATTAAGTCCTGAAACTTTTCTCCTTAATCACTGTATATTTCACTTGGGTGACCTCTAAATACAGGCTTGACTGTACTTGATATTTCAATGATGTCATTGTTCACCTTTAAATGGATATTTTGTACCCTGAAAGGGGTGTATATGTCTGACATTTTAGTTTGCAAATTTATAGTGAATTGCATAACCCCTTTAAATGTTCTGTTTTTTTTTTCTCTCAGGGGGAGCATCAGTCACAGTCCCTGTATATATTGCTGAAACAGCTCCATCAAACATAAGAGGTCGCCTTGTCACTGTCAACAATCTTTTTATCACTGGGGGCCAGTTTATTGCCTCTGTGGTTGATGGTATTTTCAGCCCTTACAAAAGAACAGGATGGAGGTACTTAAATAATTCTTTATAACTTTAAGTAAAAACACCAAGGTAGATAATTCTCTTGATACTCATTTCATTCTACAAAGCTGAATGTAAATGTGGTAATTTAGTATTATCAACTGAGTTGATAATGAAGAAATGTAAAATGGTTTCCATGTTTACATAGCCTGATGTAAACATGCAGGAGGTTGGGAGAACATTAGATACGCGTAGGAAACCACGACACAAAGCGGAGTGGTTTCCAGCTTATCTCGTGTTCTCCCAACCTCCTAAGTGTTTACATCAGGCTATGTAAACACGGAAACCATTTTACATTTCTTTTAAAAAATAACTAATGAAAGAGAAACTGTGTTTACATACGCTCATGTAAAATGGTTTTATGGCCAATCAGAGCATGCGCACTATTTGAATTATTTTATAATGTAAGTTGGCCACTGCAAAGAGTTAAAGCTGTTGAACTCTTTAATCTTCTCAACTCAGTTGATAATATTATATTACCCTGTTATACTTTCCCACTGTTGGAGCAGCACAGTTTCTTTAGAAATTTACCCCCCAGGTAAATGCTCTGATTTCATGGGGTAAGGTGTGGGGTGTGGAAAGGCTTCACATCTTGCACTTTAATTTCCAAATCGAGTAAGTTTCTGCTTAGATTCTAACTTCTAATTTAAATAATTTGTTAACCCTTTCACTCCCAAGATCTCATTAATAATTCTCCTTACTGTCTGCCATACAGTTCTTATAACTTGAGTATAGAGAATTTGGTTTTGGATTAACTTTTAATTCCCTTACTGATATTTTTCTTTATTCTCATAACTTTTCTGCTTGATATTGCATTGATATTGTTAGGAGAAATTCTGCTTTGGTTACTTATGGGAGTTAAAGGGTTGGGAGAATTTTTCTCGCCAAGATATCATCTCCTAGTTCATTGTGTGCTCAGGGCTGAACTTAAAGATTAATAATAATCGTACATCAATATTTTGGGACGTCTATTTTAATAGGATAGCAAATTTGTGAAACAATATACCTAATGATGTTAGGCAGGCTGAGTCTATTGACTCTTTTAAGTGTAAACTTAAGTCGTTTTATTTCAAGAGACTTTTCAACGTTTTTGATGGCGACAACTTTCTTACCTTTAAAATAATTTGTCCTAAATGTCACCAGGTAAATACCCTTGTTGCATGCACTTGTTAAGCAACCTATTTAGTCTATTTTTATTATTAAGTTATTTTAGGAGGGGGTTGGGTTGGAGCTTAAACCTAGTAGGGGACTTATGTCCTATTGTTTTTGCTCTGGTACTGCTTTGTACAAATCCTTAAATAAATAAATAAATAATAAATAAATAAATAATAAATAAATAATAAATAAATAAATAAATAAATAAATAAATAATAAATAAATAAATAAATAAATAATAAATAAACGAATTGGTCTCCCATCTACTCTCTTTTGCTGTCAGAAAAATCTATGGATATTGTAAAGAGACAGTCCTTGTTAATTGCACCTGGGTGTTTCAGAGATTAAAAGTCTCAAACTTGCAAAATAATTTTTTTCAGGTTTTTTGTCAGGTGAGGGGGAAGGGGGGAGGCAAAGAAATTATTGCAAATGAAAGGAGCTGTTTCCACCACAAGATTTGCTCAGATGAGGGATGCCTCTTCATCCATTTAAATGCTGACTTTGCTCATAAGATCTTATTCAGCGATCTGTTGTAGCAAGTAGACTATAACTTCCCTTCAAAATTTCATCCAGTCTGTTGTCAGAAAGTTTTACATTTTTTTCTTTCTATTTTCATAGATTTATGCTTGGTTTAGCGGCAATACCATCCATTGTTATGTTCTTTGGATGTCTGGTGCTGCCAGAAAGTCCCCGCTGGCTTCTCAGCAGAGGGTTCTCTCAGGAGGCTAAGAAAGTTTTGGTCAAACTGAGAGGCACAGACAATGTGAAGGATGAATTTTCAGCGATGCAAACTGTATGTGAAGAGGAAGAATCATTTCGCAAAACTAGTAAGTGGTATCAGTAGCAGTATTGTGGCCTAGCATCTTTGTACGAATCTGTTATCATTAATTTGTGAGAAAAGGTGTACAATACATCACTTTTGAGGCTAAGACTTACAAGTTGATTTAGCTACATCCAGCAGCCTTAAGGTCATGAATTCACACATTTTTTAAAAATCTTATTTTATCGATAGACTTAACACACAACAGAGTCGTTTTAAATTATTTTGCTTTCTTTTTAGAATCATTTTCCTTCAGTAAAAGCACAACGTTTCAGATGGTGGCAACCAAAAGTACAAGGAGAGCTCTCCTGGTGGGCTGTATGTTGCAGGCGATACAACAATTGTCAGGGATCAATACTGTTATGTAAGTGAAAACGTTTTTAGAACTTCTTAATTTAAAATTTAATGTCTCGTAAGTGGACAACTGAAGTCATCTGAGATGTGCCGTTAGCGCGCATGCTCCAACAGTGGTACTTGAATCATACATAAAAACACACACAACTGAATACAAACCATTGCTCACACTGAAATGGACATTTGCGTGAAATGTTCCTAATTCTCCGTCGCTTAATTTTTAGCAAGAATTTGCCTTTTTCAATTGTTTTTCCCAGTCTTGAAAGGTCTCTTGAATCTCCATAAACGATTGCTAGCCAGCCGAATAATTTAATTTTTCTCGACCAATTTGTAATTTAGGTCGTCAAAGGGCGACTTTGAAATAAAAGTTTTGCTTGGAATCCAGGCATGACCACTTTTTTTAGCTTAAAAACTTTAAAAGTGAACTTATATAGATTGGCATGCTTCCTAAGGTATTTACTGCTTCTCTATTCCTAAGCACTACACGAGATGAAGAGGTTCGACTGCATCTTGCAGAGCGGGCGTAATTTTGAAAAGTCAAAGCTCAGTATTTTCTTATAGTGGCAGCAAAGGTTGGGGACAGAAAGGAATTTGTACTCGTGGGGTGAGCGACAGTTATAAGGAGGGAGAGGAGAGGAGGTGCGTCTTTCCCCGCCCCCTCCCCCGTACGGTTCACTCTAACTCCAAATCAAACTTTCCGATTGCAAGCTTGTAACGTTAATTCGCCCAAAAGGATGCTTGTAATGCAGGCAAATTCAGAGTTTCCATGTTATTTCCAGGTACTACAGTGCAACGATTATACAGATGTCTGGTATACAGGGAGACCAGTTGGCCATCTGGTTGGCTGCGGTGGTCGCATTCGGTAATTTCGCTTTCACCATAATTGGAGTGTTTCTTGTAGAGAAGTTGGGACGTCGTAAACTATTACTCGGGAGTCTTGCGGGGGTCACTCTTAGCTTGTTTCTACTGGGTGGGGCATTTTACATGGCGAAGCAACACGATGCTGCGATCACATTTCACGAGAAAACGCTGTCCGACCTAAACAACAACAAATGTCCCGCGACTGGGTACTGCTTGGATTGTCTCAAAGAAAAATGTGGATTTTGTTATGCTAAAGACTCTACCAGCAATCCTATAAATGGTTCTTGTGTTCCAATCAATTTATCTTCTAGTGATAACACGGCTGCATTTGGTAGATGCAGTCGCAAGGATCATTCAGTAACATGGTCGTACCAAGCTTGTCCATATAAGTATGCCTGGTTAGCAATTGTAGCTCTTGTTTTATATATCGCTGCGTTCGCTCCGGGGATGGGGCCAATGCCATGGACTATAAATTCCGAGATCTACCCCCTGTGGGTCCGTAGCACAGGAAATGCGTTTGCTACAGCAACGAACTGGACATGTAACTTGGTGATTTCCATGACTTTTCTCTCTCTGACTGAGTGGATTACGCGTTACGGTGCATTCTGGCTGTACGGGGGAATTTCAGTTTTTGGCTGGTTGTTTTTCTTTGTTTATCTTCCTGAAACGAAAACGAAATCGTTAGAGGAACTTCAACATTTATTTTCATAGTAAACAATAACAGTTTTGAATTTTGATAATTGAATTTTTTGGTGGAACTTTAAAATGGTCTATGTGATGGAACGATTCCTTATGCTGTACCTTAAATATTGTGGGATGCGTCATGTATCTTTTCCAGCCGCTTTCATATCACTGTCTTAAGTTTGTAAAGGCTATCGTTGTTTCACTTGCTACCCTCGCAGGAGCAAGATCAAAATAAGTCTGCTCACATTTCTTTTAGTAATCATATTGTTACGTTGACAAGATCTATGTTTCATAAGTGGCCTTGATATGTGTGTTGTACCCTAGCTACTATTAGTTTACATAAGCCTTTTTTATTGTGTTTCCTTTAGTTCAAACCATACAACCACAACTACAACTTGGCAACAATCACAAGTACATCCGATTTCTACTTTTCATTCTGTTTCTCATCAGCATTTTTTCAATAAGCATTCTGATTGTTTTTACGTGGTTTTTCTGGAATTTACTCAATGTGGGTTCGAGTGTTATCAAGCTCCTGGGGTTAAGTTGCCCTTATGCTAATGTAAACGGGGCTTCGATCCTGGAAAGTTATAATATGAAAGTAATAATTTAAAGGTGAGATTGTCACGAAAGTTTCTAGTCACTGCTGGTGTCCTAGCGGATATGGACCCCCCTAGATTTGGACCCCCCGATCCAAATCCGCTAGCGGATATGGACCTCCCTCCGCAGATTTGGACCTCCCAACAGAACTGAGTGAAAACATCATCCTTAACGTTCTCGTAGAAATAGATAATACTTTACATTTCAGTGCGTATTAAAGTCTGTTTTTAACTCAAGATATGCGTATCGCCAATGCATGCGAACTGGCAGCTAGAAATGACCCGTCGGATGTTTCTTTTGACCAAGGGAAAATGTGCAAGCTTTTAGCTCAATGTTCGGAGAAAGGTCGTTTTTGAACCTTTTCCGCGATAGTCGAACACCGCTAGATTCAGTAAGAGTCAACCTCATGACACTAATTTATTTTATTGTTCAATGCCCAAGTGTTGGGACGACATGGTACAGTTCGAGTTTGTTATTTCAGATCCCTCAACAGTTAATAATCGTTAAAATTAGAAAACAAGATTGAGTTTGATGAAACAGTCTCCACTTTTGTTCAGACGAAGACAATGTTGATTTGCATCTGAAAATAAGCTGAGAGTTCCAATAGTTCAGAATAGAAACATTTTTTCTGATCATAGGCTTTACGAACGACTTTTAGTAGGAGTTGTTACTTCGTCCTTGTTCAGAAACTTTTTAATGTTATTTAATTAGAAAATCAGACTGAGTTATTTTTGTGACTGGACGCAATAGTCACCACTATTGTTATGACGTTTCGTATCAATGTTGATTCGCATCAGAAGAAACAAAGATTTACTGTTACAATTTCAATCGTTCGAATGCAGTAGTGTGTTCGCATCCAATTCTTGCGTGTACTGTACCACTCGCTATAATAAATGCGGCAGGATTGGAACGAAATGGCTGGTTTTTTTTTTTTACCTTTATTGAGGAATGTTGTGTTGTGATTGAAAAGAACATCGACCAAAAGCTTGCAAATAGAATTAGTTACCAAATATGATACAATCGATGCTTAAAAGGAAAGTTTGGTAGGGGGGTCCAAATCTGCGAAGGGGGGTCCATATCCGCTGTGACACCGGGTCTAATTATACTCCTGTTTGATATGCTACGGTTATTTTCAAAGCTTGTCGGTAATTCCTCCCATCTTCTCTATCGTCATCAAGTGTTCTCTGACATCTTTGTTTTTAGAGGATCCGTACCTTGCGAACAGGGCGGGCCTGAGGCAGTTTTTAAGTTAGTGATAAATATCTTTATATGTCGTGCCTCGCCCAACGTTCCGCTTGTTTGCCGCACACTAGAAACATCTGATCGCCTTCGAAACCTGGTGAAACTTTCTCCACACGGAAATCATTCGTTAAACACTGACTTGACTTAGACCTTATTACGTGATTATTTTAAAGCAATCACGCTTTTGTGAAAGAAGCCGACCAAACTTAGTGCGTCATGCATATGAAACAACTTCAAAGAAGTCGAACACTTGGTAAGAGTATCGAGAAGAAGCCATTAATGGAAAGTTCCAGTGAAGCGAAACCAAGAATTCCAGTGTGCGTGTATATTTTCACTTTCTTCGCCGCCATTGGAGGCTTTGAGATGGGATACAACTTCTCGGTCGTTTCCGGAGCAATGATCCTTATAAAAGAAGAGTTTCATTTGTCGACATTTTGACAAGTGCTCATCGTGAGCGTAGCTATTGGTACAGCGATAATGGGAGCTTTGCTAGGAGGTTTTATGAATCAACGATGTGGGCGGAAACCCCTGCTGTTAGCTTGTGCAATGGTGCAAAGGATAGGAGCCGTGGTGGAGGCAATTGCTACATCGAGAAATGTTCTACTCATTGGTAGGTTCATTGTCGGTTTTGGAATAGGTAAGTGAGAAAAATGAGGTTTTCCGTAATATCTGTAATATGCAACTCGCTGTGCAACATGCATGTTTGCAAACATTCAAATATGCAAATCGCTGTAAATCACGGAATCAAAACGGGTGTCACGAAAGTTAAGACCTAAGACCTAAGATCCTTGGAGAACTAAGACCTCTCGACAACTAAGACCTCTCGAAAACTAAGACCCCTCGAAAACTAAGACCCCTCGAAAACTAAAAACCCCTCGAAAACTTAGACCCCTCAAAAACCTTTTGGGTACGGGATATTTCAAAAGAAAGAATGAGAAGCCAAGGTGATCTTTACAACCTGGAGGAGTTACAATTTGGAGATCGTGAATTTCACTTGAGGTGTTTACATGCAGGTTACTGAACTTCAAAATTAAACGTTGAATCTAGATAAGTAAACTTTTTACTACTAAATTTACACTCTATTTAATTCAGAAAAAAAGTGAGCTTTCTGGCAGTTTTTAAGTCGGTGATGTTAAGTCGCATGTTTACCGCATGCTAGGAACTTCAGATCGTTTTCGAAATCCGGCGAAACTTTCTCCAAACGGAAATCATTCGTTAAACACTCGTTTGACTACGACCTTATTGCATGTGATTATTAAAATCGATCACGCTAGCAAGCTGGTGGTCAAGCCCGAGGCAATTTTTCAGTGGGTGATAAATATTCATATATGTCGTGCAGTGCCCAACGTTCCGCATGGTTGCCGCATACAAGAACAATCGCCTTCGAAACCCGGTGAAACTTTCTCCACACGGAAATGGTTAAAAACTTGTTTGACTAAGACCTTATTACATTTGATTATTAAAAGCGATCACGCTTTTGTGAAAGAAGTCGATTAAACTTAGAGCATCATGGATATGGAACAATTGAAAAGAAATCAGATACTTGGTAACAGTATCGAGCAGGAGCCATTAATGGAAAGTTCCAGTGAAGCGAAACCACGAATTCCAGCCTGCGTGTATATTTTCACTTTCTTCGCTGCCATTGGAGGCTTTGAGATGGGATACAACTTCTCGGTCGTTTCTGGAGCAATGATCCTTGTAAAAGAAGAGTTTCATTTGTCGACATTTTGGCAAGAGCTCATCGTGAGCGTAGCAATTGGTACAGCCATAGTGGGAGCACTTCTGGGAGGTTTTGTGAATCAACGATGTGGGCGAAAACCCATGCTGTTGGCTTGTGCTATGGTGCTAACGGTAGGAGCCGTGGTGGAGGCAATTGCTACATCGAGAAATGTTTTACTCATTGGTCGGCTCATTGTCGGTTTTGGAATAGGTAAGTGAGAAAAATGAGGTTTTCCGTAATATCTGTAAGATGCAACTCGCTGTGCAACATATGCATATTTGCAAATATGCAATCGCTCTAAATCACTGAATCAAAACGGGTGTCACGAAAGCTAAGACTTGAGACCTAAGATCCTTCGAGTACTAACACCTCTCGGAAACTAGTACCCCTCGAAAACTAAGACCCCTCAAAAACCTTTTGGCTACGGGATATTTCAAAAGAAAGAATGAGAAGCCAAGGTGATCTTTACAATCTGGAGGAGTTACAATTTGGAGATCGTGAATTTTACTTGAGGTGTTTACATGTTGGTTACTGAGCTTCAAAATTAAACGTTGAATCTAGATAAGTAAACTTTTTACTACTAAATTTACACTCTAATTAATTCAGAAAGAAAAAGTGAGCTTTCTGACAGTTTTTAAGTCGGTGATAAATATCCATATATGTCGTACCTTGCCCAACGTTCCGCATGTTTACCCCATGCTAGAAACTTCTGATCGCTTTCGAAATCCGGTGAAACTTTCTCCACACGGAAATCATTCGTTAAACACTCGTTTGACTACGACCTTATTGCATGTGATTATTAAAATCGATCACGCTAGCAAGCTGGTGGTCAAGCCCGAGGCAATTTTTAAGTGGGTGATAAATATTCATATATGTCGTGCAGTGCCCAACGTTCCGCATGGTTGCCGCATACAAGAACAATCGCTGTTGAAATCCGGTGAAACTTTCTCCACACGGAAATGGTTAAAAACTTGTTTGACTAAGACCTTATTACATTTGATCATTAAAAGCGATCACGCTTTTGTGAAAGAAGTCGATCAAACTTAGAGCGTCATGGATATGGAACAACTGAAAAGAAATCAGATACTTGGTAACAGTACCGAGCAGGAGCCGTTAATGAAAAGTTCCGGTGAAGCGAAACCAAGAATTCCAGCCGGCGTGTATATTTTCACTTTCTTCGCTGCCATTGGAGGCTTTGAGATGGGATACAACTTCTCGGTCGTTTCTGCAGCAATGATCCTTGTAAAAGAAGAGTTTCATTTGTCGACATTTTGGCAAGTGCTCATCGAGAGCGTGTAGGTTTTTCTCATAAGCTCAAGAACGGCGGCAAGTACCGTAATCAAAGGCTCCTTTGAGCACAGGCGCCTCAAACTCACGTTTCGAGAGAAAGCAAACGATTTTTTCATGAATTATAATCCATTAAAGCGCCACACGTTGTGTGACCCCGGGTTAAGTTTCGAGAGGAACCGTTGAGAATTTGAACACGTTGTATATGTGGTTACAATTGGGTCTTTCTATTTAATAATATCTGCTCCCCCTATACAATAAACTAGCCTTTGATTAAAATTAGCCAACACAAGTAGATGAACTATAAATAATCCGGTAGATACATGCGGTCATAGACTGCCTATTTTTATCATCTTACAGTAAGCAAAAATAAATGATTGCTTTCAATCCTAAGATCTATGCCTATTTTTATCATCATACTAGTAAGCAAAAATAAATGAGCCCTTTCACTCCTAACATCTTATTAGTAAATCTCCCTACTGTCTGACATACAATTCTTATGATGTTAGTTTGGAGAATTAGGTATTGGATCAACTAATAATTTCCTAATGTTTAATTTTCTTAATTCTCATCACTTTGCCACTTGATATCATGGTATTGATATTGTGAGGAGAAATTCTGTCTTGGTCACTCATGCACATATAAGGATTAAAGGGATTGTAATTTTCCTTTGTCTTTATATCATCTGCTAACACTTCATCTCCCAAGATCTGATTGGTCACCCTCCTCTCTAAGTGCTACACATTTCCTTTTAAATTAGTTGCAAGAATCTGGTGTTAGATTGAGGAAAAAACATTTTCCTGATAAGTTTGAGTATTCTCATTACCAGTTTGGTGGAAAATGTTTGGATATTATGGGAAAAGTCATGTGTTAATCACTTCCAGGAGTTAAAGGGTCAAGTGGAACCATATTAAGCAGTGGGTTGTCAGTGTCCTGAAACTTTTCTCCTTAATCACTGTATATTTCACAAGGGAGACCTCTAAATACAGGCTTGACTGTACTTGATATTCCAAAAGTATTGTTCACCTTTAAACAGCTATTTTGTACCCTTAAAGAGGTGTATATTTTTGACATTTAAGTGTGTAAATTTAAAATGAATCACAGAGCCCCTTTAAATGTTCTGTGTTGTTTTTCACAGGGGGAGCATCAGTCACAGTCCCTGTATATATTGCTGAAACAGCTCCGTCAGACATAAGAGGTGGTCTTGTCACTGCCAACAATATTTTTATCACTGGGGGCCAGTTTATTGCTGCTGTGGTTGATGGTATTTTCAGCCCTCTCAAAAGAACAGGATGGAGGTACTTAAAAACTTCTCAATAATTTTGGGTAAAAACACCAAGGTAGATAATTCTCTTGATATTCATTTAATTTTACAAAGCTTGAGGCAAATGTTCCAATTTCATCGAGGGAGGGGTGGGGTGTTAGAAGGCTCCAGGTCTTACACTTTAGTTTCTAAAATGTCGTAAGTTTCTGCTTAGATTCTAACTTCTTATTTTTATTAACCCTTTCACTCCCAAGATCTCATTAATAATTCTCCTTACTGTCTGCCATATAATCCTTATAATGTTAATTACGAGAATTTGGTTTTGGATTAACTTTCTTTCCCCCATCGGATATTTTTCTTTATTCTCATGACTTGCTTGCTCGATATTGCATTAATATTGGTAGGAGAAATTCAATGTTGGTAACTCATGGGAGTTAACCCTTTAACTTCCGTCCTGTTGTGGCAAGTAGACTATAACTTCCCTTCAAAATTCCTTCTAGTCTGTTGTCAGAAAATTTGCATTTTTTCCTTTCTATTTTCATAGACTTATGCTTGGTTTAGCAGCAATACCATCCATTGTTATGTTCTTTGGATGTCTTGTGCTGCCAGAAAGTCCCTCCTGGCTTCTTAGTAAAGGGTTCTCTCAGGAGGCTAAGAAAGTTCTGGTCAAACTGAGAGGCACAAACGATGTGAACGATGAGCTTTTAGCGATACAAACTATATGTAAAAAAGATGAATCACTTCACAAAACTAGTAAGTGGTAATGATAGCGGCAATATTGTGGCCTAACATCTCTGTTACCATTAATTTGTGAGAAAAGGTGTACAATACGTTGCATTTGAGGTCATGACTAACAAGTTAATTTTACTACGTCGAACAGCCTTAAGTCATTAATTCACACATTTTTTAAGTGTTATTTGATAGTCGACTCGACTCGACTCGACTATGCCTGCCCATATGTAGCAGTATTTAATCCTTTCATATTTATACTTGATTTAAACTTATTTTCTGTTAAATTTAAATTTCATGACTAAAATTGAAGTAAATTTAAAACAAATTCCTTGGTATACCTCATTTCCTTTCCAGCAAACCAACTGCAAAATCAAGAAAGTCTAAGGAATCGAAGCGTATCGAAGTCGTTCAGATATTCCGCCAAACGAAATGGCCGCTGATGATGAACATGTGACATAGTCACGTGACCCTGGTCGAGCTCGCCTCAGGAAGATCAAATAGAATTTCGCAGTTTAAATCAAAGACAAATTTTGTAACTTTCGATAAAATTTTGAAAGTTAAAATTGAAATGAATTCAAAGGAATGTTATTATATTACTACAGGAGCCATTACCCGGAGCCTCCATACCAATTGTACCCTTGAGTCAACCCTGTCCCGTATCTCTTTATTTTTAGAACTGAGATGCGTAGGGGGTTCTTTAATTTCCCGTGAAAACTCGCTGACGTTCGGACAACACCCTTGAAAAAAATGGTGTTCTTGAAAAACTTTCGTGCGGCCTGCATGTGACGTAAACAATAGAGGACCGCGAACACCCGCGAAAAACCCCGTGGGAGGTGCTTCTAAAAATAAAAAGATACGGGACAGGGTTGACTCAGAGGGTAAGTATGGAAGATGGAAGCTCCGGGTAATGGGCTCCTGATTACTACTAAATAGTGTTAAACGCGTTTAAATAGGAACTTGTTTTAAATTTAAATAAATTTTGAACGCAAGGTTTAAATTTAAAAGAAGATAAGTTTAAATAAAAAACTAATATAAGAGGATTAACTAATGCTACACATGGACACGCACAGTCATTTTAAGTTATTTTTATTTCTTTTTTTAGAATCATTTTCCTTTAGTCAAAGCACAACATTTCAGATGGTGGCAACCAAAAGTACAAGGAGAGCTCTCCTGGTGGGCTGTATGTTGCAGGTGATACAACAATTTTCGGGGATCGATAGTGTTATGTAAGTGAAAACGTTTTCATAACTCCTAATGAAAACTTGATATCTCTTAAGTAGACAATCGAAGTCATGTGGGATGCGCCATAAGCGCGCATGCTCCTACAGTGATCACCTACATAAAAACACACACAACTGAATACAAACCTTTACTGACACTGAAATGGACATTTGCGTTAAATCTTCCAAATTCTTCGTCGCTTACTTTAAAAAGAATTTTCCTCTTTCTAGTTTTTTGTCCCAGTCTTGAAATTTCCCTTGAGTCTCCATAAACGATTGCTTGCCAGCCGACTAAACTTTAATTTTTCTCGACCAATTTTTAATTTAGGTTGTTAAATGGCGACTTTGAAAGAAAGTTTTGCTTGGAATCCTGGAATGACCACTTGTTTTCACTTAAAAACATTAAAAGGGAACTTATATAAATTTGCATGATTCCTAAGGCATTTACTGCTTCTCTATTCCTATGCGCTACACGAAATGAAGTGGTTAGATTGTAGCTTGCAGTGCGGGCGTAATTTTGAAAAGTCAAAGCTCAATATTTTCTTATAGCGGCAGCAAAGGTTTGGGACAGAAAGGAATTTGTACTCGTGGGGTTAGCGACAGTAATAAGGAGGGAGAGGAGAGGAGGTGCGTCTTTCCCCGCCCCCTCCCCCGTACGGTTCACTCTAACTCCAAATCAAACTCTCCAATTGCAAGCTTGTAACGTTAATTCGCCCAAAAGGATGCTTGTAATGCAGGTAAATTCAGAGTTTCCATGTTACTTCCAGGTACTACAATGCAACGATTATACAGATGTCTGGTATACAGGGAGACCAGTTGGCCATCTGGTTGGCTGCGGTGGTCGCATTCGGTAATTTCGCTTCCACCATAATTGGAGTGTTTCTTGTAGAGAAGTTGGGACGTCGTAAACTACTACTCGGGAGTCTTGCGGGGGTCAGTCTGAGCTTGTTTCTACTGGGAGGGGCATTTCACATGGCGAAGCAACACGATGCTGCGATCACATTTCACGAGAAAACGCCGTCCGAGGTAAACAGCAGCAAGTGTTCCGCGACCGGGTACTGCCTAGATTGTCTCACAGAAAACTGTGGGTTTTGTTTCGCTAAAGACTCTGCCAACAATCCTATAAATGGTTCTTGTGTTCCAATCAATGTATCTTCTAGTGATAACACGGCTGCATTTGGTAGATGCAGTCGCAAGGATCATTCAGTAACATGGTCGTACCAAGCTTGTCCATATAAGTATTCCTGGTTAGCAATTGTAGCTCTTGTTTTATACATATCTGCGTTCGCTCCGGGGATAGGTTCAATGCCATGGACGATAAATTCCGAGATCTACCCCCTGTGGGCCCGTAGCACAGGAAATGCGTTTGCTACAGCAACGTACTGGACATGTAACTTGGTGATTTCCATGACTTTTCTCCCTCTGACTGAGTGGATTACGCGTTACGGTGCATTCTGGCTGTACGGGGGAATTTCAGTTTTTGGCTGGTTGTTTTTCTTTGTTTATCTTCCTGAAACGAAAAAGAAATCGTTAGAGGAACTGCAGCATTTATTTTCATAGTATACAATAACAGTTTTGAATTTTGATAATTGAATTTTTTGGTGGAACCTTAAAATGGTCTATGTGATGGAACGGTTCCTTATACTGTACCTTAAATATTGTGGGAAACGTTAAAGAAGACTTCTCAACTTGACGAGATATTTTGTTCTGCCTATTTGTGCAGCTCTTGATGGTTGAACAAATTCTCCTTGTCATCACCTAAGGAAATTTCCAGGGAACAGTGCAGAGATTATGCATATTGATGTTAGGGAGTAAAGGGTTAACAGTTTGGGCGTTTTCAAGTTTTTATTAGTAATGCAGCTATCGCTCGATATCAAGTTTTATTATGTAACCTTTGGAATCGATGTGAATAATAACCTACGTGTAGCTGTGCCCTCCCCCCCCCAGGTGATACGGAGTGGAGGGTGGGGAGGGTACGGCTACACGTAGACTATGTGATTAGCCTCACTACGTTTTTATTATTCAGTTGCGCCATCTTATTCTATAGCTATCTTAATTTTGTAAAGGCTATCGTTGTTTCAATTGCTACCCTTGCAGGAGCAAGATCAAAATAAGTCTGCTCACATTTCTTTTAGTAATCATGTTGTTACGTTTACAAGATCTATGTTCCATAAGTAGCCTTGATTTATGTGTTGTACCCTAGCTACTATTAGTTTACATAAGCCTTTTTTTTATCGTTTTTCCTTTTAGTTCAAACCATAAAACCACAACTACAACTTGGCAACAATCACAAGTACATCCGATTTCTACTTTTCATTCTGTTTCTCATCAGCATTTTTTCAATAAGCATTCTGATTGTTTTTACGTGGTTTTTCTGAAATTTACTCAATGTGGGTTGGAGTGTTATCAAGCTCCTGGGGTTAAGTTGCCCTTATGCTAATGTAAACTGGGCTTCGATCCTGGAAAGTTATAATATGAAAGTCATAATATGAAAGTCATAATATGAAAGTCATAATATGAAAGTCATAATATGAAAGTCATAATATGAAAGTCATAATATGAAAGTCATAATATGAAAGTCATAATATGAAAGTCATAATATGAAAGTCATAATATGAAAGTCATAATATGAAAGTCATAATATGAAAGTCATAATATGAAAGTCATAATATGAAAGTCATAATATGAAAGTCATAATATGAAAGTCATAATATGAAAGTCATAATATGAAAATCATAATATGAAAGTCATAATATGAAAGTCATAATATGAAAGTCATAATATGAAAGTCATAATATGAAAGTCATAATATGAAAGTCATAATATGAAAGTCATAATATGAAAGTCATAATATGAAAGTCATAATATGAAAGTCATAATATGAAAGTCATAATATGAAAGTCATAATATGAAAGTCATAATATGAAAGTCATAATATGAAAGTCATAATATGAAAGTCATAATATGAAAGTCATAATATGAAAGTCATAATATGAAAGTCATAATTGAAAGGTGAGACTGTCACGAAAGTTCCTAGTTACTGCCGGTGTCCTAGCGGATTTGGATCCCCCTAGATTTGGAACCCCCGGTCCTAATCCACTAGCGGATATGGACCTTCCTCCTCAGATTTGGACCCCCCAACAGAACTGAGTGAAAACATCATCCTTAGCGTTCTCTTAGAAATAGATGATACTTTACGTTTCAGTGCGTACTAAAGTCTGTTTTTAATTCAAAATATGCGTATCGCCGATGCATACGAACTGGCAGCTAGAAATGGCCCGTCGGATGTTTCTTTTTTTTCCTTTTTATTGTTTTTCCTTTTGCTCGAACCATACATTCACAACTGCAACTTGGCAACAATCACAAGTACAACCGATTTCTATTTTTCATCCTGTTTCTCATTAGCATTTTTCCAATGAGCGTTCTGATTGTTTTTACGTGGTCTCTCTGGAATTTACTCAATGTGGGTTGGAGTGTTATCAAGCTCCTGGGGTTAAGTTACCCTTATGCTAATCTAAACGGGACTTCGATCCTAGAAAGTCAAGGACCGGCGCAATTACATTACCATCTCTTTTGTTGTGGAACACGATTGGTACACAAAGCAAAGATAAGGCACTGAATAACAACGACAAGTAAACTTCGTCCAAACGCCTTTTTAAACCATTTTGTAAATTAACACGCGCATACGCGTATAATACTAGACTACACGAGTCTGCGAAGTCCCTGATCGTTGAAATGCAGCTCTGCTCAACTTCCCTTGCAAGCCGGTGGTCAAGCCAGAGGCAGTTTTTGAGTGGGTGATCAATATCCATATATGTCGTGCCGTGTCTAACGGTCCGCATGTTTGACGCATACAAGAATAATCGCTTTCGAAATCCGGTGAAACTTTCCCCACAGGGTAACGGTTAAAAACTCGTTTGACTAAGACCTCATTTCGTGTGATTATTTAAAGCGATCGCGCTTTTGTGAAAGAAGTCGACCAAACTTAGAGCGTCATGGATATGGAACAACTGAAAAGAAATCAGATACTTGGTAACAGTACCGAGCAGGAGCCGTTAATGAAAAGTTCCGGTGAAGCGAAACCAAGAACTCCAGTGCGCGTGTATATTTTCACTTTCTTCGCTGCCATTGGAGGCTTTGAGATGGGATACAACTTCTCGGTCGTTTCCGGAGCAATGATCCTTGTTAAAGAAGAGTTTCATTTGTCGACATTTTGGCAAGAGCTCATCGTGAGCGTAGCAAGTGGTACCGCTATAATCGGAGCTCTGGTAGGAGGTTTTGTGAATCAACGATGTGGGCGGAAACCCACGCTTTTAGCTTGTGCGATGGTGCTAACGGTAGGAGCCGTGGTGGAGGCAATTGCTACATCGAGAAATGTTCTACTCATTGGTCGGCTCACTGTCGGTTTTGGAATAGGTGAATAAGAAAAAATTAGGTTATGCGTAATATCTGTAATATGTTAATCGCTAAGTAATATTTGCATAGTTAACGCTGTAAATCTCGGAATCAAGAGTTCTCGGAATCAAGAGTTCTCAGAAGCTCAAGAACGGCGGTAAGTACCTTAAAGGCTCTTAGCTCAGAGCACAGGCGTCTCAAGGTCACGTCTCAAGAGAAAGCGAACGATTTTTTCATGAATTGAAATTCTTAAAAACATCGCGCGTTGTTTGACCCGAGGGTTAGTTTCGAGACGAATCGCTTAGAATTTGAATACGTTATAGGGAATAATATGGGGAACGAAATATGGTCGATTTACGACGGTAAATATTTCGAAATTGTAACATTTTACGAATAAAAAAAATAAAACCTACTCACATCTTGTGTGTCCGTTATGGTTTTCGGCGTTTTCTGCCGTTTTAAGCTTGCTTTGCCGTCACCGTTATTCCTGTTATAAGACGATGTAACAGTGATTTTAAAGCAGGCTTAAAACGGCAGAAAACGCCGGAAACCACAACAAGATGGGAGTAATATCCATTGATTTTACGCGTTCATATTTTGAAATAATTATCGACACTACAAATGGAAATTATAGGTATGCGTCTCCTCCATTCTATGGGTTGAAGAGTTATGCAGCCGAATATCCTATTTTGGAATGAGTTGAAATACACCAGTCTTCGTAAAACCTCCCTCAAAAAAAGAAGAGATTTAAATAAAAACTAAATTGAGTTAATCTTTGCTTGTGGTGATATTCGGTTAGATAGATGACAGGACCTTACGTTTTTTTTTCTTTAATTGTTTGCAGGAGGGGTGTCTACTACCGTTCCAGTTTATATTGCTGAAATTGCGCCATGGAGTATAAGGGGTCGTTTAGTCTCCGTCTATTACCTATTTATGACGGGAGCTGAATTTGTCGCTTCTGTTGTTGACGGTATATTCAGCCCTTACAAGAAGACAGGATGGAGGTAAAGAGATCTAGAATTATTTCTTTTGTCTTTTATGTTAACTTACTTAGATTACTTTCAACAAATTCTGGTCAAAATTAAAAATTTTTTTTTTGCTCTTTAGTCAGAGAGAGCAGTCAACTTTAATTTTTCGACAGAAAATCTCATAACTTTAAAACGAACGCGATATACGGCTGAAAGAGGAACCCGTAGCGAAGAGCGAAAGAGTTGTCCTGGTTGTCGTAAAATGACGGAAATTAAGCTTCTCGCTGGAATGTGAAAAAGTCGATAAAATTGCCAAAAATCCAAAAAGTAGCTACCTAAATTTCTTGATTATATTTTACATAAACTTTGATTAAAAGGTTCTATTTTTGTTTTTCACAATAAATGCTAACATCGGTCAAGAAAACTTTATTTAAACTGGGTGTTATTAAACAGTCGATCAGCAGACCGCGGAACCTGTAGAACCTACAGAACCTGCGGAACCCACATTTTTTCGGTTTAAGAAAAGTAATGAGAGTTACCTCTACTGAAACGAATTAACATAGGTATGTAGATTTGTTGGATTTTCATGAAAATTGGCTGGAATGTTATTAACGCAGCAAATGTTGTGAGACCTATACGAAAATCGAAGTATTTCTCTTTAGACGTATGATCATAACAACCAAAATATTTTCGTTGACCAGCTTCCAAATAGTTTTCTCAGGAACCGATAGGAGCATCGAAAAAAGCCTCACACACTTTGTTAGACTACTGTCTGTTGAGTAAAACTGTTCAGTTTCTTTATTGGAGGCCCGCTGAAACGCGGAGGTTGGTAATTTAGTTAGGCAAACACCGCTAGTTGTGTTTAAAGGCTCGCATGTGCTTACCAAATCAAAAACTGTGAGAACTTATGTAATTTTCTCAGTGTGAGAATTTATGTAATTTTCTCAGTCTATACTCGACATGCTTTTTAGTGTTATCTAGTTTTCTGCGGTTCTTTAAAGGTAGCGCTCATACGACGATTTTTCCGAAAGGTACCCTATTTCGTTGACAGCTGCTATAATTTCTCATTTTGCAAATATATCAGCCATGGGGAGTAACGTTGAGATGGCCAAGTTAATGTATTTTCCTCCACTCCTCCACCCATGATCGACAAAATTTGCAAAACAACAACCAAACATATCAAACTCATGGGGTACAAATAGTCTTAAAATGAATGTAGTGACCACGCCCACTTCAACACCCCACTCAAATCGAGTGTAATTTTCGAATGTTTTACCATTGTGCGGATTCTCTACGGAAAAAGCACTCAATGTACCTCTGAAATATTAAACTATAATATTGTGGCTTTCTATTTCGCTAATTTTCTAACTTGAAGGTAAAGTTTTTCCCTCGTCATTTTTACCTTTTCTCCGAGCGGTTGCGTGAAATTAACAAGGCGTTTTTGATCAAAACACGACCGAGCGAAGGGTCTCGGGCGATATCTCTTTTACGCAGGCGCAAATTAAAAATGTACCGCCAGAATCAAAAAGAGGAACAAATTTCCTTTGTTTTGATATGTAAAGTGTCGAACAAAAAGCAGATTTACCTTCGTCAAATGGCATTTCAAAACAGCTGTATCTTCCTCCTTTTGATTTTTTCCTGTTTTGTGAGCGTGAAAGCAGTAGGAGAGGGATCGGGAAACTCAGAAAGCGCTTCGGGAATTAGTCTGCCATCGTTTACTTACAAGATAAACAAGTAAGATTTGTGAAGTTCGTTGAAGTACGAAGTCTAAATAAATGCCTTTTTTAAGCTTGTTTGCTGGATTTTTCGTAAACATCCCTGATTAGTTTTTCGTTTCAGCTTACTAATCTATACTATTTCAAAGCAATGAAAAGACGAAGACGGAGAACCATGAGTCGGTCCTTTCAACAATCGTAAACAAAGTGTTTGAGCAATCAGGTATACGAGGTGTAATTATCAATAGCCGCACATTAGAAGTCTTCAGAAAGAAAGTATTCTGTCTTCAGAAGGCTATCAAGAAAGCTAGTGATCGTGGCGGAAGGCAATTAAATGCGCTTCTTAGCAAGTTGGAAACGGGCTTTCGGTATCGATTTAATATCATATCGATCTCAGTATCATACAGTTTTGTATCTTTCCTCCGTGGATTCGCCTTTCTAACGAGGGTTTATGTTGAGTATTCATTGCAAAATCGCTTTGTTTTTTTCTTTCTTTGGCTTGTCCGCCATTTTGAAAATTCGTAACGGAAAGCATGCGCATTACGTGGGGTTAGTGGTTGCGTACACCTGGAACCGAGAAAAACAAATGCTCGTCGCTCTGGGGAAAGAGTTTGATATGTAACTTGATTAGGCACATAGCGAATAGGTCAAATGCTATCCCCACCAACCCATCCGCCCCCCCTCCCCCCCTTCCCAACCCACTTCTCTCCAATTTTCCACACAGTTTTATCAGGTTCTCTCATGGGTGCCTACGTAAAACTCCTCGTGAAGGAAGGCACTAGTCTCGTACCCAGGCCTTTCACGCCTAAGCCTACATTTTAGTTACAGTTGCAAAATAGGATCAGGGTACGAGATGGGGGAGGCACTGAGTGACCTTGTCAAGACTTGGGTACCAGCCAGCAACTTGCTTGGGATAAACTTAGGCACTAACCGGGCTTACGAATCAGATTCTACACTTATAACAATCAAAAAGTAATCGTATTATAATAGTTCTCGATCACAAAACCCTGACATAATACTCCCCAACCATCTTCAAGAAATTTATTGTAAAATCCTGTATCTCTTTGGTAGATTCATGTTTGGTTTAGCTGCACTTCCGTCGGCCATCATGTTCATGGGTTGTCTGTGGCTTCCAGAAAGTCCCAGTTGGCTCGTCAGCCGGGGCGCCTGTGAACATGCAAGGGAAGTTCTTGTGAGAATTAGAGGAACGGCGAATGTGGACGAGGAGCTGCAAGCTATACAGACCGTTTGTAAGGAACAAGAATCTTATGATAAGAAAAGTAAGTTTCTTAATTATTGGAGGGTTGGTTTATTGATTGACACCTCCACACGAAGCGTAAAACTCTTTTGAGTGGTTCTGTTTAAGTTTGAACCTGATGTGATCCCGAGGTAATAATGGGACATTCCGAGTGGGATCCAGTTGTGCGAGATCGCAGCAGAATTCAGACGTGGCACGGGGAAGAATTCCGGCGTGATTCAGTGGTGGTCCTGCATGGGATCCCACACTGTGCTCGAGTAGGTTCTGAGTGTGTTCATGTAAAGTATTTTTGTTGTTGTTCTGTTGTCAATGCAATGAAATTCTAGCATTCCGTTTTCTCATTTTCTTCAGTGGAAAATACCGATCGCTGATTAAGTTTTGTTATAAAACCTGAACTTTTGGAGACCCTTTCACAGCGAGTTATTTGGTGTCACAGAGACGTTTTCCGCAAAATAAAAGGTTGTCAATGTTGTTTTTAGGCAGATTTTATGAGATGTTGACCACGTCAAGTACAAGGAAGGCTCTTTTAGTTGGCTGTGTGTTGGTATCAATGCAAGATCTGTCTGGGATTAATTTGATTCTGTAAGTTAAACCGTTTTATTAACTACGCAACTTTCAATTTAAAGCTAGAATATAGATCTCTGGGCGAGCCAGGCAGAGTGCGTGACATAGCTTTGACTATAGGCTGATTGAAAGGGGCCTTTGTTGGGTTACCTTGTCAATCGTAAAGAATGCATTGCATCAAAGTAACAGGTTAGTAAGTAGAGATGCATTATTTCGTCAATATTTTCCACCCAGCATCTTTTCATCCCAAGTTTTGATGTTTTTTTGTAACCGTTGAAAAACCGTAAATTTTTAGCACTTTTGTCGGTGTTGGGCTCAAACTTGGAGAATCTTCAAGTGTGATCTTATTCTTTTCATTGTTGAGATCGATTTGGCGCCACAATCCTATTTATTTTCTGGTCGCTCAACCCCGGCGGCGGGCGGGGTACTTTTTAGTGATAAGCGAATGGGGCTGTGCCGCTTGATGAGGTCGCATTATCACGACTGGTTTGACTATAGAACGGGTAAGCTTTCAATGGAGTTATTAGAGTGGAGTCGTAAGATTTTCGGGATTTTGGGGTAAGGAAATTCTGGCAAGAAAGGATTTAAAAATAGGAAGACTTGCAGTTTAAAAGATGTTAGCGTGTTCTGTTTGATATTTAACAATCGGCTCGCATAAAAGGATGACCAATTTCTTTATAAGGTAGAAGCATAAACAGAAAGGGACTGGGCTGAGATTGTGAAAATTGCATTTGTCCCAAAGTTCTCAAAGGCCAGCGGCACATACCTAGCAAAAATTGACCTACGTGCCCCCTACCCCTGGTCTTCACATCAATAATAAAATAAAGTTTTGATAAAAGTGTTTTTTGTTTCCAGATCCTACTGTGCAACTATTTTACAGATGTCAGGTGTACAGGGAGACCGAGCAGTCTTCTGGCTTGCTGTGGTGATATATTTTGGTAATTTCATATTTCCCTTTGTTGGATTGTATCTGGTAGAGAAAGTAGGACGCCGTAAGCTACTATTAGGAAGTCTTGCCGGGGTCACTGTTTGCTTGTTTCTCTGTGGCGGTGCATTTTACATGGTGAAGCAACACGATGTCGCGATAACCTTTAACGAGAGAGCGATTTCTAATATCAGCAACAATTGTCCCGCCACCGGATTTTGCTTAGATTGCCTCGGAGTCCAAGAAAACTGTGGATTTTGTTATGCTAAAGACTCCTCCAATAATCCTATATATGGTTCTTGTGTTCCAATCCATGTATCTTTTAGCGACAACACGGCCGCTTTTGGTAGATGCAGTCGCAATGATCATTCAGTAACATGGTCGTACCAAGCTTGTCCTTATAAGCATGCGTGGTTAGCAACTTTAGCTCTTGTGTTATACATCGCCGCGTTCGGTCTGGGGATGGGACCGCTGCCATGGACGATAAATTCTGAAATCTACCCCCTATGGGCCCGTAGCACGGGGTATGGGTTTGCTACAGCTGTAAAATGGTCTACTTATTTGGTACTATCCATGACTTTCCTGTCTCTGACTGAATGGATTACAAGTTTCGGGGCGTTTTGGCTGTACGGGGGAATTTCGCTTCTGGGTTGGTTGTTTTTCTTTGCTTATCTTCCTGAGACCAAAAATAAATCGCCCGAGGAATTGGAACATTTATTTTCATAGCATGTGAAAACATTTTGTATTTTGTCTAGTTGGTCACTTATGGAACAATAAAATGGATGGGCGAAAAAAAATCCCTGAAACTTCTCGGAGAATATCGTGAGAATATGGGAAACTACATTATTAGTACCAGCCCCCTTACAGACCTCTCACCGGCTCGCGTTGCTCAAGGGCTTGTGCCGAAGCACTAATAATGAGGCATGCTCGCAACGCAGTTTCCCGCTGATAGTAACTAGACATTTGCCAGTCGTTTCAAAGTCTAGAATACACTGAGGGGAATTCTCATTGGCAACCTTATTACTAAATCGTTAATAAGTGGATCAACATGTGTCGGTCTCAGCCACAGGCAGCCCAAGCTCCAGGTGTGAGATGATCATCTTGCGAACTAAGACTCATGACGAAAATGTAAGAGTCTGTATGGGAATATTAACGACCACTCTTGGGAAGTGAAAATACAGTCAATTTCTCAATAAATACCTCACCTTACTTTCACAGTGCATTGCTTTTTTGTGACTGCTTACTTTATGGCAACCAGGTAATTTCAGCGAGTTATCCATTTCTAGGTTTACTACTTCCAAGAGAAGGACTTAAATATTCCTATACAAACTCCTATATTTTGGCCATGACTCTAATGTCGCAAGATGATCATCTCACAGCTGGAGCTAGGGCAGCCTGTGCCTCAGCTAGTTAAGTTGACGAGGACTGAGCAAGAAAATGAAATAACACTTTCTAATAGAATCTCTTTCTTTTTAGCAGATTTTCATAGTGTGATAACCTACAGATATTTAGCGCGCATGATTGAATATTAAAAGAACCGATTATTCTATACAGTCCATATTGTGAAAGTTTCCAGACGTTGATATCAAATTGTCAAAACTCTGGCCGCTTCTTTTGCCATAAAAATTGGATTGAACAAGTAAGAACGGAGTAAGCGTACTAAGCGTGATTTCGGGGTTTTTAGAAAGGTTTTCAACGGGAATATCTCATATTATAAATATGTGTGTTGACTGGAGTGGTGGGCCACCTGTGGCGAAACTTTCTCTAGAGGGACATTTAACCAAGACGTGGTTTCATGACTTTCATATTATTATTTAAATCGATCTTGACTTTGTTTAAGAAGTCGACCAAAAAAGCCATCCAATACTTTTACTTGAAAAGAAAACCGAGCAAGAACCATGACTGAAAAGTTCCAATGAAGTGAAAAAAAGAATCCCAGCGTGGGTGGAAATTTTGGCTTTATTTGCCGCCCCAGTAATTGTTAGGTGTCACGAAAGCTAAGACCTAAGACCTAAGACCTAAGACCTAAGACCTAAGACCCAAGACCCATCGAAAACTAAGACCCCTCGAAAAAAACTTAGTCTACGAGGGGTCTTGGAAAAAAAAAACATAAACAAAAAACTTAGTTTTCGAGAGGTCTTAGTTTTCGAGGGGTCTTAGGTCTTAGGTCTTAGCTTACGTGACACCCCTTTTGATTCTGTGATTTACGGTGATTTGCATATTTGCTTATCTAGATTCAACGTTTAATTTTGCGGTTCAGTAACCTGCATGTAAACACCTCAAGTGAAATTCACGATCTTCAAGTTGTAGCTCCTCCAGGTTGTAAAGATCACCTTGGCTTCTTCTTTCTTTTGAAATATTCCGTACCCAAAAGTTTTTCGAGGGGTCTTAGTTTTCGAGAGGTCTTAACTTTCGTGACACCCAGCAATTGTTCGAAAATTTGCATGCGATAGGCGCAATTACGTTACCATCTCTTTTGTTGTGGAACACGAATGGTACAGAAAAGAAAGATATGCCAACGAATAGCAATGACAAGTACACTTCGTCTAAACGCGTTTTTAGACTATCTGTAAATTAACACGCGCATAAGCGTATAATACTAGACTATACGAGTCTGTGAAGTCCTTAATCTTTGAACTGCAGCTCTGCTCAACTTCGCTAGCAAGCTGGTGGTCAAGCCCGAGGCAATTTTTAAGAGGATAATAAATATCTATATATGTCGTGCCGTGCCCAGCGTTTCGCATGTTTGCCGCATACAAGAATAATCGCTTTCGAAATCCGATGGAACTTTCTCCACGCGGAAATGGTTAAACACTCATTTGACTAAGACCTTATCACATGTGATTATTTAAAGTGATCACACTTTTGTGAAAGAAGTCGACCAAACTTAGAGTGTCATGGATATGGAACAACTAAAAAGAAATCACATACTTGTTAACAGTACCGAGCAGGAGCCATTAATGGAAAGTTCCAGTAAAGCGAAACGAAGAATTCCAGTGTGTGTGTATATTTTCACTTTCTTCGCTGCCATTGGAGGCTTTGAGATGGGATACAACTTCTCGGTCGTTTCTGGAGCAATGATCCTTGTAAAACAAGAGTTTCATTTGTCGACATTTTGGCAAGAGCTCATCGTGAGCGTAGCAATTGGTACAGCCATAGTGGGAGCACTTCTGGGAGGTTTTGTGAATCAACGATGTGGGCGAAAACCCATGCTGTTAGCTTGTGCGATGGTGCTAACGGTAGGAGCCGTGGTGGAGGCAATTGCTACATCGAGAAATGTTTTACTCATTGGTCGGCTTATTGTCGGTTTTGGAATAGGTAAGTGAGAAAAAATGAGGTTTTCCCTAATATCTGTAATATGCAACTCGCTGTGCAACATATGCATATTTGCAAATCGCTGTAAATCACTGCATCAAAACGGGTGTCACGAAAGCTAAGACCTGAGACCTAAGATCCTTCGAGAACTAACACCTCTCGGAAACTAGTACCCCTCGAAAACTAAGACCCCTCAAAAACCTTTTGGCTACGGGATATTTCAAAAGAAAGAAGAAGCCAAGGTGATCGTTACACCCTGGAGGAGTTACAATTTGGAGATCGTGAATTTTACTTGAGGTGTTTACATGTTGGTTACTGAGCTTCAAAATTAAACGTTGAATCTAGATAAGTTAAATTTTTACTACTAAATTTACACTCTATTTAATTCAGAAAGAAAAAATGAGCTTTCTGGCAGTTTTTAAGTTGGTAATCAATACTCATATACGTCGTACCTTGCCCAACGTTCCGCATGTTTGCCGCATGCTAGAAACTTCTGATTGCTTTCGAAATTCGGTGAAACTTTCTCCACACGGAAATCATTCGTTAAACACTCGTTTGACTACGACCTTATTACATGTGATTATTTAAAGCGATCACGCTAGCAAGCTGGTGGTCAAGCCCGAGGCAATTTTTAAGTGAGTGATAAATATTCATATATGTCGTGCAGCGCCCAACGTTCCGCATGGTTGCCGCATACAAGAACAATCGCTTTCGAAATCCGGTGAAACTTTCTCCACACGGAAATGGTTAAAAACTTGTTTGACTAAGACCTTATTACATTTGATTATTAAAAGCGATCACGCTTTTGTGAAAGAAGTCGACCAAACTTAGAGTGTCATGCATATGGAGCAACTTAAAAGAAATCAAACACTTGGTAAGAGTATCGAACAGAAGTCATTAATGAAAAGTTCCAGTGAAGCGAAACAAAGAATTCCGGCCTGTGTGTATATTTTTACTTTCTTCGCTGCCATTGGAGGCTTTGAGATAGGATACAACTTCTCGGTCGTTTCTGGAACAATGATCCTTGTAAAAGAAGAGTTTCATTTGTCGACATTTTGGCAAGTGCTCATCGTGAGCGTAGCAATTGGTACAGCGATAATGGGAGCTTTGCTAGGAGGTTTTGTGAATCAACGATGTGGGAGGAAACCCATGCTTGTAGTTTGTGCTATGGTACTAACGGTAAGAGCCGTGGTGGAGGCAATTGCTACACCAATGTAGATATGCAATATTTGCAATATTTGCATATTTGCATATTTGCAAATACGCAAATAGCTGGAAATAAGTTCTGTGAACTTACCGAACTTATTTCCATCTATTTAGACAAAATTATGGCACATATCGTCAAAACTTTACCGTCTTACATTAAGGACAGCCAACACGCACTTGAAATTTTTCGTGACTTTAGTTTCCTCGACCAAAACAAACTTATTTTCACTATGGATATAACATCTCTTTATACTCTCATTCCCAATGACGAAGGTCTCCGGGCCCTCAAACATTTTTTCAATCATCGCACCGTTAAGGAACCTAGCTCTGAAACACTACTCCGTCTGGCCAAACTAGTACTCACACTCAACTGCTTTTTATTCGGTGGTAATTACTACAAACAAACTAATGGCGTGGCCATGGGTACTAAAATGAAACCCAGCTACGCCAATCTTTTTGTAGGTTTTATCGAACATCAATTTTTTTAGTCAATACCAGGGCCCTAAACCTAAACTCTACGGCCGCTACATTGTCGATTGCATCGGCGCTACCTCCTCTACCAAAGAGGAGCTCACTCAATTTATAACCGCCGTCAATTCCTTTCATTCGGCTCTTAAATATACCTAGGAAATTTCCGACACTTCTTTGGCTACGGTTTATGCATTAGTGTTTACTACAAACCTACAGATTCACATAGTAACTTGTTGTATTCATCTTCACATCCATCACAAGTCAAGAACTCCATACCTTTTTCACAGTTTCTCAGACTTCGTCGTTTATGTAGTGAGGACTCTGATTTTTCCGAAAAATCAGAGGCAATGTGCCAGTTTTTCGATAAACGTGGCTATCCTGTTTTTGTCGTTCAAGCGGGCCACCACCGTGCACAACAAATTGATCGACAGTCAGCACTACAAACGGCTGAAAAAGTCATTTGTTGTGGTGCAGAAAACTTTAGGTCAAAGTTTTCGATGGGTCTTAGGTCTTATAGGTTTTTCTCATAAGCTCAAGAACGGCGGCAAGTACCGTAATCAAAGGCTCCTTTGAGCACAGGCGCCTCAAACTCACGTTTCGAGAGAAAGAAAACGATTTTTTCATGAATTATAATCCATTAAAGCGCCACACGTTGTGTGGCCCCGGGTTAAGTTTCGAGAGGAACCGTTGAGAATTTGAACACGTTGTATATATTTATACGATTGATTGCTTCTGGTTACAATTGGGTCTTTCTATTTAATAATATCTGCTCCCCCTATACAATAAACTAGCCTTTGATTAAAATTAGCCGACACAAGTAGATGAACTATAAATAATACTGTAGACACATGCGGTCATAGACTGCTTATTTTTATCATCTTACCAGTAAACAAAAATAAATGATTGCTTTCGCTCCTAAGATCTATGCCTATTTTTATCATCATACTAGTAAGCAAAAATAAATGAGCCCTATCACTCCTAAAATCTTATTAGTAAATCTCCCTACTGTCTGACATACAATTCTTATGATGTTAGTTTGGAGAATTAGGTATTGGATCAACTAATAATTTCCTAATGTTTAATTTCTTAATTCTCATCACTTTGCCACTTGATATCATGGTATTAATATTTTTAGGAGAAATTCTGTCTTGGTCACTCATGCACATATAAGGGTTAAAGGGATTGTAATTTTCCTTTGTCTTTATATCATCTGCTAACACTTCATCTCCCAAGATCTGATTGGTCACCCTCCTCTCTAAGTGCTACACATTTCCTTTTAAATTAGTTGCAAGAATCTGGTGTTAGATTGAGGAAAAAACATTTTCCTGATAAGTTTGAGTATTCTCATTACTAGTTTGGTGGAAAATGTTTGGATATTGTTGGGAGAGGTCATCTGTCAATCACTTCTGGGAGTTAAAGGGTTAAGTGGAACCATATTAAGCAGTGGGTTGTCAGTGTCCTGAAACTTTTCTCCTTAATCACTGTATATTTCACTAGGGAGACCTCTAAATACAGGCTTGACTGTAATTGATATTCCAAAAGTATTGTTCACCTTTAAACAGCTATTTTGTACCCTTAAAGAGGTGTATATTTTTGACATTTAAGTGTGTAAATTTAAAGTGAATCACAGAGCCCCTTTAAATGTTCTGTGTTGTTTTTCACAGGGGGAGTATCAGTCACAGTCCCTGTATATATTGCTGAAACAGCTCCGTCAGACATAAGAGGTGGTCTTGTCACTGCCAACAATATTTTTATCACTGGGGGCCAGTTTATTGCTGCTGTGGTTGATGGTGTTTTCAGCCCTTACAAAAGAACAGGATGGAGGTACTTAAAAACTTCTCAATAATTTTGGGTAAAAACACCAAGGTAGATAATTCTCTTGGTATTCATTTCATTTTACAAAGCTTGAAGCAAATGTTCCAATTTCATCGGGGGAGGGGTGGGGTGGGGTGTTAGAAGGCTCCAGGTCTTACACTTTAGTTTCCAAAATGTAGTAAGTTTCTGCTTAGATTCTAACTTTTTATTTTTATTAACCCTTTCACACCCAAGATCTCATTAATAATTCTCCTTACTGTCTGCCATATAATCCTTATAATGTTAATTACGAGAATTTGGTTTTGGATTAACTTTCTATCCCCCATCGGATATTTTTCTTTATTCTCATAACTTGTCTGCTCGATATTGCATTAATATTGGTAGGAGAAACTCAGTGTTGGTAACTCATGGGAGTTAACCCTTTAACTTCCATCCTGTTGTAGCAAGTAGACTATACTATAACTTCCCTCCAAAATTCCTTCTTTATTCTGTTGTCAGAAAATTTTGCATTTTTTTCTTTCTCTTTTCATAGATTTATGCTTGGTTTAGCAGCAATACCATCCATTGTTATGTTCTTTGGATGTCTTGTGCTGCCAGAAAGTCCCTCCTGGCTTCTTAGCAGAGGGTTCTCTCAGGAGGCTAAGAAAGTTCTGGTCAAACTGAGAGGCACAGACGATGTGAACGATGAGCTTTTAGCGATACAAACTATATTTAAAGAAGATGAATCACTTCACAAAACTAGTAAGTGGTAATGATAGCGGCAATATTGTGGCCTAACATCTCTGTTACCATTAATTTGTGAGAAAAGTTGTACAATACATTGCTTTTAAGGTCATGACTAACAAGTTAATTTTGCTACGTCTAACAGCCTTAAGTCATGAATTCACACATTTTTTAAAATGTTATTTGATAGTCGACTTGACTATGCCTGCCCTTATGTAGCAATATTTAATCCTTTCATATTTATATTTGATTTAAACTTATTTTCTGTTAAATTTAAATTTCATGACTAAAATTGAAGTAAATTTAAAACAAATTCCTTGCTATACCTTATTTCCTTTCCAGCAAACCAACTACAAAATCAAAAAAAGTCTAAGGAATCGAAGCGTATTGAAGTCGTTCAGATATTCCGCCAAACGAAATGGCCGCTGATGATGAACATGTGACATAGTCACGTGACCCTGGTCGAGCTCGCCTCAGGAAGATCAAATAGAATTTCGCAGTTTAAATCAAAGACAAATTTTGTAACTTTCGATAAAATTTTAAAAGTTAAAATTGAAATGAATTCAAAGGAATGTTATTATATTACTAAAGGAGCCCATTACCTGGAGCCTCCATACCAATTGTACCCTTGAGTGAACCCTGTCCCGTATCTCTTTATTTTTAGAACTGAGATGCGTAGGGGGTTCTTTAATTTCCCGTGAAAACTCGCTGACGTTCGGACAACACCCTCAAAAAAAAGGTGTTCTCGAAAAACTTTCGTGCGGCCTGCATGTGACATAAACAATAGAGCACCGCAGCTCTCTTATGATTGGCTATTATGTAAACACCCGCGAAAAACCCCGTGGGAGGTGCTTCTAAAAATAAAAAGATACGGGACAGGGTTGACTCAGAGGGTAAGTATGGAAGATGGAAGCTCCGGGTAATGGGCTCCTGATTACTACTGAATAGTGTTAAACGCGTTTAAATAGGAACTTGTTTTAAATTTAAATAAATTTTGAACACAAAGTTTAAATTTAAAAGAAAATAAGTTAAAATAAAAAATTAATATAAGAGGATTAACTAATGCTAAACATGGACACGCACAGTCATTTTAAGTTATTTTTATTTCTTTTTTTAGAATCATTTTCCTTTAGTCAAAGCACAACATTTCAGATGGTGGCAACCAAAAGTACAAGGAGAGCTCTCCTGGTGGGCTGTATGTTGCAGGTGATACAACAATTTTCGGGGATCGATAGTATTATGTAAGTAAAAACTCCTAATGAAAACTTGATATCTGTTAAGTAGAAAATCGAAGTCATGTGGGATGCGCCATAAGTGCGCATGCTCTAACAGTGATCTCCTACATAAAAACACACACAACTGAATACAAACCTTTACTGACACTGAAATGGACATTTGCGTTAAATCTTCCAAATTCTTCGTCGCTTACTTTAAAAAGAATTTTCCTCTTTCTATTTTTTTGTCCCAGTCTTGAAATTTCCCTTGAGTCTCCATAAACGATTGCTAGCCAGCCGACTAAACTTTTAATTTTTCTCGACCAATTTTTAATTTAGGTTGTTAAATAGCGACTTTGAAAGGAAGTTTTGCTTGGAATCCAGGACTGACCACTTGTTTTCACTTAAAAACATTAAAAGTGAACTTATATAAATTTGCATAATTCCAAGGGCATTTACTGCTTCTCTATTCCTAAGCACTACACGAGATGAAGAGGTTCGACTTTATGGTGCAGAGCGGGCGTAATTTTGAAAAGTCAAAGCTCAATATTTTCTTATAGCGGCAGCAAAGGTTTGGGACAGAAAGGAATTTGTACTCGTGGGGTGAGCGACAGTTATAAGGAGGGAGAGGAGAGGAGGTGCGTCTTTCCCCGCCCCCTCCCCCGTACGATTCACTCTAACTCCAAATCAAACTTTCCGATTGCAAGCTTGTAACGTTAATTCGCCCCAAAGGTTGCTTGTAATGCAGGCAAATTCAGAGTTTCCATGTTATTTCCAGGTACTACAATGCAACGATTATACAGATGTCTGGTATACAGGGAGACCAGTTGGCCATCTGGTTGGCTGCGGTGGTCGCATTCGGTAATTTCGCTTTCACCATAATTGGAGTGTTTCTCGTAGAGAAGTTGGGACGTCGTAAACTATTACTCGGGAGTCTTGCGGGGGTCAGTCTTAGCTTGTTTCTCCTGGGTGGGGCATTTTACATGGCGAAGCAACACGATACTGTGATCACATTTCACGAGAAAACGCCGTCCGAGGTAAACAGCAACAAGTGTTCCGCGACTGGGTACTGCCTAGATTGTCTCACAGAAAACTGTGGATTTTGTTTTGCTAAGGACTCTGCCAACAATCCTATAAATGGTTCTTGTGTTCCAATCAATGTATCTTCTAGTGATAACAAGGCTGCATTTGGTAGATGCAGTCGCAAGGATCATTCAGTAACATGGTCGTACCAAGCTTGTCCATATAAGTATTCCTGGTTAGCAATTGTAGCTCTTGTTTTATATATATCTGCGTTCGCTCCGGGGTTAGGTTCAATGCCATGGACGATAAATTCCGAGATTTACCCCCTGTGGGCCCGTAGCACAGGAAATGCGTTTGCTACAGCAACGTACTGGACATGTAACTTGGTGATTTCCATGACTTTTCTCCCTCTGACTGAGTGGATTACGCGTCACGGTGCATTCTGGCTGTACGGGGGAATTTCAGTTTTTGGCTGGTTGTTTTTCTTTGTTTATCTTCCTGAAACGAAAACAAAATCGTTAGAGGAACTGCAACATTTATTTTCATAGTATACAATAACAGTTTTGAATTCTGATAATTTAATTTTTTGGTGGAACGTTAAAATGGTCTATGTGATGGAAGGATTCCTTATACTGTACCTTGAATATTGTGGGAAACGTTAAAGAAGACTTCTCAACTTGACGACATATTTTGTTCTGCCTATTTGTGCAGCTCTTGATGGTTGAACAAATTCTCCTTGTCATCACCTGAGGAAATTTCCAGGGAACAGTGTAGAGAATATGCATACTGATGTTAGGGAGTAAAGGGTTTACAGTTTGGGCGTTTTCAAGTTTTTATTAGTAATGCAGCTATCGCTCGATATCAAGTTTTATTATGTAACCTTTGGAATCGATGTGAATAATAACCTACGTGTAGCTGTACCCTCCCCCCCCCCAGGTGATACGGAGTGGAGGGTGGGGAGGGTACGGCTACACGTAGACTATGTGATTAGCCTCACTACGTTTTTATTATTCAGTTGCGCCATCTTATTCTATGGCTATCTTAATTTTGTAAAGGCTATCGTTGTTTCAATTGCTACCCTCGCAGGAGCAAGATCAAAATAAGTCTGCTCACATTTCTTTTAGTAATCATGTTGTTACGTTGACAAGATCTATGTTCCATAAGTAGCCTTGATTTATGTGTTGTACCCTAGCTACTATTAGTTTACATAAGCCTTTTTTTAATCGTTTTTCCTTTTAGTTCAAACCATAAAACCACAACTACAACTTGGCAACAATCACAAGTACATCCGATCTCTACTTTTCAATCTGTTTCTCATAAGCATTTTTCCAATAAGCATTCTGATTGTTTTTACGTGGTTTTTCTGAAATTTACTCAATGTGGGTTCGAGTGTTATCAAGCTCCTGGGGTTAAGTTGCCCTTATGCTAATGTAAACGGGACTTCGATCCTGGAAAGTCATAATATGAAAGTAATAATTGAAAGGTGAGATTGTCACGAAAGTTCCTAGTTACTGCCGGTGTCCTAGCGGATTTGGATCCCCCTAGATTTGGAACCCCCGATCCAAATCCGCTAGCGGATATTGACCTTCCTCCTCAGATTTGGACCCCCCAACAGAACTGAGTGAAAACATCATCCTCCGTTCTCTAAGAAATAGATGATACTTTACGTTTCAGTGCGTACTAAAGTCTGTTTTTAATTCAAAATATGCGTATCGCCGATGCATACGAACTGGCAGCTAGAAATGGCCCGTCGGATGTTTCTTTTTTTCCTTTTTTATTGTTTTTCCTTTTGCTCGAACCATACATTCACAACTGCAACTTGGCAACAATCACAAGTACAACCGATTTCTATTTTTCTTCCTGTTTCTCATTAGCATTTTTCCAATGAGCGTTCTGATTGTTTTTACTTGGTCTCTCTGGAATTTACTCAATGTGGGTTGGAGTGTTATCAAATCTCTTTTGTTGTGGAACACGATTGGTACACAAAGCAAAGATAAGGCACTGAATAACAACGACAAGTAAACTTCGTCCAAACGCCTTTTTAAACTATTTTGTAAATTAACACGCGCATACGCGTATAATACTAGACTATACGAGTCTGCGAAGTCCCTGATCGTTGAAATGCAGCTCTGCTCAACTTCGCTAGCAAGCCGGTGGTCAAGCCAGAGGCAGTTTTTGAGTGGGTGATAAATATCCATATATGTCGTGCCGTGTCTAACGGTCCGCATGTTTGACGCATACAAGAATAATCGCTTTCGAAATCCGGTGAAAATTTTCCCACAGGGTAACGGTTAAAAACTCGTTTGACTAAGACCTCATTTCGTGTGATTATTTAAAGCGATCGCGCTTTTGTGAAAGAAGTCGACGAAACTTAGAGCGTCATGGATATGGAACAACTGAAAAGAAATCAGATACTTGGTAACAGTACCGAGCAGGAGCCGTTAATGAAAAGTTCCGGTGAAGCGAAACCAAGAATTCCAGTGCGCGTGTATATTTTCACTTTCTTCGCTGCCATTGGAGGCTTTGAGATGGGATACAACTTCTCGGTCGTTTCCGGAGCAATGATCCTTGTTAAAGAAGAGTTTCATTTGTCGACATTTTGGCAAGAGCTCATCGTGAGCGTAGCAAGTGGTACCGCTATAATCGGAGCTCTGGTAGGAGGTTTTGTGAATCAACGATGTGGGCGGAAACCCACGCTTTTAGCTTGTGCGATGGTGCTAACGGTAGGAGCCGTGGTGGAGGCAATTGTTACATCGAGAAATGTTCTACTCATTGGTCGGCTCACTGTCGGTTTTGGAATAGGTGAATAAGAAAAACTAGGTTTTGCGTAATATCTGTAATATGTTAATTGCTAAGTAATATTTGCATAGTTAACGCTGTAAATCTCGGAATCAAGAGTTCTCACAAGCTCAAGAACGGCGGTAAGTACCTTAAAGGCTCCTTAGCTCAGAGCACAGGCGTCTCAAGGTCACGTCTCAAGAGAAAGCGAACGATTTTTTCATGAATTGAAATTCTTAAAAACATCGCGCGTTGTTTGACCCGAGGGTTAGTTTCGAGACGAATCGCTTAGAATTTGAATACGTTATAGGGAATAATATGGGGAACGAAATATGGTCGATTTACGACGGTAAATATTTCGAAATTGTAACATTTTACGCATAAAAAAATTAAAATCTACTCACATCTTGTGTGTCCGTTATGGTTTTCGGCGTTTTCTGCCGTTTTAAGCTTGCTTTGCCGTCACCGTTATTCCTGTTATAAGACGAAGTAACAGTGATTTTAAAGCAGGCTTAAAACGGCAGAAAACGCCGGAAACCACAACAAGATGGGAGTAATATCCATTGATTTTACGCGTTTATATTTTGAAATAATTATCGACACTACAAATGGAAATTACAGGTATGCGTCTCCTCCATTCTAGGAGTTGAAGAGTTATGCAGCCGAATATCCTATTTTGGAATGAGTTGAAATACACCAGTTTTCGTAAAACCTCCCTCAAAAAAAGAAGAGATTTAAATAAAAACTAAATTGAGTTAATCTTTGCTTGTAGTGATATTCGGTGAGATAGATGACAGGACCTTACGTTTTTTTTCTTTAATTGTTTGCAGGAGGGGTGTCTACTACCGTTCCAGTTTATATTGCTGAAATTGCGCCATGGAGTATAAGGGGTCGTTTAGTCTCCGTCTATTACCTATTTATGACGGGAGCTGAATTTGTCGCTTCTGTTGTTGACGGTATATTCAGCCCTTACAAGAAGACAGGATGGAGGTAAAGAGATCTAGAATTATTTCTTTTGTCTTTTTTTTAACTTACTTAGATTACTTTCAACAAATTCTGGTCAAAATTAAAAATTTTTTTTTTGCTCTTTAGTCAGAGAGAGCAGTGAACTTTAATTTTTCGAAAGAAAATCTCATAACTTTAAAACGAACGCGATATACGGCTGAAAGAGGAACCCGTAGCGAAGAGCGAAAGAGTTGTCCTGGTTGTCGTAAAATGACGGAAATTAAGCTTCTCGCTGGAATGTGAAAAAGTCGATAAAATTGCCAAAAATCCAAAAAGTAGCTACCTAAATTTCTTGATTATATTTTACATAAACTTTGATTAAAAGGTTCTATTTTTTGTTTTTCACAATAAATGCTAACATCGGTCAAGAAAACTTTATTTAAACTGGGTGTTATTAAACAGTCGATCAGCAGACCGCGGAACCTGGAGAACCTACAGAACCTGCGGAACCCACATTTTTTCGGTTTAAGAAAAGTAAAGAGAGTTACCTCTACTGAAACGAATTAACATAGGTATGTAGATTTGTTGGATTTTCATGAAAATTGGCTGGAATGTTATTAACGCAGCAAATGTTGTGAGACCTATACGAAAATCGAAATATTTCTCTTTAGACGTATGATCATAACAACCAAAATATTTTTGTTGTCCAACTTCCAAATAGTTTTCTCAGGAACCAATAGGAACATCGAAAAAAGCCTCACACACTTTGTTAGACTACTGTCTGTTGAGTGAAACTGTTCAGTTTCTTTATTGGAGGCCCGCTGAAAAGCGGAGGTTGGTAATTTAGTTAGGCAAACACCGCTAGTTGTGTTTAAAGGCTCGCGTGTGCTTACCAAATCAAAAACTGTGAGAACTTATGTCATTTTCTCAGTGTGAGAATTTATGTAATTTTCTCAGTCTATACTCGACATGCTTTTTAGTGTTATCTAGTTTTCTGCGGTTCTTTAAAGGTAGCGCTCATACGACGATTTTTCCGAAAGGTACCCTATTTCGTTGACAGCTGCTATAATTTCTCATTTTGCAAATATATCAGCCATGGGGAGTAACGTTGAGATGGCCAAGTTAATGTATTTTCCTCCACTCCTCCACCCATGATCGACAAAATTTGCAAAACAACAACCAAAATAACTTGATTAGGCACATAGCGAATAGGTCAAATGCTATCCCCACCAACCCATCCGCCCCCCCCACCCTTCCCCACCCACTTCTCTCCAATTTTCCACGCAGTTTTATCAGGTTCTCTCATGGGTGCCTACGTAAAACTCCTCGTGAAGGAAGGCACTAGTCTCGTACCCAGGCCTTTCACGCCTAAGCCTACATTTTAGTTACAGTTGCAAAATAGGATCAGGGTACGAGATGGGGGAGGCACTGAGTGACCTTGTCAAGACTTGGGTACCAGCCAGCAACTTGCTTGGGATAAACTTAGGCACTAACCGGGCTTACGAATCAGATCCTACACTTATAACAATCAAAAAGTAATCGTATTATAATAGTTCTCGATCACAAAACCCTGACATAATATTCCCCAACCATCTTCAAGAAATTTATTGTAAAATCCTGTATCTCTTTGGTAGATTCATGTTTGGTTTAGCTGCACTTCCGTCGGCCATCATGTTCGTGGGTTGTCTGTGGCTTCCAGAAAGTCCCAGTTGGCTCGTCAGCCGGGGCGCCTGTGAACATGCAAGGGAAGTTCTTGTGAGAATTAGAGGAACGGCGAATGTGGACGAGGAGCTGCAAGCTATACAGACCGTTTGTAAGGAACAAGAATCTTATGATAAGAAAAGTAAGTTTCTTAATTATTGGAGGGTTGGTTTATTGATTGACACCTCCACACGAAGCGTAAAACTCTTTTGAGTGGTTCTGTTTAAGTTTGAACCCGATGTGATCCCGAGGTAATAATGGGAGATTCCGAGTGGGATCCAGTTGCGCGAGATCGCAGCGGAATTCAGACGTGGCACGGGGAAGAATTCCGGCGTGATTCAGTGGTGGTCCTGCATGGGATCCCACACTGTGCTCGAGTAGGTTCTGAGTGTGTTCATGTAAAGTATTTTTGTTGTTGTTCTGTTGTCAATGCAATGAAATTCTAGCATTCCGTTTTCTCATTTTCTTCAGTGGAAAATACCGATCGCTGATTAAGTTTTGTTATAAACCTGAACTTTTGGAGACCCTTTCACAGCGAGTTATTTGGTGTCACAGAGACGTTTTCCGCAAAATAAAAGATTGTCAATGTTGTTTTTAGGCAGATTTTATGGGATGTTGACCACGTCAAGTACAAGGAAGGCTCTTTTAGTTGGCTGTGTGTTGGTATCAATGCAAGATCTGTCTGGGATTAATTTGATTCTGTAAGTTAAACCGTTTTATTAACTACGCAACTTTCAATTTAAAGCTAGAATATAAATCTCTGGGCGAGCCAAGCAGAGTGCGTGGCATAGCTTTGTCTATAGGCTGATTGAAAGGGGCCTTTGTTGAGTTACCTTGTCAATCGTAAAGAATGCATTGCATCAAAGTAACAGGTTAGTAAGTAGAGATGCATTATTTCGTCAATATTTTCCACCCAGCATCTTTTCATCCCAAGTTTTGATGTTTTTTTGTAACCGTTGAAAAAGCGTAAATTTTTAGCACTTTTGTCGGTGTTGGGCTCAAACTTGGAGAATCTTCAAGTGTGATCTTACTCTTTTCATTGTTGAGATCGATTTGGCGCCACATTCCTATTTATTTTCTGGTCGCTCAACCCCGGCGGCGGGCGGGGTACCTTTTAGTGATAGGCGAATGGGGCTGTGCCGCTTGATGAGGTCGCATTATCACGACTGGTTTGACTATAGAACGGGTAAGCTTTCAATGGAGTTATTAGAGTGGAGTCGTAAGATTTTCGGGATTTTGGGGTAAGGAAATTCTGGCAAGAAAGGATTTAAAAATAGGAAGACTTGCAGTTTAAAAGATGTAAGCGTGTTCTGTTTGATATTTAACAATCGGCTCGCATAAAAGGATGACCAATTTCTTTATAAGGTAGAAGCATAAACAGAAAGGGACTGGGCTGAGATTGTGAAAATTGCATTTGTCCCAAAGTTCTCAAAGGCCAGCGGCACATACCTAGCAAAAAAATTGACTTACGTGCCCCCTACCCCTGGTCTTCACATCAATAATAAAAAGTGTGTTTATTGTTTCCAGATCCTACTGTGCAACTATTTTACAGATGTCAGGTGTACAGGGAGACCGACCAGTCTTCTGGCTTGCTGTGGTGATATATTTTGGTAATTTCATATTTCCCTTTGTTGGATTGTATCTGGTAGAGAAAGTAGGACGCCGTAAGCTACTATTAGGAAGTCTTGCCGGGGTCACTGTTTGCTTGTTTCTCTGTGGCGGTGCATTTTATATGGCGAAGCAACACGATGCCGCGATAACCTTTAACGAGAGAGCAATTTCTAATATCAGCAACAATTGTCCCGCCACCGGATTTTGCTTAGATTGCCTCGGAGTCCAAGAAAACTGTGGATTTTGTTATGCTAAAGACTCCTCCAATAATCCTATATATGGTTCTTGTGTTCCAATCCATGTATCTTCTAGCGACAACACGGCCGCTTTTGGTAGATGCAGTCGCAAAGATCATTCAGTAACATGGTCGTACCAAGCTTGTCCTTACAAGTATGCGTGGTTAGCAACTTTAGCTCTTGTGTTATACATCGCCGCGTTCGGTCTGGGGATGGGACCGCTGCCATGGACGATAAATTCTGAAATCTACCCCCTATGGGCCCGTAGCACGGGGTATGGGTTTGCTACAGCTGTAAAATGGTCTACTTATTTGGTACTATCCATGACTTTCCTGTCTCTGACTGAATGGATTACGAGTTTCGGGGCGTTTTGGCTGTACGGGGGAATTTCGCTTCTGGGTTGGTTGTTTTTCTTTGCTTATCTTCCTGAGACGAAAAATAAATCGCCCGAGGAATTGGAACATTTATTTTCATAGCATGTGAAAACATTTTGTATTTTGTCTAATTAGTCACTTGTGGAACAGTAAAATGGATGGGTGAAAAAAAATCCCTGAAACTTTTTGGAGAATATCGTGAGAATGTGGGAAACTACATTATTAGTGCCAGACCCCTTACAGACCTCTCGCCGGCTCGTGTTGCTCAAGGGCTTGTGCCGAAGCACTAATAATGAGGCATGCTCGCAACGCAGTTCCCCGCTGATAGTAACTAGACATTTGCCAGTCGTTTCAAAGTCTAGAATACACTGAGGGGAATTCTCATTGGCAACCTTATTACTAAAATTGTTAATAAGTGGATCAACATGTGTCGGTCTCAGCCACAGGCAGCCCAAGCTCCAGGTGTGAGATGATCATCTTGCGAACTAAGACTCATGACGAAAATGTAAGAGTTTGTATGGGAATATTAACGACCGCTCTTGGGAAGTAAAAATACAGTCAAATTCTCAATAAATACCTCACCTTACTTTCACAGTGCATTGCTTTTTTGTGACCGCGTACTTTATTGCAACGAGGTCATTTCAGCGAGTTATGCATTTCTAGGTTTACTACTTCCAACTGAAGGACTTAAATATTCCTATACAAACTCCTATATTTTGGCCATGACTCTAATGTCGCAAGATGATCATCTCACAGCTGGAGCTTGGGCAGCCTGTGCCTCAGCTGGTTAAGTTGACGAGGACTGAGCAAGAAAATGAAATAACGTGTTCTAGTAGTACCTCTTTCTTCTTAGCAGATTTTCATAGTGTGATAACCTACAGATATTTAGCGCGCATGATTGAATATTAAAAAAGGAATCGATTATTGTATACAGTCCATATTGTGAAAGTTTCCTGACGTTGATATCAAATTTTGAAAACTCTGGCCGCTTCTTTTGCCATAAAAATTGGATTGAACAAGTAAGAACGGAGTCAGGCGACGTAAGCGTACTAAGCGTGATTTGGGGGTTTTTAGAAAGGTTTTCAACGGGAATATCTCATATTATGAATACGTGTGTTGACTGGAGTGGTGGGCCACCTGTGGCGAAACTTCCTCCAGAGGGACATTTAACCAAGACGAAGTTTCATGACTTTCATGTTATTATTTAAACCGATCTTGATTTTGTTTAAGAAGTCGACCAAAAAGCCATCCAACACTTTTATTTGAAAAGAAAACCGAGCAAGAACCATTACTGAAAAGTTCCAATGAAGTGAAACAAAGAATCCCAGCGTGGGTGGAAATTTTGGCTTTATTTGCCGCCCCAGTAATTGTTGGGTGTCACGAAAGCTAAGACCTAAGACCTAAGACCCAAGACCCATCGAAAACTAAGACCCCTCGAAAAAAACTTAGTTTTCGAGGGGTCTTGAAAAAAAAAAGGAAAAAAAATTTAGTTTTCGAGAGGTCTTAGTTTTCGAGGGGTTTTAGGTCTTAGTTCTTAGCTTACGTGATACCCCTTTTGTTTCCGTGAGTTACGGCGATTTGCATATTTGCTTATCTAGATTCAACGTTTAATTTTGCAGTTCAGTAACCTGCATGTAAACACCTCAAGTGAAATTCACGATCTCCAAGTTGTAGCTCCTCCAGGTTGTAAAGATCACCTTGGCTTCTTCTTTCTTTTGAAATATTCCCTACCGGTCTTAGTTTTCGAGAGGTCTTAGCTTTCGTGACACCCAGCAATTGTTCGACAATTTGCATGCGATAATTTTCATTGACGTTTTCGTAATTGTTTAGTGAACTTCATGCTCAAGGACCGGCGCATTTACGTTACCATCTCTTTTGTTGTGGAACACGAATGGAACAGAAGAGAAAGATATGCCAATGAATATCAATGACAAGTACACTTCGTCTAAACGCGTTTTTAGACTACGTATACTAGACTATACGAGTCTGTGAAGTCCTTAATCTTTGAACTGCAGCTCTGCTCAACTTCGCTAGCAAGCTGGTGGTCAAGCCTGAGGCAATTTTTAAGAGGATAATAACGTTCCGCATGTTTGCCGCATACAAGAATAATCGCTTTCGAAATCCGATGAAACCTTCTCCACGCAAAAATGGTTAAACACTCTTTTGACTAAGACCTTATCACATGTGATTATTTAAAGCGATCACGCTTTTGTGAAAGAAGTCGACCAAACTTAGAGTGTCATGGATATGGAACAACTAAAAAGAAATCACATACTTGACAACAGTACCGAGAAGGAGCCATTAATGGAAAGTTCCAGTGAAGCGAAACCAAGAATTCCAGTGTGTGTGTATATTTTCACTTTCTTCGCTGCCATTGGAGGCTTTGAGATGGGATACAACTTCTCGGTTGTTTCTGGAGCAATGATCCTCGTAAAAGAAGAGTTTCATTTGTCGACATTTTGGCAAGAGCTCATCGTTAGCGTAGCAATTGGTACAGCCATAGTGGGAGCACTTCTGGGAGGTTTTGTGAATCAACGATGTGGGCGAAAACCCACGCTTTTAGCTTGTGCGATGGTGCTAACGATAGGAGCCGTGGTGGAGGCAATTGCTACATCGAGAAATGTTCTACTCATTGGTCGGCTCATAGTCGGTTTTGGAATAGGTAAATAAGAAAAAAGTAGGCTTTGCGTAATATCTGTAATTTGTAAATCGCTATGCAATATTTGCATAGTTATCGCCGTAAATCTCGGAATCAAAAGTTCTCACAAGCTCAAGAACGGCGGTAAGTACATTAATGAAAGGCTCCTTAAAGCACAGGGGTCCCAAGCTCAAGAACGGCGGTAAGTACCTGAATGAAAGGCTCCTTAGAGCACAGGCGTCTCAAGCTCACGTCTCGAGAGAAAGCGAACGATCTTTTCATGAATTAAAATTCTTAAAAAGTATCACGCGTTGTTTGACCCGGAGCTAGTTTCGAGAGGAATCGCTGCGAATTTGAACACGTCATAACGAATAATAGGGAGCTTAAGCAAACTACGACTGCGAAGGTAACGAGAACAATTGCTCAGCACGTGCGTTTTAAAACTTTGTTCATTTCTTAGCCATCCTATGCAAAACAACAACGTGAAATCAACAAAATTTGCGTCGTCTGCGAACCGAAACCGCGACGGCAAATGATTTTAATTTCCATTTGGAACTAAACGCTTCTTTTATAAGTTATGCTGAAGTTGAGGTGTGACGCTCTATGAGACGGTAAACGCATGCAGCCAATTTTGAAATTCTAATCAAAGGCAGAAATTTATATTTTGATCGAAGTCTTCCTTGGCGTTGCCTTCCTGACTGCTAAAGGTCCCTGATATGGGGAACGAAACATGGTCGATTTACGACGGTAAATATTTCGAAATAATAACATTATACACGTAAAACTAATAAAACCTACTCACATTTTCTGCCGTTTTAAGCTTGCTTTGCCGTCACTGTTATTCCTGTTATAAGACGAAGTAACAGTGATTCACGCCAAGCAAGCTTAAAACGGTAGAGAAGGCCGGAAACCACAACAAGATGGGAGTAATATCCATTGATTTTAGGCGTTCATATTTTGAAATAATTATCGACACTACAAATGAAAATTATAGGTATGCGTCTCCTCCATTCTAGGGGTTGAAGGGTTATGCAGCCGAATATCCTATTTTGAATAAGTTGAAATACACTAGTTTTCGTAAAAAACTCCCTCTCAAAAACTAAGAAGAATTTGAAATAAAAACTAAATTGAGTTTATCTTTGCTTGTAATGATATTCGGTGAGATAGATGACAAGACCTTTTTTTTTTTCTTTAATTGTTTGCAGGAGGGGTGTCTATGACCGTTCCAGTTTATATTGCTGAAATTGCGCCATGGAGTATAAGAGGTCGTTTAGTCTACGTCCACTATCTATTTCTGGCGGGAGCTGAATTAACTGCTGCTATTATTGACGGTATATTTAGCCCTTACAAGAAGACAGGATGGAGGTAAAAAGATTTAGAATAATTTCTTTTGTCTTGTATGTTAACTTATTTAGATCACTTTCACCAAAATCTGGTCAAAATTTCAAATTTATCTTTTTTGCTCTTTAGTCAAAGAAAGCAGTTAAGTTTAATTTGTCGAGAGAAAATCACAACATTTTGAAAAGAACGCGAGGTACGGCTGAAAGAGGAAACTGTAGCGAAGAGCGAAAGGACTGTCCTGATTGTCGTAAAATAACGGAAATTAAACTTCTCAGTGGAATGTCAAATAGTTGTAAAAAAATTGCCAAAACTTCAAAAAGTTGCCACCTAAATTTCTTGGTACATAAACTTAGATTAAAAGCTCAATTTTTTGTTGTTAACAATAATTGCTAACATCGGTCAAGAAAAATTGATTGAAACTGGGTGTTATTAAACTGTCGATCAGCAGACCGCATAATCTGCGGAACCTGTGGAACCTGCGGAACCTACGGAACCCATATTTTTGCAGTTTGAGAAAAGTAATGAGAAATACCTCTACTTGAACGAATTAACATAGATATGTAGATTTGTTCGCTTTCCATGAAAACTGGCTGGAATTTTCGTCAGATATCAACGCAGCAAATATTGTGAGGCATATACGAGAATCGAAATATTTCTCTTCAGACGTAGGATCATAACAACCAAATTATTTTCGTTGTCCAACTTCCAAATAGTTTTCTCAGGAACCGATAGGAACATCGAAAAAAGCCTCACACACTTTGTTAGACTACTATCTGTTGAGTGAAACTGTTCAGTTTGTTTACTGGAGGTCCGCAGAAACGCCGAGGCTGGTAATTTAGCTAGGCAAACACCGCTAGTTGTGTTTAAAGGCTCGCATGCGCTTACCGAATCAAAAACTGTGAGAACTTATGTCATTTCCTCAGTCTATACTTGATCTACTTCTTAGTGTTATCTAGTTTTCTGTGGTTCTTTAAAAGTAGCGCGCGTGGGACGATTTTTCCGAAAGGCACCCTATTTCGTTGACAGTTGCTATAATTTCTCATTTTGCAAATATATCAGCCATGGGAAGTAACGGTAAGATGACCAAGTTAATGTACTTTCCTCCACCGCTACACCCATTATCGACAAAATTTGCAAAACAACAACAGCAACAACAACTTGATTAGGCACAAAAGCGTGAAATTGTAGATAGGGCTTATAGGAGCATTTGCCCACTTTATGTTGCGAAACCTCAGTATGTGGCACAAAGCGAATAGGTCTAATGCTATCATCACCCACCCCCCCCCCACTTCTCTCCAATTTTCCACATAGTTTTATCAGTTTCTCTCATGGGTGCCTATGTAAAACTCCTTGTGAAGGAAGACACTAGTCTCGTACCCAGGCCTTTCACGCCCAAGCCCACATTTCAGTTACAGTTGCACAGTAGGATCGGGGTACGAGATTGGGGAGGAACTGAGTGAGTAAAGTACCTTGTGACCAAAACATAACAAAGTGACCTTGTCAAGACTTGGGTACCACCCAGCAACTTGCCTGGGATAAACTCAGGCGCCAACCGGTAACCATAATACTCCCTAACCATCTTCAAGAAATGTCTTGTAAAATCCTACATCTCTTTGGTAGATTCATGTTTGGTTTAGCTGCACTCCCGTCAGCCATCATGTTCGTGGGTTGTCTGTGGCTTCCAGAAAGTCCTAGTTGGCTCGTCAGTCAGGGCGCCTGTGAACATGCAAGGGAAGTTCTCGTGAGAATTAGAGGAACGTCAGATGTGAACGAGGAGTTGCAAGCTGTAAAAAGCGTTTGTAAGGAACAAGAGTCTTATGATAATAAAAGTAAGTTTCTCAATTTAATTATTGGAGGGTTGGGTTATTAATTGATACCTCTACACGAAGCGTAAAGCTCTTTCGAGTGGTTCGGTTTGAGTTTGAATTCGATGTGATCCCGAGGCAATAATGAAGGGGATTCCGAGTGGGATCTAAGCGCGCAAGATCTCGGCAGAATTCAGATGTACCACGGGGAAGAATTCCGGCGTGATCCCGTGGTGGTCCTGCATGGGATCCCACACTGTGCTCGAGCAGGTTCTGAGCGTGTTCATGTAAAGTATTTTTGCTGTTGTTCTGTTGTCAATGCAATGAAATTCTAGCATTCCGTTTTCTCATTTTCTTCAGTGGAAATTACCGATCGCTGATCAAGTTTTGTTATTAAAACCTGAACTTTTGGAGACCTTTCACAGTGAGTTATTTAGTGTCACAGAAACGTTTTCTGTAAAATAAAAGGTTGTCATTGTTGTTTTTAGGCAGATTTTATGAGATGTTGACCACGTCAACTACAAGGAAAGCTCTTTTAGTTGGCAGTATGTTGGTATCAATGCAAGATCTGTCTGGGATTAATTTGATTCTGTAAGTGAAACCATTTTATTAACTATGCAACTTGAAAGCCCAGAATAGAGTTCATCTGGGCGAGCCAGGCAGAGTGCGTGGCATAGCTTTTACTATAGGTTGATTGGAAGGGGCCTTTGATGAGTTACCTTGTCAATCGTAAAGAATGCATTGCATCAAAATAACAGGTTAGTAAGTAGAGATATATAATCTCGTTAATATTTCCCACTCAGCATCTTTTCATCACAAGTTTTGATGTTTTTTTTTTAACCGTTGGAAAACCGTAAATATCCGGCACTTTTGTCGGTATTGGGCTCAAACTTGGAAAATCTTCAAGTGTGATCTTACTCTTTCCATTGTCGAGATCGATTTGGCGCCACAATCCTATTTATTTTCTGGTCGCTCAACCCCGGCGGCAGGCGGGGTACTTTTTAGTGATAGGCGAATGGGGCTGTGCCGCTTGATGAGGTCGCATTATCACGACTGGATTGACTATAGAACGGGTAAACTTTCAATGGAGTTATTAGAATAAAGTCGCACGGTTTTCGGCATTTTGAGGCAAGAAACGATTTAAAAATAGGAAGACTTGCGGTTTAAAAGATCTTATCGTGTTTTGTTTGATATTTAACAATCGATCAGCATAAAAGGATGACCAATTACTTTATAAAATAGAAGCATAAACAGAAAGGGACTGGGCTGAGATTGTGAAATTGCATTTGCCCCAGAGTTCTCAAAGGCCAGTGGCACATACCCAGTAAAAATTGACTTACGTGCCTTCTACCCCGGTCTTTACATCAATAATAAAGTAAAGTTTTGATAAAAGTGTGTTTTTTGTTTCTAGATCCTACTGTGCAACTATTTTACAGATGTCAGGTGTACAGGGAGACCAAGCAGCCTTCTGGCTTGCTGTGGTGATATATTTTGGTAATTTCACGTTTCCCTTTGTTGGATTGTATCTAGTAGAGAAATTAGGACGCCGTAAGCTACTATTAGGAAGTCTTGCCGGGGTCACTGTTTGCTTGTTTCTCTGTGGTGGTGCATTTTACATGGCGAAGCAACACGATACCGCGATAACCTTTAACGAGAGAGCGATTTCTAATATCAGCAACAATTGTCCTGCTTCTGGATATTGCTTAGATTGCCTCAGAGTCCAAGAAAACTGTGGATTTTGTTATGCTAAAGACTCCTCCAATAATCCTATATATGGTTCTTGTGTTCCAATCAATGTATCTTCTAGCGACAACACGGCCGCTTTTGGTAGATGCAGTCGAAAAGATCATTCCGTAACATGGTCGTACCAAGCTTGTCCTTACAAGTATGCGTGGTTAGCAACTTTAGCTCTCGTGTTATACATCACCGCGGTCGGTCTGGGGATGGGACCGCTGCCATGGACGATAAATTCTGAGATCTACCCCCTGTGGGCCCGTAGCACGGGGTATGGGTTTGCTACAGCTGTAAAATGGTCTACTAATTTGGTATTATCCACGACTTTCCTGTCTCTAACTGAATGGATTACAAGTTTCGGAGCGTTTTGGCTGTACGGGGGAATTTCGCTTCTGGGTTGGTTGTTTTTCTTTGCTTATCTTCCTGAGACGAAAAATAAATCGCCCGAGGAATTGGAACATTTATTTTCATAGCATATGAAAACATTTTGTATTCTGTCTAGTTAGTCACTTATGGAACAATGAAATGGATGATCGAAAAAAATCCCTGAAACTTCTCAGAGAATATCGTGAGAGTGTGGGAAACTACATTATTAGTGCCAGATCCCTTACAGACCTCTCACCGGCTCGCGTTGCTCAAGGGCTTGTGCCGAAGCACTAATAATGAGGCATGCTCGCAACGCAGTTCCCCGCTTATGGTAACTAGACATTTGCCACTCGTTTCAAAGTCTAGAATACACTGGGGGGAATTCTCATTGGCAACCTTATTACTGACATTGTTAATAAGTGGATCAACTTGTGTCGGCCTCAGCCACAGGCAGCCCTAGCTCCAGGTGTGAAATGATCATCTTGCGAACTAAGACTCATGACGAAAATGTAAGAGTTTGTATGGGAATATTAACGACCGCTCTTGGGAAGTAAAAATACAGTCAATTTCTCAATAAATACCTCACCTTACTTTCACAGTGCATTGCTTTTTAGTGACTGCTTACTTTATGGCAACGAGGTCATTTGAGCGAGTTATCCATTTCTAGGTTTACTACTTCCAAGTGAAGGACTTAAATATTCCTATACAAACTCCAATATCTTGGCCATGACTCTAATGTCGCAAGATGATCATCTCACAGCTGTAGCTTGGGCAGCCTGTGCCTCAGCTAGTTAAGTTGACGAGGACTGAGCAAGAAAATGAAATAACGTGTTCTAGTAGTACCTCTTTCTTCTTAGCAGATTTTCATAGTGTGATAACCTACAGATATTTAGTGCGCATGATTGAATATTAAAAAAGGAATGGATTATTGTATACAGTCCATATTGTGAAAGTTTCCAGACGTTGATATCAAATTGTGAAAACTCTGGCCGCCTCTTTTGCCGTAAAAATTGGATTGAACAAGTAAGAACGGAGTCAGGCGACGTAAGCGTACGAAGCGTGATTTCGGGAGCTTTTTAGAAAGGTTTTCAACGGGAATATCTCATGTTATGAATATGTGTGTTGACTGGAGTGGTGGGCCACCTGTGGCGAAACTTTCTTTACAGGGACATTCAACCAAGACGTGGTTTCATGACTTTCATGTTATTATTTAAATCGATCTGATTTTGTTTAAGAAATCGACCAGAAAAGCCATCCAATACTTTTACTTAAAAAGAACACCGAGCAAGAACCATGACTGAAAAGTTCCAATGAAGTGAAACAAAGAATCCCAGCGTGGGTGGAAATTTTCGCATTATTTGCCGCCCCAGTAATTGTTGGGTGTCACGAAAGCTAAGACCTAAGACCCAAGACCCATCGAAAACTAAGACCCCTCGAAAAAAACTTAGTTTACGAGGGGTCTTGGAAAAAAAAACATAAACAAAAAACTTAGTTTTCGAGGGGTCTTAGGTCTTAGGTCTTAGCTTACTTGACACCCCTTTTGATTCCGTGATTTACGGCGATTTGCATATTTGCTTATCTAGATTCAACGTTTAATTTTGCAGTTCAGTAACCTGTATGTAAATACCTCAAGTGAAATTCACAATCTTCAAGTTGTAGCTCCTCCAGGTTGTAAAGATCACCTTGGCTTCTCCTTTCTTTCGAAATATTCCATGCCCAAAAGTTTTTCGAGGGGTCTTAGTTTTCGAGAGGTCTTAACTTTCGTGACACCCAGCAATTATTCGACAATTTGCATGCGATAGCTTTCATTGACGTTTTCATAATTGTTTGATGAACTTCATGCTCAAGGACCGGCGCATTTACGTTACCATCTCTTTTGTTGTGGAACACGAATGGAACAGAAAAGAAGGATATGCCAATGAATATCAATGACAAGTACACTTCGTCTAAACGCGTTTTTAGACTACCTGTAAAGTAACACGCGCATATGCGTATAATACTAGACTATACGAGTCTGTGAAGTCCTTAATCTTTAAACTGCAGCTCTGCTCAACTTCGCTAGCAAGCTGGTGGTCAAGCCTGAGGCAATTTTATAAAGGATAATAAATATCTATAAATATTTATATGTCGTGCCGTGCCTAACGTTCCGCATGTTTGCCGCATACAAGAATAATCGCTTTCGAAATCCGATGGAACTTTCTCCACGCGGAAATGGTTAAACACTCATTTGACTAAGACCTTATCACATGTGATTATTTAAAGCGATCACGCTTTTGTGAAAGAAGTCGACCAAACTTAGAGTGTCATGGATATGGAACAACTAAAAAGAAATCACATACTTGGTAACAGTACCGAGCAGGAGCCGTTAATGGAAAGTTCCAGTGAAGCGAAACGAAGAATTCCAGTGTGTGTGTATATTTTCACTTTCTTCGCTGCCATTGGAGGCTTTGAGATGGGATACAACTTCTCGGTCGTTTCTGGAGCAATGATCCTCGTAAAACAAGAGTTTCATTTGTCGACATTTTGGCAAGAGCTCATCGTGAGCGTAGCTATTGGTACAGCCATAGTGGGAGCACTTCTGGGAGGTTTTGTGAATCAACGATGTGGGCGAAAACCCATGCTTTTAGCTTGTGCGATGGTGCTAACGGTAGGAGCCGTGGTGGAGGCAATTGCTACATCGAGAAATGTTTTACTCATTGGTCGACTCATTGTCGGTTTCGGAATAGGTAAATAAGAAAAAAGTAGGTTTTTCGTAATATCTGTAATTTGTAAATCGCTATGCAATATTTGCATAGTTATCGCCGTAAATCTCGGAATCAAAAGTTCTCACAAGCTCAAGAACGGCGGTAAGTACCTTAATGAAAGGCTCCTTAGAGCACGGGCGTCTCAAGGGCACGTCTCGAGAGAAAGCGGACAATCTTTTCATGAATTAAAACTCTTAAAAAGTGCCAAGGGTTGCTCGACCCGGGGCAAGTTTCGAGAGGAATCGCTGAGAGTTTGAACACGTTATAAGGAATAATAGGGAGCTTAAGCAAACTACGACGGCGACGGTAACGAGAACAATTGCTCAGCAAGTGCGTTTTAAAACTGTGTACATTTCTTAGCCATCTTATGCAAAACAACAACGTGAAATCAGCAAAATTTGCATCGTCTGCGAACCGAAACCGCGACGGCAAATGATTTTAATTTCCATTTGGAACTCAACGCTTCTTTTACACGTTCTGCTGAAGTTGAGGTGTGGCGCTGTATGAGACGGTAAACACATGCAGCCAATTTGTTAAATTCTAATTAAAGGCAGAAATTTATATTTTAATCGAAGTCTTTCTTGGTGTTGCTGTCCTGATTGCTGAAGATCCCTAATGTGGGGAATGAAACATGGTCGATTTACGACGGTAAATATTTCGAAATAATAACATTATACACGTAAAATTAATAAAACTTACTCACATCTTGTGTGTCCTTTGTTGTTTCCGGCGTTTTCTGCCGTTTTAAGCAAGCTAAAAACGGTAGAGAACGCCGGAAACCACAGCAAGGTGGGAGTAATATCTTAGGATTTTACACGTTCATATTTTGAAATAATTATCGACACTAAAAATGGAAATTATAGGTATGCGTCCCTTCCATTCTAGTGGTTAAAGGTTTATGCAGCCTAATATCCTAATTTTGAATAAGTTGAAATACACTAGTTTTCGTAAAAAACTCCCTCTCAAAAACTAAGAAGAATTTGAAATAAAAACTAAATTGTGTTTATCTTTGCTTGTAATGATATTCGGTGAGATAGATGACAAGACCTTTTTTTTTTAACTTTAATTGTTTGCAGGAGGGGTGTCTATTACCGTTCCAGTTTATATTGCTGAAATTGCGCCATGGAGTATAAGGGGTCGTTTAGTCTCCGTCCACTATCTATTTCTGACGGGAGCTGAATTAACGGCTGCTATTATTGACGGTATATTTAGCCCTTACAAGAAGACAGGATGGAGGTAAAAAGATTTAGAATAATTTCTTTTGTCTTGTATTTTAACTTATTTAGATCACTTTCAACATAATCTGGTCAACATTCAAATTTTTATTTTTTTACTCTGTAGTCAAAGAAAGCAGTTAACTTTAATTTGTCGAAAGAAAATCACAGCATTTTGAAACGAACGCGAGATACGGCTGAAAGAGGAACCTGTGGCGAAGAGCGCAAGGGTTCTCCTGATTTTCGTAAAATAACGGAAATTAAGCTTCTCACTGGAATGTCAAAAAGTTGTAGAAAAATTTTCAAAAATCCAAAAAATTGCCACCTAAATTTCTCTTGATACATAAACTTAGATTAAAAGTTCAATTTTTCGTTATTCACAATAATTGCTAACATCGGTCAAGAAAAATTGATTGAAACTGGGTGTTATTAAACAGTCGTTCAACAGACCGCATAACATGTGGAACCTGCGGAACCTGCGGAACCCATATTTTTGCAGTTTGAGAAAAGTAATGAGAAATACCTCTACTTAAACGAATTAACATAGATATGTAGATTTGTTGGATTTTCATGAAAATTGGCTGGAATGTTCGTCAAATATTAACGCAGCAAATATTGTGAGGCATATACGAAAATCGAAATATTTCTCTTCAGACGTAGGATCATAACAACCAAATTATTTTCGTTGTCCAACTTCCAAATAGTATTCTCAGGAACCGATTGGAACATCAAAAAAAGCCTCACACACTTTGTTAGACTACTGTCTGTTGAGTGAAATTGTTCAGTTTTTTTACTGGAGGTCCGCAGAAACGCCGAGGCCGGTAATTTAGTTAGGCAAACACCGCTAGTTGTGTTTTAATAATTGTAAAATCCTACATCCATTTGGTAGATTCATGTTTGGTTTAGCTGCACTTCCGTCAGCCATCATGTTCGTGGGTTGTCTGTGGCTTCCAGAAAGTCCCAGTTGGCTCGTCAGCCGGGGCGCCTGTGAACATGCAAGGGAAGTTCTTGTAAGGATCAGAGGAACGTCAGATGTGAACGAGGAGCTGCAAGCTGTAAAAAGCATTTGTAAGGAGCAAGAATCTTATGATGAGAAAAGTAAGTTTCTCAATTATTGGAGGGTTGGGTTATTGATTGATACCTCTACACGAAGCGTAAAGCTCTTTCGAGTGGTTCGATTTGAGTTTGAACCCGATGTGATCCCGAGGCAATAATGAAGGGGATTCCGAGTGGGATCTAGGTGCGCGAGATCTCGGCAGAATTCAGATGTAGCACGGGGAAGAATTCCGGCGTGATCCCGTAGTAGTCCTGCATGGGATCCCACGCTGCGCTCGAGTAGGTTCTGAGCGTGTTCATGTAAAGTATTTTTGCCGTTTTTCTGTTGTCAATGCAATGAAATTCTAGCATTCCGTTTTTTTCATTTTCTTCAGTGGAAAATGCCGATCGCTGATCAAGTTAAGTTATTAAAACCTGAACTTTTGGAGACCTTTCGCAGTGAGTTATTTGGTGCCACAGAAACGTTTTCTGTAAAATAAAAGGTTGTCATTGTTGTTTTTAGGCAGATTTTATGAGATGTTGACCACTTCAAGTACAAGGAAGGCTCTTCTAGTTGGCTGTATGTTGGTATCAATGCAAGATCTGTCTGGGATTAATTTGATTCTGTAAGTGAAACGTTTTATTAGCTATGCAACTTGAAAGCCCAGCAATACTGTCTTAATGAAGACATTAATTTTTCCCTCTTTATCAAATGAGACAAACGGGAACTACTTTTGAGTGATATAACTAAGCTCAGACTGCCACCGTCATTTTGGATTTCCGCCTGGGTAGATTTTGGTTACGTTCTAGGCACCATATAATCAAGAACAAGATAGAATTTCATTTCAGGCCTATTTATCAATTTTGTGGTCTATAACATTCGCATTTTAGTACGTAATATTTATTTTGAATCTTCAAATTGTCTTGAAACTTAAAAGAAAATTGTTCTTTAAAAATTCACTGAAAATCGGTAGCCAAAATTATTTGTTTAGGTGTTATTTGATTTTCGTGTTAACCTGTGATTTCGTCGATCGCCGGCACCTTTTGTTGCTTCACACAGAAAAAAACACACGATACGAAATGTAATAATCGATTTTGTCCCCAATCTCACACCATAACAGAAAAAGCTTTTGAACACCTGTAAACTCCGAGCGCTTCCGAGTAAGTGATATTTTTAATGAATCTTGGGATTTTTTTCATGTTCAAGGATTGTAAATTACAATTTTATGAAAAACAAAGGTTGCTCTCTTATTTCAGAGTGAATCCTCGCACGCCTGCCAGTCGCTGTCGCCGCTTGTTGAAACTAAAAAGAAAAAAAAATAAACTCTTTTAAGATTATCATTGGCTTCTTTTTCAACCCACTACAATTCTTAGCAACAAAGGTCACCATTCCGTTTACTTATTACTCGCCAAAAACTATCAAATGCACTCAAAAGCCTAAAATCGAGAAAAAGTTTACAGGAATCGACCAATCCAGCGAGCGAGTACCATTCTCACATCATATCTACAACTCGCTCTTGCGCATGCGCGCAATTCACGAGTTAAAAATGGGAAGACTTGCAGTTTTAAAGTTGTTATGGTGTTTTGCTTTGATATTTAACAATCGGCTCGCATTATAGGATGGTCTACTTCTTTAGAAGGTAGAAGTATAAACAGAAAGGGTCTAGGCTGAGATTGTGAAAATTGCATTTGCCCCAAAGTGACTAAGATGGGGTCTATGATCTGCTGAAGAGTTAATTATAGGGAGGAAGAAGTTCTTAAAGGCCAACGGCACATACCCAGCAAAAATTGACCTACGTGCCCCCTACCCCTGGCCTTCACATCAATAATAAAATGAAATGTTGATAAAAGTGTGTTTTTGTTTCCAGATTCTACTGTGCAACTATTTTACAGATGTCAGGTGTACAGGGAGACCGACCGGCCCTCTGGCTAGCTGTGGTGATATATTTTGGTAATTTCACATTTCCCTTAATTGGATTGTATCTGGTAGAGAAAGTAGGACGCCGTAAGCTACTATTAGGAAGTCTTGCCGGGGTCACTGTTTGCATGTTTCTCTGTGGTGGTGCATTTTACATGACGAAGCAACACGATGCCGCGATAACCTTTAACGAGAGAGAGATTTCTAATATCAGCAACAATTGTCCTGCTACCGGATATTGCTTAGATTGCCTTGGAGTCCGAGAAAACTGTGGATTTTGTTATGCTCAAGACTCCTCCAATAATCCTATATATGGTTCTTGTGTTCCAATCAATCTATCTTCTAGCGAGAACACGGCCGCTTTTGGTAGATGCAGTCGCAAAGATCATTCAGTAACATGGTCGTACCAAGCTTGTCCTTACAAGTATGCGTGGTTAGCAACTTTTGCTCTTGTATTGTACATCGCCGCGTTCGGTCTGGGGATGGGGCCGCTGCCATGGACGATTAATTCTGAGATCTTCCCCCTATGGGCCCGTAGCACGGGGTATGGGTTTGCTACAGCTGTAAAATGGTCAACTAATTTGATGCTATCCATGACTTTCCTGTCTCTTACTGAATGGATTACGAGTTTCGGGGCGTTTTGGCTGTACGGGGGAATTTCGCTTCTGGGTTGGTTGTTTTTCTTTGCTTATCTTCCTGAGACGAAAAATAAATCGCTAGAGGAATTGGAACATTTATTTTCATAGTATATGATAACATTTTAAATTTTTTCTAGTTAGTCAAATTAATTTTTTATCAGAGAACTCAGAAGTAGCTGCAAAAGGGAAGTACCATCCAGTAATAGAGGAGCCGAGATTGGAGATCGTTTTTTAGTGATCATTTGATGAATTTGATAAAGTATGTGCACTTCTTTTTAAGCACAAATTTGTATTTTTAACCAAAGTGTTCACCTGGGAGTTTAGCATCATGTGCACTCTTGGAAGCCTTGTTTAAGTTATTGGTCAATAATTGATTGTTTATGGAGAGATAGTCAGTCAAACAGTTGACCAATTAATAACCAATAGACTGTACTCAATATTTATCAAATTGCCAGCATATTAACTCACATGAGATTTTGAGAGAACATGGGAAAAGTTTGTCAATCACAATTTAATGGTGGGTGATTTACAAATTTTTCAAGTGTTTCACTGATATCACATATGGTTTACTAGGGATCTAAACCTAAGAAAATGCTATCTATTGCTTCTGTAAAATTTGTTTCAAGTTTACTGGTAAAATTAATAGTGGTTTTTTGACTCACTAAGGCATGCACAATATTTTGGGTATTTTTTAACAACTGATAATCAACCCACAGTCAACTGTTGATCAATGGACATGGGTTGGTTGACCAATATATATTTTGATTGGCTGTCAACCGACCAGTATTTAGATGAAGGCTGTCATTAATACACTCAATGTGGAGTTTCTTAAATAAAGTACAAAGCTATTTTCATGCATACATATATGCAGTAGAATTTGAGCTGGCATGGAATACCTAACCCTGCTTGTTGGAAGCTAGTCATGTAATATTATAAGTTTCCACATGTAATATCTTAGAATTTAATGATCCTGCTGATTTGAAGTATTTTGGAAATGGTATCCAAGCCAGAAAGTTGTTAGAAATTTTTGGCTCTTCTGCTGCATTCTCTTTGGTGGTGTTGTATGCAGCTAGTGCTTTCGCACCCACCTGCTCATTGCCTCAACCACAATCTTAACCAGGGCAGGCAATGAGTGGCATAAGTATTAAGTGGAGATGGTGAACTGGTTACCTATCTGGACATTTCATTTAACCTTCAGACAAGCCTTACAGTATGCATGTGTAAAAGCAAATGTCCATTTGCTACAGCTGTAAAATGGTCAACTAATTTGAGTTATCATAGTATACGATAAGATTTTAAATTTTTTCTAGCTAGTCAAATTAATTTTTTATCAGAGAACTCAGAAGTAGCTGCAAAAGGGAAGTACTATCCAGTAGTAGAGGAGCAGAGATTGGAGATCGTTTTTTAGTGATCCGCAATAACTTAGATTCCTTTGTATTAAAGCTTATTTGCGTATGCACTGTTAGCTTTTGGTGACTAAAAATTTTGCTTGCTGATCGCCATACGTACCAAATGTAATTTAGTGTGAGATGAAAATAAATAAAGATAGCGTGCTCTTTTATTCTTCACTTCTGAATTTTTTTCTTGGCGATGTTGTTACTACACTAGCTCAGTTGAACAAGTTCAAACAATGAATAACAAAATTCAGGGATATAGGATTAGAAGAAGCCGAAAAAAAAAAAATAAAAAAATAAAGAGTAGATTACGAACTTATGGACCTGCATTGCGCTGAGCTGGAAAAAGCGGTCTTGGAAAGCGTTCTGGCGTCCACCCGCCTCAAAAATGGCGCTTGTTCTGGTTTCGATACTCGAAAACCATTACACGCGAAAGAAAATAATTAATTAGCGAAAGCATTTTTATGAGCGTTTTTATTTTCGTAGTTTTTGTTGCTTTCTGTGGCTTCAAAAGACTGGTTTGAAAAAGCGTTTAAAATTTTGCACCCCATATGTTTCGCGAACTCATTACTCACTCACTAAGGTTCTCTGAATAGACTCCAAGGAGTCAGCTGATTGATCTTGCCTCGATTTCATTATTGCTCGAAAAACGCGGGAAAATTGTGTCACGTGAACAGATCAGCCGGAGAAGACGACAGCATGGCGGTAAGTGAGTTGTTCATTGCAGAACACATTGATTTTACTTCGTTAAAGCAAAGCCTCCTTCTCTTGATTTACCGTCGATTTTCATTGCTTTTGCAAAAAAAAGTTCAGATATCTCAGTTTGTAACCGCTTTGATCGTTTTTGAGACAGTTACCGAGCATGCTTTCTCCTTGCAGAATGAGTTCTATCGATCGATCATTCAAATTCACAACATGCGAAGACATGATCGATTACTTCAGAATTTAAATCTTTAAAGCTTTTGATGTTGGCTGTGTCCAACTTTCCATAATGAAATCGCTTTTGGTAGAGAGTAAATGAGCCTGAAGTACACGAATTGTACAAAATTTGTCAAGGCTTCATTTGTACGGTTTCGCGCTCAAGTTGTCGTAGACCTCCAACAGATCTTTCCTTTTTGAAATTATTTTTAAAGAAAGAGAGTCTTTGATTGAAATTTCAGATCACTTTTCGAGTCGCGTTACAAATTCCCTTCGCAAACTTAGATGAAAATGTAGGGAAGCAAAAAGGAGAGTTTGCGTATTTATCAGTATTTTTCTCAAACTCGATAGGAATCTTCAAGCAGTATTGGTGTACCCAGCAGTCCTCACAGAGCAGATGGCTTGACGTCAAGTCCAGGAAGGGATCTGCCACCGTTTGAAGATGAAACAGATGCAGTCCTTGGTAATGATGATGTGGGAGAGGAAGAGGAAGGGGAGGAATTGTTTGGTGATCGAATGGAACAGTGAGTTTCTTTGAACTTTTTTTTATAATTTTCATAGTTAGATCTGTTGATTTGAGTGGTAAGAATTTAATCCAGTACTGAGAGCCTTGCTAGATTTGACAGAATCATGTGCAGTTAAGGGAAAATTTTAACCCTTTCACCCCAATATTTAAATAGTAATTCTCTATACTGTTTGCCATAAATTACACCTTTTAAGAGGTTGAGATGTGAAAACTATTAATGCCATTTTTATTTCAATGAACAGAGATTACCGTCCAATTCCAGCCCTTGATGTCTATGATCCTGCTGCATTAGATGATGAGGACTTTGATGAGATGACACCAGAAGCTCGGCAGGAAGCTGAGCGTCTCATGAGGAAGAGGGACAGAGAAGAAGCTGCTGCAAGAGGAAGACTTCATAGGGGACTTCTTTATGGTATTTACTGAATATTTGATATTTTTGTTTATTTTGTAATAGAAGTAAAGTTTTGTCCTTACTTGTTTACAAAGGAGAGATTAAAATAGAACTTGTGAGATCATTGCCATTGTCTGTTTAGCTGGTAAGCACTGTTTTTGATGCTAATAATTACTTTTCTGAGCTTCTATATTTCAAATTTATTCCTGAGGGAGCATGCTCCCAGACACCCCCAAGGGGAGAAGGGTGAGGATTGTGGTCTTATGGCAATGGTCATAACTGACATTTTATGGCTCGCTCATCAAACATGTGTCACTCATGACATTAACTCATTTATAGATGAAACAGATGAAGAAGACGAGGAACAACCAAGACGCAGACGTAGACTTGCAGAAAGGGCTGCTGATGGTGACATGCAAGACGAAGATGAGGTACAGGGGATCAACACCTTACTAAAAATTATTTCTAGTTATAATTAAATATTAGTAAAGTGGATTTGATGTAGCTTAGAAAGGGATATTTTTGTTTTTGTCTGACAAAATCCCATGATATGTCTACTTAAACCTACAGACATCAAATGGAGGCATGGCTTGTAGTTCTGATTTTTAGTTAATCATTTTGTTCAATTGATGGTCATAATTTATCAACAAATCTTCTCATGGCAAGCAGAATAATGCAAGTCAATCTGTGAGACTTAATTCACTTATCCATTACGCAAGATCAAGGCCATGTATGCCAGTCAGTCCAAGATTGCGTTGAAAAGCTAGAACAGTCTGGCTTCAGATCCACACCTGTGGGATACCATGAAACCTACAGGGCTAGCAGTTTCAAATGAATCTGTCAATGATAAAGTTGACCCATTTTTTGTTTTCATTTATCTCTTTATAGCTCATTGAAAGCATAGAAAACCTTGAAGACATGAAAGGACATTCTGTTCGCGAGTGGGTGTCCATGCAGGCTCCACGCCTTGAGATCAAGAACAGATTTAAACAGTTTCTGCGTTCCTTTGTTGATGACCAAGGAAAAAGTGTGTACAGAGAGAAAATTTCGCAGATGTGTGAAGGTAATTGTGATCAATCCTTTCAGATCAAAATGCATAATCTCCATTCTGTTCTCTGTATATTTGGCATGGCACTGATAATAAGAGGTTGTTTTAAAATCAAGAGCATTTTTAGTTGAGGATCATTTTCCTTATTCTCATGACCCTACTGTTTGACTCAGAGGTTTGACTGTATGGAGAAATTAGATGCTTGTCAATGGTGGGCAGTTTAGACCATTTAAAGGTTAAGATAATATCTTCCTGTGCATAAAATGCTGCTTCACCTCTACAAAATAAACTAAACCTGAATCCTCTACCAATCCTTATTTTTGTGACCTGTTCACTTACACTTGTTATACAGTAGAAAATTATTGAAATTGTTAATGAACAGTTTGTGGTATAATACTATCACAGGGTTCAAAACCCAAAATAGTTTATATTCTTGAAGGAAATAAAGCATTCATGATGTTGATTTTTTAAGTTTTTTTTTGTCTGTAGCAAACAAACAAAGTCTTGTAATTGATTACAACATTCTTGCCAATGAGCAGCAAGTTCTGGCATACTTTCTTCCTGAAGCCCCATCTGAAGTCCTGCAAATCTTTGATGAGGTAAAATAAATGTTGTCATGATTGTATAGTTTGTTTGAATTTTCAGATTCATTACAGTCACTAGTGATAATTTTTAAACCATTTCACTCTTAAGATCGCTTTAGTAATTCTCCTTACTGTCTGCCATACAATTCTTATGATGTTTGTTCAGAGAACTTAGTATTTATCACTTGTCTGCTTGATATCGTATTAACTTGGCCATCCATGATAGTTAAAGGTTTAACTAAAGGAAATAGCTGCCTCTTATTTTCCTTGTAAATTAGTCAAGATAATTTTGAGTTAGAGATTCAGTCTCTAGCAGTTCAAAGTGGGTGTTGATCCATGCTCAAAACATTTTGAGTTTGTTTCAATCCAAGCTGGGTATGGTAATTATTTCAACATTGAATATTCAGGGTGCCAAAGAAGTGGTTCTTGCCATGTTTCCAAACTATGATCGTATAACAAGTGACATTCATGTGAGAATATCTGATCTTCCTTTGATGGAGGAACTTCGATCATTAAGGTATCAATAATTTATTTGTTCTGTTTTGTTTTGGTTTTTCTTCTGGGAGAGGAGTCTTGTTTAATTAGCCTTATCTGTAATTTACAAGACTTGAATGTAAGATCTCAAAGCTATAATAATAACTGTCAACTCAAGAGTTAAGGTGCTAGATTTAGGATAATCTGGTTTTATCAAATGAGTTGAAAATGTAAATCAGCCTCTGTAAAGAGTTATCCCTTTGCCAGAGGTAATGATGCCATTAATATCTGCCGTTAATGGTGGCCGATTTACTTTATCAACTCAGTTGATAAAACAAAATTGTTGTGTGATACCCCTCCCCAATACAGCACCACAGTTTCTTCAGAAATTTTCCCCCTTTTCTTCATTTGCTAGATTCAGGGCTGAGAGGTTTGGTGTAAGTCCTTTGTTGTTTTTGCAGTTCTTTCTCCACTCAGGGTTATCCATGGTAAACCAGCAAAACAATCAGAGAAAATTGACTGAATGGAATGGTTGGGGGAGGGGTGGGAGGGAAACGGTGGGTTTAACTGATCTAGTATATCACCCAGGAGTGATGCACATTATAAAATAAAATTTCAGTTAAGATGCTCAGCTCTTCAACCAGTCTTCAACATTTTGCAAGTGTTTTTTTTTCTTTTTTCCAGGCAACTACACGTGAACCAACTAATCCGAACTTGTGGTGTGGTCACCAGTAGCACTGGAATCCTTCCTCAGCTTAGTATGGTGAAGTATGACTGTCAGAAGTGCTCCTTTATTTTGGGGCCTTTCTACCAATCAGCCAATCAGGAGGTGAAGCCAGGGTCATGCCCAGAGTGTCAGTCACGTGGACCTTTTGAGATAAACATGGATCAGGTATGATGTGATCAGGAACTTGAAATTATGCTGGGGAGCTACCTGTTGTAGACTACCTTTCCACTGAGGTGGGAAAAGATCTATTTCCAGCTTCCTCATGCCTCAAAAACCAGGGATAAGCAGTGAAAACTGTTTGCCTCTTGGCTACACGACTTGAACCTGATATTGTATTAATGACAAGATTTTGTCCTCTTAACACACTGCCTTTAAGCAAATTGTGTTGCCTAAGATTCTAGTCTTTTTTTTTTTTCTGAATTTTGGTTAGCAGTGTTTTCCTTCCATTTCTTACAGACTATTTATCAGAACTTCCAAAAAATCAAGATTCAAGAGAGCCCCAGTAAAGTTGCTGCAGGCAGACTTCCAAGATACAAAGATGTCATCCTTACTGGTGATCTAGTGGACAGTTGCAAACCAGGAGATGAGATTGTAAGAGCCACAGAAAACCTCAGTTCTGCTATTGACAGTTTCAACTATTTATTATTTTCAACTAGGTATATTGGATAGGTACAGTTGTATCTCGTGCGTAAAAAAATCAGTATACCAGTAGCCTCTCCCCTCCCTCCCTAATCAGGCCTGTCTACTGCCTAGACTTTAGTGCACTCAACATGTGATATTTACCTTTTCTTTGTTTCAAGTTATCATATTCATTGTTGCAGGAACTCACAGGAATTTACAGAATAAACTATGACACAAGCCTGAATCGTTCAAATGGTTTTCCAGTATTTGCAACAGTGATAGAAGCCAATTACATCACCAAACAGGATGACAAATTAGCAGTTACGAGTCTGACTGATGATGATATCAAGGCAATCATTGAGTTATCAAAAGAGGAGAGAATTGGTGAAAAGGTATAATTAGTTTAAATTTGTTTATTTTTCCAGAAGCTTAGAGTTACCAAAGATAAATCTTGTATTTTTTGGTAGGACTTGTTTTGAGGGATAGGGAACATATGTAGCTTAAAAGTTTTATTCACTGTCTTGATTTAGATTATCAACAGCATTGCACCATCCATATATGGTCATGATGACATTAAGAGAGCGATTGCTCTTTTGCTGTTTGGAGGCGTGGCCAAAGATCCAGGTAAGGATGGAGGACTACATTACTATGAAATTATCTGCATTATTAGTCGACATAAATCTACTGAGTGCTATATCAATTGGATGTGTGTCTAAAACTTAACATCTGAGCTGTTGTAGTGTATTTTTTTTTTCCTGCTTTTTTTGGATGAGGATTTATGTTTAAACATTGTATAGTCTGATTATCTAGGTTGAGAGGAGTCCTGAAAAAGATTCTTTTCAGGAGTACTGTCTGACTCTATGACAATCTCAGGGGATGTTATGATCAGAGTCAAGTTAAGAGTCTTTTGCCAGTTGATTTTTTTTTTCCAAGAAAACTCATAGGTCAATTTTGCTGGAACCAGACTTAGAACATACATCTGACAAACAACCTCTTGACTCTGATGACAATTTCTCCTCAAACATCAGCTACTTCAAGGGACAAGAGTCCTTTTCAGAACTCCCCCCTCCCCTCCTCCAAATGATTAGACTGTATAATGAAATGTTACTTGCAGGCTCAAACTACATCTATGTAGAAGAATTTCAATAGGCATGAAATTGTGTATGGAAACACTGGATTGTATTCTAACATTCAGATATTTTTGTGTGAGTAATTGCAGATTTCCTTAACTTGGGCAATATATATTAGCAATATATGTAGACATCAAATTTTGTATGAAGGCACTAGATTATATTATAACATTCGGAGGTTTTTATGGGTAACTCAGAGGTGCCCAGATTTCCTTTAATCCAGGCAATGTATGTTGGCAATAGGCCTGATTTTGTATGAATTAAGACACTGAATTGTATCAAAACATTCAAAGATTTTGGGTAAGTAACTGCAGATTTCCTTTAACCTGGGCAATATATATTTTTTTTAAGGTGGAAAGCACAAACTTCGAGGTGACATCAACATCCTTCTATGTGGTGATCCAGGAACAGCTAAGTCTCAGTTTCTGAAATATGTGGAGAAAGCAGCTCAGAGAGCAGTGTTTACGACTGGTCAAGGTGCATCAGCTGTTGGATTGACAGCATATGTTCAGAGGCATCCAGTCACTAAAGAATGGACACTTGAGGCTGGTGCATTGGTGTTGGCTGATAAAGGCGTCTGTTTGATTGATGAATTTGATAAAGTATGTGCACTTCTTTTTAAGCACAAATTTTTATTTTTAACCAAAGTGTTCACCTGGGAGTTTAGCATCATGTGCACTCTTGGAAGCCTGGTTTAAGGTATTGGTCAATAATTGATTGTTTATGGAGAGATAGTCAGTCACACAGTTGACCAATAAACAACCAATAGACTGCACTCAATATTTATCAAATTGCCAGCATATTAACTCACATGAGATTTCAAGAGAACATGGGAAAAGTTTGTCAATCACAATTTAATGGTGGGTGATTTACAAATTTTTCAAGTGTTTCACTGATATCACATATGGTCTATTAGACATCTAAACCTTAGAAAGTGTTATCTATTGTTTCTGTAAAATTTGTTAAAGTTAACTGGTAAAATTAATGGTAGTTTTTTGACTCACTAAGGCATGCACAATATTTTGGGTATTGTTTAACAACTGATAATCAACCCACAGTCAACTGTTGATCAATGGATATGGGTTGGCTGACCAATATATATTTTGATTAGCTGTCAATTGACCAGTATTTAGATGAAGGCTGTCATTAGAACACTAATTGTGGAGTTTCGTAAATAAGGCACAAAGCTATTTTCATGCATACATATATGCAGTAGAATTTGGGCTGGCATGGAATACCTAACCCTGCTCGTTGGAACCTAGTCATGTAATATTATAAGTTTCCACATGTAATATCTTAGAATTTAATGATCTTGCTGATTTTGAGTATTTTGAAAATGATATCCAAGCCAGAAAGTTGTCAGAAATTTTGGGCTCTTCTGCTGCATTCTCTTTGGTGGTGTTGTATGCAGCTAGTGCTTTCGCACCCACCTGCTCATTGCCTCAACCACAATCTTAACCAGGGCAGGCAATGAGTGGCATAAGTATTTAGAGGAGATGGTGAACTGGTTACCTATCTGGACATTTCATCTAACCTTCAGACGAGCCTTACAGTATGCATGTGTAAAAGCAAATGTCCATTTGCAAGTAGCATATTAAGCTAAGACTACAGCATAATGCAAGAAAATCTTTTTGTGCGATGATCCAAAATTTTTATGATTTTTTACTATAGATGAATGATGCAGATCGTACAAGTATTCATGAAGCCATGGAACAGCAGAGCATATCAATCTCCAAAGCTGGCATTGTGACCTCACTGCAGGTGATTTAAAAAACTTTCAATTCAATCGGATAATTGAGTTTTTTTTTAAAAGAGCTTTTTTATGCACAGAGTTGCTTATCTTGCTTACTAAGGTTTTTTTTCTCTGGTGATTGTTTTTTTATAGGCTCGTTGCAGTATATTAGCTGCTGCAAATCCAATTGGTGGGCGTTATGATCCATCCATGACTTTTGCTGAAAATGTAAGTTACTATTTCTTCAGAAGAGAAAGCCTTAATTTTACCTCACAAGGTAATAGCGCCACTTGCAGACTCCTACAATATACCCTTGAGATTGTGGCCAAATGGTAGTCTACTATTTTGCGGTTGAACTCTGAGGGGTTCGCAATTAAGTCCACTTTTGGATAAGACACTTTACCTCCATAATGCCTCTTATCTAAGAGTGTGAGCTGGTTTTGGTTGGTTGATGAGCAGAGCATAGGGGCAGATCTAGGAATTTTTAATTGAGGGTCCCAGTTGTGATTTGGATAATTCTTTTATTGTCATTTTAATGATTTTTTTTTTGTTATCAAGAGCCATAAGAAGCCAAGGAATATGTCAAAATAAGTTAATTTTAAATACTTCAAGTTGAATAGTAATATGCCATCCTGTCTTTGGAAGAATTTTGGTATCAGACAAGTAGTATAAGTACTTCCAGGTCTGATGGGAGAGGGTGGTGGGGGGGGGCGGATGGAACTCTCTGGACCCTCCCTTAGAATCTGCCATCAGAGGACTCTAATAACATAATGTGAGGGTATCTGTGATTTTTCTTTCTTCAGCTGCCTATAGCCTGCCTTTAGACTGTGGTCATGCTCTCATGTTTGGATGTTGCCTTACTCTCCCCCCTCCTTTTCCAGGCACAGCTGCCCATTACACCTATGGCAGCCTCTTATGGGAAAAAAATTATTGCAACCTCAGGATCCCATGAATCATTGCAAGCTTGGTTTGAACTCTGGTCTTAGCAGCCCTCTATACACTATCCTTTTCATTCTTGTCTGCTATAATAGGTTGATCTGACTGAGCCAATCCTTTCTCGTTTTGACATTCTCTGTGTTGTCAAAGATACAGTGGATCCTGTTCAGGTAAATTAACTCTTAAATTCCCTAGGTTAATGAACTTGTAAATTCTCCCTATAACTTCAAAATACTATGGAGCAAATAGGTGATGAGAAAAGGTGAACTGATCAGCAAGAGGGTGTCATCTTGTCATGATACCAACCTCTTGTATCATTTACAAGGAAATGTGTAGTACCTAGAATGGGGAAATACTGAATAGATCTGCGCTGGGTTGTTCAAAGCTGGGTTGAGATAACCCAGGATTAGTGTGAAGTCTGATTTCAGATCTGAAAGCTTTCAAAGAAAATTCAATATAATTCTTTTTGTTAACAATTTGACGGTTGGATGCTCCATATAGAATAGAGAAAATTATCTCAAAAAGGCTTCGTCACAAGCCTCTGACACTCCTATGCACAAAATCTCATAAGATAAACGTGTCCTTAGCCATGTTAGGTCATTGCGTTTTGTACTTCAGTTTTGTGCGTGATTTTGCAGGATGAGATGTTGGCTAGGTTTGTCGTGAACAGTCACGTGAAGCATCATCCAAATGCCGTGAACAGTGAGGAGAATGATGACGAGGACACGGAAGAGGTACGCGTAGATCATAACTTTAGTTCAACAAGAATTAACTAAGCCATGCTTAGAGGGACATTAGGTTGGATCAACAAGAGTTTTTAATGAGAAATTCACTCTCTGGCGTGGTAAGGAGGCTCTTGGCAAGAATGCATTGAATGCCAGTAAGGAAGCCGTCTTGCTTGTTTGTCCTAATCTAAATCATTGGGGAGCCTTTTGTTGTTAGAAGGTTTTCTTTTTTTTTCCGACTTAAAGGAAGCCTGCGAGTTGGCAGGACGTTCGTTTCACCGCTCGCGGAAAGATTTGAGACCAGTCGGGGAGAAGTTTGCTGGAGGTGTGGCACTAATCAGTGCTAGAACCCCAGCTGACCTATCGCTGGCTCGCGTGGCGTAAGGCCTCATACTTTCCCACGGGCGGAGAAGCCCCAATGAAAAGGATCTTCCCGGACGCTACCCAAGGGGATGTCGATATGCAGATACCTTAGGACCCCTTAGTTACAATTTCTTTGAGAGCTGCTGTCATAATATTTAGCAGTTGTAAGTTTTAAATTCCTTGTCTCTTGTTGCAGATTTCTCCCCTGAGTGGAAAGGAGACTATTCCGCAAGAAATGCTGAAAAAGTACATCATATATGCGCGCGAGAAGATTAACCCTAAACTGCACAACATGGATCAGGATAAAATCGCCAAAATGTTTGCTGAATTAAGAAAGGAGTCAATGGTGAGACAAAATTTTATCATATTTTATTTTAAAACCGGTTCGCATCGTCTTAAATTCTTAGGAAAAGTGTGGAAATTTGGAAAACAATGTTTATGACCCGCGAAAAGGGTTGAAGCTGAAAAAAAGTCAAGGAGAGGCAAGATTTTTCTCTAAGCTTTAAGAAGAGCTTGATTACGGAGCGAGATCTGCATTAGTTCTCTGTTCCGTGGCCAAACTTTTCATAAGCGCCGTTGGAGAATTGGCAACTGCGCTCTTGCTAGGGCCATGTGATTTGCCTAGTAACCTTAACCCTTTAACTCCCACGAGTGATAAAGGCAGAATTTCTCCCTTCGATATCAATACAGAATCAAGCAGACCAGTGGTGAGAATTAAAAAAATATCAATAGATGATTATCCGAATAACATCATAAGAATTGTGTGGCGGATAGAAAAGAGAATTACTAAAAAGACCATGGGAATGAAAGGTTTTAGAACGTAAAGCGAAAACAGTGGTCTTAAAAAAATTCGAAAAGTTGTTTGAGTCTTGGAATTTGAAATTGCAGTTTATTAGACCGAAATGAATTTAAACGTTTTCAGGCCACTGGTTCTATTCCTATAACTGTGCGACATATCGAATCCATGATCAGAATGGCTGAAGGACACGCGAAGATGCACCTGAGGGAATACGTCACCGAAGATGACGTCAACATGGCAATTAGAGTCATGTTGGAGAGCTTTATTGACACCCAGAAGTTCTCTGTTATGAGGAACATGAGAAAGGTATGTTTAAAAACTTTCTACGCAACTTAGCTTGCGAGAAAGCGAAGTTGTGATTTACACGGTTTTTGCCACCTCACCAGTCGAGGTTAGGCTAGTTCGTTGCTCTGGTAAGTCGTATACCAGATTCGCAAATGACAAGTGCAGTTCTGCCATATGTCAGAATCATCTCCTACAAGTTTCCTGTACGCTTGTGAGATCAGCAGTTTTGAAAGCGTTTTGTGAAGATTGATTCTAAAAGATGCTTAACGCTCTGTTCGTCGACAAAAGAAAGACGCAAAAACTTTTGACACAAGCGTGGTTCAAGTTCCTTCAATTCATTTTCTTAAGTGGCATTTTCGTTTTCAATGCGTTGAACTTTTTCAATCTGGTCTCACTACCCCTGCAAAGCACTCTGATAAATTTCGGTGAGAGAGTGATGTTTTCGACCAATCAGATCAATCGAGTTTCAAATAGGACCAATCCCACCATGCCTAAGAGAAGATGATCTATTTATCCTCAGTTCTGATTGGTTATTTGATTTCTCCATGTTGCCGCTTTCATATTGAATCCGCTGATATCAGTGTACGCCCAGTTCCCGCTAAAGACGCCACTTTCCCGCCACACCTAAACTGATTTCTCTACTGACTGGTTCATTAATAGAGATTTGTGCTGATTAACGAAAAGGGAATCTTCAGTCAATGTTTCGAGTGTTTTATTGCAAATGTTAATAAGGAAACTCTGACAAAAGCTGTGTTGTTTCTTTGTTTTAACAGGCGTTCTCTCAGTATCTGGCTTATCGCCGTGACAATAACGAGTTACTCCTGTTCGTACTGAGGCAGTTGGCCAAAGAACAATATACCTTCTCCCGCAGTCGATATCGCAGCGAACCCGATGTGATTGAAATTCAAGAAGACGAATTCACAGATAGGGTAAGCTTCGCTGAATTCAGTTGTTTTTCGTTTACTCCGGTTTGTCATGGGTTTTGCTTCACCTCGTACCATGATTGGTCTAGAAAACTCACGCCATCCTCTCAACCAATCAAATGCAAAATTAAAACCTATCGCGTCCTGGTCTCTCAAGTTTTCCCGCGCTTTAGGCTGGTTGCATGTTCTTATATTGGGTTTTCATAGGCAACTTGTGATACTACCTTCGTTTTTATTTGTCACTGTGATTTTACTCTAGTTCTCTCGAAAACTTCGTTGTTTCGACCTTAGTGTGTGTTTCCATCAGATATCCTCACTTGAACCAATCCAACAATTGTTACTTGATTAAGGCTATCACGTTGAGGTCTGTTGTAGCCTGAACTAGGCCCGCAGTCAGCGGACATGCGAACAAAAAACAGCGGAGGTTTGAGAAAGGGTTTTTATTTTCTAAGCTCAAAAGGCTGGTTATTTACACGCGGTTTGGTTAAAAAACGGCTAAACTTTGTTTGAATAACCGGCCCTAAGTCTATCGTTCGCCTTTACTTTTAAATCGTCATCCCTCACTGAGAATGTAGTACAGGCTTATCCTGTTGCAATTGGTGTATCGATCTTAAATTTCTTCCTTTTCTTTTACAGGCCAGGCAAATAAATATCACTAGTTTGGGATCGTTCTACGAGAGCCCAATGTTCACATCTAACAGATTCATCCACGACAAGAAACGAAAGCTCATCATTCAAACACTGTGATCTTTTACTTCACGAGAACGATTGTATAACCTTAGATCGGAACTGTTTTGGTACCATACCAATCACACACTCCTTTTGGGGTTGACTGGGTTTATATGAAATAGTTGCATCTTTTCTCATTCAAGCTGTAAGAGTTGCCAGGATTTGGCTTCATCTCGGTTCAAGTTAAGAAGGCTTTCATTTTAAGGGCTTACTTATGAAGGAGGCATTGGTTACTTGAATATTTTGGAAGGTGAAAAGTAGCAATTAGCCTGTGGGTAAGCTCTTATTGACGGAGGGGCACGCCGTTAAGTCTGCGAGATACAAGCTTGCAAGAGTGCTGTGAGGGGTCTGAAGAACCCCATCTTTTACTTTCCTTTTGTACAGTGATCGGCTGTTTTAAAATGAAACTTTTTTCTTCCCGTTTATAATCATCCGCAACAGGTGATTGTCCCTATAACAGTCAACATGTAATGAAAATAGTCAAACTTATCGGGTAGGAATTAGTAGTCTTGATGTAACACTAAATTCTCATGACTCATTTACAAGGAAATGTGTAACAGCTAGAGGGGAGAATTAACAATCAAATCTTGGGAGTTTAAGGGTTAAAAAGCAAACATAAAGCAGATTTGCTTCTCTCACCAGCCCCCCTTCTTGTGCTTTGTGAGTAGAGGAAAGGGACGGTGGTCCATAACAGCATGTTGTATCACGTGACCAGGCTGCACCTGATCTCGGCGCCCCTCGCGATCCTCCAGACGATAAAATTTGTCGCTTAAATCCAGCAGATTACGGTCAAAAAGCAAATGAACAAAACTTTTATCTACATTCTGATAACCAAGAAACTTCATGTTTAATTTATCAGCCCTGTTTTCTAAAAGTTTAAAGTGACAACACGTAACTGTTAACAATTATCGTTAAGAGCATATAAAAGGTCGTAAAAAGGGCATCTTAATGAGTTTGACCTCGTTGGTCTCAAGGGAGAGACTGAAACTTCCATGAACTTTGAACCTCGACTCTACTCCTGTCCTACAGTGAGCCACACCCACAATATCCTTGTTCTAAGAACTTCAAACGAAATATCATCAAAACTTTACACCCTGACGCCTTAGTAACTTTTCGTTTGCGATTCTTATTTCTAGCGGTTATACACTTCTTTGTGAATTAGCTAGGAGAATTAAGTTTAGGATCAAGAAAGCACCCTATAGTAGGTAAATTTTATTATTCTTTATTTTTCTTATCCCCTTAGTGGACAAAGTAGTTTTTATGTGAAACAAGTCTGGGATTAACTCTGACTCTTAAAAGTGACTAGCATCTTATTTCTCCTTACAATATCATCCTATCACACAGGAAAGTCACGAAAATAGATTAAAACTACACACGCCTCTGACTGATGAACAAATTCTCCTTGTCAGCATCTTAGGATGTGTATAGGGAGCATACTGATGTCAGGGTGTTTAAAAGGTTTAATAGGATAATACACTCTTCTCCAAAAGGCGGGAAAACAACGACAATAATAAAATACACATTAGAAAAAAGAACAAAATTTTAAGGGATTACAACAACAAAATATATTTGGCGTTGTTTACGTTAAATAATGTGATGGAGCCTCGCCGGATCTGAGTCATCATGACTTGACAATGGACTTTGGATATCACAGTTTGACTTACACAGCGTCCTATAAACGCAAAAAGGAGGAAAGTCCGCGCTTTTGGAACGGAAACGCAAGGCTTTGTGGGACAATTCAGGCCCAGGCGACCGGCCTCGTTGTGATGTGTACGCGCACGCCATTATTTTCGGCCATATTGAATGAAACACTTCATACGTTCAAAGCCAAAAACGGTAGAAATTATGTGATATTAATCGCGTTGTTTGGCCTATTTTCACAGGGCACGTTGAAAGAATAGAATCAAGGAATAAGTCATCGAGCGCAACAAGACTCTTATCGTTTCGCATAGTCATCGTGATTGTAAAACTCACGGTTTTCAAAGAATCATAGAATTATCTTTACTCTAAGAAAGAAGTCACCTCTTAGTTTGTGGTGATGCAGCATGGTAGATTGGCAAAATGAATAAATTTTAGCTTATGTTTATGCTCAGAAGATGAAGATTGACAGAAGTAAACTGCGCAAAACGCAGTCCGACGTGGTAAGTGTCGTACAATTGCGAGTAGATATCATTTTCCGTGAAGTTCATTATCAGAAACTTGAGTTCGATGTGTGATAGGCTGAGAAATCTTGTATTTTCTTCGGACGCAGTGAGTCTCTCATGTATAGTAGACTTTACTAATGTTCTCTTCTAGTACTTAACTAACAAAGTTTTTTTCATAAACAGGCACCTGAGTGCAAACAGCTTATTCAAAGGTTGAAGGAAGCCAGCGATTGCGAGTTAATTCGAATTCTCAAAGACATCAATACCTGGTACTATGGAAAGGTACACAGATATTAACTTCATCCTTTTTACTAATATCTAGTGTTATTATTTGAATGTTTTCATGATCATTTCAATATTCCAATTTATTAGTTTGCTAAGTTTTTGTATTGTTAAAGATCCCCGTTAGACAAACATCGTCGTGATGACAGGAAATTCAATGCATTTTTAATACTTTGATTGCTACTTGTACATAGTTCAGTTACATTGAAGATGGCTTTAAAAGTTAGATGATTAGGTCGTTAAGTTATTTCTTCCTTATGGAAACAACATTTGCCATAGTGTTTGAAAATATGCTTAATTAACTTTTGATTGAAGTCGAAATCTTTCAGTTGCAAGGATCATTTTGATTAATAATCACTTGAATAATGATTTAAGTACATGTAATATTTAGCAATTCATAATCACTGTTTCATTCGCTACAGTACTTAACAGAATTAGTTCCCATCTTTTCTTTCAGTTAGTATTGTTTTTGTGGATTGATCATTTTAAAGCTCTGACCTTAAGGGTGTGTTAAAAAATGATGTCAGGGTCTAATTTCAAAGGAGAATTATTTGGAAGTGTAGAGATACAAGTGTAAATTATGTTGCGTAAAGTCAAGCCAATATTTTTCATAGGCTAACTCAAATTCAATCTTCTGTTTTCAAAGTTCTCTCTTTTGATCTTTTTCTTTGCATAACACTATGTAGCCTTTAGAAACTCATGTGTTGTTAAAATTTTGTTATAATATCTTTGATGGAATTTTAGCTTGTTTTCAAATAGTTGTAGAAGTTCAAGAGACTCTGAAAGCTGCTTCTTGTTTATTTACAACATGTAATAATAAGTGTTTATTGTCTGAGTGGGAGGGCCAGACAGGAAATATTTAGCTCGAGGTCATGACATACAGACCAAGTGCATTGAGGTCAGTTCATCATGACTGAGAGCCGAATATTTTCCCATGGGTCCCTCTCACTCGCTAAGCTTTTTATCATATGACTACTAAGTGTTAAAAATTTTGAAAATTTTGCATCAACCTAAATAGTATGTGATAGATCGGCTTACATGGGACAACCACAAAAAAGATTCTTGGAGCCAGACCAATTAAAACACTTTTTCCTTTAAGTTTTTGCAACAAAGCTGTGTGAGTGCAGGGCCGGATAGCTCTCTTTGGACCAGCTCTCATCAACCCCTTCAGCCTTACACAGGTCAACTTTCCCTATGGTTTTCTATGGGATTGTGCACGTGGAGCTGTTCAGGTCATATGATAAAAATGAAGTGGATAGGCCATAAGACAAAACCCGAACACAAGAGCCTACTGTAAGGCTGAACAGGTTTAGACAGGTAGCTGTAGATTGCCAGTAACCAATTTTTATTAAAACTCCTATTGTGGTAGAGTATCAGACCAACAAATCCAAAGTACTAAGGTTAGATTCCTCATAGGTTATAGTGGTGCTTCTTTATCCCTAACTTTTGACAAAGCAAAAAGGGATTTTATTTAATTAATACTTTTGTTTTGTTTAGTGTGAGCTTCAACACTGGGTAGATGTTATGGACAAGTTTGATGAAATCTTGGCAAGTGTTGCTAAACCAGTTAATGGTAGCTCTTGGATTATAACTTATGACAAGCTGGATCAACTTGAGGGACCAGATATAGCAGTAAGTTTTTTAACTTAAACAAGCGAAAATAGATGTTTCTTAGACTATACTTGAGATTATCCCCTTTATTTTGGTTATTGATAGTGATTTTGTATGGTAATTTTTACCATACAAACCTCAATGCTTTTTTTTAGTTTCAAATCCTGCAAAGCTTATTTAGCACTAAGTAAGTTAACCCTTTAATTAAACTCCAAAGATCTGATTGTTAATTCTCCCCTCTAGCTGCTCCACATTTCCTTGTATATTAGTTACGAGAATTTGGTGTAAGATGGAGATAACCACTTCTACAGTGTACATGTACATGATAAATTTGAGTATTCTTGTTACCTGTTTACTGGATAATGTATGGAAATTATGGGGAGAAGTAGCATGTTAATCACCTACGGTAGTTAAAGGGTGAACAATTACTGTTTGTTGGGTTTGGAAGGACTTTCAGTGTATTGATTTATTTTTATGTTATTTGTAGATTGAACGTCGGTGCTTGGTAAACCACGTGTTGAGATTCACAGCTCTGGTGTTGGAACACTCATACACAAGACATCTGTATAGCTCATCAGAGGTAATTGTTTTCTTTTTACACTTTAGCAGCTACTGAATGCTAGGCTGACAAGCATAACCTGACCAAAGTCATCAAAACTATACATGTGTGACCATGAAAGGCAAAACGGACATTAATGGTTATATGTTCAAATGGGTAAACTGTTCATTATCCGTTTGTTATCCGTTCGAAGGCCTCAAAAACTCTGTTCAAAGCATTTGAAAAACTGTTCAAACGGTTTGCATATCGGTTTGAAATACATTAGGGTCTGTTCGAAGTTTTGTGACATCCATTTGAACGGTTCTGACATCCTTTCGAACAGTTTGGACATCTGTTTGAACAGTTTTTGCATCAATTCACCAACTAGAAGTGTCTATTCTGTTCATCTTTTCAAAGGAAGAAAATTGCTCTCGTGGTTTCTCTACAGATATTCAGTATAGTGGTCGGAACGTCACAATCTACATCTCTATGACTAAATTGTGAGACAAATGATTAACTCAGCTATCATTTTAAATCAATGAGAAATTGAATAGTTTCCATTTTCAATTGTGAGAATAAAGGCCTTGAAATTGATTACAATGACAAATGAAATGAAACAATACTCAGCAACATTGCCCATTCCATGATCAAGCTACATGCTTGGAACAGTTTGGCAAACTGTTTAAGCAGTTTATTCATCTGTACAATTGGTAAACCAATAATTATTGTACAACCAATTGTGTGGATTAATAGTATTTTCATCTGTTTGAACAGCTTGCCAGTCTGTTCGACATTATCTGTTTTACTCATCTGTTTGAATGGCTAAGCAACCTGTTCAAGTAATTTATTCACCTGTTTGAATGGTTTGCCCGTTCATTTGAAAATTTTTACTCATCTGTTTGAATGGGTGACCAAACTGTTTGAATAATTTATTCACCTGTTTGAATGGTTAGGTAAACTGTTCAAACGCTTCAAGGACTGTTTGTTAACCGTTCATTATCCATATGTTTTTGCCATTTTAACTGTTTTCTGTTAGTGTCCATTTTGCCTTTCACAGTCGCATGTACACCATTACATAGCCATTTGGCACAGTTTCTAGGAAAACACAAAGCATTTTGAAATCTTTTCAAGTTGCTAAGTGAGCAGGGAAAGGCCAGGAATGGCAGAAGGTCGAAAAATACCACCCATAAAAAGTCCCATAACTTGATCTCAGGCTCTAACACTATACAAGAAAAATATTCTCCACTCTTTTCATTTTGCTCAGCCAGTGAAAAATAGAAGTGCTTGGCACACTTTTTTCTGTTGTTTGACTAGGGTTTGGTACCACAGTTGTCATTTGCCCAAGTGTAACTGCAATGGGTTTAAGTCTAAAGTTTTTAAACAATTTAAGGGTTTAGTTCTTCAGCCTACAGTATTACAAGCCTACACTAACTGCATTCAAATATTTTTTCTTATAGCATCTGGTTTCACTGTTGGTTGCAAGTGACATGGAAGTTGTTCTGTCAGTTCTTGGAGTACTTTATGTTTTTAGGTATTTTCTTAATCTCTCTATGTTACATGTAGATGAAACTAAGGGGTCTATAGAAATTGTGGAGGTGACAACCTCATGGCAGTATAAGATAAGATCAGTATAGAGTCAGGGTATAAGGGTGTAGGAGTTAGGATGGGGGAGGATGGGGGAGGATGGGGGGATGGGAAGATGGGGGGGAGGGTGGGTGGAGGATAGAGGAGAAAAACTTGACAGATTGTGATTAGAATTACTTTCTTTAAAATTATTTGCCATTTCATAGTAGGCTTGGCAATTTATACATGTAAGCTTTTTCCTTGGTGCTTACTCTACTCTTTGTTGTCAATAGTAAAAGATCTAGCTTTATACCACGGTTACCTGCTGAGAAAAGGAAAGCAATTCAACAGCGTCTTCAATGCCTAGGAGAGGTAAGTATCCAGACAAAATATTTCTTCATTAAATGATCTTTACACTATCAAATGCCATTTATGTAATTGCAAAGAGAAGCCTTCACACTCTGAGCACTTTGTTAAGATTTGACTCCTGTAATTTCTCTGCCCTAATAGAGTAATTTGATTTTTTATTGTGAGAATTAGGAGATATTGTGGACTAATGATCTAAGTGTTGGACTTTGGGTATAGAGATCCACTTTGGAAACCTGGCTGTGTTATCGTGTTGTGTTCTTGGGCAAGACAGTTATCTCTTGCAATGCCTTTCTCCTTATAGGAGTATCAATGGATACTCATAAACAGCAAGGAACACCAGACAAAATCTCGGGGGGAGGGGGGAACATTCAATAGACTGGCTTCCTATACAGGGGGAAGTGATAATACCCCTAATAGTTTCAAACTACTGAAACCTGGAAGAGCTCCAGCCAGAGGATCCATTAGGAATGATTGCTGACCTTACCTCTACTTTTCTATTTAATTATTGCGAGAGCCACACTTTGTCTGTGTATTTCTCTTTGTGTTAACATGAAGATTGTATTATTCTTAGACATGGGGAGGCAAGAATGCAGGGTTCAGTCTGGCCCACTGTTGTGAGGATTTGCCTCCAAAGGTAAAGTTGCAAGACACATTTAAGCAGCAGAATAAAACAACTGATTTTAAGCACCCCCCTATCTCCCTATAATCTTTGTTGTTTCTGAAACAATTTTGTATGTGTGATTGTCTTGTGGTATGTAAGCCATTTTTTCTTTTGATCAGGCATTCTTCCAGGCTTGAAACCAAGAATTTTGACACAATACTGTTGTGCTGTTTATGTATGTTCATGAAACTTTTGCAGTACCTACATGTCTATGTTTTTTTTTATTTATTAGTTACTACTTCCTTATTAATATTTTTTAGGATTTTCCTACCAGCTGTGCCGACGTTTATTTTGAGTATTACAATGAAACCCCAAACACCTCACAACCTGATTCACAGGTAAAGAAAGGATATGAACTATCCACTCTTAGATATTTTGATGTCAGCTCTGCAGTGCAGTGCAGTGTTCTGATGACATTTGACCTTTTTTTCTAAAAATGCTTTTGATGATGATGCCAGTATGTCATGTCTACCTTAACTAGATTTTTGATATGATTTAAAAAGATTGTGTTTTTCATTCATTGAACAGGCCCAAACCTCAGGTAGCCAGTTGACTTCTGTACATGTCAAGCAACTTTACCAGGTACCACATTGCACATATAAAAAGACCTGTTTGAATGCTTAGGATAATTTTCAAGGAATTTTCACATCCTCATCCTCCATAGTCTGATGATCTGCATCTTCCACAGTGACTCATTTGCTCTGATGAAGGACAAACTCTTGAAACACCAGCTTTGAAACTCTTTATGGTTGCCAAATGACCTTGTTATACTCTCCCATGGACGCAGCAACACAGTTTCTTTAAAAACTTATCCCCTTTCTTCCACAGTGACTGTTACCCTAGGTTCAATCATTCATTGAGCTTTGTAGGAAAATTCTGCTTATCTACAAACATATATACAATGTTGTTCTGTGCTACCTTATTTGCTAGTTTTCAGAGAATCCAGGAGAGGTTATGGAACAGGTCTTGGGTTGTTACAGTGTCCCTGCTGACAAACAGGTATTTTGAAGCTGTGCAGAATCAAGGGTAGATTCTTGATATTTCCTTTTCATCACCAGAACTGTTGGTACATGTAATTGCTGTTAACCCATGATTTTTGATAAGTGATCAAGACAGAATTTCTCCTTACAGTATTCAATACAATATTAAGCAGACAAGTGATGAGTATAGAGGAAAATATCAATTTGGGGATTATAAGTTGATCCAATATCAAATTCTCTTAACTAACATCACAAGAATTGTATAGCAGATGGTAAGGAGAGTCACTAATGAGATCTTGCGAGTGAAAGGGCTAAGTTTCACCATGAGTGTAAATGTTTTATGGTTGTAGTTGGTGATCATTGAACTAAAATGTAGGGGTTACCATTCAGCTCTACTCCCCATCAGATCATACAGGGAAAAGACTGTTGTCTCAATTTCTCTCTTTTGTTGTTTGTTTAACAGGTAAATCTGTTCAGTAGAATACGACTAGCTAAACATTTTCCTGTTTATGAGAAGAGATTGCAGTGTATCCAGGCTCGACTCCAAGCCATCTCTGTGTTATGTAAGAGCTTTATCCTCACAAGTGTTTATAAAGTCATGTACATTTGTTTGTTGTTTACTGGGTTACTGTAGAGGTCTGTGGCCATGGAATTTTGTGCCTAAGGTCTTTACTGTATTGTTTATCTTCTTAAACTGTTCTGGATGCAAGTTATCAAACTGAAAATTGTGTTATTTCTATTACAGTGTATTCCAACAGCACCCAGGATGTTGTAAACCCATTGCTATATCAGGGATTTATTGAGGAAACCGTAGAATTACTTGAGTTGGAGCAGCCACAATTCAGTGTAAGTTGTTTGTTGGATATTCATACAATTTAACTGCCATCAACTCTCATGTAAAGCTTGTTATGGAGCATGATTAACTGCTCTCTTGCTTTGACAGTAGTGGCATAAAAATGACTTCTTGCTGGTGTGTGATTTTATTTTTACAGGAAATAAGAACAGCAGCTATCCGTACTCTTACTGCCCTGGTACACATGGAGTGCAGTCCAAGGTATGCAAAAAAAAAATTGTGGTTTGGAGTGGGGTTGAAAAATGTTTGTAATTTTAGCCAGCTGGAAGTTCTGTGTAGAGAAAAACTGTGACCAAGGTCTGGGAAATGTTGCAGCAACTCCTAGTCAGCTTATAACTTATTTATTTTTTCTCTCCCTAAATTATGTATGTAGTTGTTGTCCTTTTCCGGACTTGAAATGCACTCAGAGAATGCAGTGAACTATAATAAACTGAGAATTTTTATTGGAATATTGTCTCCACCTTTCTTGTGTGATAAAAATCTTTGTTGAAGTATGTTTCTGCACTAAAATGGATTTGTTGGCAATTTTGGTAAATGCATTGACAAAAGTTGCAGCAACTCTAGGGTAGGGATAGGAAAATCCAGCTTACACATAGAACTTAATCTGATTACAGGATTTGCTGACATACCCTTTTGAAAAAAAATGAATGACTATTCATGTTAGTTTATCTTGAAGAAAGGTATTTTTCACTGAGTAAAACCCTGCAGTTTTACTGTACATGTATGATGCAATATTGAAGGAACAAAATGTTCATGTGCAGAATGTTGCATTGATTGGTATTTTCCTTTGATCGTAGAGTGAACACTGTGATTGACTGCACAGGGCTGGCATCTTATCATGGATTCTTACCTACACTTACGAGAAACTGCATCCAAGCTCTTACAGGTTTGACTTTGTCTTTGTTTTTGTTTTATTGAAGCAAAATGTACTTATATTAGAACTCAAAGGATTTTATTCATTCCTATTGCATAGAATATATATGTGATCCTGCGAGATAAGGGTTCACACTTAAAAAATAAACTTCTTAGTGGCATAAAAACTAAATGTTTGTGTTGCTTTATTATATTTCAGATCCACACGGTGATTCCCTACCCTTACCATTTGCGACTGGTTTGTTTTCATTTCTTTACCACTTGGCATACTATGAAATTGGTAGGTGAAATGTGCCAAGTAATTTTTCATGAAAATTTCATGCAGTAAATAAGAGGCATCTGTAATGTTATTAATCTTGTCTAATAAGATTTATACATGTATGTAAGAATGCTATCATTGAAGTGTGCATGTACATATCTGATACAGCACCACTCAAATGTTCATAGACTATTCCTTGGAACTAGATCTGTGATTCTCAGTCCTTGCATCATGAAAACTAAGAAGGCTGAGGCTTGATTCAAGTTTTGAGTTGTTTAAGATATTATTGAGTCAAGTTTAAAGATTTTAAAGATGAGAAATTAAAAGGTTTAGGCATGGTTGGCTTTTCATACGAATAGAAGCTTCTTCCCTCATGTTTATTTCAGAAGATGAAGGTGATTGTGGTGGGTGCTGTAATGGGAGCTTCTTCATTGAACTTCTTTCTGAAAAACTTCATTCAAGCTGGCTTTACAGTTCCATCGATGATCTCTCAAATTAACTTAACAGTTCTATCATGTAGCTTACTGTTTACATGGTGTTTGTTAGGTGCTGAAGCATTGGTATCCTGTGGTTTGTTAGAAGCTCTTCTTAGAGTTGTGGAGCACCAAGGAGGAGACAGTCATTTGACAGTAAGATAATCACAAAGAATCAAATTCATGTGTTAGAGAAAAGATTGGTGTGGCACTTGGTTGTTATTCTTTCATTAACTGCCTTGTGCAGGGCTCCATGCTCAAATTTTTCTAGAGCTACCAACTATTAATCTAAAATCGGTTTGGTTGCTAGAAGAAAAAAACACTTTGTGCAGCATGCATGTGACATTCTTAACTGCTGAATACATTGCTTATCAACATGTGAGACTTGTACATGTAGCTTCTAAAGGGTACTCATTCAGCATCAGCCACTTTGCAGGAACCCTGGTGAAATCTTGATAGCCTGAGCTCTCTTTTTTTTTACATTTAGATGTGGAGAATACATGTTTTATCTTGTCATTTTACTCTATTCTCCTACTGCTACATTTTGTTATGAAAAACTTTCTCTAGTTTTGCTCTAGTTAGTAGTAAGTAGCCTATATAGAAAAGAGATGGAATCCTTAACCCTTAAACTCCCAGAAGTGATTCACATGTAACTTCTCATTACAATATCCAGCCGCTATTCTGCAAACAGTTAATGAGAGTACTCAAATGTATCAGGTAGAATTTGTTATCTTGATCTAACTCCAAATTCTTTCAAATAATATACAAGGAAATGTCTAGCAGCTAGAGGGGAGAATAAACAATCAGATCCTGGGAGTGAAAGGGTTAACCTTTTCTTCAAAATCTTAACTAGACTTAGTGATTTGTGTCTTTGTTAAGAGAGAGTGGTTGCATTGTATGATAGCCAGCTCTGGGTGATGTTGTGACAATGATCTATTTCAGAACTGTTGTGTCTGTGTTTTTATAAATAGTTTGTCACAAGAGCAATTCGTATTATGGAGTGGATTGCCAACATGGACTTGTCTGGTTACCAGAATCAGAGTGGGCTGACTGCCATTATAAGCAGACTAGAGGTACAGTATTTATGCAGATACTCTAGATCTACATGTAAATTTGTTTGAAAACGCAAGTGTACATTGTTTGTATGTGAAAAAGGCTTGGATGCTTAATTGATAAATGATAACTTTTTAAACATGACTGGAATAGCTACAGGTGTATGGCCTTATCTGGCAAAAACTGCCAAACCAGTAACACCGCTGGAAAGAGGAATTTTCTCCGATACAAAGTGGGATGATGTCTGGAAGCTTTTCCAAATCTACATGCCTGTGGGTGTTGTCTGTACCCAGTGCAACACAACATATGTATAGCATGTTTTGATAAGTGTTTTTGTTTGTTTGTTTTTATTTGAAATATGCAGCAAGAAATAAAGAAATGTCTGTCCCATCATGGACCCATACTGTCTCCAGAACTCCCCTCTGTACCTTCCAACCAACAAGAGGGTGTTGCCATGGAAACAAATGATATGCAGGGAACCCAGTCTGATGCTCCTTCACAGCCACACCAATCAGAAGAGGTGCCAATGGAAACAGAGCAGCCATATGTCAACAGTACAGGAGTCGCAGATGATAACAAAATGGATGTGGATGAACATGACTTGGGCAAAGAAAAGTCACAGGTTGAATCAGCAGATGCAGGCCCCAGCTCAGGAACAAGTCCTGTCAGCAAGAACCGCTGCTTGCCTCAGAGAGCTGCATTGATTAAAGCTGTTCTGAGTTTCTTAAAGAAATCTATTCCTGATCCATCTTTCTCAGAGAGTATTAGAAATGGTAAAGATAAACATTGCCTTTTGTTTTGTTCTGCAAGGATAGTTTGTGGAATTCTCTTGAAAATCATCACAATATTAACTCATAAATCTTAGATATTGTATAATTGCTAAATACAGTCAGTCTCCAGTTGCTCAACATTCTAATTTTCTAATTTTTTTTGGTTGTTTGTTTTGTGCATTTTACCTTATTATTTTCCTTATTTTTCCATCTTCAGCTGCTACGGTGGTGAAATCTGTTTCCTTCTTGTAACACAGAAAGTATTTGCCTTTGAAGTTGAACAATACTTAACATTCTGGATACTTGATTTGGTATTTTTCAGTAATGGACAGCTCACTTCCAACATCACTGAAGCACATCATTAGCAATGTGGAGTATTATGGCCCTGTTCTCTTCATGGCAGGTATATGTGGTAAAATTATAATTTTCAACAAACTTGATTACTTGTTAATCCTCAGCAGAATGTTTCTGGCCTCACTGATAGCAGAAGATGGCTTTTTGACAAACTGAGCAGAATTCATCATTAGAGTCATTTTTTTTTCTTAGGTATTGTATTTTGTGAGACGCATGCTCAAAGGTTTCCAACCTGGTCTTTATTTCTTTCCTTAACAGCTATTGATGTTGTCACAGTATATGTTTTCCATGAGCCATCACTTCTGTCCTCTCTCCAAGACAATGGCTTGACTGCAGTTATGCTGAAGGCTTTGGTAGTAAAAGAGGTTGGTTATGTTGTGTCACAGTACATACATGTCCACTTTAAATAGTAGAGTAAAAGAAAATAGAATAATAAAGCCCCAAATAAATTTAATCATGGCTTGAAATGCACCTCTTTTAGTTATATTTAGATAAAAGAAGGTTGCCCTGTGTAAAGCTCAGGATAGGAATTCTTCATTCAGTGAGCTTTGTGACTAAAATTTGTTCCTTATTTTCATTTAAGGTTCCAGCCACACGTGAAGTTCTTTCATCACTACCAAGTGTGCTTAGTGCTCTTTGTTTGAATACCAGAGGACTCCAAGCTTTTATGAGCTGCAAGCCTTTTGACAAGTTGTTCAGAGTCCTGCTTTCTCCCGACTACCTTCCAGCAATGAGGCGTAGAAGAACCTCTGAAAGCCTAGGTATAGCTTCTTAAATACAGTGAGATACAGTAAATCATTTGAACCCAGGATTAGCAATTGATCATGACCTGTAGCTTGATTGTCCAGGTGAGTGTAAGCCTGGAAAGGACAGTTGTCAGTGGCAGTGACTGCTTTGCTACAACCTGAGCAGATGTGCTGCCATTTGCACAATACTATATAAATGGGAAATGAGCTCTGGATGTCATGGGCTGCTGGCCTTTAAGGCTTCATCTCAAGGACATTTGTTTTATCTTTTTTTAGTGTGAATTAGCAGTGAATATTCATGTTCTGTTTTCTGCCTCTCAGGGGAAACTGCTTCCAACCTTGGCACAGCAATGGATGAACTAATGAGGCATCAACCTACTCTAAAAACAGATGCCATGATGGCCATCATTAAGGTATCTGAATTTTTTCCTTTTGGAAGATATGCTATGTGTAGTTATACATCTGGGCCCGGTTGTTCAAAGTCTGATTAGTGCTAACCCATGGTTAAATTTTAATCCAGGTTCTTTATTCCTTTGTTCAAGAGCCTTTTCTGGATAATTTCCTCTTATCCTTTTAGGGCATCCAATCATCAAATTGTACACAAAAAAATTTGAATGAATTTTCCTTTAAAGCTTTCTAATCGGAAATCAGATTTCACTCTAACCCTGGGTTATCTTAACTCAGCTTTGAACAACCTGGCCACAGTGTTGTGGTATTTCCCTGTTCCTAATCTGTGCCTGTCATTGGGAAAATTTTGAACAATATAACTGCTGAAATCTTTATGAATTTATATGAAGAAAGACTGTACTCCAGATGAGCTTTGCCAGTCCATTTACTCTTCAGCACCATGCAATTGTGTAATTGGATCTTAAAGATGTACTTGTGAAGGGAAGCCACATCTGTGGCTTGAGGGCTTGCATGATCTTTTCAGCTTTGCGCATAGAACTCTTGGGCGGGCATGGATATGCATACACATGTTGTTCTTTATGCCCATGCAAATCCCCCATGTTTTTGAGTCAGAATTTTGATGTTTTTTTTTTATAAGATTTTTGTCAGGCCAGGTAGGCTGATATACGTGGATATAAAAGAAATGTGATTAGTACCATTTAAATGAGAGAGGCCTCAAAATGTACAATGATAGAACCGTTGATGTGTATTTTTTTTTCATTTTGTATTCTCCTTTTAGTTGTTGCAAGAGGTTTGTAGTCTTGGTCGAGATCCCAAGTACATTGGCTTTAAGATGGGTGCTAAACCTGATGGTAGCGATACAGATAACAGTAGCACACTGGGACAAGGAACTGGGCGTGTGGCTGTTGTGAATGAGGAGCCTATGTCGGATGAAGAGGAGGACGATGATGATCGATTCAGCTTTACAAGCACCACCACTGCTGCCAAAGTTGTGACAGAAAACGATAAGATCAAGGATAACTCAAAGTATGACATCACAATATTATGTTTTAATTCTCTAAGTACACTGCACGTAAATGACAAAATCAATTCCATCCAAAGAAAGACGTTTTCTTTTGCAATGAGTGAAAGACTAAGAACAGATTTTGAATCCACATGAGGTAGCAAACCTCATACCTTTGGATTCCCTAGCTTGATGCTCTACCACTGAGCCACAGTGACTCTAAAGGGAGCTACACTGTAGGCTAGTTCTAGAATCACACGTGACTTGACTCAGACAGAATTCCAGGATCAGCAATGTTGAAAGCTTTGTTGTATAGTAGGAAGGCATGTATTACAAGAAAAATGGTGAATGTTAAGCTTGGTAAGTTGTGATTGGTTTCAGTTTTTCATTTTATTGGTTGCGACCTGGGCACAACTTTAGGTAACCAATAACAGATCATTACAAATACTGCTCTGTGGAGATCCATGAGAACACTACTAAGGTGTTGAGTATGGCATTTACTCTCACTTTTTTATTTTAAAGGACCACAGAAGAAGAAAAAAGAACATTCATTCCTCTCATTGACTACATTCTGAATGTGGTATGTAGAAGCTCATTGAAAATAGTTGAGAAAAAACAATCAGGTCAACAAAGGTTTTGCATTTTTCAAGAAGACTGTACTTAGATCTAAAATGTTTATGTATTCTGAATGCTGATTTTTTTGAAGAGGTTGCGATAGTGTGTGTCTGAAACGTTTTGATGGAGGATTATCTCACCTACATGTGATAGATTGTTCTTAAATTTGTGAATGTCGTCATTTTTCCAGGTTAGATTCGTGGACTCAATCCTTAGCAATAATTCAACGGATGATCACTGCAGAGAGTTTGTTCGTCTTGGAGGTCTGGATCCCTTGATCAACATTCTTGGTCTGCCAAACCTGCCTCTGGACTTTGTGACCTCCCCTGCCTGTCAATCCGTTTCAGGCGTGTGCAAATCCATCTTGGTAGGAATCGACTTTCTTAGTTTTTTTGTCACTAAGGGTGGAATAAAGTGAGATATAATTTGGCACCAGGGACTACCAAGGTTAAGCTTTTTTTACGGTGTCAGATGGTACTCCGTTGCTATTAGTAATTGAAAACGCCAACCAGGAAAAAGTAACTTTTGTTTAATAAAGGAAGCAAACGTTTATCAAAATTGTGACATTTCAAATTCTTATTTCTTTCATTGGAAAGTAAAAATTAATTTTGCTAAATGAGATAACTACAGTATTGAGCCAACTGGGATTTGAATCGAAATTGACTAGTGGCCGAAATTTACTTTCATCTCGAAAACGTATTTGTAATTGTTTTGGCTGTCAACAAGAGGAACAACTCCCAGTAGCAGTTACATGATTGCTGACCCAATTGCAATTGAACTTTCAATAAGCATTTGATTCTGGAAATATGAAAGATGAAGAAGAGGAATTTTCTTGTCTCGGGCAGAATTGTCGAGCGCCACTTATGTCAAGAGAAGAAGGATGCATGTACCTTGCTTCTCTTCACCCGTAGTGAAATTTGATAATAATAATTCTTTATTTATATGGCGCTATTTCTATCGCTTTTCAATGGCACTTTACAATGACTGAAATAAACATGAAATCCTGATTGGCAGGAGGCAGATCAGTTGGCTATTTGCAAAGCGCAGCTGAGGAGTTGAACTCGGGGCGACCGAGAACAAATCCAGTGAGTGGTAGGGTGGAGGACTTGGACCCAGGACCACCAGGTTACAAGTCCAGCACCCTAACCACTCGGCCACTTCGCCTCCTTAATTATTCGTTGCTTTTGTTTTGTTTTGTTTTGTTTTTTTGCGCAAACTCTCTAATGGGATTAGCTGCTAATTATTCTCTCTACATTTTCCTCTCTCTCCCAGATGTTATCACACGAATCTCAAGTGTTAAAACAAGGTCTGACTCTGCTCAATGACGTGCTCAGTTCTCTGCAGCCTCTGATTTTAAGGTCAGCCGAATCACCAGTATCCATTCTGCTGCATGAAGTGGCCTGTTCGGGTCGACCACAACAGGCCATGGCATCAGTGCAGCTTACTCCACTTCTACATGGAATAGCAGCCGCGCATGCATTCATCAGTATGTTCCTTCATGTTTGTAAAGTTGGTCAGGTGAGAAGGCTGGTTGTTAGCTGTTCAAGCAGTTTTTAATTGAGTGGCGAAAGTGATCCATGATTGCTTTGGTTTTGCGTAACTTTTCTCTGTGTTTGGTCTGGAAAACTCACGCCACTTTCTAAGCCAATCAGATTCAAAGCTTAAACCACTCGTGATTTGGTCACCCGCGTTTTCCCGCGCTTCATGCACTTGCCTGTTTTTACTTTGAGTTCTTGTTGGCTAACTATGATGTGGACCTGCGCTCTGAATGGCTGTTGCGATACTTTGGTTTTGGTTTTTCAAAACTCAACTGAAAACTGCTCTAAGAGCATTTAAAGTATTCTGGATTATGTTAAACTCTTAGTCTACAGGAGACAGAAGCATGTGAATCGCGAGTACATTACTCAACGCTGATAGAAGCTTCACCGAAAATAAGTGTTTCCAAGAGAAAGATGGTTGACTTTTAAGCTCGATGTATAAAGCTAAGACATAAACAATTTCAGGTTTATTCTTTGCAAACGTTGGTCCTGAGAATAACGCGAGTTCTGTTAGTAAACAAGTCTAAAGCGCCAGACTTTCCTTACACTGGCTAGATCAGCTGTTGAATGATTAATTGTTTGCTCCTTCCACAGTTCATTGTGATATTTAGCTAATCAAGTATTTCTAACAGTATTTTTTCTCGTGGTTACAGTTTGATATCCGCACTTTGTGCATCAATCACTGGGGTTCTGATGAAGGAATCACTGTTTTAAAGCAACTCGGTCAGTTATACATGTTCCTTATCTGGGAAACGATTGTCTTGGAAACTGTTAGCCGCTCAGATACCTCATCTGATGAAACGAAGGTTTTTGACAAAGATCTGGAGATGCTAAAAGCTTCAACTTCAGCAAGTCAGGAAGAACTTTCAGGTACAAACAATATTTACGGTGTATTTCACTCGGACAACATTGTAGTGATCCTCGTTTTAGGCTCTTTATTCTCCGTTCTCACTGTAGTAAATTTCGTTGCCAATTGGTTTTGGAGAATTTGGTGTTACATCAAGTCATCCATTTGGTGGATGATATGTGCACGGCCGTCTATCAACATCACAAAATGTTGCATGGTAACACTTTTCGCTTTCACTTTGAGTTTCACACAACTCCATACATGTAGGACAAAAGTTTTGGACCATTTCTGTAAGCACTTCGCGACTTGATTAAGCCGTGATCGTATAAATGGTCCAGGTCGCGTCTCATGTAAGCCGCAGATTATTTCCTCGGTATAAACGGCCCTAATACCTTCTAGTCGAATTTTTTCTTCCCACCACCTTTCTGCTTGAAAAACGTTTTTGTAGTGTAAAGAGAAGTACGCTTTTTGGTCGCTCTTGGGAGTTAGACTGTTAACTCTTTAACTCCCAAGATCTCATTAGTAATTCTCCTTACTGTCTGCCATACAGTTCTTGTGATGTTAGTTTGGAGAATTTGGTATTGGATCAACTTATAATCCCCAAATTGATATTTTTCTTTATTCTCATCACTTGTCTGCTTGATATTGTATTGATATTGTAAGAAGAAATTCTCTCTTGGTCACTCACGGAAGTTAAAGGGTTAATCATGCGATGAAGTTACGAGGGCATCTACTATGTATTCGTCTTTCTCATCATTTGACCTTGTGCAATTTGAGATTGCAGTACACCAGTACTACTCCTTTGTCCATAAACACTTGAGGGCATCATCTTGCTTGAAAACTAAACGTGATGACTTACAGTCTGTTGGGCAGTTTTTTTAGCTTCAAAATTACCTTTTCTTTATATATATTTTCAGGGCAAACCTCGGAAGGCAGTACAGTGATAACAGTTACAAACGACAAGCCAACAAGTGGTGAAGCCAACGCCGCAAAGTCGAATCTTCTTCCTGTGCAGCAAAGAATAATAAAACAACTTCTTCAGACATCAACTGCTCTTGGTCGTGCTTTGTCAGACCTGTTTGTCCTCCTTGTGAAACTCTGTGTGGGATCTGCTCAGAGGATGCAGCGTCGAACGCCACATCTAGCAACGCCAACCCCACCAGCTTATCTCGTGGCTCTGGAGCTCAGCAAACTTTTAAAGGATGCTTTGTCCTGGCAAGGATTTCCCAGTGATATTCCAGCGCTCAAACCAAGGTAACTGTTTTGTGTGTATGCTTGTACCGAAGAATTGTCAGGGAAGGAGGGGGGGGGGTAACTTTGCGATTGACTGAGATCCCATCCAGGGGGGAGTAGAAATACTTTCAGTCGCTTCATGATGAAGAAACCAGGATGAGCGCTGGCTGCACGGGCCTCTTGGCTCAAGCACCTCTTTGTCTTTCTACACGATGCTTTTATTTGACTATTATCATGTTTGTTATTTCCAGGTTGCACTTCTATATGTGTGTAGTCGGATCTGCTTCACGCCTTCTGTTTGACGAAAAGAAGAACCCTTACCACCTGATGCTGCAACAGTTTGATAAGTCTGGAGCACACGGCAGTCTTTTCTCGTAAGTAGGAGCTTTCCCGTCCGACCCGACCTAACTAGCATGGTAAATTTTATCATATAATTGCAGCTTTTTCTCCGCCTTCCTTTCTTTCTGACTTTTTTTTCCATCTTGCATCTCGCGCTGGGCCATGTTTCTTTCTCGTGTCATCGCGTACAGCCCTCGTAGGGGGCGGTTCTATCTACACTGTATGATGCTTTTCAATAACAGCGCGCGCTGGTTCATATAATGAAACACACTTCTGATGCTTGCTTTGTTTCACTGGTTGGTTATAGGTTACTGAAGCTAATACTTAAGGAGAGTAGCAATGCCCCTCCCAGTGAAAGTAATACTGAAACTCTTCAAGGTGAGGGTACTCTCCAGTGGATATTTTTTTGTGGCTGAAAGTAATTGCATCATTTCAGAGGCTCGTCATAGACATCAATTTTAACGCCATACTGTAGTAACGTTATGGTTAACCCTGAGAGTGACCAGCATCTAATTTGTCCTACAGTAATATGGCTGAAACATTTATTAAGATCACGAGAATGAAGGAAATGATCACTACCATGAGAATCTTTGATTGTTAAACAAATTCTCCTTGTCACTACTGAAGGAAACATATCGAGAAGAGTATGGAGAATATCGATGCTGATGTTAGAGTGTAAAGGATTAAATGAGGCGTAACGTGCGAGCAGGCCCTAAGTATTAGCGCTTTGGCATTAGCATTTCTTTGCCCGCGAGGAGAGGTCTGGGACCCATGGTAAACCTCTCCATGACTCGTCTCCAATCTTCCCATGGGCGGAAAAAAGCGCGTCCTGCAGCGTTAATAATGAGGGTCTGATCGTTGGTTAGATAAGTTGTGGTGCATCTAACCTCTTAATTGGAGATTTTAAGTTCGACAACTGTCGCATGCAGTCAGTTTCTCTGATCTGTTTCAACGATCTTTGAACTTTCTTGTTCAGTGTTAACAGCCCCCCCTCCCCCTTGCCTTTCCCAAAGACGTGATTGGATACTTTGTGGAATATTGCTTAGTGGTTGACGATTTCAATCAATATGAATTTTTGTTATTTTCAGCCGGTGCTCAGGAGCTGCTGGACTCATGGTTGACCCTAGTCAGTAGACTTGCGAATTCGGAAACCTTGTTGGATTCCCCGCACAGCCTTCCTGCTACGTCCACTGCGCTAGTTTTTGTGCCTTTCGAACCTATAAGATTTCTTGTCAAAACTCAAAAGGTGAGGTTTCAAGGACGGGCACCTTGGCGAACGTAAAGGAGAAGAAGAAAAAGAAATCATCTTCGGGGATGCAGAGGCAAATTATCTGGCAAGGGGGAAACAAAACGGTGATCTCGGCCGAATGGAAAATTAACAAGCTATCTTGCCTAATTGGTTGTCTCTGAGTCTCTGAGGATGATTGGAAATGGGAGTTATCTGAAAGTAAAATTAAGTCGGATGACCGAGTTATATGGTCTACATGCGCTGTTAAGTTTGCATCTCTTCGCAAAAGGCCGTTTGCTAAGACTTACATATACTATTCACAAGTTCACTGTCAGGTACATATTGTCTTTACAGAAAGCCTTCTTAGCCGTGCAACAACTATGGGGACAGAAATTTCCCATCGAGTATGGTCCACACATGGCAGAGTCCTTGTTAGCCATTTTGTACCACATCATCAAAGGGGAAGCTGTCATTAAAGAGAAGCTTGGGCCTGCGCTCGAAACCTCCTCAGCTTCCAGTAGTGCTGCTGCTTCTTCTGCAACGACACGACAGCCTGCTGAACCAGCTCGGCCTCAGCCGGAGATAAACGTACGACATTTACAGCAGGTGTGCTCGCATTCACTTTCTTGGTTTTCTGAGACTTGGTTTTTAACTCTTTTCCTAAAATGTGAGACGGAAAAAAGCGTGTAAAGCCGTTTTTCAAGTTTGTATTGGGTACGAACTCACAACCCCTTAGTGACAATACTCCTCTTCCCCCCCTTGCATCTTTCAGTGTTTAACAATCACACACAACAAAGTCATCATTAGTCAGTGGGGGGATGGTCACCTTGTCAGCGGTTTCATGAGGCTTGTTTTTACGTGGTTGACTATAAGGAAACCTTTGTTGATAATGGATCTAATGCTTGAATATCTACTGACAGGCTCAATGTTCCTACTTAATAAGTTGAAAGTTTTTTTTTTCCAAAAGTCTCTTGCAGTTTTATCGTGGACTAATAACAAGCGCTTATTTTTTTAGTTCATAGACATGGGGTTCACGCATGAGCATGCCAGACTTGCGCTGATGAGTACAGGCAGCCTTGAGGAGGCTACCGATTACATCTTAACACACCCACCACCTCCTCCAGCAAGGGTACGTATCAAAAGCTGTCTTATCGATTTTTCAAGTGACCCGGCACTACTGTATGGAGTCTGAGCACATGTTGGCTGAATGATGTAGAACAAAATCCAAAGTTATCTCAACGGCCAATCATAGCAAAGGAAAATATCAGAAGAACCAATGAGAACTAAAGTTTAGAGACAAAAACCAAAAATGGCGCCAAAATGTAAGTGACCAAGTCGCGATAGGTTACTGGTTTTTTCCCTTCTGATTGGCCAATCAGAGCAAAGGGAAATATCACAGGAGCCAATGAGAACTCAAAGTTTACAGAGGAAAACCAAAAATGGCGCCAAAATGTGAGTGACCAAGTCACGACTGGTTTTACTTCTGATTGGTTGAGTTTACGGCGCGAGATTTTAGACCAATCAACGAACGTAGAAAAGGATAAGCAATGTAGTCACAGGTTTCTTTTGACACTCAGCTGAAAATTACACATGGTCGTTTTGAGTCATGTTTTGTGCTGGGCAAAACTTATCTTAACTTAAAGGAGCCAAAAGAGTATTGGCTCAGCAGGTTTTTCTTTATTTGAAGTGAGTTAAGTAAAAATTGTAGTCTGCGTAGGTTGTTTTTTTTTCGCTACGCCCAGTCCACACTACCACGACCTCGGGCAAATATTCCCAATGTTGGCCCAAGGTTGGGTTTTGTACGTACCTCTCTACGCCAATATTTCTAATGTTGGCCCAAAGTTGGTTTTTGGACGGACCTCGCTACGCCCGGTCCGCTCTGCTACGACCACGGGCCAATATTCTCCATTACGTTCGGTTAGTAAGAAGTTAGTATTCAATCTAAAAGAAATGAATGTGGAAATTCCCGGTCAAGATCAAAAATGTTAAAAGATGGAGAAAATGAAACGAATTGCGAAAGACTAACTTGAAAATTGAAAGTTTAAATTTCTAGATTTGTAATAGATGTGACGCAATCCCCGTAAAGAACTAAGTATAATTTGTCTATCCACAGGAACTTGGTTTGGACTATGACATGTTGGAGGAGGATCAAATGATGAGAGCGATAGCCATGTCTCTGGGACAGGACATAACTAATGCCACCGCCTCTGCTGAAGATCAGGTATGCTAACAGGATACGTGAAGTGACCAACAGCGTTGTGGCTAAGGAAATAGTAGGTTAAGATTAGAACTCAAATAGCTCAAAGGGGGATATGATTAAAAAATTGCTTTCCCTACTTTTCGCAATCCCTTCACACCGAGGCTATCCAACTTGACATTTACAAGATGCATAGATAGACGACACGGCAAACGCTAGCTCAAAACGAAATTTTATTTCAAATCCTTCGCCTATTATAGTTGCGTCAATACACTACGTAGTCAGGAGTTAAAAGATGTGTTTCGATTTCAAAGGATTGTGCGTGCGACACTAAAACCGCCCTTTGCCCTTTACAAAGATCATCTCTTTCTCAAACGGCGAACTCCGGCTGTAGCCGTTGCTGAACTAAAGGACTTGACCAAATAAAGAATTTATTCTTACATGGAGCAAGCGTCAGTGCTTCAAGCACTCAAGTGGCAGCTCTCCGTCTCCCTTCCAACGAAGGTTTTAAGCTGAAACATTTGCGTGTCTCAGTGGCTTATCAGAGTAGCACAATAGTTTTGCTACTTAAGCGTACGTTTCGCTTCTCTCAGTTGTAGCATTGTCGGTATCTGCAGCTCCATGCTTTATTGTGGAGTTGTTCGTAAAATCAATGCAAAAGTTATAGACCAGTTATTTTGCATCGTTGGATGGCTTGTGATTTCACTCTGCAAGTTTATCCTGGACTAAGCTGGCACATTATCTTCACTGGAAGATATTCTTCTGAATTGTTGTCTTGTCTTCCAAACAATATTGATTCTGCAAGAATAATTTTATGTGCGTCTTTAGCTGGTGGTGATTAAAAATGGAAAGTCATCAGAGAAGACTTAATCGTACAGCTACCGAATCTCTTATCCTAGTTTTGTGGGGGGAGGGGGAGATTGGGTGAAAGGGGGGGGGTTTGGGTTGATCACAGCACAAAGATCCCGGCCAGGGCTCAAACTCATCCCTTTACACCTACAGCGCGCTAATCCTCCGGTTTATTCTTCGTCGCCACTGGACAGTTTTGACCATTTCCCATTTTTATTCCAGTCTGCTAGTGGTGAACCTGCTGCTACTACTGCCCCATCCACCGCAGCTGCTGCTGATGCTACCTCCTCTAAGCCAGAGAAGACAGAAGAAACCAAAAAGGTTAAGGAAGAAGACAAAGAGAAAGGAGATAATGACGGTGCTGTTCCTCTAGATAAGACAGTGCTCGATCAATTCACTGCTGATATGCTGCAAGGGTGTTTGGAGGTGTTGACAGGAATGCCTGGAACTGTGTACAAAGCGTGTGATGTTCTGTCTGCTGTGGCTCAACGGAATGGCAAAGAGTGGAAAGAGAGGACCATGATGCACATTTTAAAGCAGGTATTTGAACAGTACTTCAATGGAGCACTGTAATAATGTCACATAGTGTGGACGTATTTTTCTCTTAAAATTAAAAACACCTCCCGGCACGAAGTTGTGCTTGAAATGAAGCCCAAGTGAATTTTGCTATGAGCTCAACTTCTCCCTGTGTTTCACAAGGAAATACAAGGTGATGGGGAAGGAGAACGAAGCAGTTTATCAGAATTTACTGAGCGTGTTCCCTCTAGCGTATACTTTTTTTGGTTGGCAAGTTAATGTTTCTATATTTTCATCTGTACGCATTGGATTCTGTAGCCCTGAGCTTTGGTTATTTCGTCTGAGGGTTTCTAACTTAAGTACATGTATTATATTCACTTCAGCTCACAACAGACATTGAAACTGTGTTAAAATCCTGTGCTAACCAAGGAGCTGATAGCAAACCGCTTGAGGAACGTATGTCCAAGATGAGCAACATGTCCGAATCAGCTCGTTTGTCGTCTCTTCTGCATCTCTTGTGCCTGCTCTTTGAGGTGAGTATTGATATAAATTTGAAAAGGGTTCTGTCTGGTCTCCAAGCGTTCAATTATTAGCCACTGATACCATAAAGCGGATCATTTCCTGTTGCTTAGCAACTGCGTATCCACCCTTCCCCTGACCCAACAATAGTCTACTGATAACAAGTTAGGGTTAATGTTTGGGTTAAGGGAGGAGTTGGAGCATAGTTGAATGCTCAGATACTGACATTGGTCCCATTAAGCTTAACACATCACCACAGGTTTAATTACTCGTATATCATGAAACGAAAGTGTTCTGTCGCGTCTGTTTTCAGGAAAGGAAATTTCGTTGCGAAGCCATCGTTGAGACGCATGGGATTGTGAATCCATTACTTGAGCTACTTGAATTATGTCAGACTAATTTGGTACAAATCAAGTTGACTGGAAGTACTCCAACAACACCAATGTGAGTATTTTTCAAGCGGCTTCCAGTTATAGTTGGAAGCATATAGGATTCTTGCCATATGGGCTGATTGTGTAGCTCCTAAATAGCGCTACTTCCGAAAATTTGAGGTCTCTTCGGCAACATCATTAAGTTTTCTCTAACGTAGTGTACGATAGACAGGTATCGAAAAAGTTAGAATAACCCACGAAGAACAGCGAAGGTATACTGATGAAAAAGAACGGCTAGGATTTTAAATGACGGACTTCAATTTTTGAGATAGATTTTAGCCTTAAACCCCTTTAACTCCCCGAAGTGATACACGTGTAACTTCTCACGATGATATCCCTACTTTATGCAACAAAAGGGCGATGAAAATACTCAAACTTATCAGGTAGAGGATGTTACCTTGATCCATCACCTAATTCTCGTGACTAATTTATAGGGAAATTTGTAGCAGCTTCAGGGGAGAATTAACAAACAGATTATTGGAGCTAAAAGGTTAACTCGTAAAAGTTGTGACGAAGCCTTATCACAACAGGGCGTGAAATTGCGCCTAATACAGGCGCCAATGCGACTAAATTTTTCACTTTGGCGACCAAATCCTGAAAGTTAGTCGCCAAATTGGCGACTACAACGTTTCATCATAACCTTACCAAGAGATATAGTGAATTAAATAAATTTGCAAAGATAAATCCGCGGAAAACTTCCTCGTTAAGTTTGTTTCCAAAACGTAGCAGATGCATCTCGATCGATATCCAGACGCCATCTTGGATTTAGATGAGCCTGAACGTTGTATATCATACATCCTAGTGTCCACTTTGTAGCACGTTAAAGATCTTTTCCCTAACTTAATTTTGGAGGGTCTATCTAAAATGACAGCGTAAAGAAGATTTTGTTTGTCTTTGAAAATGGCGACCAACTTTTTTTGAATTGGCTACCACTTTGAAGAATTTAGGAGCCAAGTGGCTATCAGAAAAAAAAGTTAATTTCACGCCCTGCACAAGTAAAACTGTGTGTATTGTGGGGTAATTTAGTGTCATCGACTGAGTTGATAGCGTAAACTGGCCACCGTAAAGAGTTTCAAAGCTGACGTTTCGAGTGTTAGCCCTTCTTCAGAGAGAATGATAAAGGGCTAACGCTCGAAAGTCAGCTTTTAAACTCTTTATAATGGCCTAGTTACGTTCTCAAGTCAGTTGGTAATACTAAATTACCCTGTTATACTTTCCCACCGTCGCAGCACCACAGTTTGTCTAGAAACTTACCCCCTTTATTCATGTGTGTATTGTGGTTAGTTTTGTAGCATGTAGTTCTTAAAGGTAATGTTTATAACACATCCCACATTATTTTTTTTGTTCTTATCCAGGTGGTTAACTCCACTGCTGCTTCTGTTGGACACCCATGAAAAAATGGCCGTCACCACCAAGAGGAAACAACTTCATGATAAGGTAGAAATACTAGTACTTCTTAATGGTGATCTACTGTAATTAATAGCGTTAATTTCTCTGTGTTGTGATAATGGTTTTCTTGATAAAAAGAACGAATTTTAGTAATTGGGCTTCTTTTTTTCTAACTTTCCCATTTTTTTTAATTTTCAAAGTGTACTACGCATGCCTGGAAATGGTTCGATGACCGTAGTGGTCGCTGGTACAACTACAACGTTAACAACAACACAACCATCGATGCAGCCTACAGAAATGGCGATTCGCGGGTCAGGTAAGCGCTGATCAAGCACCAAATTCTTTGAAACTTTCTCCAGCAAGATACCTTTGAATCCATTTAGAGAATTGAAAGTTTGAATTCTAGAGTTGAAGAATGAATACTTTGTAGTGTTCTTCGTAATTTTAGGTACGAATTAAGTCAGATTCTTTGGTTTTCCAGGTTCATGGCTGGAAGACGGCGTTATTTGGTGAACTTTTGCACAATGGTTCAGGTTAGAAATTATTTCTTTGATTGTGAGCTTGATTGATTTTACCAAGGGATACGCCTGGCTAGAAAATTATTTCCCGTTTCGTTAGTAGTTTTCTATGTGATACGTCAACCATTGCATCCAGTATTCCCCTTTCGCTGTCCAAGCCCCTAGGAATGATTTTAATATAATATAAATGAATTTTTTTTGGAACTTAAAAAGGTTGCTAGCCGAGTATTTTTAACACGTTTCCAATTTTGGAAATCAGAAGGAAAAAGTGCCTCTTGTAACCGAGTCTTAGTCTTGAATATGTTACGAGTGCATCTTTCACAGCGTAGCCCGTTGTACCAATCAGTTGTTAGAGATCTGCGCAAAATGGTATCCTGACGCTGCGTGAACTCTTTGACTCAAGGAGCGATTATGAAGGGATTGAGACACGTGAGTGGTCGGGGTAAATGCAACACCACACACCAGGCCAACAGCAATGAAATGTGAACAAATTAAGGCTGTCAATAACTTAAGTTTAACACTTTGACTGGAAAATTTGATGGCTTGCCATCCAAACCATAGTCTCTGGTACTAAGAGATTCCTTTTTTCCCTTAAGTTAAAGTTTGATTTTTGGTGGAGATATGGCATTGTTTTTGTGACTAAAATGAGAAAATTGTTTATCCAAAGGTTAATGAAGACTCCGGTAACAGACGTCCAATAATGCTGGAAGCAGTCACCAATCCAGGTAATGGTGGTTCAGGGAGCGGCAGAGGTGAAGTGGAGAGCTCTTCAAGCAGCAGCATTGCTGATGGTGCTAAGGGAATTACTGAAGCTCCTCCGACCAGCTCACAGGAAAAGGGAAGCAAGAAAGCGAAGAAAGACAAACAAGAAAAGAGTAGTTCAGGTAAGAAACTGGTGCAGTTTCTCTTTACTACGCCTTGTGATTGTTTAAGTGAACGCGCGCCACTGTCTTAAACAATTATGATACAAGATGAAAACCAATCGCGTCTTGGTGACATGCGTTTTTCCGCGCTCGACGTAGTTTGCTTGTTTTTAGTTCGGGAGGTTAAGCGTGAGCATTTCTTGACTGGTATCGGACTGCAGCCTGAAGCTAAGCCTTCGTTTCCACGGTGTTCAATACAGTAGCGTTTAGCGAATGATGCGAAAACAACGACTTGTCAAATTATTTGTTGATGTCAAAGCTCGTCAGAAGCATTGCGTTGCCCTTCCGATAAGCACTATCAACAGCCGCTTTTCGGGTAGTCGGATCACGCTTTTTCTCAGGGGGATCAAAGACTGGACCCGAGTTAACTGGTGGAAATCAGGCCTATCCTTCCAATGGCTATCGGCATGTTAAGGTTAACAAAGTCTCTGCTCGAGTTCTCTTCGGATTTTTTTATAGCTACTTCGGTTATTTATTTATTTTTTGTCCTGAGTGGCTGTTGGGATTACTTTGGCCTTCGTTGAACGTGATGTCTTAGAAATGCTCCCCATGGTGATGTAGCGAGTAAGCTGGCATTTGCCTTTTGATGATCTTTTTTTCAGATAAGGTTAAACCTGACAAGACTGAGGAAATTTTTATGAAACATTTAAATGATGACCAAAAAGCTCTTATAATAAGGTATGTTTAAGATTAATAATCTGAGCCAGGTTTTGATAGATCTAAATCAACAGTTCTTTCGTCGTTTTGAAATGAGCTAGTTGTGACGTAACAAATTGCTCTTCTGGAAGATTAAAACCGGCGAGGAAACACGAGAGAAGCGTGTTCTCCTCGCTTGTCCTCGAGGTCTCCTCGGAAACTGCACTTAAGTGTATTATTGTACAGTCTACCCAACCTAACTGAGATTCCAGACTCTTTTTTTAAGCTTTACTCGCCTATATTTAGAGAATCTTTATCCATTTAAGGTGCTGTACATGGTTAATTGGTATTCCTGTGTCACCAAACACCCTACACGCAGTTCTCAAACTGTGCCTCAGGCTCACTCAAGAGCACAAATACGCGGTGCAGTTCGTTGAACAAGGAGGAGCAAGAGCCCTTCTTTTACTAACACAGGACTCACAAGTAACCGGATTTGGTACGCTGGCAACTCTTCTCCTTCGACACGTATTGGAAGACGAAGAAAACTTGAAACATGCCATGGAAAAAGTTGTGCGGTCCTCGGCCTCGAGCAGTGTCAGTAGTCCTGTCACTGGCGTAAGCCAAAGCTCACCAGGAGCGAAGGAAATTAATTATGTTTTACGAGTTTTAGGACCTGCCGCTTGTCGCAATGCTGGACTTTTCAAAGAGGTAGCCACAAACTCGCTCCGCTTAGCTATAACACCGCAATTACGCCGGACGATGATCGAAGCCGGTGACACGAACTTACCCGCGAATTACGCGCAGATTGTCAAAGCTGCCGTCGTTGCGAAGCCTTCAAAGCCGCCTCCAGTGGCAAAGCAGGTTCACTGCGTTGTCTACGACTTGTTGAATGTGTTATGTGCGTCGGACAACACAACCAGGACAATGGATAGGGGAATACTCATGGCGCGCTCTGACAGCCAAGTGCTCGGAGAGCTCGGGCGTGCGTTAGGGCAGGTTGGCGACCTGATCGCTGGCGTGAGTGGCCAGAGTTCTCAGCAGAATCTGGCGGCTAGGCAGCTTCCAGCGTACACCAGACAGCTGACTGGAGAGGATGTTGAAGTCGAAGAAATGGCTCTTGGTAAGTAAATTTCCTTGATTTGATTCATGGACTTGATTTGATCAAAATATGTCTTTCTTTCTGGATACATTGCTCAGCGGTAAGGCGAAGAGGATATAAAAAGCAACCAATGTGAGATTTTGTTTTGAATTATTGCGAAAAATTCTCAGGACAAACTTATAACGGACTGTAAGATGGGCAGGTCAGCGAAGTGGCTTATTGAAATTTGTGCGACAAACCTTACAAAGTAAGTCTAAGTGACAAATTTGCGAAGCAGATATCAGGCGTGCCAACACAAATAGTTGAAGCAAATGAAATGTCTTGTCGAAAAATACAACACACCGGACTTTTTGATCCGAATTCTAACGCGCTAACTATTGCATCATCGCTTTTCCTAAACTATCCGTGGTCTAAGTCAAGTCTTTTTGGTTTCAAACGCAGACTCCTCGCAGAACAGCAGTCAAGGTGGTTTACTGTTGAAAGTTGACGAAAAGAAAGAAGAAAACGCCAAAGAAGAAAATAAGGATTCTAGTAAAGATGTACAGACTACGTCCAAGCCTCTGTTATCAAAGTCATCCATTTTAAAGCTGTTAGCGGAGCTGGTCAAGTCTTACTCAGGAGTAGCACAGCTTATCACAGACTATAGTCATAATGCTAAGCTTTCTTCAGCATCGGAGGTGAGTCATATTGTACAGTCAAGTCATGACCTACGTACAGACTGAATTACTGACTGACGGATTAACTGACTGACTGACGTATTGACTGACTGACCGACCGATTGACTGACGGCTTGACTGACCGACCGACTGACTGACGGATTGACTAGCTAATTGGCTGGCTGACGGATGGACTGATTTACTGACTAACTCATTGACTGGCTGACGGATTGACTGACAGACTGACTGACTGACTGATTGACCTGCTGACGAGTTGACTGAATGACTGACTGACAGATTGACTGACCAACTGAGTGGCTGACTAACAGATTCACTGACTTACTGACTAAGTGACCACCTGACTGATTGACTGACGAACTAACTTACTAATAAATGATTAAAGGGGGTAAGTTTCCTAAGAAACTGTGGTGCTGCGTCGGTGGGAGAGTAAAGCAGGTAATTTAGTGTTAAGAACTGAGTTGAAAACGTAAGTTGACCACCGTATAAAGAGTTTAAAGGCTGACGTTTCGAGCGTTAGCCCTTCGTCAATCGCTCTAACGTCAGCATTTTAGCTATTTACGGTGGTCAATTTACGTTTTCAGCTCAGTTGTTAACACTAAACTACCTAACCTACAGACAGATCGACTAACCGACGGATAGACTTAATGAAAGACTGACTTACTAACATTTATGACTCATTGACTGTTTTTCTTATTTCCAAAGTATGAAGGACCAGTGCTAGCCTTCGTTCTGGACCACCTTCTCCCAGCTGGAACATCAAGTGATGGCGAAGACACACCATCGTGCGCTCGCACTCTTCTCGCGACCATTGCTACCTGCCACCAGGCACCCGAAGCACAGCAGACCCTCATAGCAGAGATGAAGGCTTCTCTTGGTCGGGCTTTAAACGTTCCAGAGTCTACAACAAAACACTCCAGACTTCAAGCGATCTTCACATTAGTGCAAACCATGATCGAGAACGGCCCTCACTCAGCTGCTCAGCACGCAGCGTCGCAGCAGCCCAACAATGTTATGAAATTGCTGCTGAAGAAAGGACTAGTGAATGATTTAGCTCGAGTTCCTCACAGCTTAGACCTGGCCAGCCCGAATTTTGTGACCACAGTCAACTGCTTGCTGAAGCCTATGGAGAAGTTATCTGGTGTGGTGAATCAGCAGAGTACAGGGGCAACACCATCCGTGGCTCCTAAAGACAGAGTTACTGCTGGCGATCAACAGACAAGAAGTAGAGAAGGGACAACAACGGAGTCAGATTCACGACAGGAATCTTTAATTGGTAAGTTGTTGTGTCTTTTAATTTCAGGCCTGTGCTGCAATAAACTGTAGTTATGCTTAGAGCGCTTTTCGATCGATCACCATGAGTGACTAAGACAGAATTTCTCCTTACAGTGTCATTATGCTATCAACTAGATAAGTGATGAGAATAAAGAAAAGTATCAATTTGGGGATAATTAGTCGATCCAATACTAAATTCTCTGAACCAATACCATGAAAATTGTATGGTGGAAAGTAAAGAAAATTACAAATTTGATCTGAGAGGTTAAAGGATTAAAGCACAGGAAGATGAAGAGTAGGAGGTCTCGATGGGTTTTAATTTTAGCGTCTGATTGGTCGAATCAATAGCACGAGTTTTGACCAAACACAACCCCTGAATTTTATTTTTCTTCCTTTTTTTTCTTTTGATTAAATTGACCTGACACTGTGTTTAGGTCAATCAACCGGAGGAGCCACTGAACAAGAAGCACAGGATACTCAACAATCGACGGACGCCACACCTGGGCAAGGTAAAACAAATTGATTAGAATGTCACCGGCAAAAGGTCTACCCCAGCTCTTCAAAATTTCTAAACTTTACTATTAGTGTGTAAATTTGACGTGAAATAATAAATGCTGTGACTGACTTTCAGTTGAAAATTGCTGTAACTGGCCGTTGTGATTACTGTAAGGTTTTCAATCAGTTTTTGTGTCTAGGGCCAGGCCGTGGCCGTAGGCACTATGCTATCGTCGTTCGTGTAAACAATAGAAATTAGCGATCTATCCAATCAGAACGAAGAAATCTCGCAAAACCGATGCAGCGAACTGGTTAAAACCGGTTCGACGACTTTGGACATTGTAGTAAGTAGCTTGGTTAGTGTGGGACGGATTTCTTTTTTTTTATAAGCGGCTTCCGATGGCGGCTGTGCCTTAACCTTTACCTCCCACGCGTGATTAAGAGAGAATTTCTCCTTACAATATCAATACAATATCAAGCATAGAAGTGATGAGAATAAAGTAAAATATCAGTTAGGGGATTATTAGTTGATCCAATACCAAATTCTCCAAATTAACATCATAAGAATTGTATGTCAGGCAGTAAGGAGAATTACTAATGAGATCGTGGGGGTTAAAGGGTTAAAAAGAAATCCAAACACAAGAACCTGCTTGTCTGCTGAACAGACAGCAGTGAGAGGTGTTATACCTGCTAGTAGACCACCAGTAACTGGCTTCTTTTGAAAACCCTGTCACTGTGGTGTTGGTTTATTTCATTCATTCGCAAATCGCACGACGCAATTCGCAGTTGAACACTAGGTTTGGTCTGTAACCAGAATCAAATCTGGTATACGTGAATTATTTTCCAGCTGCCGTGAGTGAAGGTTCCTTAGGATCTGATCCTCCACCTGTCAGTACAACGCCAAGTGCCAATTCTTGGGGACTTCCTGAAATCTCCAGCAGGTCAATTATTCCCATGGCTTCAGAAGAGGAACTTGAAGAACTGCAGGATATGGTGGACGAATTACTGCACTCAGATAGTAACGAAGGGCAGACAGGGCAAGGTAGGGTTTTCGTATGGAAAGCCCGTTTGCTTTCGTTCCACCCTGTAGTTTTACCACTCAAAGCCACATTTTGAGTTCTAAATCTTTGTTAGTAGATCTTGGCCAAGCATGGAGGTGGTCCCACGCTACAAAAGGGGGGGGGGGGAGAGGGTGTATTCCCCCTTGTCAGAGCATACCTTGTTGTCAAAACCAAATGTTTCTTTTTTTCCCCCCCTCCCTTGCTTCAAACTATGATAACCCCTCTGCCCTTTGGTTTTCTTTTAATGGGTATTCTACTTTCAAGACTTGCTTTCTTCAAAAAAACAAGAATCTTCGTACTAGAAGGCATAAAACTATACCCCAAGATAATGACTAAAAGATAAACAATGTAACGCAGAATAAAAAAAAAAACTAGGTCTCAACGTTACAGAGCAGTCTCTTACCTTGCTAAGGACTGCAAATTACAAACTGTAATCCTTAGACTCTGTAAGCCTGTTCTTCTTGTGTGCCGACATAACATTAATATTTCCAAAATTGTAATCATCTTTAATTACATTGCACAGATATGGACAGCGGCATTATTGCCGAGCATGTGATGACCCGTCGTATGGCTGACGGCCGCGTGGTGGCGGAAACCACCTATGTGATCGACCCCAACACTAGTGACAGCGATGATGATGACGACCACAGCTCTTCCAATGGCGAGGACAGCGGTGGGGAAGGGGTGGCGGACGACACGGACGAAGAAGAAGGAGAGGAAGATGGCGAACGAGGAGATGATGATGAAACTATGGTGATCACGTTTGAAGAACCGGCTGGTAATAACGATGATGATGATCACGATGATGATGACGACGAAGACGATGACGACGACGACGATGATGATGACGACGATGATGATGACGAGGAAGAAATCAACATAGGGAACAACACAGGAGGTTTGTTGATTTAAGTAAATTTTTTCTTTAAATTACACACAACAGTGTTCCCAACTCGCGCGTTCTTTTCCTCGATTCTGATCATGAAGGTGTGACTCGACTTCGCCAAATGAAGTAATACGGGATTGCTTTGGTTTTACTTACCTTCGCTTTCTGATTGGTCCCGAAAACTCGCGCCATCCTCTCAACCAATCAGATGCAAATATAAAAATAAACGCGACTTGGTCATTCGCGTTGTCCCTCGCTTCATGCAGTTGGCTTGTTTCACTTTGAGTTCTCATTGGCTGATGATAATCTAACCTCTTCCAGATTCGTCGCTGAAATTACTTTGGTTTTGGTTTTCCGATACTGTATTGGTTTTGTGTAACCTTAATAAAAAAGGAATTAGCTGGAATTGAAAATTTCGCAATAAAGCGGTAGAGATAGGCAACCACAAAGGTCAAAAAATTGCATAGAAGGACTCACAGATGGACGAGGAAACGGGCTGGCAAATATCTCTAACTTTTTTGCCACCTGAACGAACTTTTTTTCCTTTGAACGTCATGGAACCTATAGGAAAAGTCTTTCTGCCTCAGTCTCATCACCGTTTTTAAGGCACGAGAGGATGAACAGTAAACAGTTCAAAGAAACCTCCCCACACTGTCTTTTGAGACCAATCAATTTGTGTCTCAGTTTCGCCATGATAAAAAACTGAATATCTGTTTCTAGACTCGTCTAGAACCCTTTCCGATTGAGTGTCGTCGGACTAAAACTAAATTAAGCACAACGGCAGATCACAACAAAAGTCATACAAAATGAAAGTGCAGTAAAGTCATCACTACTCATTTGAAAATGGTTGTAATCTTCAGGTGTTATTGGTGCGAGAGAGGGTGGAGTGATAGAGGAGTCTAGTGGGGTTGATGTGATGGAGGAAGAGGGAGAGGAAGACGATGATGACCATGATGAGGATGAGGACGAGGGTGGCAGCGACATGGATGAAGATGGCGCTGACATGATAGGAGACGACTCTTTCAGAATATACGAGGAGGATGCAGTTTACCTTCCCTTTGATGAAGGCTCAGGTTTGTGATAATCCAGATACCAGCATCTGACTTTTTTGTCATGAATCTGTCAGTCAATTAGTTTATATTGAGCGAAGTATTTTAGAATGAATTCTAGGAAAAACACCAGTTTTCTCTTCGTGTTGTTTAGGTCGTCATCTGGAGTTTGTGAGTGGTCCTCATGGCAACAGGTTTACAGGCACGTTCATGATGACTATGTCCCAGGATGATGAACCCGAGACGATATCCAGCATGGCACAGCGACTGTCCCGTGTACACGGTCTCCGCATGACCCCCAGGCACCACACACAGCAGTCACAGTCGGTCCATTCATTGCACCCCCAAGGCGTGACTCAACCTCCTCTGCCCGCCGTGATCCAGAATCTCCTCGGGCCGGAGACTTCCGATGGGCTGCAGTTTAACACCAGTTAGTCTTGAGTCATAGTAGTTCCCTTTCATCTTTGTTTTCCTTTGAGTTTTAGTCACAAGAGAAAACTTTTACTCCAATGAAAAAAGGAGATATATTTACTGTGGCTAATGGCTGATATAACGCACGCTGTGATTGGCTGAGAGAAAGAGCAAAACAAGGAGCTACGCTCATACATTGTCATCTGTAATCTATTTTTTTAACCCTTTGCACCCTAACATCAATATGCATATTCTCCATACTGTTCTTTATACATTTCCTAAGGTGCTGACATGGAGAATTTGTTTGCCAATCAAAATGTTCCTTCCCTGGTGACCATTTCCTTCATTCTTATATCCTTAACGTGGGATTCAGGAGTGATATTGTAGGAAGAAATTAGATACTAGTCATTCTGTGGGCGTAAAGGGTTAGGTAGATTTTATTCTATAAACTGTTGTGTTTTACAAGGATTATCAACCCTGAAAAAAAAAGCCGTGACTACACACGCGTAAAATTACGATAATTTTTCGTGTGTGTTTGATATTGCCAATCAGCTGCTGACACGTCACTCGCTTTCGCGCCACTCTGTAAGGTTGATAAATAAAGGGCAGAGTTAGCCATTCTCAATCTAAGTTCGTTTGTCGAAATGTTCTCGGATTATGGCTGCTAACATCACTGAAGATTCGTATCGCTTACAGACAGTGACGTTCACTTGAGTCTCAAGGAAAGACAGTTTAAAAGAATTATTTTCCTTACAGGTGCAAGTCACAGAGGCAGGCATTTGGTTCAAGATGAGATTCAAGTTATAGCAAGAAGCACTGAAGATGGTGGACCAGATGAGATCTTCTTTGAAAACTTCAATGAAGGTGCTCCGTCTTCTGTGCCATCTGCTCTAAGTCGTTGGGCTGAAGAAGGCCAGATTTTGGATACACAAGGCGTTCATTACTGCGTGGCTGCGGTGAAGCCTGAAATCTTGCCCGTTCTGTTGAAACATCAAGCTGAAGAGATCGCCAAAGGTAGGGAGGAAGAGCAGAAGAAGAAGGCAGATGCTCAGGCAAAAGCTGCTGCTGCCAAGAAGGAGGAGGAAGAGAAGAAGAAGCAGGGTAAAAAGGGGAGTAATGGAGAGTCATCCACGGCTGTCGAGGAACAGAGTACAGAAGGAGAGGCAACGAGTGCATCTGAAGCACAGAGTGAAGTGATGCAGGTTGAGCAACAGCCAGCAGATACAGCGACAGAGGTGGAAGCTACGCCATCCGAGCCAACACCCACAGAAGATGCATCCATGCTAATACGAATGTACATGGATGAAACTTCCACAGAGGCTCCAGCAGCATCCACTGATCAAGCTATGGTAAGGACTTCTACCCCCGTCAATGAAAGTGAACAACATCCCTCGTCTGTGTCTCCGGCAGTAGTAGCTGCTACACCTGCTAGCTCTGTTGTTCAAGATATCATCAGTGCAGCCACAGCGGAAGCCGCCAGTGTGAGTACTGAAGATGAGGCTGCTACACCAGCTATCGGGAGCCATCTGGGTTCACTTACTGAAGCGGAAAGCACAGAACAAGAGGTTGCAGAGCAAGAGGGTGATTCTTCTCCCATGGCTCTCGAAGAAGAAGGGATGACTACGGCAGCAAGTGGTAAGTTTTGATGAAGATATCTGTTGGCATTCTATACAAGATATCATTATGCAAAGATATTGAACTTCTCCTGTGGTTATGTTTGTGAAAGCTTAACCATTTACATCCTAACATCTTAATGGATATTCTCCATACTGTTTCCTATACATTGCTTAAAGTACTGACAAGGAGAGTTTGTTCAACAATCAAGAGCTGCTTTAGTTGGTGGTCCTTTCCTCTATTCTTGTTACCTTAATATGTGATTGTGGGGGGAATTATTGAACAGAAAATTGACTGTTAGTCACTCTTTGATATCATGGGTGAAATTTAGCCCTCTTCTCTCACTCAGCTGACCTTACAGAACCTCCCCAAGCCGTCATTACTACACCAACATCAGAGGCAGAAGCAGAAGCTGGGCTTGCAGCAGATTCGGAGCAGCCGGGCACTAGTGGAGAAGCTGCAGCTTTAACAATAGACGGGATCCCCATCCCTGACGGAGTCGACCCTTCGTTTCTGGAGGCCCTGCCAGAGTCCATTCGGCGTGAAGTGCTTGCTGAGCAGTTAGGCCTGCACCCCCCTCCAGCCTCACAGAGGAACACTGCAGCAGACGAGAATGAGGGGAACACTGACCTCAATGTGAGCCCTGAATTTCTGGCAGCTTTGCCTCCGGATGTCCAAGAAGAGGTGCGTCTACTTGTCTCCTGAGAATGAGTACTTTGCAATTTTAACATTACTTTAGGTTTTTTGCGTGCCTAATTTCGCGAACTTCATGATAGATACGTCAAAAGCGCCAAAGTGTTCTTCGCCATAATCCAACTAAAGTGAACTTTTCATATTCGACCGAAATTACTCCTTAGCTCAACAGCACTATACAGTTCTGAAATGACGGCGTGTCTCTCCCACAGTGAAGCCTTCTTACTGTTTATTTGTGTGTTACAATCTAGCTTTCTTTCGGTGATTAAATCTCGCAGTTTATGAACCGCGAACGTACGTAATTGATGCTTGGCAGGTGGAGTCATGGGCTTCGAGGGAAAATAAGACATCAACATACGTTAGTGTTTTGTATCGCTAAATTTCCCTTCTCTTTAACAGTGTTGCTGTTCAGGTTAAGAAGGTATTTTGCGGCGGTACTATTTGAGATATATTTGATACCAGCAGCCATAGTCGTGGTGCTGTGTTTTTTTAGCAAGACAGCAGACCTTTAGAGTGCTCCTCTACGCGTAAGAGTTGGAAAGGGTAGCGGTAAAGTTTTAAGAAAACTTGATGTTGTGCTGGGTGCTACTGAGATTAGCCAGAGTCCTACCCAGGTGCAAGAATGCTATGTATGCATATTCTCCTTACTGTTCTTTATACATTCTAACGATACTGGAAAGGAGAATCTGTGGAACAATCAGGAACCTCTTGCGTTTTCTAGATACTCGCAAGGAGAATTTTTTTCGGTAATCAAGAGCTTCTTTAGTTGGTTTTTTTTTTCTCCTCGTGACCTTGAAGTTTGATTCAGGGGTGAAAGTGGAAGGAGAAATTAGATTCCAGTCACTTCAATAGTTGTAAGGCTTAACTTCTCTTCTTTTGGTTTTCAGGTCCTTCAGCAGCAACGCATCGAGCAAGAAAGACGGCGCAACCAAACAGCCACTCCTGAGCAAGCTGTTGATCCGGGCTCTTTCCTTCGTAACCTCGCCCCCTCCTTGAGGCAAACAGTTTTGGCAGACATCGACGACTCTCTTCTTCCTTTACTACCAACTGACTTAGCCTCCGAGGCCCAGACCCTTCGGAGGGAGATAGAAGCCAGGCATCACAGGCTGCTTCAGGAGCGTTTTAACTTCGGAAGTGGAGACAGAGCATCGGCGATTTCAGCTCTATTGCGTCACTCCGCCTTGTCACGCCACGGAGGAGGGTCCCATTTTGCCAGACTGCTACCCTCGGGGGGTGGGTTAAGTAGCAGGGGTACAGGGTTTTCGAACGGTCCTTCGTACCTCCCTCCTCCAAACCGTAAGATAGTTGGACGTCATTTACTGGATCACGAGGCTCTGGTGTGCCTCCTTGTGCTTCTCTTCGTGGAGGAACCTCGCCTAAATACTGGACGTTTGCACAAAGTGCTTAGAAATCTGTGCTATCACGAGGAAACTCGAACATGGCTGATAAGTGCCATGATTTCGATTCTAAGGAGAACTAGCGGGCAAACCTCAGACGGTTCTTGCCCTGTTCCTTGCGGAGAGAGTTCATCGCACGCGGAGGCGTCGTCTTCGTCGATGTCTGAGCCTGTGAGAACTGAGAGTCCTTGTAGACTCGATGAGTACTTGCTCACTCGGGAACAGAGTTCTTCTGATTCTAAAGCGTCAAAGCAACAATCGTGGCTGTCGTTCGGTGTGCGCACGTCTTTAGGATCACGGACAAATGTGTTTGCTATTAAGCGGCAAGGAAAAGTCGGACAGGAACGCAGCACGCTCGTTAGCATACACCCTCAAGCTTCGCAGTTCGTTTGTAAGCATGTGCTCGACGCGTTACTGTTCTTAGCGAAAAGCTTTCCTGCTAGTTTTGCTCCGTTTCAATCGCCCGCAAAATTGCATCCGTCATGTAGTAAAGATGATAGTTCTTCGACAGAGGGAAAAGCGGCGGGCTCTGCTTCACAAGACAGCACAGACTTTTGGGATATATTGCTCAAACTCGATACCGCTGGAAGCGGAAGAAAAGGGAAAAGTGCTGCAAAAACAGGTGCAAGTCAAATTAGTTTATCTGCGACGAATGATTCGCCTTTAGAGGAGTTTTCTTCGTCGCCTATTGGACAGCTCTTAGGTGCACTTGATGAACCTGTCGTACAAGGAAGTGTCGTGGTGACAGACAAGCTTTTGCGATTGTTATCAGTAACGTCTGCGGCGCTTCCAGACGTGCCCGTAAAATCAAGCAGAAAATTTGAAAGCTGCGAAACTGCGACTACTGAAGCAGTCCCTGCTGAAACTTCAGCGCAGGCGCCGACAGGAGAACCGGTCACCCAATCTATGAATTCTACAGGAACCGTGACAAATGTGACCGTGTCAGTTCCAGAGGATAGTGGGACACCTCATCACGTGACTGTTGATACCCCCTGCTCGGAGACTGAGTCAGTGGCTTCGTCGCTAATCGTCGAACGCTCATCTGAAGCGGGAGGCGAACCACATGAGGTGGAATCACTCGACGGTGTGTCTGTTGACGAGCCGCTGTCCCACCCCAGCGAGACTTCTTCTCATCCAGGGATGGTGGAGCCCATGATAGTCGAAGTGACACCCCCTCTTGGTCCGCATGCACCGGCATCTAATGAAGAGAGCTCGCTGCTGACAATTACGACAGCTACAGTGGAGGCGGAGGCCGCGGGTAAGGAGATTCCAGACCAGAAAACGTCCATAGTGAAGGAAGGGGAGTTACGGTTGGTAGTGAACGTCCTTACTTCTGGAATGTGCTCGGAAGAAGGGCTTGAGGATGCGACCACACTTCTGCTCCAAGTTTCTCGCCTGAACCCGCAAACTCGTGACAGTGTTTTACAGCTGTTATTGGAGGGAGCTCGGAGAATTGGACAGACATTGCAAGAGAACATCGCTGTGCTACTAAGTGAATTGATTGAACATAACAGGAATGCTCCACCGAAGGACGAATCTGACCTCAAGAAAGGTGAAAATGAAACCTTGCTTGTATTTCCCAATTTAATTGAACGAGAAATGAGAGCTTCGTCTGAGGCAGGTGAATAAGAGATCATTTCGGACCTCAACGGAAGACATTCGCTCCTCTCTGCGCGATAGCTATGACGTGAAATGCTCCATGTACTATTTTGGAAAGTCATCAATCCAGCCTCATCTTTGTGATGACCACCTCCTTTCACCCAATGACTTTATTATCACGACCAGTTTTCATAGCTAGTCGACACCCCTGTTTTTGTGTTTTCACTTTTTTTTCTCTTCGTAGTGTAGTAGAACAGGGACCAAGCACCACTTTTGGCAAACGTTGCATGTTTCAGTCACTACAGTCGTATGATTTTTATTTCCAGTAGATGGATTATTATTTTAGGCTGACAGATCACAACTTCTTTTACTTCATAGGTAAGAGACCGGCCTCTCTAGTACTTCCCAGTGCTCCTCGTAGGCCAACAAGGGGCGGTCACCAATCTGGCTGGGCAACCATGCCTGCTGGCTCGAGGGCCAGGCAACAAAATAGACAAGTGCGGTACGATCTTCATCTGCCGTCCATGCCCGCTCTCACTTGCAAGACTTCCAGTCAGGCGCTGTTACTGAGAGTTCTTAAAGTGATTCTTCAGCTGAGAGAAGCGGCGAGGAAGACTGCATCTGGAACGACGTCGGCAAGAACAAGAAGTGCACAGAGGAGGGGTGAGTTTGCACTCTTTTATTCACGAAAATTTGGGTTGAAAATTAAAGATTTAAAAGAGAAACTTTTAACTTTTCTACCCCCAAGTGTGATCTAATTTTTTTTCTTCCTTCGAATATGACCTCAATTTTTGCGCGTAAAGATGACGAGAAAAACGAACAACATCAACCAGGGGATAATGTTTGGTTTTACCCTTTAACTCCCATGAGTGACCAAGACAGAATTTCTCCTTACAATATCAATATAATATCAACCAGATAAGTGATGAGAAAAAAGAATAATATCAATTTGGGGATAATGAGTTGATCCGATACTAAATTCTCCAAACTAGTATCATAAGAATTGTATGATAGGTAGTCAGCAGAATTACTAAGTAGATCTTGGAGTGAAAGAGTTAACACCAAACTCTCGAGGCTAAGATGATTACAAGTATATGACAAGCAGTAGGGGAAGTGAACGTTTTGATCGTGGCAGTGGTAGGATTTTATTTGTAACGGGAGGATGTCAAAGAAACTCCCAGTCCACCATGAAGATTTGAATGCAGGCCTGTCCCGATTTTTCCGGTCAAATACTTTACCTATAAAGTCACTGAGGATTTGCTTGCAAGCCAGAACATACACTCGGTTGAGATTCGACACAGCCCCGTGTTCCGCCCGTATCTTACAACAGTTTATGTCGAATTCCAGTCACAGATGAGAGTTCAGTGGTCCAGCGTCTCGTGCAAGGATCGCGTGGTTTGGGTGCTGTGATAGCCGCCATAGAAAACGAGGCGGAAGCCATCTTTGAAGCATTCTCACACATGCGTGCTCTACGCTCTGAACACCACGGAGATCAAGCGAGGGTTGGTGGACCGCGGAATGAACCGGTGCCTCAAGGAGGGAGGAGTCAGGATGGAAACAGATCTGACGGGGGTGCTCAGGGGGGAGAAGGTGAGTTGTTTTGATGTTTTAAAGAAGGGGGACGAAGAATGCATAAAGACGGAATGTTTTGTTGTATAATCCAATGCATTATTAACGTATTTTCATGGAAAACTAATGTTTTTAGATCATTTACCAGGTGCGTCGACATCAGGAGGTACAAACGAACCCGACTTACCGCTACTGAGCGAGCAGATCACCCTGGAGGAGCTGTGGGAGACGTTAGGCGAATGCTTAGCGGAGTTGGGCCGAACGTCCGACAGTCACGCTGTACTGGTACTGCAACCCGCTGTTGAGGCTTTCTTTCTTGTCCACGGCACAGAAAAACAGGTGATTACTGCATTTGTGGCACTTTCTTTAAAACTAAGCCCAAAAAGTGTTGTCACCGTTGCAAAAATCTTGATTACTCTGCCATTTTAGGCCAAAAACCACCCCGCCAAAAATTACGTCCCACTATTAAAAACAGGTCGATTTTTTTAAACTAAGTTTTCTTGCGTAAACCACTTGCCCATCCGGTATCTTGTTTCAGTCGATTTGCATGTAAAGGCTGAATCAATCGATGAAGTGACCTAATTTATTTACAAGGTAAAATTTCAGTGTTAACAAAGCCAATTCTGAGTGCAGCAAGAAATATTCACATAAACAAAATAAAGGGTGAAGAAATTTGCCGCGAGTTAAGCTTCTGCTGATCACCCTTTTTCGCTCGTTTTGCGTCCCTTCCTGTGCACTATTTTAAGAAAAACTTGGTGTCGGAAAATTTTCCAGTAATTATTAGTATTTGTTTTGGGAGTGAGCTGCGACATTCTCATAACTGACCCTTTGACCCCTAAGAGTGAGTGGTTTCTTATTTCTCGTTACAGTATCGCCCTTGAATCAATTGTAAAGGTCACTGTAATGAGGGATATGATCACCGATTTAGGAAGTCCCTCTTTGCAAAATGTCAAAAGAGGAAATGTTCAGAAAACAGTGTGGAGAATGAATGCCAGTGTTAGGGTGTGAAGGTTAAAGTAAGGGACAACTTTCTTCCTCGCTTATCTTTCTAGGAGAACACCTCGACTCAAAGTCAAGGCGAACAACCGCGCTCCGGTCATCGATTATCGTCTTTGAGCTCAGAAGTGATGCCTGCCTCCCCTGGGCCTTTATCACCAGGCCCCTTGAGTCCAAACCGACAGATGTCAGTCACGTCTGTGACGGCAGATCTGCCATCGGACACACAGAAGTTCCTTCGATTCGCTGGTTAGAAAACTGGGGTTCTTGCATGCATGTTTTTTTTGGGTCTATATTTCTAGAAAGGGGGAGCATTTGCACTTTTTTATACCTTGGTAGAAGAAGATGAAAATAGTCTTTAAAGTATACGTAGAGGTCTGAACATTATCTTTCAGTTTTTTGCACAAGCTTCTCAAATGGTAAATGGGAAAGGTCGTTAATCTCGTGGAAAAAAAAGCGACGCATGGCCCTAAAATAAGCGAAGAATTCTTTCGAAAGTTTGAACGTTTGTTATTGTTTTACAGAAAAGCACCGTACTGTATTGAACCAAATCCTACGTCAATCCACTGTTCACCTGGCTGATGGTCCGTTCGCGGTGTTAGTTGATCATACACGAGTGCTCGACTTTGACGTCAAACGTCGTTTCTTCCGTCAAGAGCTCGAACGACTCGACGAAGGAATCCGACGAGACGACCTTACGATCCACGTCCGACGCGAACACGTGTTCGAAGACTCGTACCGAGAGCTCCACCGGCGAAGCGCAGAGGAGATGAAGAGCCGACTGTATGTCGTGTTCGAAGGCGAAGAGGGACAAGATGCCGGAGGACTTCTGAGAGAATGGTTCGTGATCATGTCCCGGGAGATGTTCAACCCTAATTATGCCCTCTTCACCACCTCCCCAGGGGACAGAGTAACGTATCAACCCAACGCAAGCTCCAACTGTAACTCCAACCACCTGAGTTACTTTAAATTCGTCGGCAGGATCGTGGCGAAGGCGATTTACGACAACAAGCTGTTGGATTGTTTCTTCACGCGCTCCTTTTACAAGCACATCCTGGACAAAGCTGTGCACTTCACGGACTTGGAGTCGTTCGACTACGCTTTGTATCAGGGTCTGCATTACTTGTTGGAACACGACATCAGTGATATCGACATGGAACTCACGTTTAGCACTGAGGTAACACTCGTATTATAGAGTGCTTTTTAAAGCAATTTTTAGAACTAAATCCTATTTGATCACAACGTCCAATCAGAAAAGAGGTTAACGTCGCAACCAGCCAACAAGAACTGTTAAGATGGTTAACCGGTCTGAAGCGCGGGAAAACCCCAGAGATTAGGTAGCAAATGTTTTACCTTTGCATCTAATTGGTTCAGAGGATGGTGCGAGTTTTCTGAACCAATTACGAAGCGAAGTGACCAAGTGGTGTACCTTTGCATCTGAATTGTTTAGAATATGGTGCATATTTTCTGGAACAATCATCAAACGAATCGAAGTAAAACCGATGCAACCCCATATTTCTTTCGACTCGCATTCATAAATTACTTCATAACCTCAATATGTTTTCCAGGTTCACGAATTCGGTTTGTCAGAAGTCCGCGAATTGGTAAAAAATGGCAAGAACATCGCTGTAACGGAAGAAAACAAGAAAGAGTACGTACAAAGAGTGTGCCAGATGAAAATGACCGGAGCAATCAGGAACCAGCTTGACTCCTTTCTGGAAGGTTTTTACGACATCATTCCCAAACGTCTGATTTCCATCTTCGACGAACAGGAACTAGAGTTGTTGATCTCTGGGCTTCCAAACATTGACTTGGATGACTTGAAAGCGAACACTGAATACCACAAATACACGGAGAACTCATTACAGGTACGAAATGTCAAGTACTGACTATCTTGTGCTTGTAGTCCCGATGATGTCTCTAAAGTAGAGTTTCATTGTGAAACCTCCGTCTCTGTAACCCCCTTGAAAGGAGACACTTTCTGATCCTGAGTGAGTCCCCTTAGTGGAGGTTCATTGTACAACCTCGGCATCTCTGACCCTCACCTAATGGACACCTAATGTGGGACACTTTTTCTAGTCTCGAGTCTGACCCCTTTGTCTACGTTCATTGTTTAACTTCCGAGTTTGTGGCTTATACCGATGGGATATCTGATTCCCGGAGTAAAACCTTTGATAACATATTTCTTCGATACTCTGTCGCAGATCCAATGGTTTTGGAGAGCCTTGCGTTCTTTTGACCAGGCGGACCGAGCAAAATTCCTTCAGTTTGTCACAGGGACAAGCAAAGTTCCTTTACAGGGATTTGGTGCCTTGGAGGGGATGAATGGATTCCAAAAGTTCCAGATTCATCGCGACGATCGGTCCACGGACAGGTTGCCCTCTGCGCACACATGGTGAGCTTTTTTTCCGTTCCATTTTCTATGACAGTGTATTTCAGGAGGAGGTATTGTTCTATGCTGCCGTTAGTAGCAGCGAACGATAAGAATTCTGTAGAGGTTGTTGTCGATGTTTCGTAGATGTAATAATACAAAAACATAAATGTTGTATACTTCCAGTAGGTTGACTGAATTTTTCCGTTCTATACGGAACACTGTACACACATTGTACGGTTAGTTTTAGCCTGCAGTACAGGTGTCTAGTAAGGAAGGGCAAGATACTGTGGCGATTTCGCGATTGTTCACTAAGACAACACATCGTAAGGATAGGTGGATCGATAGGGGAGGGGCGGGTAAATACTTATTCTTGCCCCCTCCCTTCTCCCCTTCTCAGACCTGTTTTTCATCTCCCCCTTCCCTCTTCCCCGAAAGGAAAAAAAAAATCCCTTATTAAAGATTTCATGGTGGTTGTTGATTGTTTATCTCAGCTTTAACCAGCTGGATCTCCCAGCCTATGAGACGTACGACAAGCTACGGTCCATGCTCAACAAGGCGGTAGACGAGTGCCCTGAAGGATTTGGTTTGGCGTAAAACGTACACAAACAGCAGACTTAAAGGCTGAGATTTTGAAACATGAACAGGACGATACACTGTCGTTTTAGGGTTGAGTGTTGCACCTTGAGTCGGTGGACTTGAAGTGAAAACTATACCGAACATTGAACTCTGCGAACAAGAAGAGGAAAAAAGACAAATCTAAAGTATTGGAGGTGTTTAAGAATGAATCACTGGATCGTTTACGGCCTTCATATGGGAAGTATTGTACAGGGATGATTTTTCCTCTCTTTGGGCGAAGAAGAATTTTATAATTGCCCTTTGAAGCAGTGCGTGACAAGAGTATTGAAGCACAAGGTTGTTGTTACGCAAGAATATTTCGTCTTAAGACGACGCGTACACAAAGAACTACATGCGTTGACATACAAAGAACTTTGATACTTACTGATGTAGTCTGCTTGGCGATAAAATATTGCTTTTCTTTTCGTATCTAAATGGTAAAGAGATGAGAACACAAACTTCTTATTTGGAGTTTGGTGAAACTGTTTAAGGCTTTATCTGAGAGTGCGTGACCGTTATTGGAGTGACAAAGGTGTCACGTAAGAGTCACGTTGAAAAGACATTCTCGAACATTTTGATTGAAATAGTTACCAATCCACGCCAAACTGACGCGTTTATTTAGAAAAGATTTTGAAACAATAAAGCGGTTTCTATTTCCAAGTTAGCTATCGATTATTCTTTCCTAATTCTGTGATATTTCTCCTGAACAATGCCTGTTGCAAATTGCTGTAAAGGCGGAGAATTTTGCCTTCATTTCTTGTACGAAAACTGAAACAGAAATCCGTTAGCTTTTGCGACATTTCAGCTATTTCTGTTATTGAACTAGTTCGGAGATTTTGATAGATAAAATTGCTTTTTCTCTGGTGATTACGTCCTAGATTCTCATAACCTTTCGTTTTGAGCTTTATATTAATTCTCTGACTCCTAAGAATGACGTGCATCCTAAGTATCCTTCGATTATCACCCCTGAATCACACATTAAGGTTACAAGAATAAAAGAAATGATCAACTTCTATAGAAGCTCTTGATTGTTGAACAAATCCTCCTTGCAAGCACCTTAGCAAATGTACAGAGAACAGTATGGGTTTAATCGGCTGGGAGAATGAGAGATCCATGTTTTCTAAAAATCAAAAATATTGGCCTCAATGTTCGTAAACGAACTAAATAATTACTAGGTATCTTTTCAGTCGAAGAGACGTAGTTTTTTGGGTTGAGAATATTTTCAAGTGTTTGCCAGGTTGATTGTATAGCCCTCATCGTGAATTATGCAGGTGTCTTCGATATTGGCAATGTCTGTGTAGGTACGTTTTGTCTGAGTGGGAGGACCGGACGGGAAATTATTTGCCCAAAGTCTTGTTTACTCTTGATGCTGTACTTCATGACCATTTTATCGTATGGCCGTGTCTTTCTCTTTACTTCTTTTTCCTCGTAGTGCCGTAGACAGGACCGTGGTACCGTTTTCTGGCCCTACTAACGCCATCGCGTGTGAGCTTCGGAAAAAAAAAAAAAAAAAAAACCCGCCGGACGCCGAACGATTCATATGATAAAGATGTTTTATGTGGAAGTGGATATTGTTATCCATTAAGGTTATGGGCTCGATACGAGAAAATGTCCTGAAACACAAATGAGATCCATAATTTTACCAAAGAAAATTGTCTCGTAACAAATTTCAGATCGAACACGCTAATTGCTTTAAAACATTTATTTGCTTCCAAGTGCTAATTTCGAACTTGAATGAAAGATGGTAATCGTTTGGCAGGTTCTTTCAATTATAATTTCAAGAGACACTAGCGATATATTAAACCAACCTTTTTCGTTTTAGTTGTTGTGTTGTCAGCTACGATCATTAAATGTTTTATTTTCGCAACTTTTCCTTTTTAGTGTTGTACGTAATATCGATTGCGCAAAATTGTTCTTTAAATTTTGTCGTTCAAATTTGGGTCAAGCTGGCCACAGCGTCGGATATATTTTTCATTCAGTTTAAAATTTGTTTCTTTTCCACCCTCACAATTTCTGAATACATCATGACTGAAATTTCTGTCAATTGTTGTATAAATTACGTCAACGCAATACTGGCACCGACATTTTTTTTAATAAACCTCTCCAATATCTTCAGCATGTTGGTTAAATAACTTCCTTATTATTTAAGATCCAAAGAAAAAGTTTATTTTCGGAACCCAACGGAGTTTTTTTCAATTTTTTTTTACCTCTGGGGGCATTTAGCTTCACAAACGATTTACATTAGCGTTACGATCTCGCAAACATGTGTTATTTGTTTACTACCTGCCGTTTGCAAAAACTCTACTTATTAAAGTCCTTAGAAAAAAATTCAGAACCTTGATCATGCGATTTTTGTTCGATCACAATCGCAGCGCCGAGGGCTTCCATAAACTCTAAACCATTTCAAACATCAATTTCATCTGTCACTTACACGACAGCCCGAAATAAATCAAATGAATAATTGATAACTTTTCGAGGGCTTTCCCATGGAAACGGCTTGGCAGATGTTGTAGTATCAAATGATAATGGTAGCTTAACCATGGCTAGCCATGAAACCTTTGTACCGTTACAGCAAGAACCTAAATTCAGAGTCCGGCGACCGAGCCTCAGATCGAGAATAGACGATGGAACACATGATCGGAAAAAAGAAGATCTGCTGGCGCTGCCACCCGTTCGAGGTAAGCGGCTTTTTCGTGTTTAGTGTTTATTTTTACGCTTGTAAAGCTGACCTGACTTCTTTGCGTATTTACACCGGATTCAACCTTTTGCTATAAACTTATATTCTTTGTTATAAAGCGCATTTTTAATGCGAAAGCCGCTTGAAATATTGTTTTCTTTGCGAGCTTTAAGCATTCATTTTGCGATAAAAAACTTGATAAAGCATGTAACTGACTTGTAATTTTCTTCAATCGCCGATAAGGCGATAACATATATTTCGTTCCAGGAATCGCTAAAATTGAATTTTTTATTTCTATTTTTAACGGACAAGTTTATATATATATATATTTTTTTTTTTCACGGCTGCATTTCTTCCATCAGTTACTAACTACTAGCAAGCAGTTACATAAATCATTAACATATTCTCGAGTAAGAGTGTGTAAAATAGTGTCTCGTTGTGCATATTAACTACGGTAGAGGAAATTCGAAAAATTAAAGTTATCTCATTAGGGAAGGTGAAAGGTACTCAAATAATTGCTGTCATTGTTAAAAAAGATGTTGGTATTATAATTTGTTATGAAGCAAATGTACACCTCATAGATCTATGCATTTCCGAATTTCCGTCAGAGATATTTTAACTTCTTATTGCTCAAATCTTTTGGCGTTCTTGGATTTCCTGGATTCCGTTTTGCTCAAAATTTGACAGAAAAAGTTTACGAATTTTCTGAAAATCCATTATCGCAACTTGCGTGTTTGCTTTAATAATACGAAACCCAAATTTGGAAGCAATGGCAGAGCAGCTTTCAAAGGTAATTTTGAATCCCAAATACATTCTGTTGTTATGTAAAAGATGAAAGTACATTTGCTTTGTTGAATCAACTTCTAAATGTACTTTTTCAGAAATTCGACTCCCTCGTTTTGTACAAATCTTTTTTGAATTCAAAAGGCGCCCTGTTTAATCAGCTTGTGAAAATTTTGGTCGATGCTGCACGGCTTCTCGCTGCATGACAACTGTGCAGTGCTTTGACTTATTTGTATATATATAAATCGTTAGTTTTATTTCGTTGCTTTGATTTTTCAGATTGTTATTGATTCCATACCTTTCTACGGATGTTTCTCAGTCGGGTAGATTTGCTTGTTTTTGTTTCTGAGATCATTCTGTTGTATTTTTATGAATAATTTTTCGCCCACTCTAAAACATATAATAAAAGGCCTCTGGAAGCAGAAGTAAAATCATTTAAGAAATCGCGCTTTTCATTTCGACTCACTTTTTCATGACGTCAATCCTTTACGCCCTAACAGGAACCCATTATGATGATAGGCTTCTGACCCTAGCATCAGTATGTATATTCTCCATACTTTCTCTACACATTTCTTAAGGTTCTGCACAGGAGAATTTGTTCAACAATTGAAAGCTTCTTTAGTCGTTGATCATTTCCCTTATTCTCATGACCTTACTGTTTTATTCTGGGTAATCTTGTAAGGAGAAATTAGGTGCCAGTCACTCTTAGGGGTTAGAGGGCTAAAAAAGTCTCCTCAGGTGAGACTCTTTCAGTCCTTCGATTATAATACCTATTGTATCCATTTTGAAACTGACTGGCGATCAGTACGATCTGGTTGGCTCTCAGCGGTGTAATTTATTCACGAATCACACAATTTTTTTGCTCTAAATCACATGTTTTTGCGTTTTTTTTTAAAGATAAAGCATTGATAGTTGGTTGTAACCCTCAAGGTAAAGTAGATTTTGATGAGTACAGGGTGGAGCCCGTCAATGATAACTTTGTTTTGAAGCGTATATTACATTTCCGAAGCTCTATTATTTAGAAAAAATATTTTTGCACTTGCTCGATTCGGAGGAAGATCTGGAATCGACTTACTTTTCGCGCTAAATTTGGAAGCAGAGCATCGACCGATCAAAGAGGCTGCGCGGATTCCGCCATGATACGTCATCACACTAGAATGTTACCCAGACTCCTCAGCTACGAGACAGATTTTGAAGGTTTGAAGAGAAATTCCAGCTTTTTAAAAGCTTTCAATATACTTTGTTTTTCAGCTCTTGCAACAACCAGCCAAGAAAATCAGACAGACGGACTACAAACTCCATTAAACAAATGGCAAGTCCATCGCTGTGCTACTCCCAACACCACCCCCTGTCAGGAGGAATTAGTGAACGAGTGGTTACACAGGAATCACATCCAAGTAGTGGACAGGCTTCCTAAAATGGACCCCGTAGTACTGGTAAGGTGATGTATTATTAAGAAAAGCGTTGCATCATCTGTTTACTCAAATCGTAGAGTTTTTCTGTCAGTTTATGATGTGACTGTCGGGATTGGTTTCAACGATGTAGCAAGGAGCGTAAGTGGAAGATAAAGCCATGGTCTGGGAAACGAAATGAATTTGAAAAATGAAAAATAGAATGCATGTCTAAACGCCGCTTTGCGATAATGTCGCGTTACGTTTCTAGAACACATTTGCCACCCCGTACATTACCTCAAAAGCAGGCTTCAGGGCGTGTAGGCAGAGGGTGCCTTGAATTAGAGGAGATGAGACTTAGCTCGTTCAAGCAACCTACTTAATTCGAGTGTCTTTACTCAAGCTTATCAACTTATCGTTCTTTTACCGTTTTTCTTTTTTTTCTTTTTTCTTTTCCTTTTTGCAGACAAGTCGCGGCACAGACGTTTCAAAGTATATCAGTTTCATTCACCCACCACCTTTCAGCCTAAAACTCCTCTCCGGATCAACAGAGGAGCAAAAATATCGCGAAAAGAGGAACAAACTGGTAAGTCATTAGGGTTGTGTTTATTTTCGGGCGACATTAAATCGTGTGGTGGGAGAGACAAACAACAAAAGACTAAAGGAAAATTAAAAAAACAACAACAACGTACGGTTGAAGATGCATAGTTTTAAATTTTAACCATATGGGGTTGTGTTATCTCGTAGGACAATCAGCCTGATGAATAGCAGATACGAGAGGGGGGTATGGATTCCCCCTCCCCCTCTATTAGATCTGTTGGTATTTGGCCACTTCTCTTACATCAATATTCTTGCAAATCAATCGCATGTTACTACTCAAAATGAAGTATTTAAAATGTAATTGTCTTGATTTTGGCCAGCGTGTTAACGAATAAAGAGGGAAAAAGATCTGTGTTTTGTGAGTCAAAGTTTGGACCCTCCTTTCGAATATTGTTGGATCCACCCCAGCTGATGTATATTATTTCTCTAGGCCCAGGCTCCCTCATCAACATCTGGTTCGCCTTGTCCTCGCCTCCTCAGGAGTCAGAGATCTGACAGGGTAAGTGTTAAAACCTGTAAAACAAGTTTGATCTCCTGAGAAAGAAGTTGTAAAAAGAACCTACATAACTTGTAAATTATTTTCCTCAGAAAAATTCATGATTGTCAAAAGGGCTGCCATGTTGTTAAAATTATTGAAGCTAAATCTTTCCTCCCACGTTGTCTTTTTTTATTTTAGGAAACGTTCGCTTTAAATCCTGTCATACGAGTCGGCGGAGGGTATCGCAGGCTCAGCTGGAAGGTAAAGGGATTTACGTCATTACTAAGTGAAATATTTTTGCGCGTAATTTTTCATCGTCACAAAGTCACGTAGCTAACGAGATAGTTTTCCTCCCTTCTCCACCACCCTTCCTCTGGATAATTTTTTTCCCTTTTCCCTTCTCCCACCCTCCCACTGAATGGTTTTGTCTCCTTCCTCCTCCCCCTTCTTTCTCAATTCCCACCCTCCAGTACTCAAATTTCTAATTCTCGTGGCCCACCTTCTATTTTTTCATTTTCAGTCCTTAAAATTTGTTTCAAGAAGACCACAGTCCATCTTGATACCTTCTCTTACACTAACTTTAAAAAAATTGATTTTAATGGATTGTAGAGAGAAGTGCCCTGAAAGGGAATAAAGCAGTCAATTGTTTTCGTGATACAGTAAAAATCGATTGAGTGCTGTAAAACGGCCAATTAGAGAATAGTTAGATATCGCAAGGAGCCTGAGCTATCGAAGACGGGAAAAAGGTAAGTTATAATTAGTGTTTGTTAAGGGTGGAGGGTAACAGAGCAAAGGTAACGTAACCACAGACAATTCTCAGTACTCATCTGAAAATTCATGTAAAGCTGTTTGCGCGTGGTAGGTTTTGGATGTTCTACCCTCTATTGGACAGTATGACCCAGATGTAGATCCAGTGTACAGTTGCGCCTCATGTCACGCAAACTTGCAAGTGGTAGGGAAGGTCACGAATTCTCGCGGACGAGTTCATTCGATCTTCACTACACCTAAACAATGCCACAAATGCGGGGCTCCCACAACAGACTCTCAAATACACACGGAAAAAGACTTACATGAAAGTGTTATAGACACCCTACATCGAGGAGATTCAAGGTTTATTGTGGATCATAGACGTTTTAAAAAATCGGGCGTCGAGCAGCCTTCATCAAGAGTTAACCCGGAAGATTTGCATTTCAACTCGCCGATGGATTGGAGAGATGACCTGGAATCTTTTCGCCTTCACATGAGCAGGCAGAGTCAAACAGAAGACGACTTGGAAACTACAACCCAGCGTTATGAGCGGAATCGCTCGGAATCAGGAAGCAGTAGTGTATTTATGACAGAGCCTGGGGCGAACATTGATAATTTAAACGAACCCCCTGATATACGCCGTGCGTGGGATGATGGAGCTACACGAGCGGCGATTTTGAGAGATGATGAGAATGATGATGGAAAATGGGAAAAAGAAAACGAAAACGGAGAGAGAAATGGAAAAGAAAACAGGAGCTCAGCTACTGATAATGATCTAGACGCTTATAGCGATTTTGAAATGATAGAAGATTATGATCCGAAGTCAGGATTTACAGTAAGACTTCGGAGAAAGCCATTTGGTGGAGCTAGAAAGACAAGTTATTTCATTCGCGGGATTCGAGACGAAGAGGGTTCGAGTGAAAGGTCTCTTGACAAGAGCGGAAAATCACACGAACATGGAAGGAAAAAAGCACACCACAACAAACAAGAAATTCAAACTGACACTCAGATCAACAAGAGTACACCAAATAAAAGAAATAAACAAGCCTTGGCCCAGAAGAAAAGAGGGAAAGGTTATTCACATAACTTGAACGAGAGTGAAAGACGACTGGAAAATGAAACAAATCAAACAGCCAAATACGACGAGAATCCTCTTTTGAGGAAAAACTCATCTTCCGGCGAACAACGACGAGATGAAACGAATCAAAGAACCAGACACCTTAAGAATCCTCTTTCAAGAACGGATTCGTTCTTCGTCGTTGGCTTGGATCAACGAGACAAAGTGTTCAGCACTACTCCTGTTGCTGAAGAGTTATCGGATGACGAAGATGATGATGATGACGTCATTATTTTCACCAAAACGAGGTTTAGTGAAGATTCCCTGTCAGACCTTGAGTTCAAAGAGGACGACACCTGGAGCCCGGATTCTCCGGGTTCTGGACTTTTCAGACCTAAAATACCATCCCCTGGTAATTTTGGAAATCAGGTAACTGAGCATGTGTAGACGAACTTAGGTTATTGAAACATACATTTTACGCAAGAGAATATAATCTCCAGAATTATGTTACTTCGTGTTTTACCAGCGCTTTTTAACCTAACTTTTTCCAGGCATTTAATAATAACGTAAGTGGAAGCAATAGTTCGGTAGAGCGGACTCAAGAGGGCAAAAGGGCAAAACTGAACACTTCTGTCCGGAAATGATCATATGCGTCCGAATTGGAACAATACTGTCTTAACTCAAATAAGCTTGAGTGTCCGAATTCGGGGACTACCGCCCGAAAATTGACACAGATGTTCAAAATTTGACGGTCTCGTCCGGAAATGGACATAAATATCAGAAATCGGGTGGTACCGTCCGAAATTTGACGCAAGTGTTCAAAATTGGACGGTAGCGTCTGAGAATCGACAAAAGTGTCCAAAATTAAACACGTTTGTTTGCGGAACATGCCTGACGGCAACTGCTCGAGGCACATGTTAAAGCGTTACGATTAAAGTTTGTTTATTTGAGATTTTGCTTATTTATTTTTATTAGGATGACATGGATCGCCCTTCGTCCTGGTCCGTTTCGCCCATGCAGCATGATGGGTACCTTGCTGACAGTGAGGAGAACGTCGACCTGTCTTCACTGCAGGCTCAGATTCAACAAGCGCGGAATAACGCTATGAAAACAGAACGGAGAAAACACGAGAGCCAAGAAACGAAGCGACGGGAGTCTAAAGAGAATAGTGCAAAAGATGAGCATATTGCAGGTGAGTAGTCAAATTCTCCTTATGCAATATGGAGCGTTTATTGGAGTGGGTCTTGGGAGAATTTGGTTTGTTGTCAGTAACCATTTGTTCATAGCGATCTTTCTTTCTGGATTCATCGTTGCGATCCGTTTTCCTGTAAGCCAAAGAAGTTGATAGAAATATTTTAACTTTTAGTAATTTAAGTACCGGGTTTTTGTTGAGTTTTCGACATTTGTACTAAAGATTATCACAAATTTTTCCCCCGAGTCGTTAATGAGACAATCCGAAACTAGCAGAATCACAAATAACTCATTTGAAACTAACAGAGAGTGATTCTGTCAGGAATGCTCTTTAGTAACTCTTAACTCATACCTGTTGTCATAGCAACAGAGGATTCTACTTCTCAAAGGCCTCTTGAGAACGACTTCTCCGACAGAGCCCCTTTAAAAAGTACTGAATGGGACAGCGACTGGGACAGTGATTTTAGTCTACATGTCAAACCGCTTAGCGACTTAAGTGCGTCGAGTAGTGACGAGTCCCAGTGGGAGCCCAGGAACCAAACGAGACCAGCGAATAATGAAAGTAGAGTCCGAAAGAGATCTGACAAAACCGTAACAAATGCTGCGAGAAGAAAAGAGAGTAAGCCCGGCACTACAGAACAGCGTAAAGGCTCTGAGATTGAAAGAACCTTAGAAGGCAGAACTCGGAGGAGTATCGGTGGAGAGGACTATCCTAAAGAAAGACGAGATAAAAGGCCAACAGTTAAACCCATTCCAAAAATCGGTCAAGGTATTTTTTTTAAATATACAATTCTCCCTTCTTGCTCAAACAGATCACCTTTCCTTCTTGTTATGTCTGGAAAAGGCCAACGCCACTAACTTCCGAAATATTTCCAAAGCTCAGAGAGCGAAGTCATGCCTGTAGCTGGGCAAAAAAATTGCCAAAAAAATTTTTTGTGCAGGGGTCTCATAAACAAGAAAAGTTACTTATAAACAGAGAAAATTACCTTTCCTGAGTGGCTGCACAGGAAATCTTATAGGGTCTATTTGGCGGATAGATACACAAAAATATTGATATGACTCAACGTTCAACCCGGAGGGCCCTCCCGTGAAATCCTAAGGGAAAGCATAATGAAAGTTGGCGTATGAAGGCCCGGACGGGCTAGGTTGGGCTGGTCCAGATAAAGCCGTCTGGTCCTGCACTCGGACGGATCTGTTGCATTTCCGCGAACGTTGGTTCTAATAGTGTGGAATTAAACTTAAATTGAGACAGAATGAAAAGAGAAAGTGTGTTTTTCAATGATTTTGGAGTCTCATGTTCAGAGGAAAGAGACAAAACCCGTTTACTGTACAATCGTTTTCGTTTACGGCCTTTTGATTTGTCCAATGGTGTCCTTGTAAGGTTAAACAATTACATCATTTAATTTCCGTTCAACCTTACAACTCAGTCAAAAAGAACATAATATTATCCACCTAATACATCAGAAATAAAAAATCAATTCCAATTTTACATTTTTTCTTCAAGATTCAGACTCAGATGAGGTTCATTTCCGTCCCAGGCCCCGCGCTTTCCGGGGCGACGACGAATTAAGCGAGAGCGACATGAATTTCTTCAAACAACAGTTCCAAGCCCCTAACTCAAGCAGGGACCATAATAAAGGCATCAGCCAAGAAAGTCCTGTTGGCTGTAAAGGCATTAATTGCTATCGCTGTTCGTCCTTCATCCCTGAGTGCGAAGGCATTTGTTCCATGTGCGGTACTTTATGTCAGCGGTCAGGGGGACCGTGCAAGGCTTGTCGGGATATCTGCGAGAGATGCGGCAAGCCAAGGTACAAGTGTTCATCAGCTGATGAGAGACTAGAAACTAGTGACGAGGAGAGGGAAGGGAAAGAGGAGCACTTTGATGCAGAAGGTATGTCGATCGTGGTTAGTTGTCTGTGGTAGAAATTTCATGAAATCTTACACTAAGTAAAAAAAAAGTTCATTCAAAAGCGTTTAATATTCACTTAATTTTCCCTGAGTTATTCCCTGCTAGCAATCGATGAGTGCTTCGTCTGGGATCCTAACATTCTGTAAAAGGACTTTCAGTAAATTACACAAAGCAGCCAAAATGTGCATCTTTTAGCGCCCTGAAATCAGGCTCTGTAAAGGAAGGTCCCTGAATTAGCGGCATTAAAACCTTACCCTGCCTTTTTCCTTTATAACTATAAGCTTCGATGATCAAATAATTTTCAGCTTCCATGGAAAGTAATCTGGCATCACTCTTAATGTTAATATAAACTATAGGAAATTCGTTTACGCTAAATGATAGCACTGTTTTTCTCCAGCTACTGAAACTGGACCGGGGATACCAGCACAAAGAACATCACCTTTCAGAGGTAACGAGATGGCAAGTAGCTCTGACACAGGATCGGTTGCCAGATGATAAACTAACTTGGAAGAGTCGAATGTTATGCAGTTTTGCTATGGTTTTCATTCACACACGTGCTGCAATTGTCTAGAAGACTAGCGCCATTCTTTCGAACCAGCCCACAAAACTGATCTTACAACAATCGCGACTTTATCACTCGAGTTTATCTGCGCTTGGAACCGGCTGCATAAATTAAGTTTAAGCTTCCAGTGGGTCACTATAAAATTTTCTTTTGCTTTGATAGGACGTTGCAATAACTTTGATTGTGATTTTAGTGCACACTCTTTTACTCCTTGGTTATTTTGTTGTCATTTTTTTTAACTTTAAGGTCACATAAATAGTCCCGCATCGGCATCAGCTGAAGAACTGAATCGGGAGGAGAGTTTGATAATGATTGACGAGGAGGTCAGTAACTCAGATAAGGTAGCACATGGATTGCAAATACGTTTTCTTTATACTGAGTGTGATTTTCCGATATAAATGGTGAATCTTTAATAAGCGGACATCCTCGAGACCTTTCCAAGTGTCCGCTTTAGAGAGGTTTATAAAAATTGCCCAGTCTTTGTTAAAGTTTAATATTCTACGGTTACTCCGTACTGTGAGAAGGTTCCATGTTGCTAAAGAATCTATCCAGAGTTCAAGTTTATTGCCTTTCATTACCAACTTTGCTCTGTTGGTAATAAAGCAGAAACATAACAGCAAAACAGCAACGATAATACGCGCGGCACGTTGGATTGATTACATTTAATCGAGTCTTTCAAAGACGTAAACCTATACACTACATTTTCAGTCCATTGTCCGCTTACTAGAGGTTTTTAACAATAGAAGTAAGCCAAATACGATGTATTTTAGTATCTGCGTCCCCTTAATAGAGGTGTCCGTTGAATTGGGGTTCTTTACAGAGGGAAATATAAGGCGTAAATTTCTGAACCCGGCTTCGTGTTCGCTTGATAGAGGGTGTCCGCGTAATTGGGATTCCGCTTAACTCGGGTCCCCTTAATAGAGGTTTCACTGTATAATTAAGTGCCACAGTAATGTTTCGTTGAAATTTTAGAATCTCTCTCTCGGTGCCACTGTCCAATCAGAAGGATGGATCCAGTTTCGTCGAACTATCACAGATACCTTTAAGTTCGCTTACGATGGACCGTCATAGCATAAGAGGGCGGGGAAATGAGGCAGGGGAGGGGGGGGGGTTGGGATAGGTCTGGAAACTGGAACAAATTTTGGCTGGGATCCGAAACGCTGATTTCGTTATTTTTGTTTTAGAGTATCAAAAAGAGCAAGGAGAGAAAAATCAGGTGAGAATTGTTTTTATTGACTTATAAATTGATTTTACGAGATTTTACCCAATCTAAAAATATGTTACACTTGATTTTTCATTTTTCATTTTCTTGATCTCGCAGAGCGCCTCCTGAAAGAAAATCGAAAGATCCCAACAGTGTTAAACGAGTGCGAAAGAAACGCTACAGGACCGTTGATGACGAGGATAATGAGATGCCGGAGGAAAAAGAGGTCATTGAGGAAGAGGAAAATGTAAGTGTCCGCTGGTTTCCTAAGCTAAAAACGAAATTTTACTGTAAAATTTAGCCCTAACCAAACTTTATAGTAAATGGTTTTACAAGTTTGTATTGTAACTTATCCTCATCAAAGTGACCAATGGAAGTAAGGTGCTATGGCGTGAAAGTAACTACGCTAAAGCTCAGTCTCCTCTCGTTTTACATTTTAGGGCGACGATCGTCCACAATCTGCTGAGCCCACTCAAGTGAGTTCGGATGAAGTTATTCCTGCCAAGCCTCAACCCTCTGCATTCGCCGCCAAAGGCACTAAGAAAGCTAGGCCATCTAAAAAAATTATCTCACAGACTGTCGTTTATAAGGAAAAGGAGAAGACATCAATGTCCATACAGGGATATTCTCCTGAACGCGAAGAGATTAACGAAGACGATTCTGTGGTTTCAAGCTCCACACCCCTCATTGAAACCGTTGAGCCTGGTGAAGACTTGTCAATAGAAAATAATGGCGAGGGAACTGGAGAAGAGATGCAAATGAAAGAGGAAACTGTTGAGGGGGATGGCACTAACGATGACGTAGCTGAGTATGGGAAAGACGTTGGTTCGAAGGATGAAGAAGGGCCGCGTGCAAATAATGAGGAACTTGAAGAGGAAAAAGAGAAAGAGGAGGAAAAGGAGGAAGAAAAGCAGATAGAAAAAGAAACGAGAACTGCTCCTCCAAAGAGTAAGTTAAATTTATGTGAAGACAGTTAGAAGGCAGATCTATCGATAAATTAGTCAGTCTGTTCGTAAGTCAGTGACTGTCAGCGAGTAAACCAGTCATTCAGTCTGCAAGTCAGTTGATGAGTTAGGCAGTCAGTCAAGGAGTCAGTCGCCCAGCGAGCCTCTCAGTCAGTCAGGGATTCAGTAAGCCAGGCATTTAATTATTCAAGCAGTCACTTATCTCTGTTTCTTGTTGTTATTTTTCATCTTCAATTCTGAAGACTCGTTTTATATACTCTTATACCTTTTTTAGTTCGAGGCGTATCACGTGTAAATGCAGCATTCAAAGAACGAGCGGAGTTGGGTAAAAGACTGCAGAAAGTGTTAAAGTAAGTCATATACCTCTTATTTGCTTATGAGATCTGACTGTTAATCTCCCTGATGCCTTTAGTACACAATCAGGCATTTTTTAAATTTATTTGATTCACATAACTTTTACCTAAGGCTTTTCCCTCAACGCCCCCTCCTAATTTTCAAGGGAAAATCCATTGAAAAGAAGTTTTATAGATTTTGCGATGCATTACGTCTGGAAATAAGGACGATACATTACTCATAATTTAAAGCTTAACTGAGTACGGTTTCAAATAGTGAACATATGATGTCTCACTGTTAATCGATTGCACTTTTTCTTTTCATTCGAAAAATATTTGTTTTCATCAGGGAAGCTGTCAGTGAAGTCATGGGACAAGCCGATATAAAAACAAGAAAAGGTATGCATGTGTTACTTTTACCACGCCCACCTTTATTGAGGGAAAGAGACGAAAACTTTGGTCCCGACTGAAAAAAACGCTCCTATAACCTCTGTATCTGTTTTCCCTTCACTGATCTTTTCGATGGACACTTCCTGTTCCCGGAGAAGGTTCCTTTCAACTTAACTTGGATTGAGTTATCATCAAAAATCAAACCATTCTTTACCTGTCAGTTCATGTGATATGTAGCTTTCATTTTTCAGACTCAACAATTGATTATATCGCGCAGTATCGACTTGTCGACCGAAGTCGCCTGGAAATGTATGGCCGCGCGTTCACACTGGAAGACGAGGACGAGGATGGAATTATATCTTACGAGGTACTGAAAAGTTTTTACGTACACACGGCAAGAAAAAGGGGCGAAAGTGACATTGCTTAAGCTGATTTCATGGAAAGGACTTTAATTAGTTTTAACTTTTTGATCATGTCTTGTGGTCGTTCAAAACATGGAACTGCTGAAAACCCGATAACAGTAAAAACGAAAATTGCACTTAAAATCGTTTATTTGCAACATTTATTTTCGAAGAGTTAAACCAATGACCTTTCGTTGTTTCAGCAAATGATGCTTGCCCTAGAGGGGGTGTCGAGTATTGCAGGGATGTCCAGAAAGCAGCTTTTGTTCGTGTTACAGGTAAGACTTACCATCAGCAAGAAAAAACATCCCATGTTCATTTTCCTTCTTTTTTATTTTCAATCTTAAAAAGAATCAGAGCAGAATGTTTGTAATCCTTCATTTCTTTATCATAAAAAAACCTTAAGGAAAATTCAGTAATGTTAAAAATTTACAATAAATTATTTTTCATTTCATAATAAACTTTATCATGTGAACGTTCAGGTTGAGATTAACCAAAATTTTAAAAGCATACTGAGAACCTACTCAGGCTAAGAGTCAGTTGAGAACGTCTTTATCTTGCTCATTTTTTTTTGTGAGGAGTATAACCGCGAGAGAATCAACAGTTTATATTTTCTTGGTATCAAGTGCAAAGGAAATGTAAAATTGTGGTCTAACAGGAAAATAGACTCAAGTACTTAGGAAAATTTTCTAACACCGACAATGCGATTTTCTTATTGCACGATGTAGTGAAGGATTGAAATGTCAAGAACGTTTTCAGGCTCAAATCGCCAAGGAAAAAAACAAGGAACGTTCAGCCTCAGCCCTAAAATTAGGCATTGATATAAAAAAAAGAAACTGTTTGACTGAATTGTAGAGAAATTTATCATGCATGTCATAGATTCGATCGTATAAATATCTGATGTTTACAAAAGGATTATAAATATAAAACTGGATAATCTGGGGCTGAACGAGTTACGATGAACATCTACTACAGTTTGACTCTTTGTCAAAGCACCATTATAAAGGAAACATGTCGTGTTCCTGTGTTATTCAAAAATGCCCCTGATATTCACACGAGAGCTTTCATAAATATCTTCTCTATGAATTATTTATATATACTCTTTTTTAATAAAGATCGGAAATTTGTTTTCGCAGCAGGAATGGCGCTGAAATGTTCGTGATATCTGAATATATTTTAACATATCGTTACATTAATTTCGATTTTGTTTGGGAATAAAAACTTTCGAAAATTTCGGACACATTTTCTGCGTATGGTGTCGAGTTTCAAACTGTTTTCTGGGTTAAAGGGTTAATGGGCTAGAATTTTAGGTGGAAATTACCTCCAAAGTGTATATTACACGAGGATCGTTCAAATCATTCGGAATATCAAACATATGAATTCATCCTTTGTGGGCCATGGATCCAAGTTTATGCTTGACGTCGACAAATTTCCTGGCGCTGTTGATGCTCTCTGCTTCTTAGACTCATTCGTTGATTCTTTGATCGAGCGGTGGAGGTTCTCTATTTTTGTTTCTTGCAAAGATGAAACAGTATTTCTCGTTTTCGACGGCACTGCGCTTGAAGCACGCTCCTGATTCAGCTTAGCGAATTCTTTCTGGCTTTCTAGTAAAGATATCTTTCTGTGTATTCGTTTCAGAATAACTGACGGTTTCCTCTTGCCGAAAAATCGATCTTCCACTTTCAAGCAACCATTTTTCTTGTCGAGGTCTATGCTTTCCATCAAGCAGATTTGATGCGTCAATTCCTTCTCGTCAGTCGAAGTTTGCAATTGTTGGCTTTCCAGCTTTAAATTATCCGGTTAAAAGCTTTCGTTTTTTTCCTGTGAATATAATTTGCCACTTTTTTCTTCTTCTCTGGTTGATCAGCTCATTTCTTTAAATTCGAATCTTTTGTGTTTTTCTGCTTGATGTACGGTACAGTAAACACTGTTTCCTCCTCGAAAACAATCGCACAAAACTACGCGTTATTGTTGTGCTCGGTGAAATATCAATTAAGGCTTTGGCAAAGTGCATTGATCCTTTACAACACGTCCGAACAAAGGGGTTAATTGAAGGTGACCATCTCGTAGCATGGAAGAACAATAACAAAAATCAGCTAACCACGGTAAAATCTATCGCGAGAGAAGTCTAAATGGTCCCAGGAACAATTTAGCAGCAATCTATAAATTATTCAGCTCACTTCATGCGGAGAAAATTTGTTTTCTTATAAATCGCTGTTCCCTGTCGCTTCTGTGAGGTGAATTCAAAGTTCGCCGCGATCGTTTTGTGAAATAAAGGTAACCATGGCATTTTTAATTGCTTAAGCTCTCTTCAATGATATGTTTTAGCAGCTTTCACAACAGGTGATGAAAAAATTTACATTTGCCAACAAGTAGGACGAAACACGGTGACAGTCCATTTACACAAAAAACAAAGTGACAGAGAGGTGGTAATTGATTTCGTTCTGTGAATATTTTTTTTTTGGTCAAAGCACGATGGCCGAATATATCGAAGAAGATGGAAGACAGCGCAGCAGATCTGAAATGAATGCAATATTCTCTCCAGATATTCAGTTCGCAAATTTCTTTTTCATGTGTCTTTCCGAAAATGGATCTCATTTTATTAAGTTATGGCTACCATGAACAAAATTCGGGATTGTCAAAATAATTTCCAGTTGTGTTTACATGATTTTCCTTTTTTTTTCCCTTTGCCCTACATTAGGTGCACTCCAGTGGACTATACTATATAGATTCTCCATGTTTACAGAAGCAAATTATCCACTGAATTGCGTGTGTGCGATTATTTGACTGCTGTGTTCCGCTGTGTTGACGCCGCTTAATCCCTCAGCCTCGTTCCCAGGGGTTACTCAGTCAGTTTTGAAAATGGCAGCTGGTCAAGTAACCTGTGATTTTGTGCTTTAATTATTTCAGGTGCTGGAACTCTTCCCAGGCTCGAGGATAACTTTCAAGATGTTTTCAGTGGCTACTGCACTGTGCGAAAAAGTAACCATTCTGGAGTAAGCATATTTCACGTCCTACTGAGAACATGTTTGCAGTAGTCCTTTAGTCATTAAATCCAGCATGAAAAAAAACCATCTTCATTGAATTTCTACTATCAGAAACCCGTTATATAAATAGCCTCAAAAAGTAGAAGCTAGATCAATGTTTTTTGCGCCTTCTTTGTTTTTTTTTTATATTACGGGTGCAGTTTCTAGGTTATACCCCCAACCCCTCCCTTCTCCCTGAAAAAAAAAAACAAAAAAAAACTAAAAAAAAAAAAAAAAAAAGCAATTAGATCTTCCCATAGCCAATAAAGTACATTTGATTTGTCCACGTGATGTAGGGACGTGGCCTGGACGTCATGTAAAGTAAAAATTTGAGCTTGCAAAGTGTTACACACAACTATAATTACTATTTATTTTTTCATTAATTTTTCATTAACTTCATCAAGTGCGTTTGTCAAGCAGCTGGTCGAAGAACTAGACCTGTTTGAATTGGAGTGTAAATTGGACATGTTCAGGGTGAGAGAGCGTTGTAACTTGTTTGTTGTTGTGCTATTTGTTTTTCTGTTCGTCTACTTTATTAATAAAAGCGATCGCCATGGTTGGCCTAACCTCAGGATCGCCGAGCGGGACAGCATATTAGCTTTCGATACTTTGCCCGCTGTTAGTAGAGAGTTACAGCACACAAAAAGGAACGATTTTTTTGTAACTTACGCCCTTTGAAATTTGTAGTGTCCAGTTCAGTTTCCAAGTTTTTTGCTTTCTGTTTTTAGAGCATGTTTTTTGTCACCGGTGATTTCTCTGTAACTTACATCACCGCTGACCAGCTAAGAATTGAACTGAAGGCCGGTGGGCTCAACCAGAATCAGGAGGATCACGTGATAAGGCATATACTTCAGTCCAGCGATACTGGAGAGGTGAGAATCTGTCAATCATTCTCGCGCACGCGAGACTTTAGCAAATAGAGGTTGGACTCCCGAGATGGCTTATCTAAAGGGGTTCGAGCTCTACACGGGTGACTGAGTCGTATTCGCGGGGAAGACACTTTACTCTCAGCATGTCATCCTCCATCCGACATGGTAAATAGAAAGCAGAAAACTATTGCAAAAACTTCACTAGCTGTTCCAAAGTGAAGGGGTGGGGGAGGGGGGGAAAGATGAGTGAAATCACGTTCAGGGGGAGATGCAATACTCGTGTGTGCTTCATGCTTTGGAAACTAGAATAAGCTATAGCGCTGACGGCAGAAATCTCTTTTTTTATTTTTAAAATTGTTCGGATTTTCTCCTGAGATTTAAATAACAACGTCTGGTTTTGCGCAGCCATTTTGCCCTACGTACATTGCTGACGCATTTTTTATCTCACCCGTTTGGTTATTTTTATGAACAACGACAGCATTCACATTCTTGCAAGCACTCCATTTTCAAAGTGTTGTGATGTCAAATTTATTATAGTTATTAAAGAGCTTTTAGTTTAGAAGAGGACTTTTGGATCGATTACGTTATTTCGTGACATCCTATAATCCTTGAGCAAAGTGAATTCGTTATCTTCATTCTTACGTGTACTTTCGTTTCTTCCAGATTTCGTTTCTAGATTATATGGCGTATCTACCTCTATTTCTGTCCATCCACCAAAATATCTGTGAAAACGCCCTTGATATGTCACGCAACAAGTATCAACGTAACAGTACAACATGACCACAAGTTACACTAATGGAGGATGCACTGTGACATCCACTTAGACATTTGTGACAGCGCTCTCGACATGTCACGTGATAACGTAATGAAACTGTGTGACATCAAGTAACGCTACATATATACTCTTGTCATGTCATGTCATGCAACAAGAATCGACTTGTCTTTAAGTGCACCTGACTTAAGAGAGATACATCACGGCGGGTGCATGGCAGAATTAAAGCGAATTTGACACTTTCCGCAAGTCTTCAATAAATTTAACGGGGAAACAAACCCTTTGTTAAGCATGTGTTGTTAGGAGCTACGAAGACATAAACTGAGATTATTGTCGACAATAATATAAAATAACAAAAATAATTTTGGTTAGAAATACAACTATATCTCATTCTATGAGTACGTGTGATATTTTTGTCACAAAGCGTGAGGGAAGAGTCTTGGAGACTTTCCTTTAACGTTCTGCTCGCCCTCCCTTCGCAATCTCTTAGCGCCCTCCTCGCATGAAAAACGCAAAAAATCCCCCCCCCCTCTGTATAGACTTGTCTGATGTAGGGCTAAATCATTATAATCAACGTAGAGTATTGCTCGTCTACGTGTTAAAAATATTCAACCACCCTTGCACCTCCCTCCCACAAGTCAAGGAAGTGTGGGGTGCATCTAAGAATGTGACGAGGGAGGGGGAGGGTGGCAAAGCTTTCTTATCAACTTTTACACTGGTAGGGGGGTTGCTTGAGCAATAATTCAATACGATTCTTTGCGAGAACTATTACAATTTTTTTCCAACCTTCTCTCTCGTTCCATGATTATTTTAACAATACTAAGAGGAAATAAAAGAAAATTAACTCGTAAAATTCTTCCTTAGCCCTGGTACATGTCCTATGATGATAATTTACACTCGGATGCAGCATTTTTTCTTTAATATACATACATGCATACATAAACTTTATTTAGTCTCGAATTTAGAGAGTAGCACCCAAATGATAAGTTAATAAGTTAAGCTAACTATATTGAACTAATCATGATAACGAATTAATTCTATATAACAAAAAATATATCTAGCCAACTCAACAACTAACTTGTTAAAATTAACTTAGTATACTTAAGACTACAATACAAGATTAAAATTTCCACTTATTTGTTTCCATCAAAATTTTAAATAAATAACTTTATTCGAACTTTGTATTGATTAGAGCAGTTGACACAACTAAAAAACTTGGCAGTAATCGCAGTGTGTCGCACTGGTGTGAGGACAACTCTTTGAGCTCTACTTTCAATAGTTCGAGTTCAAATCTTTCATTTTTAATTTTTTTCATCGATGCCATATTTTTCTTTTGAAATCATCTTTACAATTTCATGGCAGAATCCTGCCAAGAGACGCTAAAATTTTTGGACTACCTTTGGAGAATGTTCAACTTACACACAGAGAACATGTTTTAGACACTGGAACAAAACTATCTTCATTGAATGTCTACCATCAGAAACCTGTTGTGTAAATAGCTCCAGAGCGTAGAAGCTATATCACTGGTTTTGCGCCTTTTTAGTTTTTTTTTAATACTGTAATTTTTTTATTATTTTAAAAAGTTGCCACGTGAGATTATTTGAATATGTTTCGGGTTTGATTTGCATATTAAAAATGCGTGCAAACAAAAATTGCGCCAAGTCTATTACATATTACTCAGTGATAGGTTTGTTTTTTTTCTAATCCATATTCATGTGTAACTGTAGAATGTGCCTCAAACCAAACAGGTCGTAGACGGGTGAGGACGTGTTACTGTGTAGGGAAAGTTTAACCAAGGGTGTACTTGACGTGCAAATGGCTTGGAGCTGGGGACATAACTGAACGTTATTTCAACCGAAGGTGAGTTTCGTTTTTCGTTTGGAAATTTTTGTTGTAACTTCATTCCCGTAACTGCTGGCGAATCATCAAATCAAACTTTCTGACACGTGTGCACTCGTTCAGCGCTTTAGGCGTTGTCTTTGAATAAGTTTTTTTTTTTTTATTTTGTTCGGAATTTGGAACCTTGAACTTCTTAGGTGTGTTCTTAAACCAATGCTGTTTAACTAGTATTTTTAGAAACATAAATCCAAATAAATCACATTTCGAAACAGCAAAAGACGAAGCTGATTATTTGCATGAAATTTAAATTCAATACAAAAAAGCCACGTGCCTTTGAGTTTGGAAGGAATGGTTATTTATAACGCGAAGGGGTATTGTGGCAGTTACGCTTTGACTTAAACGTTGTTTTGCTTATTTCTGGTTACAGGAAAACATGATTAAAAAACAGGAAGGAAGAAAAAGAACTCAGGAGGACAAACAGGAGCATAATCGTGAAGAAACTCGGCAAAGATAAGAATTTACAAATCTTCAATATTGTTGTAATGATATTTAAATGGCACTGATATTGCAGAGTTACCGAAAGGTCAAGTCTTGGGTGTCACTCGATTCAAAAGATTTAGCCACAGGATATTTCGAAATTGTTTTAGTTATACCATACCGCGCTCAGTGATTGGTCGAGAAAACTCGCCCGACGCTCGCAATCAATCAAATTCAGATCTAAAACTGACCAAGTGGGACTTGGTCACTAGCGTTTTCTTGCGCTTCCGGAGATTTGCTTGCTGTGTCTCGAGAAAAGTTGATGGATACAGAAATCTTTTTTATTGCGAATTTCTTCCCACCAACTTTACACAATTGAATTTGGCATGACTCAGCTTGCTCAAGCTTTAACCTTCATGTAGGCTGTAGTGATTGTTACCATTGTCAAGTCTTGACGACTAAAAAGGGTTAGGTTACTATGGTGGATTTTTTAAGGTGGCACTGAAAGACAAACGTCACTCCAAGAAACTCTGAATATAAAGAGAAGCATAGATATCCGGCCCTGGTGAATCGCAAACAGCGAGAAAGTGGAAGCCATTTATCAAAAACGTTTCGGCTTTGGTTGGAAAAGTATCCACACCAACAACGGTAAAATTTCCGCACAGCCCCATACTACATTATGCATTCAGTTCTTGAATAGAGAAAACAATGACAAAAACAATACATTTCCATTGGGAAAACAGATTTGTTTTGCAATAGTATGGGGCTGTACGGAAACTTTACCCCAACAACGAAGAAACAAATTGATTTACAAATGCTCTATAAATAAATATTGTGGCCTTTGTTACCAAAGGAACAGTTTGCTTTAACTTGCTTTTTATTTGTTGGAAAATAAGGATTCCTGAACGAGGTTATTTTGGGTAACATTTTTTCAAAAAAATTGTCTGTGCCACCTTGAAAGATTCGCTTAAATTTCATATCTGACTATTTATCCGTCTTGCAATGGACAAGAGAAAATTGGAAACCCAAACCTATTATTTGTACAAAAAAAAGTTAAATTTTTTTCATTTTCGTAAAAGAATAGCCATCTACGTACGACTTATTTAGAAACGGCAACACTTCGGTTTCGCCACATAGACAATACATTACCGATGGACACAATGGTTAAATTAACGCGCTCCATATCCACGTATACGAACGAAATACCGACACATAATTTATCAAAGGGGTTGAAGACCTCAACTGCATTTAAAACAACAACAAATGACAGTTAACAGATAATTACGAATATTGACAGATTTTCTGAACGAATCGTTGTACAGCTCGACCTCACCAAGACGAAAGTAATTGTAGTTTACAACGCAATTGACAATTTAGACCTCAAACCGTTTACTTTTTTTCCTATAAAATCTCGACTTGATAAAACAAAACAATCACTAAGAAATCTAGAGCAATTTTTCTGTTTATAACTTTCAATTTACAACATTTACTGATCAACGTTTAAGACAGATGAACCTAGCTAACAGAAAACAAGAAATGGTTTAAAAAATCAAGTGATTCGCTTGCCAAGCCCTCTTCAAGACTGACCGAACACAAACTATAACGTGAAATGTCAACAATCAACCACACTGGGACTTTTCTCTTTATTTAATATACAACATCTTCAATACATGTCAAAGTGACTCACTATAAGCTGGCGCTGGCTTCTGGTTAGAACGAGCAGGTTCATGAATGGCTAGGTGCCATCAAAAAACGGCATCCACAAGTTACCATCAACAAATTAATTTCACCTCAGATAAAAACTGACCAATCTCCAATCGCAACTGACAAAGGTCATTCAACACAATTGACTTGTACTCGACTTGTTTAACTGAACCATTGACTGTAGAATAGCTTTTAATGAAATTAATTTGATCTTTTTGTAAAATGTTTACGGAAACCCCAGTTGCCAACGTTCTCTTGTCCTCATGCAAGTTTTGGGAAAACCTATGACTGACTCTAGAGACTTTAAGAAATGTTCGTAAGGCGGTTTTGATTCATTTTGATTTATTGTGCAAAGCCTATGATTAAAGAACACATAGAAAACGCAATTTTGCTTGGAAGATTTAGATCTTAAGTGCGTCCTTTTTTTCCCTTTTTTTTAACGACCAGATTGATCTACGAAAGCTGCAATGATCTGATCTTTAATTTCACAAATAACTCAGCAGATGTAACATTTAAAAATGTTGACTGTCACATTTTACCAAGACAACAAAGTGTAATTCGTGTGGAGCTCAGGCTGTTTTGTGAAAGTTTCGAGCAAATGAAAAGTAATTCACGAAATAGGTTTGGGTCTCAAATCAGCTGAAAACTTGAAACTTAGAAGGATCTCATTATCTGTTTCGGAAAAATACATTCTTTACGGGGCATATAAATTGTTCATCTGCCTCAGACTATTCCTCAGTAGGTTATCTCAAATTACAATTGGAGTGAACTTATTAGCTTCTTAACTTCGGTCTTCAGTGCATCAGAAGTTTACTTTATTAATGGGGAAAAAAATTGAAGAATGCCAAGACTGTTTGAAGAGTTTGGTCTGCACAACCATTTGCAATTCGTTGTTTTTTTTTTTTTGAGTAACAATGGCCTTAGAATACTAAAACTTTGATATTTTCTCTGAGCCAGTCAATGGGTTTTATCGTTGTATTTAATTTGT